GCATGGTCCCTTTGAGTAGTAACACTGATGATTTATCTAAAAATGTACATCTCGTTAGACGGACAGACGTGCTTTAGTAAACAAAAGAAGTAGGCTCAAAATTCTTCAGAAGCCAAATGCATTCTGTTTTTTAACTAAGACATACTTCTTCAAGCAGGTTGTTGCATTTTTTCTGTCTATTTTTTCCGTTTTAAGAGGCCTTTTATACACAACAACACTACAAAGCTGAGTAGTTTTTCTCCGTGGTCGCTAACCAGCTGCCACAACAATCCAAAGGGTGCAGAGACAGACAGCTTGTAAAAGTTTACAGACTCCAACCGTCGCTTTAAACGGAAACACCACTCAGCCAACATAAATTACAGTGTAACGACACCATCAGTGACTGCCAGAGAGGCCATGTAAAAGTCCAGTGCTCCTGACACATTCGAAGCATGAAACTCCATAGCCTTGTTGGCCTGTTTTACCACATATAAGCAACACCACATGAATCACTATGAAACACATTCTTCTCAACCCAACAGACACTTCCCTTTGACTCACGCTGGGAAACGAGCACAAAAAGTAATGTAAGCAAGTCTGATGGGATACCACAATCACAATGAATCCAGCACAAAGAACAAACACACAGATACACAAACCAGGCTGGTTCAACAACAGTCACTATTCATCAAAGCGGTTAGTGCTTTTTCAGTGAATAACAAAGGACACGGCTCTGACTTGATCATTCTCACATCTGTTTAATCTCTTTTTCATCATGGTACCTACGCTGGAAGTGTAATACATAACACCCCACCATCTGTTTGGTATCAGTCAACAGCCTCATCAACAAGCCGCTCATCATCATTATCAGACAGCTAGCTTTTGAAACACTGTCTTGAAACACTTTCTGAAGTTTGTTTCTAGCTAAACTCATTCTCCCATGGACGAAGACCCTCCCATACAAACTGTGAAACACACTCAGAAACCACAGCTCGCTCAACTGTGGAGGTACTGGGAAGTAAAATGTGGTGCAGTTAGGCGTCTGGGGTATAGCCTGCCAATCAATTTAGTAAAAGACGTGTGAGTTGTGTCCAAAATCTGCAACTTTATGATTAGTATTTGGTTACTTGTTAGGAGTTGAATATGAGTATCAGCTTCACAATACTAGTTGCGAGTAACAATGCTGGCATGTTGAATTGGCAGTATAAACTGCGGCTGGCATGTTGCTTTATCCTAATGGGAAAATAAAGTAGGGAAAGAAATCATAAAAACTGTAATGTTTGTTGCACTCTCAGAAAGTAAAACCAAAAAAGTTCAAGCAAAACAGCAGAACTCATTTGGAGCTGTGGCTAGCTGATTATTCAGATTCCTAATGGTTGAAAGACTTATGGCTGCCATTTTAATTTACAGTTTATGGTCTTCACCAGTGCAACTCATCTCATAGTGTTGCTGTTGGAGTTAATTTTAGGTTTGCAAATTTACTTGAAGTGGTTGAAATTCTAGAAAAGTTTTTTATGGGCAACAAAAATGTAATAGCAGATGATTAATCCTTCAGCAATTTAAAAGCAAGAGAGGAAAAAAGACAAATAGTAATAAAAAAATACAATTTGGGGTTTTGGTAAAGTCCTTTTTTTATTGACCTAAACATGATGTCCTCACAATTCTTTGGATTTTGCGTACAACAGCTTAGGTCCTGGACCCAGTCATTGGGAACCAATGCTTAAAATCTCGAAGTTCCCAGCAAACCTCTATTTAAACACTCCAAGAGACAAACTAACCACTGAAACTCTGACTTGACAGAAATTCCTGGAGGTAATGTTTATCTGTTTTGGAACCTAAGCTCATTTCTAAATGCCAAAAAAAGCTCTTTTTTTTTTCAAAAAGGGACAGATATCAGGTTTGGATTTCTGTTGGCGTGCTGCTCTCCAGGCTCCTAAGCCTTGACGTCCAGTGCTGAAGTTATCTTGACACGGCATCGCTTTCCTTATGCCTTTGTTCTTTGTAGAAATCTGTCAAACACATTTATGGCCACAGCTAATGTGTTGCAGGCCAGATGCAAACTTGCTGAAGGTACAAAGGTAGCACAGGTTTGGAAGCTAGATCAAATAATAAAGCTGTTTTGCTCAGAAAGGAACAGTGCGATAAACAGTGATAAAAATAAGCTCCAGATGCTCCTGATTAGTTTGGTGCTACTAAACAGTCAGTTGCGAAACACAAATAAAACCTGACAAGTCCTCTTTGTCAGTGTTTTTGTGAAGCTCATTCATATCTATGATGAACTTTGTTAGTGAATGTATTGTGCCTTTACATACCTTAGTGATTATTGTGCTGTTGTTTCAAAAACCTGCACAAAACTTCTTTACAGCTGAAAAACGCCGATATTAAATGCAGTCTACTATGTCTTTTAAGTTACAATTTGACCGAAAAACTTTCACTTGAATCGGACCAACATCTGACTAAGGCAACTTTTACTTTGACTCGAGCAATGACACTCTTTGTCCACATAATGAGCTTTTAGTAACCCAAATATAATCTCCTCCAGGCTTCTTACATTTAGGACAAACTATGTTACACAAGCCCTTTCCAACGCAGCTATCATGCTAAAGGCTCTGCACTTTCTGATCACCACAACTGAGGCCTTTCAGTTTCTTCACATATGAAACACAGGTGCACACAATGAGACAATCGCTTTTGTTATGCCAGGATGAGCTTTTACAAGAATTCAACAAACAACTTATAGACACTGGAACTCTAATGTGATTGTATCCTGACATGCGAGAGGACATATACACAACTGTGTGCAATTAAATGCATTTGTTCGGTGTTTAGAAATGACGTCGGTTCATCTTATTTTAATTCATTCCTGGACTACTTTACGTAACTCTCACTTGGATCTGCAGGTATTAAACTTTATCTCTGCATATGAAAACACAGTCGGCAGATAAATGATACTGCAACATGTGTTTGCTGGTGACTTCCATCCCACTGAAATATCACCCCTACGGCTACAATATGAAGAGAGCCGAGAGTGTAAGTAGTGTGTATGTGATGCAAATAGATCTCAACACATGGGAGTGATGAATCTCCAGCTGCTCCTAATTCTCCTTCATGGGTTTCTTCTGGCAAAGGGTGTAAACCGCATGCTAATGTGTGCAACCCCCAAATTTGGTGTGTTTCTATCTTGTCAAAACCAGTGTGCCCATTTTTTTTAATTGTCATATATGTGACATTCGCAGGAAATGAGGTCCATCCGCCTGTAGCTGATGAAGACAAAGGGACTGACAAACTCTCCAGGCTCACTGCAGCCAAAGTGTTGGAGAATATCCAGACTTGCTTCAACTTTGTGCCCTTTTTTCCCCTGAATGAGTGACTATGATAAATTGCTCTGGACCAACAGTATCTTGTAAGAAGTGTGGGAGACGAAAAGAGGGAAGAGAAGTGCTTCAAAGGCAGAGTTTGGTCATATGGCACCAATAAACCACAAACAATAAGCTACAATCTATGTGCATAGCCAAGTGTTTGATGTATGGAGACTTAGCCTCAACAAGACCCTAAAAGCATGAAAAAAAACTGCACATAAATGTATGTAGTTTGAGGCTGGGAACTGTTTAAGATTTTTTTTTCAGATGGGAAATACAGAGAGACCCTACATGGAACAAGAGGTATCAACTCAAAACCTAACTCCAGCTCACATTATTCCATAGGACTTGGACAATATTTAATAAGAGCACCCTAATGTGAAAGCAGGGAAAGCAAAGAGACATATTTAAGCGAGATTTGGATGAATTTGTTGCAGTATGGCAAGAATGGTAAGACTTTCAGACTGAAGTAGCTGAGCTGGGGCAGCTTCAGGGTAACATGATTATTTCCCACAAAACAGCTGCCAACAGTAAACCTCTGTCTCCCTCTAGTGGCGGCTCAGCATTCATGCCAGTGTGGTGTCACTTTACTCAAATAATGTTGTATTAGAAATCTGTGGTCTTATTCTACAGTATAGACACAACCATAAATCTAGAGATAATAAAGGCTTGGGTGTATTTTATGTGGATAAACATGAAGACAAATGAAAAAAAGAAAAACAGCCTTTCCACCCTGTCCTAACTTTGCTCACTTCAGTCCTTTATGGCCTAAAACACTGGCTCGCTATTTTGGCTTGAGGCCCCCCTTTATGGCAGAGTGCAAGAGATCTCAGGGGTGGGGGGGTAAGGCTTTGTCTGCCCGGAGTTTGTCAAAAACAGATGAACACATTAATATGAAAATACAGCTGCTGAATGATTGCAACAGACTACATACAAAACTACTTTTAAAAAGTTCATGCAAATAAACCTTGCACACTGAGGCTTCGTTGTGAAAATTCACAACGGGAGTGAAAAGTCAAAAAAAACAAAAAAACTGAAGTAAAACAACTGGAGCAAGAAAAGTTTCACCCTCTGATAAAGTGGCTGCAGGATCATCCAAACTGCTTCCAGGTGTATTTCAGGATTTCAGAGGTCCAGTTTGATGCAACTGAGGCAGTAAACAGTATGTTTGAGGTAGGGACACATACACACACCAGCCAAAAAGAGCCATCCAAAGAATACATCGACACTTGGATTTGTGGATGTTAAGACCAGATCATAGTTGTCTGTGTTTTCACTGAAAATCCAAACTGTTTCAGCAAAATGACAGAACAAAGACTCAGAGTCAGTATGCCAACATGATTGGCACATTTATATTAGACATGCAGTAATCCGGGATGAAAAACTTGTGCAAATGCAAAGGCTTTAATGCATCGCTGTTTTGTGTCTCAATTTTTCCACAAACAAGTAGAGAGGTTTTTTTAAGGAAAAAAGGCAGTGAATCACAGGCCTTTGAAAACATAATAAAAATTGTTTTTTGTTAATGGTGAAGGTGGTGAAAGCAAAAATATCCTTACTTTCTTTGGGCTGTTTTGGAACCTCAGTGTTTTGAAGAAAGTCTGGGAAATTTTGAAGTTTGTGTATGTTTAAAATAAAAACCACCAAAAAACATAAAAGAAGTTTCACAAATAAACCCAGTTAGCGATGACTTTAATATGGTGAACATTTTCAGTATATAGAACCATAACAGAGTTTATCACATGTAGCTTTTTCATCACTTACATCAGCAGTACATTACCAGTGCCATCCACTGGGTGGAGTTGTAAATCCAGAGATGTTTTAATCAAATGATTTTCACTTTCTCCTTCACATGTTCAATTGACATTATCAAAACTATACAATAGTTATGCAGTTAAGGCCTTTATATCAAAATAGATACACCCACACAGATTCATAAGTTGTAATTGGTCCATTGCATTAACAGTTCCCTTTAAAGATATCTGAGTTTATTTGTAGTACTCGCCTGTATAGAAGTGGAAGAGGCTCATCATGTTCACAAAAGTTACATCAGTGTGCAGCTTAACCTCACTTAGCTTACTCAAGTACTGGTGCAGCCCGAAATATACACAGATCATATATATAAATCTGAAAGTGAAATCATGGTTATTCAGTTTGCAGTATCTGTAAGTGTACAGGATAAAAAGCACAGTGACACTTCGTTTCCCTGTCTTTTTCCAGGAAAAAAAAATTCTGCATGCATCTTGGCCAAAGCAAGGATGCAAACAGAGAAGTTGCTCCAGTACTGCTGGATCACAGTCAGGTGTTACTACAGTCCGAGTGGAAGCGAAAAAGTCAGCCCGTTGGTCAGTGACACAGTGCGTTTCTGTTTACTATAAACCCTGAATGTGTCTGAGCACCCTGCTGAGATCATCAGGTCAGCGTTCAGGATTCAAATGGTCTATATGAAGGTGTCAGCAGGTCATCAGTCCGTCTGCCTGTTGAAGGAAGTGTGTTGGGGGTCCCTGTGTGCTCAGTAGGGCTCCAACTTGATCCTCCTGTACAAGCAGCTGGTGAACACCATGCCACAGATCTGAAAACAGGACGTTGTTCGGTCAAATGATTGCTCGGTCACCATGGAGGGCTGCAGGAAGCTAGAGGGTTATTGACCGTGGGGGGATGGAGAGGGGGTTAAAGGTGATGGGGTTGGAGTGGAAAAGTGTGTAACTGGTTACTATGGGGATGTCAGGAGTCAAGCGGTAGTTATTGCAGCAACATGTGTGCGCACAGGCGGGCAAAAGCAGATGCAAAATGAAGCGCTGGGTGTTGGGACGAAATAACCCCTGTTACAGAACTGACTCTAAGTTATCTGCTCACACAAAAACCCCTGCTGCTGTATGTTGTTTACAGCACTTTACTGTAAACAGCTGTAGAAAAAGCTTCCAAAGTAAAAAAAAAAGGCCAGCAGAAGCAGATATTGACCTGAGCTGCTGGGCCTGCCAGGTTTGATGGATAAACAGGCAAATGCCCAGATTCAATACATGAGTCTCTAAAAGCCCTCTGAAAAAGTCTCATCGAGCGCGTCAGCACCGCATAGAGACTCATAACAGTCTATCTTCAGGCAAGTTTGAGTCTGTCACCTCTGCTCTCCACCGTCAATGATGGGTACGTGGGAATGTGATATATTTGTCAGAGAGACAGATGATATAAGAGGAGAAGTGAGAGATCTCTGCCTGTCTGTCTTTTTTAAATCCATTTTTGAGCGAGGAAAATGATACTAAATAAGCGATACAACAGGCAGGAGATACTTTTTCTGCTGAATGGCTGGACACCTCAGAGCTCTACTCAGTCATAACTCATTGAAAAGCTTATCTATTTTAGATTTTGAGTAACTATGGCAACAGCATTGATGCTTTTCCTAAATGTATTCAGAGATGTCCTGGTATAAAAGGCTCAATGAAATGATACAAGTATAAAGAACATTACCTCGACTATGATTTTAAAAGTGAGGGAAGATACTTGCAGCCACCAGTGGAAAAGCGAAAGCCTGTTATTTATCTCATCATACTCATTTCCTCTTTACATTTTTTCTGCATTTTTTTAAAAACACCATTGTGCTAATGTTTTACTTAATCAAGCCATTCTCACAGTTTGGCCTTCATCACATCCTCACCAGCCAGAGCAGCCCTTTATTACGGCATGCAGAGCCACAGTTTACACAATTTACAGCCAAAGCCAGACAGCTGCATGCGCCACACTCAGCCAAAGATTATGTAAGAGCAAACACATGTCGAGCAAAGATTGAGTATTTTACACAGCGCAAACAGCCAAATAAGGACAAACATGCAGATTTCAAATCAACAATGCCCTCAAACCTTGTCTCTTTACTCGATTGAACCGCAAAGGCGCTCTAGAGCTCAATCACAATGTGCCAAAGGCCTCCTCCTCTTCTTTATAGAGCAGATAGATAAAGCAGGCTGTCAACACTGCGCCGATCAGCTACAGTGACGCACCCGGCGTGGACATAAAGACAAACGATACAGTCCCCCATAGACAGGTGAGCGAGACATACAAAACATTCATGCATGTTTGTGCCACGAACTCAAAATGAAATTTAGAGCTAGAAAAATTAGAAGAGTTCAAACAATCTATGTTAATTAAGTCAGTTTGACGGCCACTACAAACAGAAAGGATGCAGACATTAGGAGACTGAACAGATGACTGAGACAAGCCTCAGAGAAAACATGACTGGATCAGAGTTTTGATCTACACCAAACTGGTTCATATAACACTTTGATTCAAGTGAAGTCCATCCAGGTATTTGAAAGATTTTCACAACTTTATATGCTTAAAATAACACCTCATGACAATCTGGAGAGTATTGTGGATGGTACAGGGAATAGTCAATACGAAATTGGTCTCATGTTTCCCTCAAGTTCATTTGCAAAACTGAAAGCGGACAGCGAGTTCAGAATAGTAAAATGGCCTCTTGTACGTCTCTGTAAGGCTTAAAAGCTTGAGTCCCCCTCAGCCTGGGACAAATCCAATAACAGGAATGAACAAAATTAGATAAGAATGATTTAGAGACGAGGTCGACATGAAAAGACATGTCCATTTAGAGGTGGTTGACCTGCAGTGGTACACTTTCAGTAATGGAAATGTTAAAACCCATCTGCTGAGCGCTTCTAAAGGGTTTATTCAGCCAAGGGCAGCATTTCACTGCCAAAGGTAAAACCACTCATTTTTAAAATGTGTTTCTCTGAGGTTACAGAGAGTACCGTTTGGAATAATATTCTACCTCTCTAGAAAAAAAAAAAACTTTAAACTTGAGTTCACATTTTTTAGTTAACTTACCTGCAGACAAGCCACACCTATGCCCACAGCACCAATGATCAACAGGTGGTCAGCCAAAAACTGCTCCAGTTTGGTGATGCAGCCACCCTGCAGAGTTAAAAAACTGAGAATTAACAGTCGTAAAATAGATGACACATATTGTTCAGCAAGTGGCTCATAATCTGTTTTGGCAAATTTTCCCAATTGTTGCAGAAAACAAAAACATACTATGTGAGAAACATGCAGGTTTATTGGGTCTTATATGCTCCAGATAAACCAGACAAGAAGAATCACCAAAAATGACTTCTTTTCTCTTTATGGCATGTCACATCATGTTTTAGTAATATTCTGAATGTTTACATGAACGCCTTCATTATGATGCATTAAGAAGGCTGAAGGGTTAGACACCTGCAGGTTGAAAAGTTCACCTGAGCATTACTGTGACACATTCATAACATCATCTTTTATTCATTTGGAGTGAGCTGACTTTTACGTGAAAATGAAGTTTCAAACTTTGTGTTTTTCTCCGCTTTTGTCACTAGTTTTGTGTTTCTCTTTGTTACTGTGCAAAAACATGAGGACAGCTCCAGAAACAGGTCCCAGTGGAAAAGAGGTCAGGTGGGGGTTAAGCCAATGAGTTATTGACAGTGAAACTGAGACTCACTGGAAATGGACAGTGTGGTGCTACTCCAAGAAGTAACTGCTTTTACAGCTCGAAAAACTTTATTTGCTGCTTTTTTAGACCCTGTCCATCATTCCCTGGACTTGGACTAAATATGAGGCTTTTTATTTTCACAATTGCAGTTCTATTTTCTAGCTTTGTAAATATTACTTACCTCCACCTTGTAGATGTTGGAAGGGTGGTCTCTCCTGCCACACAGAGGGGTGATGGTTTTACAGCAGCTGTCCGGTACCACCCTGCCCTCCGCTGACACTGATAAAATGAAAATACTCTCTCTCCAATCGTGGGAGTTGTTGCTGCCACAGCACTTGAACTGAATGTGGAAAAAGGAGAGTGAAAGATGTGTTTTTTTAATTTTATGCTTACTCTTAGTAAAAAACATACATCCTTTTTCTTATAGGCAAGTTTCTAAGGTTTCACTAGGATTACTTTCTTTGGCTAAACCGAACTTTGAGAACTCAGATGAACTGGAGGAGGGCGCATTTTTTCCCTCAGGGGGAGAAAATGTGACTTCAGCTCAGGCTGGTTCAGATTGGATTTTTACAAGAACATGTACAAGAAACCCCCAATGGAAAATATCACGTTGAGCAATTTCTTGTACTGAATTTCACCATTTCAAAATGCTTCAGAGATTAGTTCCAGACCGAGTCCAGGAAAATGACTTTATAACTAATATGACATTTTTTGGCCAAGCTGGCTAGAGAGGAGAGTTGTATACAATCTTACTCCAATCAAACAAAACCTTAGAGGACCACGTAAATATAATCCATACGTCTTGTTGGAGTTGATCCACTGCTAATGTGATAGCCCCCTTCCCTGGCTGGGCGTAGTTCTCTGTCATAGTCTGGCTCAGATTCTGCTTCAGCTCTTCGCTCAGCTGGAATAGGGAATTAAGGGAGAGGGAGAAAGAGAGAGAGAGAGAGAGAGAGACACAGGGAGAGACACACACTGGGTGAGAAAGCAATGTCTACAAAAGGTGAGAGAGTTAAAAGGATGAGATTGGCGAAAGTGGAAAAGTGGGAGGATTAGGGCAAGATACAGAGGTAGCAACTCCCACGCATCTGTGACAGACAGATGAACAGTTCACGGCAAAAAATAGACTTCAGATACAGTCTTTGCTGTGTGTGCATGTTGGTGCACACATATAGACACACACACAGGAGAGAGAGAGAACAGAGAGTGAGGATGAGAGCCCTTATCTTTAAAGCGCTTCCATCCTGTGCTGAACCCTTTTCCATTTCAATAAACCTCCGCTTGCCTGCAGATAGCTCGGTGCTCTTTGCAGTGGTTGCTGACTGACAGGCAGATGCTTGTGTGATATCTGGAACTTAAGATCTGTGTGTGTGTGTGTGAGAGGAACTCCAGAAACGGAACATAACGCTCAGTGCAGGTGGCAAACATCGACGATCACGTATTCATATATGGAAGGAAGAAAAAAAATGCTGAAGGTCTACAGTCGAATTTCTCCTGACTCAGCATTTTCTGTATCTAATGATAAGATATAAAGACCACTAGAAATACGAAAAAGAGAGGAGGGTATCTTTATGCGTTTGATTTATCAGTCAGCAAATGGCATTGTTAGCTCTGCGGTCTGGGTTCCTGCAAAACACCTGTCCAGTTTTAAAACTCAAAATATCAGCTAGTTGAGACTGTTGATTTTTAGGCTTTATTATTTCCAGAAACCTTGATAAACAATTCATGCACATTTGTGCGTCAGTGATTTGATTTAACAGACGCTGATCAACTTGAAATATAAGAAGTCAGATGACACAAGCCCAAATTTTAAGCCCATAACTTTAACAATGGTGAATTGACAATGATATTTTACTCACCTTTTGGTAATAGACATAGGCCAGCACTCCAGCGACCAGCTCAATCAAGAAGATCAGCAACAGGCAGAAGAAATACTGTGGATAAGAAAAAAGACAGAACGGTGGTAGGAGTATTTTCAGTAACTCATCCAATTAAGTTGCCCCCCCTATTGACAACTCAATAAAAACTTTTTATCATCTGTCATCACGTTGCATCTTGTTGCACAAAAGGAGGCAAATCACTTAAGCAGACTGTGGAGTCTAATTTTTTTCAGGCTATTCTTTCCTGAGTAAAACACACCTGAGCTGAAGTGAGAAACAGCGTTGCCAGACCAGCAGCCAACGAACGAGGAACCACATGCACCGATGCCTGAATCACTTAGTGAACAATCACGCATTGAACTACACTCTCTGGAATCCTTTTTGTCGGACAAAACTACCTTTTTTTTGTTTTTAATTGCCAAATTGCCACCACGACAACTTGCATACAATAGGACACAGCATGTAACAAGTAGTGCATTAAACCTGCAGCATCCTATCATTGCAGCGGTTTGCGAGGGAACGGTGCATGTTCAGTTTGAATTCTTCTAAACGCTCAGTGAACGAATCACTCACTGAGCCCAATATACTGAGCTGATAAATGGCATACAACAGGACAGTACACCTAAAAAATTGAACCGAATCCTGAGATGTTCAGCTGTGTATCAGTTCAGGAGGTCAAAGTCGCAGGCTTCTCCCTCCAAGCGTTAAGTGATTCGGTGAACGAATCTTTTGAATGAATCTTTTTAGTGAACTGATTCAGTACATCTAAAAGAACTGCCGTGCCCATCACTATTCTATTTATGAGCAGAATCTGTTGTGATGAGCACTATTGCATGTTATGTAAACTAAGTAGCTGACACATCTCCCACACTTTTCAGAGTTCTCACGCAGACAGCTGTTGAATGAGAAAGACGAAAGCCTCAGTTTTCTCCTGCTTCAATAACACAAGGTTCAAATATCCTCAACAAGTCATGCTAAGGAACGCAAACAGAGAAGGACTTGATAGTTTGGTAGAAACAACATCGCTGTTTTACGCAAGATCATAACAGCAGGAGATGAAAGATTTTATACATCCTGCACAACACTGATAACAAACTGACTGCGAACCTTTTAACAAAGAGAGTGCTGCATTACCTCGCTGATTATTATATTACATCCAAGCAAATGTTCTCTTTTGTTTTGTTGCGATCATACTAATTATATTATAGAGAAACACCAGCCTGCTCTGTTTCTCTTGGATACAAGACTTTAAAAGCACCTCGGTCCCTGCGTGCCAATCGCCCACGCAAAATGCTAACTTCACCCGTTCTTTTTAAAAAAGGAAAAAAATCACACTTACATGCGAGAGTAAATTATTTATCTCCAAAACAGATCTATAAATACCACAACTATCTAGTCAGAAATCATCGAAAATGCAACACAGACAGAAAACCCTGTACACATCTACCTCCATATCTCTGCCTGGCCATTCCTCTCCATCCAGAGATGGACCTAAAAATACTCCTGCAGCTCTGAACATTCACCTTCTGTCGGCTTTTCTCCAACTGGGCCCTGTCTCTGAAAAATAATGGAGACACTGAGGACTGCCAGGCATTTTTTAGCTTCGGATCAAAGATCTACAACCAAGGGAAGTAGAGATCTAGGTGGTTACGCATGACTTAACCACCACAATGTTTCCCATAGAATTTGTGTGTGTGTTTTTTTTTTTTGTTTTTGTTTGTTTTGTTTTTTTTGGGGGAGGGGCATTGTTACCCCCACTCTCTTGCCACTCAAGGAACTACGCTGTTACATTCATGTTACCTTACACGCGCTACTCGCTATACAGACCGTGTATAAGCTTAAACATTACCCTTCACATTAGTGGAAGAGGGTCCGACAGGATTTGATGCACTCCTTGATGACTCACAACAAGTTGGAAATAATGTTGTGTGTTGTTGTGCTCACACAGTGCAAGTAGATATTAATGATCATGTGAAATTTCAGCAGCGGCGCACGTAATGAATGTAGGGGAAACGCTGCTAATACATATGAGTCCGAGGTAGAACCATGTGAGATAAAAACTAATAGTTTTTTAGGTGTGGCGGCTTTTATTTAGCCATGGCGATGCGCCACAATCAATTGCATGTAGGGTAAACCCTGCACCTATAGAAAACCCAACAGCAAGTATGGCTGTCTACAAAAGATCAGGTAATTTCAAGAGGTAGATAATCTGTTACTCCATGTGGTTGTTGCTGTGGATACCAAGTCCCTAATAGGGCCTGACACTCATGAGACACATGTCTATGTCCATTTCTTTACAGCTATGAACACAAATAAGCTTCAATAAAAACACCCTCCAAAAGTTCCCAGTCTTACCATGGACAGGCAGCTTCTCTGCTCCCGGATGACAGCACAACAGCCCAAGAAGCCTGTGACCACCACCAGGCTTCCAGCCAGGATGAGGATATATGCTGAGACAGCAAAAGTGCTGGATGCCAGCAGACTCAAGTAGTCGCTCTTATCCACCAGTGTCCACACTCCAACACCCAAGACTGCTGCTCCACCCATCTGAAAAAAAGGAGAGGACAGAGAGGGTTAAAAAAAGAAGGGAAAAAAAAAAACAGAAAAAAAAGATCGTGGAGGCGCAAAGTTTGTCAGAGGAGGGAAAGATGAAAAGGTGAGACAACATAAAAGGTATGAGGCATAAATAAATGGAGGTTCGATGCTTTAAGATGAGTCACAACAATTCTAATAACCCGAGAGGAATGTGGGCATTAGAGAGGTCAAAGCAAACAAAGAAAAGATAGATAGTAGGAGGAGTCCCGGCAAGAGATAAGGCCTGACAGGGAAAGTGAGACTTGAGTTTAAATCAGGGCATAATGACCACTTCCTCAAAAACATGCTGGAGAGAAGACCCAGGGTAGCATTCAAATCTGTTCCTCCCATCAGTTTCAAAAGCAGATAGAAAGGAAATGCCACAGAGCCTCTCTCCCTCGTCATTTTCCACTTCCATTTCCGTCAGAAGAAAGAGCCATTATACCCACAGCAACACATGCAAGAGGAGGAGGCACTACTTTGGCACATGAAGTTCCCCCAAAGGAGTCCTAAACTACCATGTTATGGCTTATTCAGTACTTCTTTGGAACAAAACAATATGCAAAGGCCAAAAATTTGAGCGGTGGGAGTGCCATAGTGTAATTTGTAGGACAATTCATATTCATAAACATGTTCAAAACAGCAGTGATGTGCTGAAACATGGCAAAGCAACAGCACCAGTGTATGAATCTTACAAATCCCATAACTTATATATTGTGAAAACAACCTCATTATGCAGCTGAAGTCAAAAAGAGAAGAATTGACATAAAACACTGAAGAGAGTCTGAAATCAATCAACAGGTCAGACTTCATGTTTCCCCAAGCCTTGTAATAAAGCATGATACCTTTCCTCTCTTCAAGTCCCCTGACAGAAGCGTCAGTCTCTCTCTCTGTGTCTCTCTCCACTTATACACTGTTTTCTCTTTGCCCAAGACTTTGAAAACGATCCAAAGTGACCCCCTGGCAATCTCCACAGTTGCTGTTAGAGCATTCACTCTAAGCAGCAAACTGCAGCATCATAAAATGTGCTGCCATCGTACACTGACAAGCCCCGATAATGTAGGGCTCACTTTGGGCCGAGTCCATGGTACGCTGAGCCATTTCAAAATCAAAAGTCTCCCTCTCTTTTTCTGCTTGTTTCACCTTGACCTTCTCTACACCTGCTGCCTTAAAGCAATATAAACCATCTTCACAATGTCCTATAGCAGAGAAAGAATCATGAATTCTCATTCTTGTGGGATAAAATACACCTTTTATTGGTACCTTAAGTCACGTCGGGACTTAACCACTGGTGTTAAAATTCATTGGGTTAAAGGAATTCATTTTAAAGAATGAAGTAATTCATGTGGTTTGGATATAACATGATAAGTTTATGAGTATTCACACAGTATTCATAGCAGAGGCTTTTCTTTAAGACTTTCATGAGTAAGTTACTTAAGAATCTGGAGTATTTGCAGCTCTCACTTACCCAGAAGAGAAAGTTGAACACAAAGAGCAGGTACTTCAGACACACAGTCTGCCAGTCATTCTGGTCATCTTTGTAGCCCGCCGACATTTTCCCTCCTCCAGTTCAATCCTGAAAGAACATGAAGTAAGTCAGAAGAGGCTGATGGACAGTACAGCAAAATGGAAGCTCAGAAGCTTTCAATACATTCAAACTTTCACTTTGTAGTTTAAGATAAGATTCAAAGAAACAGGGTGAGCAAAAGTAACAGAAATGCAAAACCCTAATCCACATACCCTTAAAAGTTACCATGCTGTGTAAAATGTTTATCAAAAAACTGAGTTTGGTGGTTTTGAAATCATTTAAACCAGTTGAAACTGACTCTCTTTTTGGAAATCATTGCATCCTTGTCTCCAAGAAGGGAAAACCACCAAGCTTATTATAAGCATATAAATCAACGGGCAGCATCAATGATGGAACAGGATACACAAGTGCCCATTACAAGGGTAGCTTCCCCATCAAGGTAGGCGAGATTAGTGAATAATTTACAGGTTTGCAGCTATCTAGACAAGGCCTTCTTTAGGGGAGACTTTCATATCACAGCAACACATTGCCAAATCACATAATGTACATATTACAACAGCACTGCCTGTGGTCTCAGCTTTTCTCCCATGACAACAATAGGTGCACCATTAAACATAAAACACAAGTGGGATCTTGAACTGTAAGGCAGGCAAAATCCTCAATCAGGCAAGAAAGAGATGACATTTCACAGCTCCCAATTGTTTTCAGAGCCTTAGCAATGGAAGAGGTGATGCCCCTCACCTCCTGAAGAAATGTTCCTGAACTGACATTTTGAACAGAGTCCAAACTCTTATTTGAGCTGGGGTTGTGAGTTTCTCCTGCTTACATGACTCCAAAAATATAGTCAGATCACAATCAAATACGTTTCCATCAGCTAATGCTCAAGTTTTGCTATAAATACTAAACTTTATCTGAGGGGAAAAGAGACTGAAATGGAATAAAAGAATAGCGACAACACTGACACTGACAGGTATCTAGGTGGCTCCAAATTAGTCTGCCAGCATAAACCTCCTCAAATCTACACTGAGTTTATTGTCAGTTGACAGCTCTGCCTGCAATGTGTGCCACAGTGAGCGAGGGTAATCAGAGTGATGGTTTTTGCAAAAGGGGACACAGCTGCCTATCAAATGTCACAACAAACAACATCTCAGAAACAACATCACACTGCCCTTTTCAGCATTTTGCACGCAAGTCAGAATAGGATCATATTTCCAATGTGGTAGCCCTCTTGACAGCAACAAACTCTTAGCCAATCATGTGCGACCCAGTGATAGTCCCAACAGGCCTGAGAGTAAGACTGGAAAAACCTTGAATCTGACTCTGTGGCACCACCCAAGAACATAATATCATCTACTACTGTTATACCCACATATCTTTAAATTATTCATATCACCTGGGCAGACCATAAACATCTCAATCATTAATTGAGCGCACAGTTACAGGTCTGTAAATAAAAGGCCATGGGCTGGGAGGCACTTAGGCCAATGAAATTGATCAATAGAGTATCCTTTAGTGGATAGCACCAGAGGAAACTATGCAGGTTTGGTGTTTGTCCTCCAGGGAGTCAAATAGGGGTCTAAAACTGGAGGAGCACTTTCATTTTGAACCCAGTTTTAATTGACACAGTGATGGAGGTTTTGAGCTGCCAAATTATAAAACACATCCTTTTTTGGACTGGTGGTGGTATCTATACAAAAATTACTTCAATTCACCAGGGTTTGAAGACACAATATAAATGGATACATGGACAGAGTTTCAGCATTAAAAGAAAATTGCTCTTTGACATTAAAGCTACAGTGCACAATTTCTACATGTCTGTAAATACCCATTTTACCCAAGCCGCTACAAGAGGAGATGATACAACACTGATTAAGCTGTTCGGCTCCTCTTAACACCTTGCGGTATCGTTCAGTATTTGTCCTTTTTGTATTTGGTGTCGGTGGTGATATTCCCTCGCTGACACACAGGAAATGACCCTTTCTATTTAATTTTACCTGACAAAGAGAAGGGTAGGAGAGGAGAGTGCTGCTAGAAGCAACATGTTGTGTAGACAGTTAGAGTCCATGTATCGTGATGAGCAGTATGCAGTGAGTCGCGAGTGTTACTCTCTGTATCGTGACGAGCAGTGTGCAGTATGGGTTGCACTGGGCCATACGTCATATTGAGGTGCTGGCCGTATGGTTGTAATAGCGCAGAAATCTTCTCAAGGTTGATAGAAGTTACTATAGCACTATAGTTATTGGTTTTCCAATTGGTCTGGAAAATCTGGACTTTTAGTGTGAACTTTTTACATGGTCAGTGGTAAATTATGCACGGTCCAGTGCTTCCTGGTGAGCTTCAAAAAGATACAGAGCTGTCAATATTATCAAAGTAAATCTTCCTTTACTTGTACAGGGATTTTAATCGAAACTGTACCTATACCACCTCTCTGCTGTAGCTTCTGCCCCAGGACCAGAGTATCTCTCTTTTCCAAACTGATTTTAAGTGCTTTTATTTTTCAAATTTGGATTAAATAATCAAACCAAATTAAAGTGTTACAAAAGTCTTTCCACAGATACATACTTAAAATTCAAGATAGCAGTGTTGGTCAAAGCCATGTCCTGAGACAGTAAATAACACTCAGTAACTCACCTGTGGTCTTGAATGGGACTTAAGCCATAACATTAATGACAAAAGAAAAATACTTCGGTAGTTGCTGAGAGCTCTTGTTGGGTTATATATTCATTTTCTGTTTGAAAGGTTCAGCAGCCCATTGACAGGGGTGGCTCTCGTAAATGTGGGTAATATCACAAAGTTTCACAACCGTTACGGTTCAAACTCGACGGTTAGTGCCAAAACAGCTGACCGTTAACGCCAATTTAAGCAACCGTTTGAAACTACGGTGGTTTTTTCTCGATTTTAAGTTCAGCCCCACCTCGATATTTGCGGACTTTGACCACTGCAGGTGTCCTTGTTTAGACCACAACCAGACCTGTAAAGCTGGCGTCGGGCTTGTCCCACCGTGGTGGTTTTACACTAACTTCCACGCTTCCTCTTTTTCGAGGACGGAGTGTAACGTTACGTTCACCAGCATCCTGGAAAAACCGCCAGCCCACCTGTGTCGATGATGCGCAGGGTTAAGTTTGACCGAATTATCTTTCAAGTACACCGACAAACTACCATTTTTATCATCCAGCTTTGCATACACTTACCAAAACCACGTTTGGTGCCTCGTTTTGATGCTATTACCGTCCAATCGAAAGTGCACAGCAATACAGCAGTGGGCGTTTTGTCCAGTCAAGCTTGTTGCTTCCAGAGTGTCCTACAGCAGTTTTGTGTGGATGCCGCCTTTGGGTGCTGCTCGTAATTTTGAGTTGTTTATCCTATCCAAGCATAGCAGGCTTTTTCCTCTACGGATGGTGTACACAAATAACGTCTCTCTTAATTTACCCTATGAGGAAGTAAACATAACCATCACTTATATAAAACTAAAATGTTAATGTGTTCGCAGCACAAACTAACAACCATGTAGCATTCGGAGTTCAATGTCAACAACATATTTAAACCAATATGAATCGCTTTAAACGCGTAACTGAAAATTACGAAAGAAAAATTTTACCGCCTTAAATTTTAAATACATAAAATATCTGAGATGTGGTGTTTTGAGGTAGATTATGAGGCAAAAATATTTAAATTCCCTCTCTACCACATTGAAAGTCAAAATTCTGACTGCCATTTAAGATGGCATAACGTGAACTTAAGGAAAGGGTCACAATAGAGGAAATACCATAGACTGTATATAGTATAGTATATACAGACCATGGGAAATACAGAGAAGGAAATAGAGGAAACACCATAGACTGTATATAGTATATATACTATATACAGTCTATGGGAAATACAGAGAAGGAAATAGAACTGCGAGGCTCCTAGACACAAACCAGGCTGAATACCTCCGTGCCACTGACAACATTGCCGTGGTTACAGTGTAACTTTGTGGGCCTACTGCCTGAAATTTTTCACAACAGGGTGCACTTGAATAAACTAAGATAAAGAGAAACAAAAAGCACAGACTGCTGTGGCCTCAGCCTTAAAGCTGGTGTGCAGGCTTATTTTGAACGTTTTTACACAGCGCAAGGACAAGTCCACTGACAGGGACAGCGTTAGGGATTAGTTCACAGTTTTTAAGGTACCTTCTAAGCCTAAGATTTTTGATTCCCCTGAAAAGCAAAGTAAGCAGTCACAGAGAAGTTCTCAAGAGAGTCTTTCAAGCACTAAACTTGATCATAACTAAGTGAAAATTCCAGTCAAAGCAATAAGATTAACAGTTTTAAACAACCCATAATAGCATGACATATTAAGATATTAATGCTATTTCATTTGTCCAGTAATTTCATTGAGAAAGAAATAATATAAATTATATATGAAGTAGGATAGGTACTGAATCCTTGTCTGAATATCAACATTTTCATGACCAAAAATAAAAATGGAAATATCTCTGTCCCAGACTCCACCTCAGTAATTCAATAAGTTTCTAGTCCATTAGGAGCAGATAATGTCTGCAGTGGGAGGAAATCTGCAGTGGTCACCTGGACAAGCGGCACTCAGTCTACCGAAACAACATTACTGAGCCGTGGATGCCATCCATCAGGTGAAACTCACCATTCCCAACATCTATATAGAAGAAAAACAAGATACCATTGTAGTCAAGGCCCAATTTGGAGAGTGCATGCCTTTTCTTTATATTTGCTTTGGTGAAAAATAACAGAACAAACAGACATATAATCCATTACATACCAGCGCCTCCATGTCCACTCTAGGTCTGCTGTACTGAGTTTATCACCTCTTGTCTTTTGCAGCTAAGCCCTGTAATGTTCAGTTTTGTAGTCATAACAACAAACCGTTATAGATATTTTAATATTTGTTAACTTGGCTGTGTGGATATCTTACAGGGACAGCTTGGTGTGTAAACTATGGTATAAATGTGTACTCAGGGATGAAATGTGGTGGGAATATGAAAGTAATGGATGAAAAATAAAAATAAATCATAAATCATCAGCACAGAGGGATTTTCAATTACAAACTTTAACAAAGTTACACAAACACTTTGTGAAGTATTTCATGGTTTGATATTGTTGTATTGTGTGTTCTAATTTCCTGGGAGTGTCATTCAGAAGTGCTGCTAAAAAAGTCTGAGCCACTGAGCTTCTGCTTGGAGTGCCTGACCTCTTGTGGTCAAACTTACGTAGAAGCCACAAGTTGGCCTCTTCAAAAAAAAAAAAGGTCCACTCTTCCTATTGTACAAACCTCAATTCCAATTAAGTTGGGACGTTGTGTAAAACATGAATTGAAACAGAATACAATTTACAAATCCTTTTCCACCTATATTCAACTGAATACACTACAAAGTCAAGACACTCAGTGTTCAAACTGATCAACTTGTTGCTTTTTTTTGCAAATATTCCCTCATTTTGAATTTGATGCCTGAAACATGTTCCATAAGGAGCAGGGACAGGGTCAACAACAGGCTTGGAGAATTGGGGACTGCCCCATAAACACATGTTTGGATCATTCCACGGATGAACTGATTAATTAGAAACAGGTGAGTGTAAATATCTGGTATAAAGGAAGTGTCCCCAAAAGAAAAGATTTTGAATATTGTTTAAGCCTATAACTTGGGGGGAAAAGTTGATTTTTATTGCAGTTAACTCTTACTTTCATGCATTCATGTTTTTCTTGTTATACAGTCATAACTTTTCAAGAGATTTTTAATTCCACTGAAAAGCAATGTTGGTAGTCAAATATAAGTTCTCAAGAGAGTCTCTCCAGCACTAAACTTGATTAACTGGTCAACTTTATTGTTTTGTTTTTTGTTTTGTTTTTTTGGTTGTTTTTTTGCAAATATTCCCTCATTTTGAATTTGATCCCTGAAGCACGTTTCATAAGAAGCAGGGACAGGGTCAACAAAAGGCTGGGAGAATTGAGGACTGCTTTAAAAACACCTGTTTGGATCATCCCACAGATGAACCGGTTCATTAGAAACAGGTGAGTGTCATTATCTGGTATAAAAGGAGTATCCCTAAAAGACTCAGCTCTTCACAAGCAAGGATGGGGTGACGTGCACCACTTTGTGAACAACAGCGTGGGCCAATAGTCCAACAGATTAAGAACAATATATGTTTTTTAACATACAATGGGCTCTATGCACCGATCCACTCATTCCTGAACTTAAGGCAGCTCCTTTATTTCCTGTCTTACATTATTGGACAAACTGATTAATCCAGGTGTGTCTGACTAGTCACAATGATCAGTCACACCTGGATAAATCAGAATGAAAATGCTGTCTTGTTTTGATGCATGAACATTTGAATTAGATTTGGGGTTTACTGTCATGTACACAGTTTGCAGTTGTTTGTGCAGTTTTGATCAATTATGAAACTCAAAATAAAAACTCCTCCTGTCTCTGTGTCACCTGCTTTGTGAGGCCTGTAAGTCAATCAATAGTGGTCAGCCCACTTCTTTCACTCATGACTCCTGCTTATGTGCTCCAGCCCCCACACTGATTTCTGTGTGTGTGTGCGTGTGATAGAGTGAATGCACACATTATCCTCGAGTGTGATGCGTGGGCTGGTGTTCTTAAGCACCACTGATGGAGCTTATCCATAACCGTGACTAAAACCTGGTGTGTTATATTTTTTTATGTTTTCATTAATGGGACACAAGTGTGCTTTCTTTAGCAGCAAACCAAATATCATATTTCCTGAAAGTAAGTTACTGCTGAATCCTTCGATGCGGTGTGAAATGTAAAGTGAGTGAGCAGGTAATGGACATGATACAGATGTAGGCACCAGTGGGACACTTCAGATTAGGGAAATTATTACAGCTATGAAGGAGATATATTTACCCCTTTTCCCCAGAGGAGGGTAATATATTTACTAACATCTATTTTTAACCAAAGCAGTATGATTAGTCCTGTATAAGGTTGTCAAATATGAATGAATGGGCGTAAAAAAAGGCAGTAAGCACAGGGAGAAGTGGTAAATGGGATTGGATTCATAGAGAAAGCAATGCAATAACTGATGACACACAGTCAGCGCTTTGCATCTAGCAGTCACTGAAAATTCGACTCCTCTTACTTCACAGTGTCCTTGGTTGCAGCAGAGCTAATGCTCTTTCATAACGTTTTTCTGTTTCAAATTATTATACATACAGGCTACAATTTTGACTTAATACATAAATGTGGGGGAGTAAAAGTGTAAAGCGTACAGCTTTAATATGGTGCATAGGAGTCAGCTATCCCGTACAAAGGTGGGCAACATGTAAAGTTTTAAAACAGTAAAACATTTGGTGCTTTTAATTATTATTATATGTGTCTTTCAGGCTCATTTTGATTAAAAGTTGAACTGTTTTTAAGCATTTTAACCATTTTCAACAGTGGCATTTTCAGTTATCCATTCAAACATTTGTTCTCAAAAGGTTATCGGGTTTTTCCTTATTTCCTGTGAGCACATTTTTCAAAAACAGATGTGCAAGCCACTGCTGTCAATAGCCCTGGAAAAAACCCGGATGTTTTTAAGTTGTGTACTTTGCAAAATACAGTCATTTTGTCACTTTTTCGAAACAGTTTTTACTCCTGTATGTGGTTTTTAAGGACAGTTGCAGTTCTCGTTTTTTGACCAAGTTCTCTTTTTTACCCTCTTAAAATCAGCTCTACATCAAAATTAAAGCTATAGCTTCCACTTTTTAAGAAATGTTTGATTTTAAAACAACTAAACACCTTGGAACTTTTGATAAAAAAAAATCTACATGAAAAAAATGCTGATAAAATGTCCTCAGTGTTTTGTGCCTGATTCAAAAGCTGGCTGCACAGAAATAATCATCGCATGTGACGAAAATTTTGTAATGGATGTGATGACCCACAACCAAGCAGCGACCCCTGGTTTTGAGAGATCAAGCCAATGTGAAGGTGCTAAAAACTGCAGTTCCCTGCAGGACCATTTTAGGCTGTCTGCAGAAGCACCAGAAACCACATACACTGAGCCAAAAAAGCCCATTTTTAGAGCAAATACAGCCATGTTTCCAGCGTGGTTCAAATGACAGTTTTGGTCTGAACAGATTGGAGCTCTCACTGTATAAGGAGTGTTTTTTTGTATGGCATTTATTTCAAAGTTATATAAGATACAATATCAGTGAACAAGATGAACAGGATTTTTTTCTTTAATAGGTAAGGCAGCCAAAAAGAGATTGCAGGGAGCAGAGTGGGGAAAGACATGCAGCAAAGGATAAAGACTGAGAGTCCAGGACCGAGAGGCAAGGACAATAGCTTCGATATGTGGGCTCCTTAAGCAGCAAGGCTATAGGGGAGAGTGGGGTAAGATGAGCCATCATTCATATTTCGGATCACTACATCTAGGCGATCATAGTTTTGTCTCTAACTAGTGTATCTGCATATATTTCAAGATGTTGTGCATCCCTGCAAACCAACAGAATGAGTGTAAACATAACTGTCATGATAATATAGCATGCCAAAAAAAGCAGTCTCCTATGTTCAGCTTACCCCGTGTATGGGGTAAGTTGACCATAGGAGCGGGGTAAGTTGAGCCATATCCCTACTACCCCCCCACTCTCCACCCCAGCCCTCTCTCACGTTCTCTCTCACTAAATAACAGTCACTTCTTCACATTCATTTGTATTTTTATCTATTATACGATATTCAAATGGTACAATAATTATTTTTATTATTATTGCATATAACTGCTAAAAAGCTGTTTTGTAAAAAGCCATTTTAACATGAGAATGTCTTTAAGTGATTCAGAACATTCACAGCTGTATTCTTGAAAAGAAAAAGTAACACATTTCAACAATCTGAACTGAAACTCAGATCCTCTCATCAGACTCCTTTACTTTCTCAGTTGAGCCACTGGCTCATCTTATCCCAGAACTACTATGATGACTTTATTAGTCCTCTAAGCTAAAATGGTGGACTTTTATGCTAGGTTTTTAACCTCATGTTTAGCTCATAGATACCATAATTGATGTATAAAATAAATTTAAAAAGATCTTTTTTGGTCTGAACACATTTCTAATAAAACTTATGACAGACTAAATTCACTTTCAAGAATGAAAAATTTTCCTTTTTTTTAAATAAATGTCTAACCCTTTCACCCATGTGCTTCTAACCTTCACAAACTCCATGAATTGATGCCCATCTCCTAAATATTTGGTCACATGATCAATTTCTTTTACCATTTTCAAGCAACAGAGGGTGGCTCAACTTACCCCAGTCTCCCCTACTCCATGCACACAACCATAGGGTTTGGCTATGGCTAAGCAGTGAGACAACCGACCCCAGTCTCCCCCCAATTTACAACAATTATCACCTGTTTACTCAACAAAAACTTCCTAGAAGTATAGCATTTATGTTCCAGCAGATTAATTGGTGTTTATAATGTTAGGGTTAGGCTGAGTGGAATAGGCTATATGCATAATAAAAATCAGTAATTGGCTTCTGAAACCTATAAATATCAAAGTGTACTCTATTCCCCGCGTTGTTCTGTTAAGTTCACCGGCATATGCTCCTGTAAACAGGCCTGTTGTAGTCTACTTTGTTTCCCAAACAGATGAAACACCTTGGTTATGTAAGGAAGCGTCTGAGGAGCTCATTGGCTGCCTTCGGTTGCCGTAGAGCTGGATTTCTGCTTTTGTGGGGGGAAAGTCTGCTGTGAGGAAGCATCTGTGGATTTATTTCTTCTTCTCCTGGTGTCTGTTATTATACTTTTGTCACGACTCGTTCCGAGGAGCTGTAGTGTAACAGCAGAGAGAGAGAGCTACCGTCACAGTTTGAAGCCCCTTCAACTTTCTCTCTCTCTGGGAAACCTCTCAGGACAGGACTGCCGAGGAAAAGAGCCGAGTTTCTTCATTAGTCTGCGATAGTTTCGAGGAAAAGTAAAGGAGATGTTTCTTCTTGTGTGGAGTTTTGTGTCTAGTGCGCAAGTGCCTCTTCTTGTAGTCATGGGTGAGACTATTTTCCTCGCATAGCTACTCTTCCTCAGAAATGCAAAATGGACAAGCAGGTATGGCTTCAATAACTTGGAAGAGGACATCTAATAGGGGCACCCGGGTGTTGAAATACCCTCTGACTCCTGCTGGGGTTAATCCTACAACCTTTCAGTCGCAGCACAGTCCCTCTCCGGCTCTGTCAGTCTGAGTCCTCCCTCTAAAACAACCTGTTTCACATCCACAGTATGGATTTTTCCACCTTTTTCCCACCGCGAACATCCGTCTAACAACTTTTCTCTGGGAATGGATTTAATTCGGCTCAAACTCTGATACCTTCACGTGTCTTGAAATGATTTTCATCTTTACATGCACTCCTGGCGTGTACTCAGCGGCTCGGTGTTATTTTTAACAGTTTTCTGCTGAGAATTTCCATCCTCCGCACACTTTAAAGAGTTGTAGCCTAAATCTCGTCGGCTCTCATGGGACTGAGGCATTCGTCGCGTTGTTTGCTGCTACGGCGGAAGATGGCGGAGGCGGACAGCTCGGAGGTAGGGACCTTGTAGTGTCCTGTACCCGGTAAAACCCGGACCCGGGACACTCGAATTACGTATATTTTGTTCGTGACAGCACACTTGTCTTTATTATCATGTATACATTTTTGTTTTGCATACTAACATCGCGAATATCAGGACCATTGAAGCACTATGATGGCGTGCAAGACGTGGAAAGTGTCTCCCAGCGTCCTGCAGATGTTACGGTTAACCATAATGCAACATAAGTAATAATGCGTACAGAAGATTTGCAATAAGGTTATGTGTTAAGCTTTGCAAACACGTTCTGGACATGGTCATGTCCACTGTCCATGGTGCTGAAACGGATTCTGCATCTTCAGCCGGCTCTGTGCTGAGTCTCCCGTCTGTGTAATGAATAAGACTGTGTGTGTGTGTGTGTGTGTGTGTGTGTGTGTGTGTGTGTGATTATTTTCAGCTTATAATACTTCAATTCACTGATTCTGCTTCTCTTTGATCTATATCAACGCGTGGGCAGGTCTACATTTGTGAATGCCTTCAGCTCATTCCTAAATAAAAATCATTTTGGACTTATTCTTACACTCTAAAAACTCTTGGATTATTTCTTCAACCCAATTCCTGAGTTATACGTGTTGAGTTAAATATCTTGGTTATTTTTCAGATCCATCCCCATTTCTTGGGTCATATGGATTCTATTGTAACCCATTTTGAGGGTTTTTTGAAGGGGTTAATAATTATGGGTTATTTTTCTGACAGTTACCCAATAATTGGGTCAGAACGTTGGGTTCGATTGACTCTACGTGGTTTGTAGGCCTAATGGCAATTAAAGTGACCTGATGACCTTGTGAACTTTGACCTTGATTTTATATACAATATGATATATACATATATATATTGGGTAGCTGGGGTAGCTCAGCGGGCAGAGCATCTAACCTAAGGGGGTTGGGGTTTGAATCCTGCATGAGACACATCTGTAAGGAGTGAACTACATCTACCAGTGTGGGTCCTTACGCAAGACCCTTAGCGCTATGGCGTACCTCATAAATATGAGTACGCTTACCATTGAAAGCCAAACCAGCTCAGACGTCGCCTGAGTTAACAAGGTCAGCAAAGCAAAGCTCCAAAAAAAAAAGCTCCCCAAATGCATATATCAATTTAACCCAAGATCATGATTCAAATTAACTCGAAGATTGGGTTAATTTGAATAACCCAACATTCTGGGTCAAAATAACCCAGTAATTAGTCGGTTCCTTTTCAACCCTGGTGTTTTTAGAGTGTGTTGGTCATTTATAGCACCTGAATCAACTCCCCCACTTCTTCTCTCTTATTGCTCCTGAACAGAGGCACCAGCCTGTCACATCTCCGCTCTCTCAGTCAGCCCAGCCCTCCCCACTGCCTAAACCAGTGCCTACTACCCACCATGTGCCCTGCATCCCCCATACGCCTCATGTAGCAGGCATGGCCACCTGTCCTGGTCGAGGCAAGATAGCAAAGTTCCTCAGCCCGGAGGAGATGACATCGAGGGACTACTACTTTGACTCTTATGCCCACTTTGGCATACATGAGGTAGGCAAGCCAGGTTTGAAAAGCAAAGAGAATGAAACCCCTTCTATTAAATCTGCATTTCTGAAACTGTCTAAGAGTTTGAACCCCTTTTAGTTAATCTGCCTGCTCACACAGACGATGTTTTATCTATATTTTAGTACCTATTGCATACTAATTGATGACTGTAATCCTAAGAAATGGTGTACTGGAACCAAAGGGGATTTAATCTCAAAAACCTGCTAAGAAATCAAAGCAAAGTAAACATACAAGCAATGAAACTGATAGGTATTTCTTTAAAGCATACAAAAAGAAGGCAAGATTGCTGATCTCTGTATTGATACTTAAAAGTTTACACTCTTTGCAAAATTGAAACACAGCTAAAGCACAGTTTTTACACTCATCCACAGCTGACTAAGAACCAAAACTGTCGAGCTATACTAAAGCTAATGACCTTAATTTAGGAAGGCGTGGTGTTGGAAAAGTTTGGGGACATATAGGTCTCCTTAAACAGTGTCCATATTTAGCATGTGGGTCAGGTTTTGTGCGCTTGCAGACAAAGAGGGTGTCCTGATTAGAGGAGTGCAAAGAAAGAAAGAAAGATGGAAAGTGGGATGTGTGAATGGGCTCAGGGAGATAGATACCAGGCGGTCCCCGGTGGCTTTGTGTTGCACTCTTGTCTATTTCAAGAAGCTCCTGTCAGTGTCACCAAGGCTTCTGGCCTAAATACTGCCTGTATCTGCCTCAACATGCATGCAGACTTATATGCATACACATGCAAACAAACCAGTAAATGCATAAACTGGTTTGTTCATTATGCTATTTAATGTGTAATTTGTCCTCTCTTTTTGGCCTCTGTGAATCACACTAATCCTTCCAGATGGCTGCAACACTTCAGCACAGGCACCATACTGGTTTACATGCTATTGGAGACTATAAAGAATATTATTAATCAAGTCACTAACTCTGAGTTTTATCCGTATTCATACAGGAGATGCTGAAAGATGAGGTGCGAACGCTGACGTATAGGAACGCCATGTATCACAACAAACATGTTTTCAAGGATAAAATCGTTCTGGATGTCGGTAGCGGCACAGGGATCCTCTCTATGTTTGCTGCTAATGCCGGTGCCAAACACGTGTACGGGGTGAGACAGAAAGAGACACCTTTTTTTCACTCAAAAACACTTCACAGTTTTGAATTGTATCATCCCTGCTTTCTGTTAAATCTCTACACCGGTGAAAACCCAACCATCCATTCAGTGTCCAAATTAATACCATATCTGGCTCGGCTGCCACATTATCTCTTATCTTTTGTCTCTCTTTCCCTGAATCATGCACACACATACTGCACCATTTAAAAAAAATCCTCTTAAGCGCTGGTTTCTTGTGCTCTCGCCAGAAATTGTTAATCTCTCTCAGACAGTCTTACACACAGAGGCAATAAAAGACATCTGGCCCCCTTGAAAGTCACAGGTTATACATTACCGGCAGTGTCTCTCACAGTTATGTATGATTCATATACTGTGTTGCACTTATGGATAGAAGAGCAAAATGATGTATGTGTTCCTGTGCTTCACATGGCCTGAGAAGAGCCAGCAGGGACATTACTGTGTGGATGGATTATCAGGGTTTGATTAAATTTGTCCTTGGGATATTACCCCAAAGGTTAAACTTCTTTACACGGGGAGGGGAAATGATGGCTCACAACATTCCTGCTCGCCTCTTTTGACGAGGAAGTAATGACTTATTTTAGACAAGGGGTAAACCTATAAATGATGTCTATATAACAACAGCTACTCGAAAATCCTGTTTGACTTTGTTCCCACAGATCGAATGTTCAAGTATATCTGAATACTCAGAGAAGATCATCAAGTCGAACCACCTACACAATGGTAAGTTAAGAGTGGTTTTCCAATACTTCTGCGCACCTCAAACATATCAGTCTTCATATAAGTGCGATGACATCTGAATATGAAGAAGCATGAAAAATCTGCATATCTCCATCATTACCGTCACACTCTGACAATATTAGTCACACTTTCAACGGTTAAGTGGCAGCTCGCCTCTTGATGTCAAATAAGCGTAATCTCTGCCATCACTCAAAATTCTCTAACTGGTGTTGATTGTAAAACGCCACCCCAAACTCCACAGATGGAGTATGGGCAACAGATGGAGTCTTTCACAGCCTGCATATGCGATTATCATTTTTTGCTTCATATTTTATATTTATATCCCAGGCGTTTAAACCTGATGGTCCAATTGTGTGTACAAGTATTAAAGCCCAGTACCCAGAACAGCTCTTTTATGTAAAGGCCATTATGTTATTATAGTAGAGAAGTGGCTGCAGCTGCACATAACTATCCCATAATTTTAATAACAACTTAGATAACGGTCATGTTGTAGAAAGAAACTCAGAAGTACTGGCTGTTGTGTTTATTCTAGTATCATAATGAAGTTTGGGAGCTCAAATTGAGGAAAAGGTTAAGTGTCATATGTTCTGGTATTTAGTTCTCCAACCAGCATAAAGGACTTCTTCTGTAAACTCATGATATCACAGTTTGCTTTTCTTTAGCACAATGTGTGTGTTTCATTATTCTGAAAAGACTGTTATAAATCAATACCAGCAGTTTATTTTGGGAGTTAAAGCTTTACTATACAAGCTATCAAAACAGAGGAGCTATTACAAACATTTTTTCTACTTTTTGATTAATCAACAACTTGGGAGATGATTGACTGTGAAAATCAGGTCATAATTTGAGTGAAATATCATTTACAACTCATTAGAAAACAACAGCAGCATCAAGATAGCTCAAAACAATTTTTGGCTGATAGTTTTTTAGCTTGTTCAGAACTGTAAAGCAGTGGGTGCGTTACCATTGAAAGCCAAACCAGCTCAGATGTCGCCCCAAAAAAAGCGAAGCTCCCCAAACTCATATATCAATTTAACCCAAGCTCATGAGTCAAAGCGATCGAAGACCCTTAAAAAGTGTTATTGTGTCAACCCAAAATTTGGGTTAATGTGAATAACCCAACATTCTGGGTCAAAATAACCCAATAAGTAGTGGGTCCCTTTTTAACCCTGGTGTTGGGTTAAAAACAACCCAAGTTGGGTTGGGTTGTTTGTAACAACCCAACCCAACTTGGGTTGTTTTTAGAGTGTTTTAGAGGTTGTTGTTAGTAAAGGGGTTTTTAGAGTGTGCACACAAGAGAACAACATAAAACCAGCATTTGAGCTCCCTTACCATAAGTGTGACACTGGCTACCATGTAGGTAAATATAGGACATTATGAGTGATAATGCTAAGAAAGCATCTGCTCATCTGCTCATGGCATCTGCTCATGGTGTGATCATGTGATTATCATCTGCTCATCATGGTGTGATACTGTATTCTGATAGCATACTGTCCCTCTGAATATCTCTTGCTTGTCCATTTCAAAGGTCAAAGGAGCCAAAGTAGAGAGACAGAAAACAAAGTCAGCCATATGTATGCAGAAAAACACACTTGCATGTGATTAGTGGGGTTATTAAGATGTACTAATTTGCAGAAATCCCTGGGCGAAAAAAAAAAAAAAAACTCATCTGCAAATAGAATCATTGTCTGATTTGCATTAATGTGATGAAGATACCGTGAAGTAATTTGTCGCCTGCTGTTCTGTGACTCTGCCCACCGCAGTCATTACCATCTTCAAGGGCAAGGTGGAGGAGGTGGAGCTGCCTGTGGAGAAGGTGGACATTATCATCTCAGAGTGGATGGGTTATTGCCTCTTCTACGAGTCCATGCTCAACACTGTCATCTTCGCCAGGGACAAGTGGCTGGTATGATGGGTGTAGTTCTTGTGAAGCCTCCTGGACAAATAAGGTTTTTGACGCATAAACACACCGGACAGTGATAAAGTAGAGAGGATTTATTGCACGTGTGAATGTGTATGTGTCTGCTGCTCATATGCTGTGGTCATACATGAGTGATTCGGTTTCTTACCTCAGTAGCTGCCCGCAGGCTTTAAACTCGGCACATGTGATCTTATATTACATGCCAGGTGTGTGAACAATAAAGATGATGGATGACCTTTGTGTGTGTGCATGTGTGTGTGTGTGTGTGCTCAATGATTCCTGAAATTTCTCTCGTTGGCAGAAACCTGGCGGCCTCATGTTTCCTGACAGAGCAGCTCTCTACGTGGTCGCCATTGAGGACAGGCAGTATAAGGACTTCAAGATTCATTGTGAGTATATATGGTAAAATCTCCATCTCCAACACTTTTGCTTAGTCATTCCTGTCTGTGCCTTGTTTGTGTCTTCTCCTCTGCTCCGTGTTGCAGTGCATTATTAATGACCACTGTCAGTTGATGAGAAATCAAATTAGATATAAAACAGTACAGCTGGATTTCACTGTTTGGCATTCCTCGTGAAAGCTGGAGCGCAAAGGTTTTGGTTGAAGTAGCCAAAATACTTAAATTACTGTGTGTTTTCAAACAACTGTTTAATGTTAGTCAAGTATTTATCTCTTTAAAGCTCTGTTTTTGTCTATCAAGCGGCTAAATAAGCCACTCTCTTCAATAGCTACTTCACTTTGTTTGCTATTTTATGTTTGCCATGATTATTTACTAGAACTTTTGTCTAAAACAGTGGTTCTCAATCCAGTCCTTGAGCCCCCCAATGTCCTGCATGTTTTGGATGTTTCCCTGCTCCAACACACCTGATTCAAATGATCAGCTCGTTAGTAAGCCATTACAGAGCTTGATAACGAGCTGTTCATTTGAATCAGGTGTGTTGGAGCAGGGAAACATCCAGAACATGCAGGACAGTGGGCCTCGAGGACTGGATTGAGAACCACTGGTCTAAAAGAAGCTGCTTTTGTTAGATAAGTAATGACAGAAATGTTTTAAACACTTGCTTACATTACTAAGGCTCCATTAGTTTTGTTGGCTCAACTCTCTGAATGACCCATCTAATGCAAAACATAGTTATTTAATCAGTTTTGAATGAAAACGAAATCAAAGTCTGGTCTTTTCTGACAAGCAATAAGCCATTAATACTGACATTTAGTTTGTCAGGTTGTGAGAAATTTGTTTGGTGTGATGTTTTAATTCAGACTGTGAGAAATGAGTAATTCAATAATAAAATGTCATAGATCTGACACCTTGTTTAATGAGCTATCAAGTCTGCTGTCATTAATGTGAGTAAGTGAATAATAAAAAGTGTCTCCAGCAAAATAATGATAATAATGATTTTGCAGGAGTGGGTTGAAAGGTGTAAATAAACTGATTAATGTTAGCTAAATAGAGAGTAAGGTATGTGACAGAAAAGGTTTTTTTTAGGGGGTTTTAAAACTTTTTGGTTCAAAGTTTTTACTCAGAAATGTCCACTAATAAAACAGAAGCTGTTTACCATAAATTAGCCACGAGTTTCCATGTGGAAATCATATGTTGGCTTTCAATAGCAGGGGTGTGTCCACACTTTTTGAGGGGGGTGGCCCTACTGGAGCACTGACTCATTAAGTATAAGTGCACGGACAAGCATATGAATGAGTGAATATTATTTATCTGCTCAGCTTCCACAAAATCATGACCACTTTAGCTCGAACATGTAGTTGATTCCGATCCTGCTGCTAACAAGGCAAATATCTAATCATAGTATGAGGTTTGAACAATCATATTTCAAGGGGGCCCCCCGCCGACCCCTTGCTGCACCCCTAGTCATTAGCCTGCTCTACTTTCCTCTAAATATACTCTTGTTTTCAAATATCTATCACTGCAGGTATGCTGAGCTTAGATCCAGGTAATGCCCCAATATTAAAGCTGCCATTCGCGTTTGTACTCAGCTTCTAAATCTGGGTTAGTAACTCCTACTGAGTTTAGTTTTCCTGCACAGGTGGTTGTCTTTGTTCTTTTACATCTTGACATGCATAAAAAAAAGTACACACTCTCAGATAAGTCCCAAAAGAATTCAGTCTACCCAAACCCTCCCGCCCTTATTTTTAGTTTCTCTCTGCGTCGGTGGCATTTTCCAACTTCTCATTGTTCAGACTTAGTGTTTTGGCCCTCTGACAAGGTAAGGTGGAGTGGAGGGACAGAGGGAATGGAGGTGGGAAAGCCTGCTTGGTGTGTTTTCAGCCCAAATTATAATGAAAAGCAAGCCAGACATGGAGGTGGAGGAGGCCTGAGTCTATTTTCAAGAGGGCTTGTGTTTCTCCACATTGGGGCTAGATGGGCGGATAAACAGTAAGGACTGTTTTCCTTCCAGGGTTAAGTGCTTTGCTTTGCTTCGGTTTCTCTGCTTACATTTTTGCACTGACAATTTGGCAGGAACAGAGAGAACAGTGCTCTGCAGGACTATGAAAATTCAGGACATTAATATCCAGACATTACCTGCTGTGTGCAAATGTATTCACTCGGTTTCTATGCCTCAGATGTGTGTGCTTATGAATGCACAGGGTGGGAGAACGTCTATGGCTTTGACATGAGCTGCATTCGCAACGTGGCCATCAAAGAGCCTCTGGTGGATGTGGTAGATCCAAAGCAGGTGGTGACTAACGCCTGCCTCTTAAAGGTTAGTCTGTCTCCTTGTTAAGAACACACAAGCATGAAAAAGACGTATGTACCCACGCCACCGTGTTTCTTTTATATTGTTTTGTATCTTGCAAAAATAGGAGTCTTCTTTGGTCTAACTGAGTGAATTCCTAAAAAAAAAAAAGATCACAGACAGCTATCAATCTCAGAGTCTCTGAACATCCCGAGTTGGCTGGGTCTATTTTTCTCCTACATAATAGAGGTATCTGTACAGGTGTAATAGTCTGTGGATCTGTTTCTGTTCCTGAATGTACAGAAGCGGCTTTTCCTTTTACCTCACAAATAAAAGGAGGATAAGAGCACTATGGGAAGGGATGGCTTTTTTTGTCGTTTGCCTCCCCTCATTCTTTCTATTAATTGTTTTTTTCCTTTGTCGCTGTTCCTTTATTTTTGCTTCATACTGTTTTTTTTCCTTCGTATGACCTATCCTGTCTTTTCCCTCATTTATGTCCCGTATCAATTTAAATTTCTGTTTCTTACTCTCTCCTTTCACATCATATTTCCTACATTTCACCCTCCATCAAATCCTCTGATTGAAACCATGTCAGGCCACACCGCTCACAGCACATAAGAGGCGCCTCTGTCTTGAAATTGTCATACAAGAACAGGGATTGAGTAAGAGATGTTAATAAATGGGTTTTCCATTAGTTTAACAAGTGCTAACCTCCCTTTTGTGCTCAAAAGAGTGATTTATGTGTTAGATTACTTATTTATGTCACGCTGGTCTGAAATTATTTCTCACTGTCTGTGTTTCTTTCACATGTGGGTCTTCAGGGCTTTTTCACCCTTTTTCCCCGCAGCTGACAGACACTTCACCCCATCTTAATTTAAACTGCCACTCATTCCCCACATGCTAAAATTACAAAGTCACTCCAGGGGATCCTTTTTTTTTTTTTTCTCATTTGCCGCCTACAATTCGCTGTATACGATACCAGCTTTGTATCATTGGAAAAGACAGAAGTGTCTAATCACAATCTGTCATACTAAAGCCACATGGCCGGGGAGGATGAACATGTTGCGCAGGAGTCAAATTTTCCCTCCAGTTCTCTTAAGAATAGCACCAAGTACTTGCAAAGCAGAGCCGCACCTGCTCCGCTCCTATTTTGATCCCAGTGTTCAGCCTGCCATGTTACAAAAATGGGATACTTAAATTTGTGGCTGTATTCATGAGGCAGCGCTTGATATAGACACAATCTAACACACAGACGCTCTGTTCACTCACTCAGCCTCCCTCCCTTGCAGACTTGAGGGAGGACACCCACACAGCATGTGTACTGTGAGCAGGCTTTGCTTGCCAGCCGTGATTCAACCTGTGGGATTTCACACACACATACACTCACACATGCACAATAACCATGGTGAATTATCAAGAAAGGATTGACATACACATGAACTGCATGTGTGGGGGGGTAGCAGAGGGAGGATGAAAACCTGTGTGCATACAAATGTAACGTCAAAGTTCATGAATAAGAAAAGCAAAGATGTGTCTCTGAGGTGAAGTATTTATAAAATAAAGTAAATTATGTCTCTTTTTCCGTCTTTTCCAGGAGGTGGACATCTACACTGTGAAGCCAGAGGACCTGTCCTTCACCTCAGCCTTCTGTCTACAGATCCAGCGCAATGATTATGTCCACGCTTTAGTCACATACTTCACTATTGAGTTCACAAAGTGTCACAAAAAGACTGGCTTCTCCACTGGTGAGTTATATTGTTGTACAGGTAATTCTTATTATGATGTCAACTTTACATTTTCTATGTTCCTATATGCCTAAAAACTCTAACTCCAAGCCATGTCACCACAACTGAGGTACCTTTCCTTGACACTTATACCTGTGGATGGGATTTTGACATTCTTGCACCTACGTCATGCTGTTGTTTTCAATTTTGCTCTGTAATTTCATACAAAGAAATATCTATGCAACTAGCGTTGTATAACAAAGCAATTACACAAACATAAAGTTACATGTTTTTTAACCCTCCTCCTGTGTTTGGGTCTGCACCAACCTGTTTTTGTTTTTAAATGCTTAAAAGAACATAAATTAGCTTTTTCGCATCAAAACTTTTTGATCTTGGCAGGAATCTCTATTTCAACACAATAAAAAAATAAATTGATTAAATTATAAAACACTCTTATTAGAATTATGGCACTTGTCCTGTTAGGGTCGCTGTTGACCCAGTTACATTAAAACCTAATCATTAGAGCAAAGGGTCAAAACCGACCCTTAACATAGTGGATGCATAGAAAAAGCTAAGACGAGAGGAAGGTTAAAAAGAAGGCATAAAGTGAGCCAAATAAGCACGTAGGTGTCCACTCTCTAACAGAACTTCAAACCTGTAGGTGTCAGAAGGAGGTAGGCTGGCGACCTTAAGGCCTGTGTCCACTAAAGAGTTTATTTTTTGTTGAGATTTCTGTGCTGGCATCATCCAGGATCTATTAAACTGAACAGAAAAAAGGATTGACCTGGACAGAGAGATAATGGCATATATATCATCCAGTTTAGTTCAAAAGATAACACCATTTACAGACTTCCAACTATATATTCAATTCTGTAGATAAGAAAGACTTTTTAGTGATGAATAGAATGAGCTAAAACCAGCCACATATAAACCATGTCAGCTGCAATAGAACCTTCACTTATTAACTTTATCCGTGGTAATAGTACAACAATGTTCTTTGTTTATGAACTTAAAAATATAAAAAATATCAGTTTAAAAAATATCTTACTCACCAATAGTAGAACCACAATAGTTACAGAAAAATACCCAAACGAAAGTAAATCAACCATGGAGAGGAGTAGTAGCCTGTTGTTCGTATGCTTTTCCCTGTTTTCTGAGTCCAGCTGCATGGAGCTTCGTCTAACAGCAGGGTTTGGCATTAGATGTAGTAAAACCATGATGCTACACTCATAGATTTCAGCAAGAAGCACTAATTGAGGCCAAGGGTCAGTAAGCACAAAAGGGAAGAAAAAAAAAAGGAATGAGAAAAAAAAAACAGTTTTTAGTGGCCACAGACCCCAATTTATATATTTAAAGAAAGTGTTTTAAATTCATAAATAACAGCAAAAATACTCACAAGTAGTGGATACAACTGAATATTGTAAACCTTTTAGAAATGCTGTGTTCATTCTGCTCGAATCGTTTTATGGAGGTAAATGTGGAAAGAATTTTGATCATTAGGTGAAACAGTCCTTAAAATGTTGAGAACAGAATCAAAGAACAGAGAAAAATCCATCTAGTATTCCTTTTTTTTTTCTCTAAATCTTTGCCCAAAAGCATGTTTGAGCTGTAAATAAATCTGTGTCTGTTCAAAGAAGTCTCTGCACTCAGCCTCTTAGCTCTTGGCTACACTCTGCTGGTGTTAGCATGAGCCGACCAGGTCTTCATGGCACCAGAACCACCAAACATTTCTGATTCTTGGCGTTGAGGGCGCCTGTCATAGGAAGAGTAGTTCAGCTGTTATGTAAGCTTATGTTAATGTATTCATGCATCCATGCTTACATAATGTTGTGTAGAGGAGGTTCTATGTTTGGCTGAGTCTGTTGGACCTGAGGCTGAGCATCACTGAGGGACTTCTTTCTTCTGGGTGACTTTCAGCTGCTCTGCTGTGAAAACTCCTCCATGTTAACAGGCCCGAGGCAGATGAGCGCCCAGTGGAACTTTTTTTGTAAATGTGACAATTCCCCAAATCCTCCTTAACTTCTCTTACTTGTAGCTTCTTCTTCTTTCTGCCACTTCTTGCTTCTTCTATATTCTCACCCTTACTTTACCCTCTCTATATTCTTTTTATGTCCGTCCCTGATGCTCATATTTATATTCTTTTTCTACCTCTCCTTTCCTCCACCTGCAGCTCCAGATGCCCCCAGCACGCACTGGAAGCAGACAGTGTTTTATTTAGAGGACTATTTAACTGTCAAGAAGGGAGAGGAGATCTTCGGCAGTGTTGCTGTCCGGCCCAATGAGAAGAACGTGGTAAGACTTTTTTTTAGAAAATGAGCGCAAAGTGTTCAGATGTAGACATTTATCGAGGTGTTTACTGAAACACTGGTGCACATTGATTTGGAATCAGACCTCTGTTCATTATCCTGTGTAAAAGGCCACAGCTGGAAGTGAATTAATGCTCTGAAAAGTTCCGATTTGTTTAACTTTGGCACGTCTAAACGCTAAGGACCACTATTTTAGAGATTAGGGTTAGTCAAGACATTTTTTGTTTGATTTTTTACATTTGGACAGAGGCAGAGCTGAGCTAGCAGTCAGCTTGTTGCACCGCAAACTGTAGAAATACAGGGAGTATGATATCTCTTCAAAAGCTGACACAAGAGCTTTACCTTGTGACTGGCTGAAGCTTTAAGCCAAACATAGATCAAACAAGTGAATTAAAGTCTTTGGAATGCTCAGAGTTCTCAGTTTATCTCTAAACAGCATTTTACAGTTACATTTTCCTTAGTGGCACAAGAAGAATTTAATAGACTATTATATGGTTTAAAGCTCCTGTGAGGAGTTTTTTTATGTTAATTAAATAGACCAGATTTCATATTGAGGCTCTTTAGTGATATCTAGAAGAAAACAAAACCATCAGTGATGAGACTGATGATGTTTGTTTTGTATATTTTAATGCCTGAAACCAAAGGAAGGGGGTAGGTGTCAGCCGAGCAGCTAAAACAACCCTGTTTTTACAATATCCACGTAAAAAATTCTCAATAAATTAGACATTTTGTTGTCAAATGTCAGCTGGATCAGATTTTTTTTTTTGAGGAGACACTACTAAAGCAATGACTGCTTTGCCCACAAGGGGCACTAAAAATGACACAAAGCAAAAGTTCCTCACAGGAGCTTTAAGTAATGACAATTTGTCATGTTTGTTTAAAGGCTAAGGCCCAATCCCAAACGTCCCCCTACACACTCGCCCTATACACTCTCCCTCTGTTTGCGCGTCCCCACGGAGGCTCTGCCATATTGAAAGCCGTCCCAAACCACAGAGTGCGGAGGGCCAGTGGACTGTTCAGCCCTTCAATAGCAAGTCTGCACCGGTGCACACCCCCAACGGGAGACAGGATTTGCAGGTAGTGCGCTGGCAAAAATGGAGGAGGAGGAAACAACATACAAATATAACTTCTGTATGTGTCCACCTTTGTCTTACTGACAAAAAAAAAAAATAAATGTTTTCCGATGGAGTGAGGAGGGCGTCCCATACCCGCCCATCTTGTTTATACACTCCCTTTTAAACTGAGGCGCACTCCACAGCTGCGAGTGTAACTTCATTACGAGTGACACTCGGTAGTGAAGGGCAAGTGTGTAGGGGCGGTTTGGGACCGGGCCTAAATCTCCTAAATGAGAGAATTTTAGTAAAAATACATTTTACTCAGAATCAAATTTTGTAATTCACATCTTTGTTGTTGTTTTTAGCGTGACCTCGAGTTCACCCTTGAGCTGGACTTCAAAGGACAACTATGTGATGCAGCCATTTCCCACGACTACAAGATGCGTTAAGAACAACAACTACCAACCAACTACCCTCAGCCCTTCAGGACCCACTTGGAGAGTCAGAAGGAGGGCGCACAGGCTCTCCACAAGCATTCCACTTGGCCAGTGAGGGCAGAAGCATCTGATTGGATGCCACCATGCCAGCACCTTCAGGATGTCATCAGAAGAGGCAAGTAACTGTCAGCAACAGTGCTATCACCTGCACCAACTCAGTCGACTCGGGCACATTTGAATGTAACATCCTCAATGGACCTGTCACTAGTTTCTGAAGATGTAATTATTTTGAAATAGAATGAAGAATGTGAAAAAGTTTGTGTATTGTCAGTGCAGCGTGTTAGAAAGTTGATCTGTGTGTGATGTTAGAAGGTCACCGCATAGTCACTGTCTGTTTTGCTTTGGTCATCTTTGAGATTAATTATGCATTGTATATTTGTATAGATGGAACAGTGATCAATTGTTTTATTTTATTTCCTTGCGCATGTATGATTTTTTTCCTTATTGATCTAAAAAAAAAGATAAAATGTTATTTATTTCCTTATTTAATTGAGGATGACCCACAACTTGACTTTGGTGCCAGAAAACCACAGAACAATGCCTCAGAACAGTAACAAACACAGATGCAATATGTCACGTACCACTTTGTTTTTGAACATCTGACAGAGAATGAAAAGAGATAAAAAAAGACGACAAAGAATAAAATATCAATGAGCAGAGTGTCCTTTGCTTTTTTAAACTGAAATAATTTATTTCACCGCTTTAATTAACATACACTGAACTTGATACATTCTGAGAAATTTAAACTAAGATGCCATTATAAAGATATGCAAAAAGCTACAGTATATTCCTGATTTATCTCTCAGTTAAGATTGTCATTTGAATAAATTATAATACATGATATATTTGTCATTTTAAATCTTATAAATAGCTCTAGTGTGATTTGGCGACATTATTTACAGGCGAAGCTTCTCCTCTAAGCTTCATCTTCTGAGCTTGACAGCAAGTTTTATCGTAACGTTGGCAACACTCCCTCATTTTAGCATTTCTGGTTAAGATGAAAACTGCTTACAACTTCAAAACCCAATGTCCAACACAGTGAACTGAGCACACACTTCACTTGCAGCAGGCCCTCCTCTTTACGGGCTGGTTACTGAGGATGACTGTTTTCTCTCTCACTCTGTCCTCCTGCTGGATTAATACCCTAGGATAGAGAGTAAACACCAAATAAGCAGATAAATTATATATATGTGAATTTATACCCAGCTAAGGTTTTCCTTGGACTGCACTAGAGTTATGCTGCTAAAAGCTTACAGTGGCCTGTCCCCACTTTCCTCTCTCTCTTTGTCTGTTTGCATTTAATCCTTTTGTTTTGTTTCTTCATCTATTTCTTCTTTTAGGTTTTTTTTCTCTCTTTTGCTCTACGTCCAGCTGGTTTCACCAGATGGCCGATAACCACTGACTGTGGTTCAATTTTAGGTTTTTGCCTATTAAAAAGTTTGTTTTTTTGTTGGAGAGCCAAACTACAGAAGATGAAAACGGCAGTGGATTTTTTATTTTATGCAGTCTTATCTCGTGATAACCACTTATTATTTCGTTATCTCAGCATAACAAAGACCATCTTCTCGTAATAACAACTCAATTAATAATGTGTCCACCATTGTTACAGTTATTGTCTGATTCGCTCGTGGAAGTTAAGTCTTATCATATTGAAAGTAAAATGTGCATGCGCAAAGTGGACCGTGTTGTTACCGTTTTTCATTACTGGTTTTTTTGTTGTTGTTGTTTTTTTTTAACTTAAATTTTATTTGCATTTTTTAACCTAACAGAAACAAAACATACAGTCATTTAAAGAAAAATATAAGTACGAACAAACAAACACAAAACATGGTGTCATTCACAGAGAAGAAAAGAAAATTGTCCATGTAGCCTCCATCAAAGTTGTCAATTTTTTAAAGTAGTGTGAATAGATTTATATTTGATCAGTTTTTCCCACTTTCAGATGTTTGTTCCTACAGTAAACCCCGGCTTATTGTTGCCAACAGGGGCTGTGGCGTTTCAAATATACCCCGCTCTGAAAGGCGTTTTTGAAAAGTTACCATTTTAAGTCAGCTAAAACGTCACAAGAAAACAATCTTTTTTATGTCAAGATAACGGAAAAATGTCATTATCACGAGAAAACAATCTTTGTTATATCGAGATAAGATAAAAAGTCGTTATCACGAGATAACAGTGCATTAAAAAACCCTTCCAAACACTTTCTTGTAGCAGATGAATATTTGGTCTTTTTACAAAATTGAACTAAGAGTGAGGAAAGTGTTGTGAGATATTCATGATTAATTCAAACCAAACGATGACTGATTCATCTTACCTGGCCAGGTGCGTCAGGGATTCAGTCACATTCTTGCCTGTGTAGGCGCTGACCTCAAAGAAGATCACCCTGTTTTCCTGCATTAAATATTCACAGAACGGCAAAAACAAGGCTGTTTTTCTGATTTTGTTGTTATTTTGTGAGAAAATGAGAAATCAAATTCACAAGCTCTGAGATTCACTCACATAAGCCAGTTGCTCAGCAACTCTGAATGAAACCTCCCTCTGGCCATCCATGTCCATTTTGTTGCCCAAAAGGAGGATAGGGACTCCTTCTCCTGCTGCTTCCTGAAAATCAGTTTTTTAATGATTCAGTCGAACATTTGTTACAGAAGACATTCAGCTGTATAAAGTTAAATGGAAAAAGGAAATAAGAAACTATATCACAATGGTTTACTGGGACTTCTGAAGGTAAGACTACCATTTAATTTTTCATTACAACCTATTTAAAGCTCCTATAAGGATTTTTTTATATAAACAATTTGATTGAAATTCATGTTGATCCTTTTTTATGGTGTACAAAAGCAAATAAGACCATCAGTGGCAAGGTGTGGGGTGGTAGATGCTGGCTGAAGAAACAGACACATTTTAAAATATTTGAGGGAAGTATTCAAAATTAATGACAAATTGGATGTTCAGAAGTCAGAGAGATGACAAGAAGTGTCAGCAGACAAAACTCAAGCATGTAAATGATAATATAAGCAAAAGCTGCGTCATCACAGGAGGCACCAAAATTGACAAAAAACAAAAGTTCCTCGCTAGAGTCTTAAAGCTCCTGTGGGGAACTTTTGATCTGTGTTGATTCTGGCGCCCTCTTGTGGTTAAAGGGGTACCTTCTCTAGTTTTGCTGATTTTGGCCTGTGCATATATTCTCTCATAAAGAATCTCACCCAGGTGTATTTTAACATCATTGCCTTGGGAAATTTAATCAAAGGCTGTTTTAGTAGCTTTACGGTAATCAGTCCATCTGACACCTACCCCCCGCCATCAGTTTTTGACAACAAAAACACTCACATAGAAATAGCCACCATTGTCCCTAATGCTTGGGTTTGCTCTTGTCTGTCATAAAGAGGCATCAGTCTAAACATCGGTCTGTTTTGGATCTGACTGAAAACTCCTCACAGTAGTTTTAAACTGTTATGAGTGATAGTACAATACAAACCTGAAGACATGAAACCAAGTTTTGGGAAAGACTACATATTTATCAACTCAAAAATTGTTTAAAAATGCTACGAAATTGTGGGGTCAAAGGTCAGACCTGGACATTGTTGAGCCATGGTTGCACAGCCCAGAAGCTGTCCTCCACAGTGATGTCGTACATCACCACCACACCATCCGCCTTGCGGAAAAACTGCTTTGTTATGCTGCGGAACCTGTGGATGTATTAGGATGTATTAGAAATGTGTCAAATCAAACTGGACTAATGATACATTATATGCAGTATAATATGAACACAATCCCTTTTTTTATTTAAAAACAGTCACACATAAGACAGGGTGCTGTTGTACTTTGGATTTTAGACCAGGTGTATGATCGGTAACAAAAGCCGGATTTTATCACCTAAAGAACATTTCTTCGGTGAGGCGAACACAGAGAGACTAATGGATGCTTTCAAACCCAGCAGGCTAGACGACTGTAATACTCTCCTCTCTGGTCTACCAAAGAACACAATAAATGCAGTTAAATCAAAGTACCTCAGCCCGAGTGCTGACAAAGACCAGAAGGAGAGCACAAAGTACACCAATTCTCAAAGTCTTAGCACTGGCTGCCTGTTGGTTTTCGTGTTGATTTAAAAGTTCTTTTACTTGTTTATAAGGCACTTCATGACCTCGCATCAGATTACATCTTCAGAACACTGTTACTTTATGAAGTAGAACTTTCTCTCAGATCCTCTAGCTCTTCTCTTTTAACTATTCCTCAGAATAGAACTAAAATATTCAGTGCTGCTGCTTTCAGTCAAATACACTGGAACTTCGCTTTTTCCATATTTGGAAATCAAATGTTTAGGTAAAATGTTGGACATCAAACATAAAACATGAGCAAAGTAGCACATGAGAATTAAGCAAGATTAATATGAGATTTGGTCAGATCGAGACATTACCAGACAGTGAAGCACCTCGAAAGGCTGAATTTGTCATTTTATTTGTAGTAACACGACTTTTTTGCATGGCAACAGTGAAGGAGGTTTCCAGAATGCTGGTTTCTGGAATGTTGGGGAGCCTTAAAGGGACAGTGTCTAAAATGAAAAGCCTCAGACAGAGGCTGAAATGAGTGTTTTCAAAGACAGCAGCCTGAAATATGTTAAGACATTGTTGAGCTGTAAATCATGAGAGACAATATAGAGCTGGAAAATGAGCAGAATACCTCCCCTTTAAATTTCTGTTAATTTTTTTTTAAGAGGGAAAACACAAGTTATGGTTCTGTGGCTTAAAATACACAAAAGCTCACCTCTCTTGACCTGCTGTGTCCCAAAGCTGGATGGCCACCTGCATGTTGTCCAGGGTCAGAGTCTTCACACTGTAGTCAATACCTGAAAGTCACATGGTTAAATCACAGTATACAGTTAAAATGAGATAACGTTTGTCCCTTATTTTCATGATTAGATAGTGATATATGTGCCCCCGCTCTTATTTTTTGTTGAAGTCTTATTTATTGTTCTCATCAAAGCTACACAGACAAAAAAAATGACCACCAGGGGGCTAAGTGAGGCTTCAAACCAACTGTGCCTCATTTCAGAGGAGAAGCGTGAAACAAAGCGGAGATAACGAGGCTTGAGTGAGAGTTGGAAAGAGATGAAAGCGACCAGGGAAAAAAAAGTCATCAGAAGTGACATAATCTGCAGTACAATGTGTGCCAGGGCTCTAAGACAGCCAGTGTGACTTCACAAGCCCATTCATGTGATGCTAAGTCGCCCTTCGATCCTCTGTGTTAGCATCCACAAAAAAGAAAAACACGAAACAAGCCTCTGACACTTTTGTGCACACATACACAACAAAACAAAACAGCAAAACAATGCAAGTGTAGTGTTTCTCTTCTCACCCACAGTAGCAGTTGTGGAAGAGTGGAAACGGCCCTCACAGAAGGAGCGGAGCAGGGACGTCTTGCCTACACTTGAGTTGCCAACCAGAACCACTTTAAAGAGGCGATCAGGGATGAGCAGCTCTCCTTCTCTTACCCTCTGAAGACAAAAACCCAAAGTCGGAGGGACAGAAAAAGGGTGAAAGTTGTTAATGTGTATTTTTACTGAGTTAACGTGTATTCATAGCCTAAAGTTTGGGGACGTACTTGCTGGGTTTCCTTCCCGACAGGCTGTCCTCTTGGGGACATGGGTGTCTTGGCTCGGTTGAAGTTGTGTTTCCTGGCAGGAGTGTTTTCTCCAGCTGTAGAGACCGAAGCATGACTCGAGGAGGGAGTGCCAGTGGCGTCTGCAGCTACGATGACACTTGTTTCGAAGTCGCTCTGATGTTCCTCTTCTTCCTCCTCGTCCACTTCGTCGTCTTCCTCGCTGAGCTGGTGCAGCAGAGGTTGAGGCCCTCCTTGAAGCAGGTGGGGCAGGTGGTCCTCCTCGATGGAGATGACTCTTCTTAAGGGCCACCCGTCTGGAGGGGAGTCCAAAACCTCCTCATCTACACCCGTCTTCTTCTGGTTTTCTGTTCTCTTTGCTCTCTCTCTGCTTTTCCCTGTCGTCCTCTTAACGGCGGCCATCTTTGAAGGGGATTTTTTCGCCTTTGCTTTCACATCGTTGGTCTTCGGCGTTGGCGCGTGGTTGGCATAGCCGTTGGTCAACCCTGAGGTTTTCTTTGCTGCGGGCCTTTGCTGACACGTGGCAGCAGCGCTTATAGTGTTTACATAGGACTGAGTGATGGCGGTTGTGTCGTCCTCGCTGCTGGAGGAGGAAGCAACAAACACGATTTGAAGGTGCTCTATAGGCAAGGCCTCCAGAGACTGGTAGGACCCATCCACCAACAGTGGGGCTCTTTGAAAAACAGAGGAGAAACAGAGGATATACTGTGTCAATTCACTTGTTTTAGATGAAAATCTGGCACTCAATGTGTCTGATTTTATTCTAATATAAACCAAAATGTTAATTTAGTTCAGTTGTAAGTGAATAGAATCAGATATCCTCTGTTTTTCCTTCTCCAACACATGATTTTCACATCACACCATAGCGGGTATCCTCCTCTGTCACCCAGGAAACACTCTAACAGAGATGATTTGTGTAAAAGAAGAATAAATCACCTTCTGAGCGGCTGACTGGTGTCGTCGAACATATCAGCTAGGCCCGCTCTCTGCTTCTGCTTCTTCCTGAGCGAGCTCCGTGGCTAATTTTAAACAAACAGAGGTATGTTATTTTTATCAGTCGGTTAATACAAAGATAGATGCTGCAGCACTGAGGTTAGATAAACATATACTCACTACTCCGCAGCATATATCTCGCTCATCTTTTAAATGCTTGTTCATCTCCCTGGGAGGAGGGAGAAGAGAAATGAGAGGGAGGAATCTGCTTTGGAAACTTGAGCATAAAGAGCCTCAGATTTAAGAGATTTACCAATTAAGGGTGAAGCAGAATCTAAAAAGATTAAGACTAATTGCAACCAAGGTTTGATCTTTTCTCATGAGATGCCTTTATTGTTACCTGAGGAGATCAAGCTGCTTCATGAGGCTTTGCTTCTCTCTCTGGAGCCCCTCAGTCACTCTGTACATCTCCCTGGAAGAGTAAAATGACAAACTTTAACACTCTACAGTCAGGATTCTTCTACATAGAGGTCATCTAGTATGAAGGTATACCCACATCTCCTTCTCCTGCTGCAGTCTTGCGGCCTGCTCCTGCAGCGCAGCCAGCTGTTCCTGGGCCAGCCCCAGCTCCTGGCTCGTGGTCTCCAGCGCGCGAGACAGCTCATCGTTGGTCATCTTCAGTTTAACGTTCTCCACCTGGCTCTCCTGTTTCTCGCTGTTCAGCTCCCGGCACTGGAGCTCTAACTGCAGGCAGAGGGAGAGAGAGAGGGGTAAATGTTCACAGGAATGAAGTGTTAAAGCTGTCAGAGTGCACTTGAAGTATATGTACAGTGGGAGCCAGACTGTATGGCTGCTGTTTAAACCCCTCCCTGCAATGCTGGTAATCTATAGGGAATGACTAATACCTTCTGGGCTCATTTTCCCCCCTATATCTTTTTATTTTCCAGTCTGTACAAAAGTCAGTACATTTAAGTCAACTACAGAAACACATCAGTACACTGTGCTTTTCTGTATCAGTTCACTCCCCTTTTCACAACCAATAAACAGCTAGGGCGATGAATATGCATAAATGAGTTAAGTAAGAAAGTAGGAAAATGATTAGAACAAAAAAAAAAAAGTATCCTTTGATGTTTTTTTCCAAAACCAAATGAAAGAGATGGATCCAGACACATCCTAACTTGTATTATTTTCCTTTAAAATAAATACATCCCTCTGCATCTTCTATATGAAAGTGCAATCTCTCTGTTGAAATTTTCTTCATTTTCAACGTACCCTTTCTCTCTTTATTTCAATAGTGGTGTGTGTTCAGTTTTGAGGAACATTAAAGCTACTATCAGTAGTTTTTTTTATATAAATGCAACAGATTGAAAGTCATAATGATGTCTTTTCATCATATCCAAAAGCAAACAAAACCATCAGAGACAAGGGTGACGGTTTCTTTAAAATCATTTTCAATGCTTGAAACTTCTACAAAGGGGGTAGGAGTCAGGCGAGCAGCTCGAGAAATAACCTAATTTTTACTAATTCAATGTAATCTGTTCACAATACATTATATAATTGACTGTTGAAAGTCAGCAGGATGAGATTTTTTGCACTACTTAACCCTTTATTGCCTTTTGTATTCTATTTAATACATAATTTTATGATACTTCTATATGATCAGCAAATTACTAAAAAACACCTGAATACAGTCCGATAAATGAAAAAAATGTCCTCTTGTGGTTTATTAGTTTCCAAAAATATCTACTGTATCAAACAAGATAAAAAAAATATATATTTGTTAAATTTTAAGGACATTTTGATTTTGGGGGTTTTCAGTAGTAAGTTAGAAAAACATTTCAGCTCCTAAAACAATTGAATTTTCTGGCCATAATTTGTGGTTTCAGGCATTAAAGGGTTAACTGTGTAGAGGACCAGATTAGCAAAGACAGCGTTGTCCACAAGGTGCACCAAAGTGAACACAAACCAAAAAATTCTCACAGGAGCTTTAAATGTCTACCAGTATTAAAATCCCGAAATACACAAAACTCACTCTTTTCTGCTTCTGGAAAAGATGCTCCAGCTCTTTCTCCTTTGAAGACAGTTGGACCTCCAGCTCCTGACTGCGCACCTGAAGGCGCTCAGAGTCCTGCATGAAAAACAAACAAAGTTAAAGATTGAAAAGAGAAGGCATAGGATATAAGTTATAAGGAAAATGTCCTGTTCTTTCACCAAAATGTTCAACTACCTTGCAGTAAAATGTTAAAACTACATGACTTCTGCGCTCAAATGGGAACATCTAGACTGCAGATCTTGTAAATCTCTTCATTTGAATTTCTCAGCACAAAGTGTATCTTAGCCTTCCTATAAAAATGTAAATATCTGTGGAAGAAGAAGGGGGATTAAATTGATCTTAAGTTGGCTTTGAAAAGTTTATTAATAATTGGCTCCGATTGAAACTGTTTATTCCAAAGATTATTATCCCAAAAACTATGGAATTCGTGTTACAGATAAATGACAAAGGAGCATTAAACCTGGACATTTATAAAAGTATTTGGAAAGGTTACTATGAGAATTTAATTTTTTTCGTATCAAAATCTCTGCATATATATTAAACAATTCTGCAGAGTGAAGACACAAACTGAAGATGAACTACTCATGAGTGAGACTCATGAGTAGTTCAGAATTTTCTGGCAAAATTCAGTCACTTTTTTAATAATGTGATCTGCATCTATTACCAGCTTAAAGAAGCGTTACTGTGTTTTTTCTAAAGGGGGGGTGGTGGCTTGTGTTTGATTCCTCGCACCTTCAGAAGCAGCCTCTCTTTCTCATTTTTGATCTGTGCCTCCATCTCTTCGTATAAATTCCGGATCTCGCTGTCGTGTGTTGCAGCACGTCTGCAAACAAGGAAAAACACTTGAAGGTTTAGGTGAATCAGTCAGAGATAGGATGTAGGATATAATATAATATCTAAGAACAGAGCAGCTTTGTTGTCTCGGCTGAGCTTAAAGGTTGAATTCTACCCTCGGTACCTGCAGTAACATGTAAACACAGGAACACACACACACATGTAGCTACTAAGCTTGATTTTCAAAAGAACACCGACTGGTATTTACATCCCTTCTGTCAATTGTTAAGACCTAAACAGCCAATTAGTGAAGTCTAGAGGATAAAATAAGCTGTACTATGCGGTACCATGGGAAAAATACATGTCCAGGTTCTACAAAAGCTTCAATCCTTTCAGCGCTCTGAACTTTGATATTATCTTCAAACATATTTCCCTGCATATAATGAAAAAAAAAAAGATTAAATACATGGTTTAATATTTATTATACTTCTCAATGGTTTTTATATCCCTTCAGGCACAACATAAATTAATTCTCACTCATGTAGAAGGTGGTCAGGCTTCAGATTAGTGGTCATGTGACATGGATGAAGGGTTGTTTTACAGAGACTTACAGGTAATTCCATACAAACGCTCTCAAATGCACAAACTCACTGTTATGTCATTTACAGAGAAAAACATTTGCTCTGTCTGGTTCTTTAATACTGTATGTGTGGGGAAACGAGTTAGCAATATGGCTGCCCCCCTCCTCTGAGCTCATCTTACAGTGTCAGGGTAAGAAAAAGCTCAAAAAAGCAAATTTGGAAAGGTATTATATGTCAGTTTGAGTGATGAGTGCAAAATCATTGGGTTACCTCTGGAGGGCGCTCTCCATGTCCTTCTTCTCCTGGTGGGCATCTTTAATCTGGTGGGTGACCCTGGCTAGAAACTCCTCAAAATTGGACAACAGATGGGGCTCATCACGTCGGAGCTGAGCCCACAGACTGCGCACCTCGCCTGGGCTGCAGAGAATCAAAAATCAACACCTGATCAGGATTTTAACACATAAAGGAACACTACATCAAATGATAGTGATTATACTCACTCTTCGAATACATTAATGGCCCCCAGGCTTTCCAGCAGCATACAGAAGTGCCTCTCCTCCTCGTCTTCAACTCCTGACAGCTTAGCTTCCCATTGGCTCTGATAAAAGGCCTCTTTGGCTCCAAAGACAGAGCCTGGGACCTGTATTTGATCATCAGCCACAGAAATCCTCCGACCATGGAGGAACTGACCTAAGATGTGCCCACATAGAGAGAAAACATGGGTGTATCAAAGCATCTGTTGTCAAATACCTCAGTATCTTCAGACATTTTGGCAATAGCATTAGCTTTAGCTAAAATGCACACTTCGATAACTTAGCACGCTGGAAAAGTTTAGGCTAACTCTAAAAGCTAATAACAGGCAAACAATATAAAAGCTAACTTTAAGTATTTTGACCGTAGACTGTATATAGAATGGACAGCATCTGCCTCCTCGCTGGGTGAAGCCACTCTGAAAACAGCACCCTCTGGTGACGGGCTGCAGTATAGGTCATAAATCCCACCTCTGCCAGACATCCTTATGGGGCTGGGGAAATTTTTCTCCCCCTGATTGCGATGTTGACATGTAGTTATTGTAAGACTGGTTTGTGCTCAAGTCCTTGTTTTTAAAAGTTATTTGGAGGTTCATGTTTTCTACGATTGACATTTGATACAGCCTATGGGCGTACAGAGACTGCGTAGCTCAACCGGGGGTACGCTGTTTGAGCCGAGCATCATCACAGCGACCCTCGGAGACTCTCCCGCCGAATGTGTACAATGCTACTGCACAAGTGGTGGAGTGCGAACAACGCTGCTGCCAATGTTGGTTTCAGGAAATGGAGAAAAAACGTGGAATTACCGAGAGCTTTTCGGCTTCAAATCCGTATACTGGTGGAAGGCAGAACCAAGTTGTCCATAGTATATACAGTCTATGGTTGTGACACGCATATTTTCACTTCTAGCCAATTCGGTGTCTGGTTAGCCAAAATGCTGTAGCCTCACCCACAAAGAAACAGCCTATATAGCATATCACAATCCATTTAGGCCCATTTTTTCATGCTAATCTGCTTTTACTTATTTAAATCACATTACTTAGTGCCACATTTGAATGTAATTTGATCCAGATTAGGCAGACTACTACAAACTACTCAAAGTTAATGTGAGCTGTATGATACTAAATGCTAAAGACCTGCAGGACACCTACTAAATCCAGAGGAGAATGCCTCTAGCGTGAGGTAGCCAGCATGGTCTGTATCTAAAGAGTCAAACACATCCTCCAGCTCCTCTGCAGACAGCGGCAGCTCTCTGTGGAGTCTCTGCCGGGTAAAAACATAAACACACAAGACATTACAATGCTGTTATATAGGGCGAAGGACAACAGACGGACAAGTTAGGAGTGAGTAACTGTCATGAGTCCGTAAATAATATCTAGATCTACAAATGAAACATGAAAATGATTCCCATGTGACTCCATGGTGTTACAAATCAGGCAGGATAAACACTAGCACCAACTGGCTGTTTCATGTGCAAAGCTTTTCTTAGAAACGCTCAACACAAACAACAACTGAAAAGATGTGATGCTCACAAGGGCCCTGTTCTAATTAACTGACAACACAGCTCGGACATTGTTAACACTTTGAAGAGGCGTGCGAGTATTGTTCCTGGAGTAGGTGTAGTTTTATGTGTGAGTGAGCTGAACCTATACTCGTAAACATTTCCATCAATGGTGCTTCACTGGCTCTAAGCGTGTTGAGTGGGTGAAGGGCTTCTTTAACAAAGGTGATGTAACAGAAAAAATATCACAGAATCATGAAAAAGCAGCAACAGTGACGCTGAGTGTTTCACTGCAGGGCACTACATTATGCTGCAGGTAAAAGCATAGGCCTAACCTTTTGTTCATCTTAGCCGAGGCTTGACGCAGCCATGAAATTAAAAGGGCGAATTGTGAGTGTGTCAGTGGAAAACAAAATTCTCTGGAAAAATATGAGGGGAAAAAACTAAACAGAGACTAGTTTGATAACTGGTAAAGATTTTTCTACTTTTTGCTCAAAAATTACAGGTACTTTAACTTGGTTTGTTTCCAATGTTTTCAGCAGATGTGGCTTGACGTTCACTTTTGAAAGTTGCAGCCAGTTTGTTAAGTGAAAACATGCTGGTCAAATATTTAAGGCTGTGATTGATTTGTTGTTGGGGGGGTATTGTTGCATCTTAATTTGCAACAAAACAGCAGTAAATAGTTTAGAAGTGAGTCTGAGTTTCAAATTCTAGTAAGAGAATGATTTGTTGATGACACATTGGCACATTTTCGAGAACTAATTGATGTCTCCTCAAGTAAACAAGAAAACTTGGCAACCACTAATCACCTTTGGTTGCCAGTTTCTTGAAAGAGCTGCAACTGGCACCATTTGAGCAGACTTAGAACACCGCTTTTAGCCAACAGAGCATGTATGAGTCTGATCTGTTTAACAAAGTAGTAAATACCTCCCATATACGAGAAAAACTTACAACCTTTGCTAGCCAATGTTTTTTTTAAACACAACCAGAACAAGAACCAAGATGCTGTGAGTTTGAATTAATTAGTACCAAATTTATCAATTAAAAGTATCCATTAGATTAGTATATCAGACTATAATTAATACCTCCCCTGTAAATTAGAGGAATAGGCAACCAATTCCTTACTTTCCGCAAAGTGAAATAGTTAATGGCACCATGGCAACCAGCTCTCAAGACCCAACAAATGACTTTGAGCTCCAAGAACTTCCACACAAAGTGTCATTGAATAAAAAGCTCCAATGAGGAACTTTTGGTTTATGTCAATTATCCTGTAATCTACTTATCAAAGTTGTGTTTTCCTGACAGTATTTAATCCTCCTGTCTTTTGATAGTCGAATGAATTGTTTATTGTTCATATTTTATGCAGTTAATGTGAGAACAGGGCTTTCCCTTCAGATACTTGGTTGACACCGACCCCCTCACATCGGTTTCAAGCGTAAAAATCAAGATCTGAAAATCATCACTCTTGTCACTGATAGTCTTGCTTGCTTTTGTATACCATATAAAGGCATCAGTATGACTTTCAGTGTATTTCACTGACATCAAAAAACTCCTCACTGGAGCTTTAAGTAAATAATTCAAAAGTTGATCTTCAGCCTACTCCCCCAAAAATAGAAACTCTGATCTCAAATAAAGTTCAGATTCACAGCAGTGCTCTGAACCTGAAAAAGCTTTCCACTTCAACAAAATACTGCAGAAAAAACACCACACAGTTCATTTCTCTGACCCTCATATCTTTGCGGGTAATGAAGCCTTTGCCTTCCACGTCGCAGGTCCTAAAGAACTCTTTGGTCTTGTCCAGCAGGGCGATTCGACCCCAGTTTGAGCTCCTCCTCTCAGGGCTCAGTCCATTCACCCGGTTCTCCTCCTCCATGTCTGGGACTCTTTATGTTCGACTCACACTCGGGCAGCGTGGAGTGCTGGTAGCATGTATTTCAGCTTCGGCGAGGGCTGGATTCAGACATTAGGACATCTTTACTGCCTCTGTATCCAGCGCTCTGGGGCTCTTACGGTCGCCATGACGACAAAAGCAGGAAGTAGCATGCAACGATGAGATAGCTGATAACTTTTTTATGGCTCCTTTTTTCACACTCAAAGATGGTTTCAGGCTCCTACAAGACAAAAAACAGTATTATAGTAAAATATGAAAAGAAAAACTTTTAAGAAATTGTTAAATTTGACAGTTTAAGCGCAAAGCCTCATATTTAGAGGTACAGTCCTCCTCTTAAAGGTTACTTGTTTGACCCCCTGCTGTGACCCTTTGTCAGCTGTCACTTCCCACCTTACATTTTCTCTCCGTCTTCAGCTTTCCTATTAATTAAAAAGGCAACAATCCTTATAGTAACTTGGAGATGTGACTTTTTATGACACTATCTAAAAATCTCATGTTACACAAGTGATCTCAATAATGCAAGAGTACCACACTTGCTCCAACTGAACAGTACTTCCTCTTTCTAACAGGCTAAGATCAAGAAACTCACAGAGGTATGTAAACACAGTGTAAAGGATTATCTTAATACCCAGCCATACAGAACACATGACAGAGTAATGCCTGAAAAACTGTAAGAGAACTTGGGTCAGTAATTTATCCCCTCTGTGCTCCAACTCTCTTTATTTTAATTTTTACTGCAACCTCTTGACTCAAATAAGATTTTGAAGTATTGTTTGGTTCAGCTGGGTTGCAGTCGTACTTGTAAAGTTTAAGAGGCATCAAGTGGCACATGAGAAGCACATGTTTATCTTTATGGTCCAATTGAGACCATTTGTAAAGTTTGTAAAAGATGTCAGAGTAAAAGCTCCAAATGTAAAAATCCCAAATTGAATATTACACATTTAAAATGTTTTACCTCTGAGAAAAACTTTCCAAACATGTAACTTTGCATTTGTCTAAAATCTTTCCCTTTGCTTTATTACCTCTGTCCAAATTTTAAACCTTATGAATATTATGAACAAGAAAAGCTTTGGATCTTTTCTCACAATCAGCACAATCTATAACTACTTACTACTTTTCAGCACCCCCAAAATGACTTAAATATACTTTTTCTGTAACATATCAAGCCTACTTTAATAAGCCAGATACAGATGAAAACAGTCTTACCTTTCACAAATGATGCACGCATAATAAAATCAAGGCTTTTTCCGTTCACAGCGAGCAGCAGTCTGAGCGGGCTCTGTGTTTAGGAAGTCTTGGCTCACAGATGAAAGTTTGAGAAGTCATTCTGCAACCATGTGATGTCATGAGGAACCAGCCTGAGGGAGCGCAACCAATACCACACACTCACACATACACACTCACACACACACACACTCTCAGGCGAATGCTGCTGCTTCCACAGAGTGTGGTAGGGTAAATCAGGCTAAACAAAGGCTGCAACATGTTTGCATCAGCTGTAACTATGACAACAGATGCTAAAGTACAAATAGCAATTAGCAACAAAGTTTTAATCTCATTTTGAAAGTGTCTGATTATATGTGTGCTTTGAGATTCCAGAGTAGTTTTAGTTAGGCGTGTATTTCTAAATTTTGATTTCATATTCAATAAGCTCAAATTAGATTTTGTTGACCATTTCAAGATAAAAGCAACTTAAAGGAAATTCTGATTTTATTCATTGTAAGAGTCTTACATGAGTATTCATATTTCACAGCGCCCTCCTGTGGTCAGAGATGAAACTGCAGCCTTGCAGTCTGTACTAATACAGTGGTCTCTATCATCTCTGGGCACCATTGACAAAAGTCTTGTTTGTGTTAAAAGCACAGTCCCAAACGTCCTTTATAAGAATGTCTTTGAACACAACATTTCAATCCGAACTCTTTTTCATTTAATCCTTCAGTTCCAGCTCTGGTTGTGGAGTCATTTTCCTGGTCCTTGGATCTTTTGAAGCAAGTACTCCATCTGGAGGTTCAGGTTGGGCTGTCCTTTCTTAGTCTTTTTGCTCAACATCTGATACGTCTCCATCTTTTTCTGTTTGTACTTCTGGATGGCTTCTTCTCTCTGCTGCTTGTTCTTCAGGAACTCCTGAGAAGTAAAATATGTGCAAACCAGCAGGTCAGAGTGTAAATCATGTAGCATTAATGGAATTCAGTACAACTTTAAATTAGGGGTCCCTATTGTGATAGTAGTTTGCTACACAACAAGGGGGCCATCTTTAATATCAGCTCCTGACCTGCAATCTAGGCAATGGCTGCAGAGTTGGTGGGTGCATGTCTAAGCTGCTTGACAATATCAAGTAACTTAAACTACACACAAAGTTAAAAGTTGTGACATGTGCATCATTTAAGACTGAAGGCGTATCAACTGGAAAATTTCAAGAGAAGGGAGCTAAATGGGGACAAAAATGTCAACAAATACTCTTGCCTGTATCCTGTCCACCTTGTCTTATGTTGCCTTAAATGGAAACACACACTTTAATGTGATTCATAAAACACAGGCAATAAGGGTGTCTTAGTTTAATTAAACAGAGGGTCAAGAACAATTTGAAATCATGATGTTATTTTAAGTTTCAAATAAACAAAATAATACATCACCTCTTTCTTCATTCTCCGCTTTTCCTTGACAGCCTCAAACTCCTCTTTTGTCTTCTGGTAGGATGTCTTCTTCAGCATTTTCTTCCTCATGCGGTTGCTGATTGGAAGACTGCAAGAGAATATTATGAAGGCAGCATTACTTCCCTTTTTACTGGAACACCAACAATACAACAGAACTGCACAAATAATACACTATTATTTGTGTGAAGTAAAAGAAATTGAATCAAGCAGAAAAATAAAAAATAAGACTGTTTTGCACATTTTCACATTTATTTTCTTCTTCCTCAAAATCTGCTGATGAGCATCTAAAATATTAAAATGATATCAAATATTAATTCAGCTCAAACATCTGATTGTCTACCTCAGTGTTACGGTGTGTTTGACCCTATCTTAATTTCACGATGGAATATCCCTTTAAGTACCGAATACTTAAACTTAATTTCCCAGCAGGTCGACCTAACCTGTAACACACTCTCAGACCTCACTCACCTTTCTTTCTCTGGAGCTCCTGGTCCCTCAGGGTTCTCAGAGACAGACTCTGTCAGTTCTGATCCACTGGTCTCCCCTGGATTTGAACCAGCAGCTTCTCTCTCACTTACAGCAACATCATTTTCACCTCTCTCCTCTTCCCTCTGCTGCCCTCTCATTCTCTGTTTACTCCTGTTCAGTCGGTTCGTCCAGGCCTCGCTCTTTAGTTTCTCTGCTTCAGCCAGGTACAGGTGCCTGAGATGTTCTGGGTATTCCTCCTTTTCATACAGAGATTTGGACCCTGGGTTCATTTTCCTCTCCTTCCGCAGAATTTTGTCATACCCATATTTGACTTTTTGTTTCCTCTTGAAAGCAAATCCTTGACCTAAAGACGGATAACAATGAATGTTTTATCATTGGACATTATTATTACATTACACTGGATACGGTGTGTCTGTGAAAATACGCACCTTCCTTGACGCTGCCTTCAAATAGTTTCCCCTCAGGGATCCATTTCCTCTTCTTCTTCACACCCTGAGCCTGATTTTTTGACCCTTTCCAGTTTCCATCTCTCACTGACTTGTTTTTCATCTTTGTCTGTTGAGTCGGTGCCATGCTGTTACAATCTCACCACGAAAACTGAAATGTTTACGACGACTTCCATGCGTGGCTTCAGCTGCACGGAAGTTCCTCACAAACGCGAAATGATGACGAAACGAAACAAGACATGATAATCAATTACGGAGCACTCGATTCCACTAAAAGTATTGTACCCATAGACTGTATAAAGAATATAAAGTACATACTGTATATACTATTAAGAATAGTATATACAGTCTATGATTGTACCACAGAGGCTCGTTGCATTCACTTTGGACATTAAAAATGTAGTAATTCTGCCTGGAAAGACAGGGCAAATTCTTTTAATCTATAAAATTTTCTAATATTTTAAAGATGATCGTTGGGTAAAAACTGAATTTCAGGCCAACATTTATATATTATTATATATTCTATTATAGAAATATATTATAATTATAATTTTTATTACTATTATTTACGAAAAACTTATCTCATACTTCAAAGACAATCATCTAGGTTATTTAAAAAAAAGGCAACCTTTTTTTCACAAACAAGTACGCTTGTCATTTTAAGATAATTAGCTTCTAAATTTAGGGTAAAAATGTTTTATTTACAATATAGTTGTCCTGCAATTCTGGGATAACTAACGCGCTTATTTGGGAAAACAAGGTAAATTTATTTAGCCATAATTTTCATTATCATTCATTCAGAAAAATCGTGGCATTTTTATTTACAAAAAGATATATCTCATAATTCAGAGACAATCATCTAGGTTATTAAAAAAAAGGCAACATTTTTTTTGCGAACAAGTTAGCTTGTAATTCTAAGATAATTAGCTTCCAAGCATAGACTGTATATCAGATACAGATCCGCAGCACTATCGATTACTCATGCCTGGGTGTCCATCGGCAGCAGTGGATTTCTGACATGCTTCTCTTCGCTCGTCTTTACTTCAGTGTTTAACATGATCTCCTCCTCACTTAGCCTCTCAGAAATTCAACACAGGATAGATGAAGTGAAGCGGTTTCTGTCTGTGACTCTCAGCATCGCTAACGCGCACACTGTGGAGTTTTACACTCATGGTGTGTGGGAGCGGTTTGTGGCCGTGTCACCTCAGGAAGTTCTGTCAACCATCAGCTCCGACAGTGACCAGCAGAGGGAGCTAGAGCACTGCGCGAAAGGTGAGTATGATTGCTTTTTTAGGATCAGACAACAGTGATGGATTTTAAACATAATACTGGGGTGATATTTTTATTTACCCATCCGAGACTGAATAGACTCTCATACTTTCAAATCACTCCTATAAACACACCTTTTAAATGGGCAACCTCTGACCCTCTTATAATATTTATATCACTACCTACTAGTCAACCTAAACTACTCATCATCCTCATAATTACTAAAGAGATTTATCATTAGCATCAACTGCCAGTTTTGGTTTGTTGATGCATTGTTGAAGAATTTCTGTTCTCTCTTTTGGAACAATTTCTGTAAGTATTTGACATTTTCATCAAGATACACAGTACTTTTGTAGTCATACCTCCAAGTAATTTTCAACAGTATTTATTATTATTCCAGGCTTTAAGAAATCCAATCTGTATATGGTTCAGGTTCTTTGGAGCATCAGTAGCATTGTACTTGTTCTTTTTGAGATTTTCTCCCTTTTTCCTCCCAAAACAGAAAAATCAAAGACCACATTTGGGTTTTGCAGTGACACAAACCGACTTGTTGATACCCATGAACTGCTGGAGGCGGCCAAGTCTCACTCTCTCCCCGGCCTTGGAGTCTGTATGAGCAGAGATGAGCTACTGCGGGCCCTTGGAGAGAGGGGGGTGGAGAGAGGTAGGAAAAAACAGATGAGAGAGGAGGGGACCAGTCAAGAATTGACTATCATAGTCCTGATGAATATCTTTTGTGGCGTTTTTTTTCCCTGGTCTGTGTAATCCAGGAGCTGAGCTGGAGCCAGATGAGTTTATGAACTCCAAGAAATCTCATGAGGTGCAGTCCATGTCAGAGGTGGTGGCCTGTTTGGCCCGGCGCTGTGGAGTCAAACAGGTAGAGGGAAAATTCAAACTTAGAACCCACACAGAGGGTTGTCGTGTCCAAGAGTTTGATTTATCCCCTCTGTTTGTCTCCCGACCCAGGTGATAGACGTTGGCTCTGGGAAGGGCTACCTGAGCTCCTTCTTGTCTCTGCAGTACGGCCTCCAGGTCTACGGCATCGACTCCTCCAGCACCAACACCCACGGAGCTCAGGAGAGGAACAGGAAGTTAAAAAAGTTCTCCAGGGCGTACCAGAAAAGCTCAAAGGCCGCGAGGGTGCAGGGAGAGGCCTCACATTCACCTCAGGAGGAAGTAGTAGAAATGAAAAGAGACGATGAAGCTGGGACTGTGGCTAAAGAGGAAGAGGAGGAGGAGGAGGAGGTAATTGGCTTTCCAGACATGACTTCTGCAGTGGAGAGGCCGTCAGAGCCACACCCAGAAACAGACGAGCTCTTCCTTTCTGCCCTCTCAGTGGATGTAGTCCAGACTACACCTCCCAGAGTTCCCCCCAGCCAACTGAGTGCCGAGGAGAGGGAGAGGAGGAAGAGGGAGAACCTGGAGAGGAAGGCCAAAAACAGAAGTCAAAGCACAAGCACCATGTTTTCCCCGCTCACATCGTATGTCACAGCCGAAACGGAACTACGAGAGCTCATCAATGAGCTGGAGGTGAGAAAATACAAGAGTTAGACTTACAGCTGTTGAGCGAAGTTTTATGGGAGATTTTAGACCATTTCTTTGATTTTTGAAGCCCTCGAATGGCAGATCAGCATCAGAGAGTTGAAGGGGATTTTAGTGCCCGCCCTCCACAGCCTGGTATTCACTGATCGTACATGGACAGTGGATCAGAAATAAGCTGCACCAACTCATCGCTGATGAAACACCTCACTCTGTAAGTTCACACTAAAAAGACCGCAGAAAGACCATGCAATAGTTCAACATTAACTGGACGTTGACGTCTACAAAGGTTTTAAGTGACCTATTAGTGGTAGCCATAACAGAGCTGTCAGGAAGTGATAGGAAACAATTGTCAATTGGTTCTCATATTTACTTTTTGGCAAAGATTGCAATTTTCTACTGCACACCACAGACTTTTTTTAATAAACTTTAACCTTTTTTACCTTCCTCCTGTGTTAGCTTTTACTACGCACCCACCATGTTAAGGGTCGGTTTCGACCTGTGTCTTAAATCAGCTGTAAATTACAGTAAAAACATTTCTCTATCATCTAATTTGGTTCTCATCTCTAGGTTAGCTTGTTAGGCTTCATTATCCAAGAAAACATTGCTTAGAATATTTTTTCTTAGTCAGTATACCCTCACGCAGACATCTATACTGAATTGATCTCACATGTCTTGACATGCATTGTTTTTTGTGCAGAGAAAAACACGGCAAAATGAGAATTTCCTAAATCTCACATGATTGGAAGAGGATCTGTTAGTGTGGTGCCTTACAGTGCACTAATGATTTCAGTTTTTGCTCCAATTATTAGATATTAATCCAACTGGGTCAACAGTGACTCTAACACCACAAAGTGCCATATTTTTAATATGAGTATTTTATAATTTAGTCAATTTAATTTTTTAATTTTATTTTGTTCAAATAGAGGTTCCTGACAAAGTCAAAAAGCTAATTTAAGTGGTTCTTTTAAGCATTTAAAAAACAAAAACAGGTCGGTGCAGACCCTGTAGTGATACCATAGGACTATCATTCATACAGTTAGTCTGAGAAGTTAGCACAATTTTGGACCCATGTGCAAAGTTTGGTTTTATCGTAGGAAGGTGGAGAATCAAACTCCCCTGCTTTTTATTGGAGGTGGCAGCAGACAGTATTCAACCAAAACTAATAAAAGCCAAAAAGTAATAACCAAAACCAAATACTAATATGAGAAAAATGACATTTGTAGAAACCAGAGGGATATACTGTTTGTTTAGGAAGCATGGGAGGTGCAGAAATGAGGCTAGCTGTACGGCTTTCCCACAGCAGCTCCTGAGATTAAAAATCTGCCACAGCGCCTGGAGTTTGCATTACTGGAGCAAGTGTGGGATGTTACTGTGGTGCCAAATGTGCAGCGCGTCATCATCAATAAATTTTGCCATCGATCTCCACCCCTCCGCTTCACTTACCCTCCTCTTTTCTTCTCTTCTTCTTTCTCTCGCGTGCTTTCTCCAAATTCCAGGATGCGGTCATGGTCGGCCTGCACACGTGTGGCGACTTGGCTCCCAGCACCCTGAGGATGTTTGTGGCGAAAGCCGAGCTGGCCGCAGTCTGCAGTGTGGGCTGCTGCTATCACCTGCTGTCTGAGGAGTTTGATCCTGCCAGACAGGGTAACCACACAAACACAGACTCACACACACATACACTCATAGTGGCAGTAACACTCGTATTCACACAGGCCAGAATAGATTAGTGTGTCTGTCTGTGTCTGTGTCTGTGTGTGTCGTCCTCTGATGGAACAGTCTCAACACAGAAACTCTTTTTGGTCTTTGTGGGAACTCTTTTCTGAGTTAGAGTCCCTTAATTCTGACTCGGACACCTGCAGCCTTTCATCACTTTGATCCAGTTTGAATAAAAAAATCATCCTCTCACATGGGGCTGAATGATTTATCACACTTGAATAGCGATCAAGACTTTGGTCAGCGATCAAGACTTTGGTCGTCCGTAGAATGAAAAAAATGCAACTGACTGTGATTTTGATGTTTAAACCTCATGCTCTTCTTCCCATAGAAATTTCCACTGTCTATTAAAAAAGGCAGCAGCTTAACTGACAGCGACCTCTGCAGTAGGGCTGCACGATATATCATTTGAGCATCGTCATCATGATGTGCGACAGTCACAACGCAGAGCCTGAGATGTAGGAGGCAATGAACTCATCGTATTTGAAGGGTAGCTGACCGAGATCCACTGCATGTGACTCTGCATGTGCTGTGCAGTGATCCACCAATCACATTTGTTCCTTACTCAGTTGCCAATCAGACTAACCTGCCAGCTGTCAATCAAAATCAGAGAGGAGGAAACCACGCCCCTGCACATGGAGTGAGTCGGTGTCACTGCCGATGTTGAGTCAAGAAATGTATGCCCACTGAGAATTACTTTCAGGACATTTCTCATCACTGTTTAGCCCAACAAATAAGTATTGTATGGGTTCTAAGTTGTACATTTCCGTGGACCACTATACTATAAATGGTGTGTGTTTTGCGAGGTGCATGCAATTCTCGGTGGGCATGCGTTCCTCTGCAAAACACCAGTAATAACGACAACGATTGAAAAATGAGCAACGAACAAGAGAAAACCACTGAAAATGAAGACTTGTTGCCAAAAAGAAAAGGAAAGTCAGTTTTCTGGAATTATGATGGAATTATGGAATTATTTTGGTTACGGGAAGAATGATGAATTATTGGCCCAAGACAGTGAAAGAAGCAACCCAGTCTCGCCCACCCTCCACGCAAATGCACAAATGAAGGGAAAGTGTGAAAAGAGAGGCTTTGAAAAGGTTTTCGGTTGACCAGAAGGTTGAATCAGCATTTCCAATGTGGTGGCTGCCATCGTTTGGCTTTAAAGCGGCTCTTCAGAAACCAGTAGGAGATATATGTGCTGTTGTTATCACCACTACAATATCATGTATGACAGAAAGAACCACCTGCCCCAAAAAGCAAGATTATCTCAACCTTTTAATAGAGAAAGGAATCAATCTGGACTAGTTTGTGGTATCTACTCTAGGCTTTTGGTTCAACCAAGCGTCCACACTGAAGAGATTACCTCCTTTCACCACCAGATTGGGGGTAAATTCAGGCCAAAAGGCAGCAAAATAAGCTGAAATCATCCTCATGTCATGCTCCTCCACTACCCACTTCATAAGCTATGAAATTTCTACATATGTCCTCACGCAGAATAAAGAGCCCCTCACTGAGGTTGATACATTGTCGCGTCATTTCTTGTTAACAGCTTGACCTCGCATCTTTGCGTCACCGAGACCCTCCATCGCTGCAGCCAAGAACAGAAAATGATATCAGGACGTCTGATTGAAAACACTCCTCTCCACGCTTGTTTCCTGAACTCAGGCTTAAATAAGTGAGCAAAGACATTCACGCTCACTCACATACACACTTGCACTCCTTTTCTGGCCTTACAGTGCAGTCTGGGATGAGGGCCAGCTCCTGTGGTGGCCTGCCTCACCCCAAAAAGGAGCTAAAGAGCTGGAAAGCTTCATTATGAAACGGTGGTTGCTCTATTATGTGATTACGTGATCTGCTCATTTAGGGGAAATGTATCCTCCATATTTAGCATCTCATGTGGAATCAGACAGGAGCCCAGTCTTAAGCTGTTTCCACCTAAGAATAACAATCGCAAATTTAATGTCAGCGTCCTCACAAAATATCTTACAAAAACATCTCAAATATTTGTCTTAATGGGAAGCCACATATGAGTTCAACAGCCTTTCTAAAATGTGGAAAAACAACCAACCAGCACCTTTGAGGCTCAAGTAATTGTACAGTTTGTTTGTTGTAATTGGCTAAACTTTGTGCTAGCTGGTGAGGAAGCAAGACAAGCTAGTTCATCATCCCAGCTCGCAAAAAATTTTTTGTAGGATGGTAGGGGAAGGTCCCGCCCTCCTCCGCCTCTTATTGGGTAGAAGTGCTGGGCTGCGATTGGTTATTCCTTATGGCTGTGACACGTCATCGTCTGTCGGGTTAGAGTTAGGATGAGGGTTAGGGGATTTAGAAGTAGTGATGGGCATGGCGGTTCTTTTAGATGTACTGAATCACTAGAATCAGTTCACCAAAAAGATTTGTTCAAAAGATTTGTTCACCAAATCACTGAATCATGTAGTGCTTGGTGGGAGAAGCATGTGACTCCGACCTCCTGAACTGATACACAGCTGAACGTTTCAGATTCAGTTCAATTTAGGCAGTTTAGCAGTAAAAAAAAGGTAGTTTTGTCAGACAAAAACAATTCCAGAGAGTGTAGTTCAATGCGTGATTCGTTCACTAAGTGATTCAGGTGTCGGTGCATGCGGTCCCTCGTTCGCTGGCTGCTCGACTGGCTATGCTGTTTCTCACTTCAGCTCAACTGAAGTGGGAAACGAACGAATCACTTGAGGAAGTGATTCGGTTCAGTACGTTCACTTAAAAGATTCAGTTCTTTTAAACGAATCGTTCGCCAGTGACACAACACTATTCAGAAGTGCGATAATGTTCTGTAATGCTCTGTTCGATGTACAGAGCCACCAGCTCACGTTTGGCTTGAGCGTGTGGTGAAGTTTCTAGCTTTTCTAGCCAATCAGAGGCGAGGGAGGCGGGACTTTCCCCTACCATCCTACAAAAAAAATATCACTCCCAGCTCATCATCTGAAGTCTTCAATAAACTCCAATACATTCAGAACTCTGCTGCCCGCCTGCTCACCCGCACCAACTCCCGAGAACACATCACCCCTGTCCTCCGAAAACTGTACTGGCTCCCCGTCTCATACCGCATACACTTCAAAATCCTCCTGCTCACCCACAAATCACTTAGCAACCTGGCCCCCACCTACCTCTCAGACCTGCTCCACCACTACACCCCCTCCCATGCCCTCCGATCCTCAGAGGGAAATCTCCTTGCCCTACCCCCTCGGACCAAGCACCGAACTTGGGGGGGACAGAGCCTTCTCCACTGCCGCCCCCACCCTCTGGAATTCACTCCCCAAACCCATCCGAGACTGTACAGACCCCCACACTTTCAAAACACTCTTAAAAAAACACACCTTTTTAAATTGGCTGTTAACCTGGGAACCGTTCTTTTATAGTCTTCTCATATTGTGTTTTTTTTTTTTTTAACCTTTTACATCGTTGGTTTTATTTCTCAAAATTTTCTGTATTTTAAATTGTGTTTTAATTTATTTTATTGTATTCTTTTTCTTTGTAAGGTGTCTTTGAGCGCCTGTTAAAGCGCGTTATAAATACAATTCATTATTATTATTATTATTATTATTTATTTATTTATCTTTTTTTAGATAGTCTGCAGTTTTATCAGCAGTTGAATCGCAAATTTTAATAATCAATTTGATTTTTATTGGAGTACACAAAAATTAATTAGTTCTTAAGGGTGTGAGGCTAACTTATGCTGTAGTTCTATCAACTGTGAAATCACAAATTGTCATTTTTACACTTATTTTTGTGAACTCAGCAAAAAAAGTGTCATGTTGAATATTTTTGAGCTTGAAATGAGCTGAAATGGGAGGGTTTTTTAGCTCAGTTTTACACCCCCTGATGCCTCCTGGCTTTGGCATCAGGTTTCACCAAGAGAAATAAAAGTGGTGTTAATTTTCTTATCTTAAAAAGAGCCTTGAAGTCGAACTGGTTTTGTGGCTACTTGAGAGAACACAATCATGTAGCAAATAGCTGAAACAGTCTTTCTGGTCCGGGTCGGATGACAGAAAATTTGTGGTTGTTTTTACTTTCCTCTTGAGCAAGTTGTTTAAGTTTCCTTGGCAAATATGTAAAATTCATGCCCTCTGATTGCTGTTGTTTTCAAAGCCGTCAATCAGTCATTATCTCCCCGTGCTTCCTCACAGAGTGCGCGCACAGTGTGTGTGGTTTCCCTCTGAGTCAGTACCTCCGCCACCAGTCCTGGTTCTGCGGCAGAAACGCCAGGATGTCTGCGTGTTTGGTGAGTTCGGATGACACCACGAAAAAATGTGCAGAGCAGCGACTTTCCTGGATAAACATGTTATTTTCTATTGTAATGGATGGTTCTGTCTGCACACATAGCAACAGTAATGAGCCGACTCGAGACAGTTTTTTACTCACTGTTGGTCACGATCGGGGCGTGCAAACAAGGAGCAATTTGAATAAGAGTGAAATTGTAATGTGATGAATACAACTAAAGCCAAATTTTAATAACACTTCACTTTTTCCCCAAAAAACAGGCACTGGAGAGAGTTTCCGTCGGCCAAGGAGTAAGTAGGCCTGCTCTCAAATTGTAATTAATATCATGCATTTAGTCGTCATTGCACAAGAATGTAACTGAATTGCCTTTTTCCAATCCATCATGACTTCATACCATCAAACCAATCAATCAAATCGCTCCAAACCTCAAACACGGGCGTTCACTATGGCACAAGTCTGAACTATCTTCATCCTTGATCTCTTTCATGCAATCAAACAATCAGCCTTTTTAATTCTGTTGTTGTTCTCCTCAGACTTTGATTCACTCTTGTGTATTTATTTGAAAAGTAGAGCTCGAGGCACCAGAGCTGATACTCGATACCATCGCCAGCCATTAATACGGAATGTTTTATGAATATTAATGCAATCAATGTGAGATTGATTACTTTTTGGAACCGGGGCTTGATTGCTCTTGAGTCTTACATGAGGCTTCGAAAGTGTCAGAAAAATTCATCAACTATTCGCACAAATGCCGAATGACACTCTAGGGAAGTTTTTTTCTTGAAGCAAAGTTTAATGATGTTGAATCGAGTTGGTTTTTTTTTTCCAGATTCAGATGGAGTCTTTGTTTTACCGAGCGGTTCTTCATGTTATTCTAAGAGATCACTACAGCTCCTTCAAAAGGTAGAACACAGCAATCGACATCTGGCATCATTTTATATGACAAATAACTGCATGTACTGTCAACCTTGATTTAGATTTATTATATAGATGTGTATTTTTTCACGGGAGCAGACATTAGCAGTGAAGATGGTGAAATAACATTTTAGATCACAGCCACAGGTGTGTGATGGTTGTTATTTCTTATTATGGCAGCAGCAGCAGAAGTTTCACTCTAACTATAGTGTGCCAAAAGTGAGCAGAAAAGGCTTGACTCTGATTGGCTGCACATTTCCACCATGTTTGATCTAGTAAATATGCTCACAGCTGATCACCGTGATCGAACTAATATTTATCACAATCATTAATCGCGATCATATAATCGCCCAGTCCTAGTGTATTACAGTACCGCAGCTGGCCAGAAGGGGAAGCGCCAAATGTTTTTGGTTTCACTTTTTGGAAGCTGTCACATAATAATTAGTTTTGGACAGTTTATGCTTCTATCTTTTTTTTAACATTTATTTATTCTTGTCTTTATTTACTTTAGTTGAACAGCTGTGCCTGTGAACAGAGGTCCTCTTTCACTCACGTTTGCTTTGTCATTCAGTCTCCAGATACAATTAAGTTTTATGATACTTTACATCCAAGAAGGTGACTCTGTTGCACCCCTAATGGACTTATCATGTTTTTTTTAATGAGTTGTAGACAATTTACTTGTCTTAAAGGACACCAGTCCCCCCACTGATCTGTGACTTTCATTTAATGACCAACACCCGAACAACATTGATTACCCATTACTCCGCTCTGAGCTGAACCGATTTGTCACAGTTGAGTCCTGAAGATGTGTTGAACTGTTCAATTCTGACCACTTGGAAGTGATCTAGAAAATAGGAGACACCGCTAGAATGTCAAGGGGTTCGTTTATTTGCTTTTCTTTCTTTTGGCAGAATTAAGACATTCATTGGCTGATGTTCGTATGTGTTTGCCCTGCAGTGAAAAGCGAGTTGGGAACGTCTACTCCAAGTCGAAATCATTCGTGGACTATGTTCATCGAGCTCTGCGCAGACTGGATCTGGACGACTCAAAGGTCAGGGGTAAAACATTACATCCTTACTTTTGTAGATTCCAGGCATTAGGATGTTGACGACTTCATCGTGCGGTTACCCTGGGTATCTATAGCAATGACGTATTTCTGCCTGCGTTATGTCACTGGCACCTCCAGAAGAAATAAAACCTCTTTTCTTTCACTTCACATTCACTTCAACTCCTCATCACGACTCCCTTCGTCCAACTTTTATTCTTTCTTGAATCTCTCCTCCAGCTCTCCGACAGCCACATCCAGGAGTACCACGACACTTTCAGGCCAAGAAAGGAAGAGATGCATGCCTTTAATATGGTAAGCTCTCTTTTTACTTTAACATAACTGGTAAGCCTTTTTATTATCTTCATGTTTCATCTTGATCCTATACTTCCCGCCTCGACCGCCTGTTTAGGCTCCTCTTTGTGTAAAACATTCCCATTCTTGTAAAATGACATGTATAATGGTAATAAAATGCACACCATTAAATGAGATCATGATTGTACAGAACGGGGAGAGAGAAAAATCAGCCTCTGGTTTCAGCTGAAGCCACTAATTGTGGTGTCAACCAATATAAAAATGTTCTCTCGTGACATAAAGCATTAGAGGGGTTTTTGGGGATCAGCGGCCAGCTACTAGAAAAGGCTACACTCATGGTAGTTTTGAGTGAGCAGGTTCAGTATTGCACTAAAGAAATAAAGGGCTCTGTGAGGGACACTAATGAAACGTAAAGTTAGTAAAGTGTGTTTTAAAAAATGTTTTATTGTCTGTATTTTTGTGCAGTTGAAAGTGACTCTGGCTCCCTGCATTGAAGGCCTGATTCTCCTCGATCGCCTCTGCTACCTCAAAGAACAGGTAAGGCAGTTTCCTTTTGCTTGAACAGCAAAAGACAAAACAGACACCTGAGAAACAATGAATATCCAGGGTACAGTCTTAAGGCTAAAACATACAGGATGCGTATTTCTGAGCATGGCAGCAGCGTAGCGTATCACGCAGCAAATAGGTTGCCATTCTAATCAATGCAGTAAGGCATACAGGACGTGTATCAGCTCCATCGCAGCATCGTATCAAGAGCAGCACTGCTAAAGATACGCAGCGAGTCCAATTTTGCTGCTCTTCGCTTTCAATGCGAGTCAATCCACACAGAGAAGCTCGTTCTAGACCAGAGGTCAAGCTCAAAAAACGGGCATGTCATTTGGTATTTCAAAATAAAACACCATATGCGAACTCCCGACTCTGTATCAGTTTGTGTAGATGAGAAATACTTCCTGGTTATGGATTTATCAGTAACACAGAACAATCTGATGGTCAATCCCTGATCCATGTAGACCCCAACAGGACTTTGAACTGTTTACTTGTCTGAAGGTAACAGCACCACATAAAGGAACATAGTTTACTTTATTAATTATTGTTTTTGAATAATGTTAACCACTCAACATTAGAGGAACACAAACATGAAATTAACCTCTGAAGGTCTCATGACAAATGTTTCATGACTTCCAAGGTGTGGTGAAATAAAAACTATGTTTCCTGGTTTTTATGTTAAACCAATGAAGTTTTATACCTAATTAGCCAATTTGCCCAGACAGATTCCCTGTGGTCTCGCTCTTGATTATAGACTCTACTTATGATGTAACCTAAGTAGTTTTAGTGGAATAACCCAAAGCAAGGCACTTATAGGCCTAAATCAGGCACTTAATGCAGTTTGACATCACATTCCTCTCTTCAAGTTATTTATACTAACCTTTTCTGATAGAAAAAAAAGTTGATTGGTTTTTAAGTAATAATAGAAATCCCTGAGAAAAGCAATCTTTTTTTTTTTAAACAGAATTGGTATTCCCTGAGCAAACCTGCAAAAACCCAAACTGTAAAATCATGTTGCTTTTTCACATATAGTAGAGGCTCAACAGTCACTGAATTATATCCAAATTAGCAGGAACTAGACCACAGAAAGCAAAAACAACCTGTTGAGAGCATGTTGTTTCCTCAATACTGAGCCCAGCTGACCGGGGCTGCACTATGCTGCTGCCACGCTCCAAATACGCATCCTGTATGTGATAGACAGGGCTGTTCAATGGAGCAAATACGGATCCTGTATGTTTTGGGGTTTAGACGTCATATAACACGCATGTAGTCTTAGTGATTTCATCCACTGGTTTCTGGGGAGATGTTAGGAAGCAAAAAAGTTGGTGGTCCACGTGTTAGAAAGGCTGACTCAACTTAACTCTCTTTGCAAGTCTAAAAACTTGCAAAGACATGGAGCTACAGAGGCAAACATCAATATCATACTAGTTTCTCATTCTGTTGGTTCAGAAATATAAATTTAAAAAAATATCACATGCAGTCCAAACATGTAACAAGTGATTTCCTTCAGCTAATTATTTTGTGTAAATCAGCCTAAATTAAAACACAACAATTGTTTTATAATGATACACCAAATTCAATTTGTAATTAATCAACACAGAGTGAAAACAAACAATTTAATCATGCAGCTCGTTGATTGGGACTTTATATTTGCCTCCCTGATAATGAAGGCTGGGGTTGGAAAATCTTATCTGAGATCTTGAAACCTCTTTGATTCAGACCACTGACAATAATACATGTAGGTGTGGACTTAATTAAAACCAGCCTGCATTTGAACATCCTGTGCCTGAAAAGCCAAAAACAACATGCCGATCTGCAGTCTGAGTCAGTGTGATGAGATATGAACAAACCAAAGCTTTGAAGCTATGATTACATGCAGAGCTGTGTGTCTGATAGACTTCCTTGTGATAGAGACGTGTAATCAAACGGGGGAACGACAAAAGCTCTGGTCAGCTTTCGGAGATCTCGCTCGAGGAGGAGAAGAGGAGTGATAGACGGATGTGAATTTGATCCACATGATGATAAGCGTGCTGAAGCATGTTGAGCTTAAAAGAAGGAAACACAGAAAGAGGTTTACAACGATCTGAGCAGCAGCTTTAAAATCACAGAAAATCACACTGTAGAGCTTACTGGAATTTCAGGAGTTATCAGGAGTTCGATCTATCAAACAAAAGATACACAGACTTAAAAGAACAAAGTATTGGTAATCACATTTTTAAACTTTTTAAAGACTTTCACGGTTCTCAGAAATTAAATCCCGCAGAATCCGTGATCCTCTGACTCTCCAGCCTGTGCCACCATGAGCCCGACAGTTGCTGTTTTTAGTAAACTTCTTCAACAGCATGTAGGGATTCTTACTTTTTGGAATAACATTCATGGTTCCCAGATGATGAATAAACAGATTTGTGGTGAATTTTGGTACATTTCGAAGAACTCAGACACTAAATGAAATTTGTGTTTGATTCATGACCAAACTCCTCTACCTTGCATCCAGAGTTCAAGATGTGAATGATATCTGTCAGCTGCAAAATTGTCTAGTTGTAGAAGTCACATCCAAACAAAGATAGTTTAGCCAGGGATATACGGACTACAGCGGGGTGACACAGCTCAAGGAAGAACATTTATGATCATTTCTTTGTCATTTCCTTGAATTAATAATCATATTAATCTTTTTGCACTGCAGACACGGTAGTTCTTCTGCCTTAGCGTCTCGGTCTGATTGCATTTACATGAAGAAATAATTATAAATGTTCCTCCGTGAGCTGTGTCACCCCACAGCAGTCTGTAATGAATTGGCCCAAGGTCTCACTACAAACAAGCAGCTGCTGGAAGAGAGGAGGTTAGTTGTGTTTAGTCTCTTTGTTAAAGAAATTAGGCAAAGTTATACAGATGTTTGTTGGCTAGTGCTGTGGCTGGGACCTTTTATGTACTGTTGATGAAGTTAGGTGCTGTTTTGAGCATTATTTGTGGCGTTTTGTTTGAGGTTTGAGTGTGGCTCCTCAGACCGCTGTGTATTGCTATCGTGCGGTCATTACTAAAGTTGGTATAACTAGAGAAGCAAGCGGTCGGCAACATTCATCTCTCAAGGGGGTGTCCAACTTGGTGTTACAGTGTGTTTGACCCTAAAATAATTTTATGCTGGAATATCCCTTTAAGCTGTTTAAGGTCTTGTATTGTTGTATCTTTTTTTTAAATATTGAATGTGAGGTTGTCTCGTTCTTCTTTATTCTATAATATGTAAAAAAAACAAAAAACAGTCTTTCTAACTTACTCAAAAACAGCCTTTGAATGGTCGTCAAGGCTGACTAAGAGGACTCCACCTGATCAAATATTTGCACAGATGCATCTCCACTGGGGGATCATCTAGAAGATAAAACTGCAATAGCTCGAACATTATAAGGAAGAGGGGTCACAAAGATTCTTATCTCCATGTGTTTTACATCCATGTGTTTATTATGATGTAATGTGTTTTTGTGTGTGTGTGTGTGTGTGTGTCCTTGTGTCATGTAGGAGGATTTATCATTCTCAGCACTGGTGCAGCTTTTCGATCCCGTGCTGTCACCAAGATGTTACGCTGTCGTTGGGCTGAAGAGGATGGAAGGAAGATGTTCATGCAGATGAACTTCTCCATATGAACATAATTATAGCACCATCTGAAGGAGTCGTAATTATTTGATTATATCAGTAATCAATCATACTTGAAGAATGATTGTGGTTTCCTTTAGTACTTGTTTTAATTAAGTTTATGATTTATTTATTTGTACGCTGTATCATATTCAATAAAACTGTATTTTTTATCCTCCACTGTTGTTCCACAATAAAATAAATCTTGAATGTTTTCAGAGTTTTAGTTCTTGACAGTGGGCTTCTCTGATCCCCAAACACATGGAAAAACTTTCAGTCTGTTTGATTGAAACGTATCTGTCTCAGTCTTTTGTCTTTATGTGAGGTGACCTGACTCTTGAGAACACTTGATTTTAAGGAGCATTCAGGGAGCTGGGGGGGCATGTGACAGGCCTGGAAACCCCATTTCAAGACTTCCAAACCAGAGGAAATAAGGGGGAAGATGCAGGGCAAGAGGCGCCCTTGACCCTATTTTACTCCTGTTTTTCTTTGTCCATGGTTTTTCAGTATATCACGCTCCTCTCACATGTTTGATAACAAATGTTTTAGGCTTGAGGACACATGAGTTACGGTTGTGGGAAACTTGCTTAAACTGATAGAAAGCAGACGAGGGGGAAAAAGTGGCAACACAAGATTTAAGGGACCATAAAACATCAAATGAGTTTAAAATAAGGATGCTGTGAACTTAATTTTGAAATAAAAATTGTTTTTAAAAATGTTTAACAGGATCACAAGGATTTTTGTAGCGTTTCAGGATCCTTAATTCACTTTGTAACTTCTGTTATTGTGATTTGTACAACAAGAAGACCGAGGACAAAGGTTACCAAGAGTTTAGGTCCTAGTATAGCCTATCCCTTTCAAAATAAGTCAACTGGTGATCGAAAATACTACTTTTATATCATTTTATTTTTGCAACACGATCAATTTATATTAAAACTTTGTTCTTGTAACATAAATAAAATAAAATTGCCCCAATGTACCCCTTACACTACATCATCAAATCCTGTGTAAAGTAAAGAAAAAATGATTTAAAATCTGAAGACCCAGGTTAAAAAAATTAATTATTTAATAATCTGCTCCAAGTTATGAATAAATGATTAACATGTTGAGCCAAAGGTTCAACATCACTGAGATTGTTACCTAAAAATTTCCTGGGAAATAGCTAAAAGAAGGATCAGGTTGAATATTAATGTTGCAAAAAGGAAGAAATAAAAGGTCAAAATGTTGGAATTAACTTGTATATCTAAGATTTATTTATAAAAAGTATACTTTTAAAAGATATTGATATTGTTAGAAAGAGTTAAATGATAACCCTTTATTGCCTGACACCACAAATTATGGCCAGAAAATTCAAAATTGTTTGGCGCTGAATTGTTTGTTTCACTTACTATTGAAAACCAAAAAAAAAATCAAAATGTCCTTAAAATTTAACAAATATATTTATTTATCTTGTTTGATACATTAGATGTTTTTGGAAACTGATTAACCACAAGAGGACATCTTTATCATTTATCGGACTGTATTCAGGTGTTTTCTTTAAGTAATTTGTTGATCATATTGATTTGATAGAAGTATATAAAAGTATGTATCAAATATGATACAAAAGACATTAGAGGGTTAAATGGCTAAATGTTAAAAACATCAATTACCTGCAACCTTTAGCTGTACCAAATTGAAAAGATAGCAGTTAAACAAAATCTATCAATATCACCACATTTGTATTAATATTTAAACAAATCTAGTGTATGATAACTACATATGAACATATATGGCTCATATTAAATTGATCTGTCATAGGCTACCTAATATCAAAGATTACAAATATAGATGTCCAATCTGAGCCTGAAATATATGATCTGATTTACTTTCTGAAGGACTTATGCTGGTGCAAACTTTCTCCCTTTCCCCCGTCACATATTTCACTGTAACTATTATTTGTCTGTCTCTGTGGCAGCCCGCCCGGACATAGGCACATAAGTTCTTGCTCTAAAACCGTGTCCAAGAGATTTATTTTTATCTGGTTGAAAAACAGATGATGAGGCTCTGCACTGTGTCTGGACCGTGTTTGGATCCAGCTCCTTGTTTTGCACTGACAGGCCACTCTGGCCAAACCAGCCTGACACGAATGCAAGCTATTCAAGATGTGAAACGCGGCTTGTTTTGGGATATAAATGTTGCTTGGTTTTTGTTGTGGCTCAGTGAGTCACGTCCTGCCAACCTGTCCTGCCCTTGGTGCTTGCACGCATGTTTGCGCACATATGTACATATAAACACGCCCTTGCAAAGTGTCTTTCATGTTCCCACATTGAGGACGTGGGTTGATAAAAAGCTGCTGCAACTACAAACTGCAGGAAAAATAATTGCAAAGGTTATCCAGACCGTAAAGCAGATTAATAACAATCACCTGACTTTGCATTAAGAAGAAGACAGGAAAAACAGTTTCAGGATGTGATGAAGGCTCAAAGACACAAATAGTCTCCATTGGGATTTATTCAAGACAATACCATCTCTGATGACTTTACATTACAAGGTAGGTATGAGTGGAAACAGGGAGGAAGCGTTCGGAGTGCGTCAGACACTTCAAACCCTTTGCTCTAGTCCCTGTTTCTCACGCTGGTGTCTGGATATGAATCAAGTTCCTGCCACCCTCTTTAAATGAGAAATCATCGCAGAGTTCTTCCAAATTTCTAAACAGGAAGGGTCATACTTTTCAAATAAACAGACTTCATACTATACGTCTCAGTTATAAGCCGCTGAGTGAGGGGTTTTGGACTGAAAGACAGTCTTTTCGTGTAAATACGTGCTGGCTTTTGGTGAATAAATCAGGGTAAATAAGAATTACAATCATGCTGATCCATGCTTATACATGCATATAATGTTACAGTGTTGATAGACCAAACTAAACCACTGAAAATGATATTACATGAGACACAGCTAGTCTCAGACATTTTCTGTAAAGGCGCAAAGTTGGTGTTGCTTTATGACCTCAAAGTTGTGTAAAAAGTAACACCCACAAGCTGTGTCTAACTTCCTATCGATGGGAAAGCTGCAAAAAGAAGTGTCTCAGCGTTTCAGGCAGCAGGTGACAGGCATTCGAATGAGGGTTTTCATGGTTGCTAATAGAAGACAAATAATGAGCGTTTGAAGGAGGAAATCATGCTCTTGAGGTGTCCCAGATTGGCATAATGAAAGATGAAAATAACTGAAGTAGGTCTACTTTAATTTATGGACTCTTAAATAGCTTCTCCATGACTTAGAGTCTACTTTAACCACCTTCCTCACTATCTTTATGTCTTTTATTTGAGAGTAACCATCATATTGTCCCTTTTTAAACACTTGAAGCACAAACTGTGATTTCTTTTTTTGGCAGTAGTCAGAGAGGAAGGTGCCAGGAAGCGGCCCAGGCTGCCATCATCCTGCCCCACCAGTGACAAACACACTACATTCCTCTGCCAGATGCCCTGCTTGTGCAAAAGTGGGGATTTGGCTGGATGTCGAGCCCGTCACATAATGCTTGTTTTAGATTAAAATCGCTGTCACTACCTCATGCCAATGCAGATTTATGCCCAGTAGAGCCTGATGGTAAAAAATGGATCTAACACCTGTCAAGGATGCATCTGTGGTTGTGTAAACAGGAACATCAAGATGGTTTAATGTTTGCCTCGATGTCAAGAAACACTTGAGGAACATGCAGATGTTGTTTTCACTGTTTTCAATCCCAAATTTCCAATAACAAAACTCGTCCCTGTGATTCATATTTTCCAGTTGCTGTAGTTTGCTCATTTTTAAGCAAGGTTGTTTAGTTTAATATCAAATTGGATCCATGAGTCCTTTGCCAAGTCATACTGAACAACTGAAAACTTGAAACACAAGGTTTGACCTGTACAAAGTAGTCGTCCAGATCTAGATGTTTGACATCGAATGTAATAACCGTTCAAATATAATGTTCATTATGTAACATTATGTAAACAACAGTCATGTTGAATTGTAATACCCTGTTTGAGATGTTAATCTTGGATCTGTTTAATAATCAGGGAGATTTGATTTGAGAGCCAAAGCATGGACGTGCCCATATTATGATTTTTTTATTGGGGTAAAGGGGAATAACATTTATTGAAAATGTTCTGGTACCAAAATATTGTCATTAAATGTCATTTGGACAATCAGATTTAGTTTTTTGTGGAGTTTGTCGTGTAACTATTTAAAGCTCCTGTGAGGAACTTTAGTTTTGTATCAGTTTTGGCGCCCCCTATGGACAAAACAGTTTTTGCTTACCTTGCATTTAACTCAAACTTTGGACAGTCAAGTAAATCATCCTTTGAGAACATTATATGTAAGAAATGTAAAAACACACCTGTTTCTTCAGGGTGCAGGGCGAGACTTGAAGGCATCTGATTGGTTCTTTGCATTGGGGCAAAGTTTTTACAGTCCTGCGGCTGCCACAGATCTTGGATTCTTTGAGTTTCTCTTTCTGAACATAAAATTAATTGACTACTTTCAGGGTGGAAGGACCGTTTCATCTACTACGACAAAAAGTGTATCTGAACATCTCTGCCTACCCTACCCTTAAATTCCATTGCTGAAAATGGTGAGGCTTCTATAAATGGTTGGTACGTTTGTTTATTTGACTTTCATAGTCTGTTTCCTTTTACTGGTGAAACAATACAATCTGACACTTTAACCACCATTAAAGTCATTTTACAATGCACCATTGATAAATTTAAAATAATAAGTGTTCATGAATCTTTCCATCAAAACCCAACACTAAACCCAAACAACCATCAGCTCCTCTTGTTTTTCAGACAGAGTTATATTTTTGATCTTCCCGGGCCGAGGACAGGAGGTGACATCCTGGTTTATGCTCCACAAACTATGGGTGGATTTGATGTGGCGTGTGATATCTCCTGATTTTGGTTGCCTGGCTTCAGTGTTGATATTAATACTACGAGTGTGCTATTCCTGTGACGGCAAGGCCCAGGCCTGCTCCCTCCAGCTGTGATTATCTGTTTCCTGTGTGATGCTTATCAGCAGGGGTGAGGAGGCAGTGGTTCCGTTGTAAATAACAGAGGGAAATTACCATTAGTGGTTTTGTACAGACTAAAGGGGGGTAGGAGGGACCTAAAACTTTGTTTTCTCAATTCATGAACTTGACAGTTGCTTACAAAAATATCTATGAAGCCACAATATCAGACAGTTATCAGAATCAAAACCAGCTTTCTTGGTCAAGTATGTGTGCAAATACGAAAAATATGACTTGGTCCTCCATGTACAAACAGAAAACATGAAGTGTTACAAGCTTGTGCTAGACAAACATACACGTCAATATATATCATGTGGGTTATGTACATGAGGTTGTTTTAAATACGGTATTAATATTAAATTAAATATCAACAGCGTGCAGAGGTACATGTGTGATGAAAGGGATTTCAACAGATTAAGTGTTAAAACAGTTAGTGGCCTTTCTGCAGCTCTGTAAACGTTTGTGGTTCGTCAGAGTAACAGCCCTGGGGAAGAAACCGTCTTTGTGTCGGACGGTTTTCGCGTACAGTGATCTGTAATGTCTACCTAAGGGGAGGAGTTTCAACAGTTTGTGTCCTGAGTTTGATGTTCTGCATTGTTGTTAACCTGTTTCTTAGACTTGTATGTGCAGTTAGTTCTTGTCATGCTTGGTAGAAAACCCAGGCCAATTGGATACGATAAGTTTAGTTCCCATACCGGGAGTCGAACCCGGGCCGCCTGGGTGAAAACCAGGAATCCTAACCGCTAGACCATATGGGACTACAGTCTAAGCACGCATTATGACAAATAAAAATATGTTTTCTTTTGGCACATGTTTATTTTTTTAATGACTAACAAAGAATACAAGCAATATTAGCAATGTTATAGCTGATGTAACAGGCCCCAGCTTTGTTGGTTTTTGGTGTCTGCATTTCCACTGAAGCGACTACCATCAAAACACCTCTTTGGGAATCAATGGGTGGTGTCTCTCAGTCAGAGCCCAAGCCTCAATGGGGCCCTAAGCAAAATTTCATTTTGGGGCCCTCTATTTCTGCCAATAGTATTGCTTGTTGATCATTCACACACCTTTGAAAATCTCTTTGATTAACATTCCATGACATGCAAACATACTTTTATCTTGGTGTTTTATTTCTCTTCTTCCTCTGTCTTCCTCTTTCTTTTCTCAGCTCCTGAAGGATTTGTCCTTTTTTGCAACATTGTTTTGCCCAAAAATTTCCTGAGCTTTGGATACTCAGTGCACATAGCACAGCAGGAGGCACAAAACGGTAGCAGAGCTTTGACGTATCGGCAGAAAGAATCATAGGCCTACATCAGCAGCAGCACTAAAATGATTTTACTTTAATTTTATTTTTACAATAACGTATATTTAATAATACAGACAGCATCACTCATACATGCAAAAAATAAAAAATATTTTACTATTTATTTTTTATTGCTCTTGGGGGCCCCCTATTGGTCGCGGGGCCCTAAGCAGACGCTTAGTTCGCTTTTGCCTCAGTCCATTTTCATGCTTTAAACAGCCTATGATGATTTTAAAAACTGCTTTTCGTGCCCCTTAATCTGGCGCACAACATTCGATAAGTTGTTCCCATGTAAACTTTCTGAAGCTAACAGGCATGGGTCTTCATGAAGACAGGAAACTGCTCATTTTTGCTTAAGAAAAGATGTCATTTGTCTGTTCCTGGGCTGTTGTGCGATTACAGACTAGTTTTAGTGCTAACTTTACAAAAAAAAAGCATGACTCAACAATATTGTTCTTAGTAGAAGGATTGTGCGACATTGAGTCACAGCTAACTTTCCCCCTGTTTGCATTATTCCTGCTGAGCTAAGCTAACAAGCTGCAGATACTCATTTAAAGCACGCAAACCCATCCTGAAGGCCTAAACGAAGAGGAGTTTGGACGCTGGTCAAGTAAAATATGCAAGTATGTTCTCTTCCAAACAAAATGTGGCTTGAATGAGAAAATCCATGCCCTTTAAATTATGAGCTTTACCAATGATTGTCATTCCATAAAAGAGAATTAAACCAAAGAAGAGATGAAAGAGAAAAAAAACACACTAATCAAAAATGGCAAATGTTTAGATTGTATTTATTGAGGTGATACAAGGAGAGAGCGCTTCACGAATGTCAAGTAACTCCTCATCCCGTCCATTTTGCCAACCCTCAACTGGAAAAACTAACAAACTAACTAATTTGGATTTTTTTTCTCTTGAAGATTAGCAGCGAGTCGTTCTGATGTGTCACTGTCAGGATGCAGCAGGTAGTCAGACACTTCATGTAATGTGTTTGTTTTGTCCCTGGGTCTGTTGACACTCTCTGTAGGAATATTTCCCCCTCTTTTCCTGGGCTAATCCGTTAATCACTTGTGACAACTGCAAGACAGAGCTGCCCTTGTCCCCATGGGGCAAAGCGAGGGCACCCTGTGCATCCTGAAGGCTTTGAATTTGACTGTGAAAACAGCTCCGTTTTTCGAAACACTGTAGTAAAGCTGGTTTACATACCTTGTTTACAAAGACAACAGCAACAGTCGGGACAGCCTACCTACCTCTCTTCATACACCATATTCACACTCCAGCTCTTTTCTACTCATGCTAATGTTGCATTGCTGTAAGATTACAACACTACTTTCTTAAATAATAATAATGATTGTTGTATCATTTAAGGTGAATACAGTATTTGATTTGCACAAAACATGACTGCTCCCTCAGCTGCTTGACTCAGCTACCCCCTAACACTGGTTTCAGGCTTTGAAAATTACAATTTAAAAACTGTCAGTCATGTTGCTGGTTGACCTTTTTGCTTTTGTATACATAAAAATAAATCAGTGTGAGTTTTAGTATCATTCATAATTTTTTAAAGAACTCCTAACAGGAGCTTTAATTACTGTAAATTTACTTTTTTTAGTGTATAAATGTATAAATTTATTAAAAAATATATATTTTTCTGGGTTATTTGGGCTGTAATCCTTAATCATATATTGACGGAATAGAAAGTCATTTATGTAAATGTATTTCAATAATGCAGCAATAATCTGATGGCGAGGCTGTCTTGCTTTCAGTCAGCAAAAAAACTTCCAATATGATTTGAGGTTTGTTCATATCAAGTCATCCAAACCCCAAACATATTGATTACTTTGCTATACATAACACCCCACCTCCACACAAACACACACACACACACACCATCTCTACAGGAGCGGGGGTGTGATTGATGACCTGTGGTACCTAACTCTATGGTAGAGGATGCATGTGGGCGTCAGTTTGGAAACACGCAAGCCTGGTCCTGCTGACTACCAGCTGGACCAACGCCTGTCTCTCAGTTGGGGATCAAAGCAAAGAAATCCAGTGCAGAGCAGCTAAGAAAGAAAAACAGATGGTGAGAGAAGGATGTTTAGGGTTGGGTGAGTCAGTGACGAAGCATAGTGAGCTGAGGATAGCGAGCCATTTGTAATAGTGGCATCCGACCCTTAATCTCAACAAGGCATTACTTTGACTTGACAGAATTCACACACTTACAGCTGCAAGCTAAAAATCTGTATGCAGTACACTGTAAAGGGAACAAGAACACAGTTAATGATCGTAAGATGCTATAGGTGCATCTAGTTCACCACAAGTAGACAGAAAATGAATAAAAACATTACAGTAAATACAAGTATAACTACGACATGTATCTTTTACTACAGTCCCACTGAGCTTTTTTTGGTCTAAAAGAGGTCTCATAGGCGTCTGAATGTGGCCCAGAAGACTGGTCTAAAATCAGGCTATCACAGGTCTAAAGATTAAAGTTTTTTAGACGTCTAAATTTGGACCAAGTTTGGCCTAAATCTAGATCTGAGCTATATCTATACTACACTGCATATTGCTCAATAGCTATCATAATTATTTTGGTTAAGTACTTGGAGATCAGTTATACAACTCACAGCTGCTTTTTTAAATAGATAGTTATCAAATTATGGGTTACAATGCAACGTCTAAATTCCGTCTAAAATATACAGAATCTAGACGGTTGAAATTAGGTCTAAAAAAACTAGACGTCTAATAGCCGTCTATTGCTCAGTGGGGTGGTTTTCAACTGGTGGGTCCTAACCCAAAAGTGGGTTGCAGACACATTCTGGATAGGTGATGAACAGCTGGTCAAAAAAGTAAATATTTAATGCTATATTTATTAGATATTTGCTATTTCTGTATATGCAACTTCAGTAGTTGTCCTCATGTTGTAACCTTCATGTGCTCTGAAATGCACTTTACTCAATAAAACAAGTGGATTTATGTTAAAGATTAGTGTCTTTAAATGTTTTTTTTTAATATAAAAAATTAATTTGCTTGGTTTGAATTCTATAAAAGTGGGTCACGACGTATTGACCATGGGAAAATGTGGGTCCCAGAGTGAGAGCAGTTGAGAGCCATTGTTTTACTCACGTTGAGTGTGATATCGTTTCCAATTTATGATTTCCGAGGGGCATGAAACGCACCACAATACTCCATGGTGATTTTGAGTATTTTCCTACCTCTAAATTTTAGTTATTTATGTTCTGGCAAATCTGTTTAAGCACTCTAAATCTTATGATTATTAACATTTCATTATTTATTTTCAGTGCAGTTGATTTGCTAAAAATAGGCATAAAACTTCCTCTGACTGCCTTTTGATAAATAATATCACAAAAGTGTAGCAACAATTCGCAACGTAAAACATTACGAGCACGCCTATAAGTGTCATACTTCACTCTCTTTACACGACTGATTATTTGTCTCGTCTATCCGTGATGCCTGACAACCACAGGTCGTATAAAACAGATAAATACACGATGACATATTTCCTACACTCCCCACCTTTTTTCCCCCAGCGCAGAGCCAGTTGCGCATGCGCAGCCTCCACTGAAAACCACATGCGTCTCTCCGCTCGGCTCTCTCCAGTCAGTGCCAAAGCGGAGAGATGCGCACACTGACTGAGGAGGAGGACACCACCGCAGCAGCAGCAGAGAAATGCGAACGTCTCCGTGCCAGACCCGGCGTTAGCTTCACCTCCCGTCACCCCTGACCCGCCTGCCAACACGATGGGTTAGAGGGAACATGGCTAACTTTCCTACACTTTGCATGTCACGGGAAATGTCCTGCGTTGTGTGGAGAGCCGTGCAACCGAGCGGCTGAACTGATAGCACAAAAACCCAGAGACTTGACAAGAGGAAGAGAGAGGGAAGGGGGAACCCGATTCCAGTCTTTTCTAGCCCAGTTTTTTCTCCCATTTCGGGGTTTTGAGAGATGATCACGGAGCTGGTGTGCACCGCCGTGGCTGTGGGTCTCTATCTGAACACGCTGGACGCGGATTTCTGCTACGATGACAGGTAGGTTTCACCCACAGAGAGCAACGCTGCCAACAACACCATCATCCGCTCCTCCACTTGTCATCTCCTCCTGTTACCTCCTCACGGAAGCGCAGAGAGGGGGGGACTGGTCTTTGCATGTGCTTTTGTAGCCTGTAATAAATCACTGCTCATTTGTCTGCTGGTGCTAAAGACACAAAGACAGAGGGGGAGGAGGAGTGTGATGAAACCTGACTGTAAAATTAGAGTAACATCACTAAAACATGCCTGCAGTGGTGTGTCCCCAGAACTTGAAACTGCATTATGATGATAATTGAATTCACATTTCTTTCTTTCTCCTCAAAGTGACTAAAGAGAGCCTGAACTTTCATCTTCCTCTTCTTGGGTAAAAGAGTAAAGGAGGTGAAGTTCAACACGTTGTAAATGTAAAGCAGCTCTGCTCCAGCTGCCTGCTGCTCCCATGAAGCGCTTCAGATGCTCTTTGTGTTGATGAAGCGCATGTGCCTGTTACAACAATGCCTGCACCCAGGGGAATTAAAGCTAATTTAAAACGGGACTTTAACAGCTGAACAAACATGTCAACAGCACTGAGCTGCTGAGGGAGTTTCTTTGAGTTTCCAGGCTGAACTGACTGATGGTGATGTACAGTGGAGGTGATGAAACACAGGAAACAAAGGGTCCAAGAGAACATGTCAAGAAGAAGAAGGAGATGAATATCAGATGATTATAAGATAACTCAGAGCCTTTATATTTTTTAATTAGTTCATGTGAAAGTTATCCACTTTTAAGGATTTAAAAATAACTTGGTATCACATGTAATGTCTAAAAAAATCCCCTGAGACAGTGGTTCTCAACTGGTTTCACTCTCACATTTTCCCATGGTTCTTAAGTCGCACCCACTTTTATAAAATTCAAACCAAGCAAATTTATTTTTATAAAAAAAACCTTTTAAGACTCAAATCTTTAACATAAATACTCAGTTTTTATTGAGTACAGTGTATTTCAGAGCACATGAACTGAGGACAACAACTACTAAAGTTGCATTTAAAGAAAATATCAAATGTCTAATTGCACAAAATAGAGACTATGCATTCAGAACATATTCAGAAGAACCTGAGGATGAACAAAAGTGATACCAGATTGCACAAAATAAAGACCAAAAAAATGTATCTTTACTGCATTCAGGCCACATTAATAGGAAACCAAGGAGGACCACAGCATAATGTGTGCCTTTCGAAATAAGATATTTTTCAAAATAAAAGACATGTCAAACATCAGATGCACATTAAATTTCTACTTTTTGACCAGCTGTTCACGACCCATCCAGAATGACCCACCAGTTGAGAGTCACTGCCCTAAGAGAATCAGCTGTTGGTTGCATACAGTAAAAAAGAGCAAAAACAAAACAAAATAGATAAATGGGGGTTATTTAAAAATGCTAAAAGAGGCAAATCCTGTACTTAGATATTTTCTACTTATTAAATTTCAAACAACCTAAATTTGCATTCCTAAGACATACACTTTTATATCGTGCCTATTCTTGTAACTCTTTTGCCTAATATGAGAATTTACTCTCAAGTTTGTTGTAATATCAACTCTTGTAGTTAAAAAAAAAAAGTGACATTTTTGGGGTGACGGGGCTTAGCTGTAGGCAGAACCTCTGCAACCCTTCAGGCATGTTTATAGTATTATCTTGTGAGTTTTATTGGCTTCTTTTTTGACTGTGGCAGAAGATAACACGGGTCCCTCTGAATATATGAGGTCACTTATTGACAAATGGGAGCACACATGCGCTCAGTGGTGTAGTGGGAATTTTGTAGCTTATGAAGTTCAACATCACCACCCAGAGTTAAAGTGTGTGCTGAACTGCTAGACTGCAAGTAACACCAGTTTTAACTTTTCAGTCGACTGTTTCTTCTGCTACTTATTATTTATCATTCGGCAGTCATGCGTGGAATAATTAATGCATCACGTTTTTGGCATCCACACAAAAGAGAAAAACATGATTTTCAATTCCTTGACAATCTCTCAGAGTGCCTGTCACAGACCTGTGCTTGTAGGAATAATCGTATTTCATGTAAATGTTGCTCAACAGCTGGCTTTCTGTAGAAAATGCTGAGCTGAGCTGGACACAGTTCCTTCTTCTGTTTATGGGCATGACCAGTTCTGGCTCGTGCAATCTGAGTTTAATAAACGGCCCTTTATCAAGTATTAAATCACAGGTATGCAGAGTATGTGGTCGATTCCTCTGAGGGTGGAAAGAATGATTTGACAGTGAACAGGTCGCCTCCCTTATTCGTTCACAGTGGTTGCCGTCTGGTATGCATCTCAAGACACCCCTTAAAGGTCAGAGATCCCCTCACTTTACTTTCAGCGTCATTGTTGACCCCTGTGTGTGAGTAAGACGGAGTGTTTGTGCAAGTGAATGAAGAGGAGCAGTGGAGAAACATGGAGTGGTGGTCGAAATGAGCTCCATCTGCCGTATCCAGTTCCATCGCACCTTGCCAAGTATCCCAGTAAAGCACCCAGTGGCTGCTCATCCATCAGCCTTGTCCGAACATGCGACGGCGACTCTGCAAGGTTGTCAAGAAAGCCCTTTAGTGACATATTACCTGCAGAGCTTTCTTACTTGTTTCAACCCACGCTTTCGCTCCAGTCCCGTCTGTGAAAGTTCAGTATTCGCCAATGTTTCATATCTATCAAAGTCAAGATGGTAATTTACGCTCAGGGGGGATGGACACCGGCGTCTTGGTTCAGCACTCTTAGGTGGAGGAGGTTGAATACCAATCAGAGGTCCAACCTCCCCGGTCGTTCATCAAACGGTGTCTTCTCTTAGGGTCAAGAGTCGTGTGCTTTCAGTTCTCTTCCCTCAGGGATTAGACCGAGAGCTACGAGCATAAGGTCAAAGCACGACAAAGATTGAGGTGGAGGAGTGTTACGCTAATCATTGTGGTCTGGGCTTGTACGATCTCAGAACTCAATGTGAACATTTGCACGGTGGCCATTTTTATCTAATATGCTCATGTTGGAAAATGTAAAGCTTGGATAATAAATTATTTCAATTCAATCAGGCCAAAATGGTGAAATGGTGCAAAGGTCCTCACAGGAAGAAGTGGGGTTCCAAATAATACAAGATAGATTGAAGTCTTGTCAAATCCAAAACAAATGCGTTATTTAAGTACTTACTAGTGAACATAATGTAAGCTGACTTAAAAGAAAATGTGACTTATTTATCCAACTGGATGGTAACTCTGTTAGCAACTAAAAAGGGTGATAACATTAAATCATTTAATTGACTAAACCTGCACATCCTCAGTCATGACACCATTAAAGGTTCCCACTTTGAGCATGTCATCAGATGTCAATGATTGCCTTTTAATCTGATAAATCGGTCATCATCGTCTACTTATTAAAAGCCTCCTAGAATGACTGAGAACTCTACTGTGGGCCATCAGTTATCCAGGAAAATGATTTGGGACTTCCGGCTCTTGTTTTCTCTGTTTTTCTACTCATCATTATTAACAGTCTAAATGGCAACTCGATATGCAGACTGAAACAGGTGATTATAGGAACCAGACTGTCAGCTGCTCTCATACCAGATGTGTGTGAGATCAATAAAAAGCCAAATCATCTTCAGAGGACAGCTAATGAGTAAGGTCTGAGTCAATCAACTCTTTGCTTTCTTGGTCTCCTCGTGGACTTTTTATGCAGATAAAGCTTTAGAAATACTTGTACATGACTATCAGTGGGACCAATATTGCTCTAGATATCGAAGATCTTGTCCTTCATGTCCAGATTCTGTATTCACAGCAATATCCATAAAGAAGTACGCTGAAATAACTTGTTTGTTAATGGACACATTTATTTCTGTCTACATTTTCTCACTCAGAGAGCTGAGGCGACCTCATCCGAGGCTTGTGTTCAAACTCTTGTTGCATGTCACAAATGGTTCAAAGACAAGATGGCAGAGCAGATAGCTCTTCTTCATCCAGACACTTCAGCTTTCTTGGATGTCTTGGCCGGTCTCTGCTTTTTCAATCATGTCAAGTGTTTTTCCTGGGCACTGCTCAGGGCTCAGCCAAGCACTCTCTTGGCCAATGGTAATCCCAATGAAAAGACTCTGCGTGTGAAATGACTAAGTTTTATGGGAGCAGGGAGATGACTCGAGCCAGGCTATTTTTTTTTTCTATTCAAGGGAAAATATTGAGATGTGATCTTCTGGTTTAGGCTTCTCTCCACTCCAGCCAGGGGTATTCACGGTGCTGATATGTTCATGTTTGTACAGGCGGTTGGATTGATAGCTTGAGAGTTGTGGTCACGGTTTTGGAAATACTCTGACCGTCACCTCTGAACTCGCCTTTTAATACCTGTCATCAAGTCTTTTGACAGGTTAACAAATGAGACTCTCCATGATGCAGCATTTCAGTGATACTGTTTTAACACAGTTTGGCAATTCAACCCTATAATGGACGCTTTTACAAGGAGGATTCAGATATAATTTAATAGACACCGAGACTGAAGCAAGGACAAGAGATACAGGCAGCAACACTGCGAAATGAAATGCATCCTAAGTGGCTTTTAGCATCCCGAGTCGTGCATTTGAAAACATCTGTGACCCCAATCACGTCACACACCCTCTCTGTAACTGAGAAATGCATTATGGTCCCTCTGGGGATTGGACTGAAAACATCCTCTCTCTTTTTTTGTTTTGTCTTAGAAAAGTAAATTTGTGGGTTTGGTGGGGCAAGGATTCCAACAACTGGCACATTTCTCTCTCTATGATTCCAGTTTTATTCCCCGTTTGAATCATCTCCATTGTTAACACAGATATAAATGGTTACATATGACACCGAGTGACTCTGAGGTGACTTGAAAGAAGCACCAAAATTAAGTCACAAGATCACAAAGTCTGTTGGCGCCAACATCTGCTTCTCCTCTAGCCTGGTCTTGAGGTTGACCAATAAATGCATCAATATGGGATTGTCTTTAAGCAGCACCCTTTCATCACTGTTCAAACCGTAGTGCCTACAGTGGAAGTGCGATCCAACCGCCTTTGTGTATTTTAACGCTGCACTGAGTTTAACCCTCTGGATACATCTGAGCTGTTTCCCTCAAACCCCCAATAAGCTTGAAAGAAAAATATTTTGAATGAGATGTAATTCCTCATTGAATTACATCTCTGAATCTTAATGTACCAGGTACGGAAAAGTATGCTGCGTTAATAACAAGCATTGTTTCCTGAGGAATGTACACTTGCTTGTATCAACTCAGATAAGGGACGCAGTAAATTCAATCAATCTAAAGCGGTGGGCCAGTTTTTTATTACAGCTTCTGGTTGTTTCCTTTCTTATAGTGATTAACAGCGATTTATTGCTCCATGACCAGTGTGGGGCAGGCTACAGGAAAACAGGGACAAGGAATCAAATCAATTTGCAATGAATTATTGCGTGTTGAAAAGATAATAACATGCCGTACCTATTACAGAATACTATTAAATTGCATCCTTTTGGTTACTTGGCCAAGTTCTGAGCATTCCCACCCAAACGATACATTAGTGGTATTTGAAGCTGCACTATTCGTTATTTAACATGACAGTTTTGAATAAGGTTTTATAGCCCACTTTTTCTCTGGTTCACCACTTTTTGGTAGTTCTTGTCAGCTACAACTGGCAGCTGTAATAAGTTAAGTTGGTGGATAACTTGAAGAATGAAGTGACTAAAAGACAGACATTTCGAACCAAAGTTGGTGGAGACAAACTCAATGTTGGATTTAGTGTTCGAATCAAATTTTTGACAGAAGTGCGCCTCCCTCCACTACAGTAGGTGGCAACGTGCCCCCCTTTCAGTCCTATTGGATCGTCTCCTGGTTGATGTATTACCTATCAAAACAATCGACATAATGAGGCCAAATAGTGTACGCTCAACGATAAAAACACAACCTCTTTAGTTGTTGGGTAGGACTGTTTTGTCTTTTTCTTAACATACTCCAGATTTTGTTTACCACCTGACCTCCGGCTTCAAGTCCAGCATGGAGCATGCAAACAACAGTTAGGTCAGTTTAAAGGTGGGGTAGGCAGGATCTGAGGAAGTGCCAGTTTTTGGGAGGAATCTTGAATGTAAACACGACTCCTCCCAACCAGTTTCCCCCTCAGCTCCTCCTCTCCCCCTGTCTCTGCTCCAGCAAGCCCCACCCACAAAGACACACTCCTACTCGCTTGTATCGTTTCAATTCAGATTTAATGCAGATAAATACTAAATGAGGCCCAGTCAATGTGACAGTAAAAAGCATTACTGTAGATGCCAACAGACACTAGCAAACACAATGTTTTCAGAACTTTTACAATGAGGATAAAGTGACATACTCCAGGACCCAAGGTAAACAGTTTAGCGGTGCTACAACACGCAGCAGGTCCCGTTTGACAAGAAACACTTCTGTTACAGACACTTGGCTTACTTTGTTAAAGCGGTTTACCTGTCCAGCAGAAAGGTTACAGGGTCTTTAAGATCCCGAAGCGTCCCCCATCATTTATGCTGATGTTGACCCGGTTTCTTAGTTCTTGTCCGGTCTACCTCCGTTTTAAGCACCCGTTATTCCACCAGAGTCTCCAGTATTTGCTTCATTTTATTGCTTGTGCTTTCCGTACTTTCTGGTCACAACTTGAGGGAGCAGCTTCTGCCTCACAACCAATCAAGTTGGGAGAGGCAGAGATTGGCTTTGTTTACAGTCAGAAAGAGCGGGCCGCTCAAAAAAATTAAAACGTTGACTACACAGACATAACAAAGCACAGCAATATTGTTATATTACCAAATGTCATCAATAACTAATAGCTATTGACTGATATTAAAAGCTTTTTTGTATATACACCACAAAAAAACTCCTGCCTACCCCACCTTTAAGTCCAATTGAGCCACAAACACCGAAGAGAAAATCAACCTCATTATTTAGGTAAAAGTTTGATTCAGTGTGATTTCAGTTGGACTACTGTTTTCACATGTTTTTGAAAGTCCAGTTTCAATCAGACTAAGACAATAGATAATTTTTTTGAAGAACATGTTGATGCACTGATTGATAGCTAGCTAACAGCAAGCTAGCCAAGTAGACAGTAACTGGAAGGCTAGGTAAACACAATAAAATGAAAAGTATTGGCCTTGAGTCAGTCATGTTCAGGCTGGAAACAAGACTTTCTCCCCCAAATATTGTAGCACATGCGCACACCTGGATTAAACAACAGTAACTCCTGTTAATGGCTCAATTTAAATATAACTTATCTACTCAGAAAAAGCTAAGCTAAGCAACAGTTAAACATCTTTAGTCGTGTTCAATCAAGAGCATCCATGTTATCGCTGAGCCAACTCCATTTTCATAATAGCTCATAATTGCCGTCTCATTTGGGTTTGCACCTCGGAGGCTCACTGTTTGGTTGTGGCCCACCATGTTGCCAGGAATCCCTGCGCCTCTAGTTGAATAATTATCTAAAAAACATGTGCCCTAGTTGTGTTGGGGCTATTTAAGTAACAGTATGTGCTTGAAGCAGATAAATATTAAAGGAAGAAGTAGGCCAATGAAACGAGAGAGCGACCTCTCTTGTGTGTTGAATGTGTGATACAGCTTGTGTCTGTCAGGAGGAATTTACTCCATTAAGTGTCAAAGAAGCGAGCGGCAGAGTTCAAGTGAACAACGTGGAGAGTAAAACTGATGAGGGAAGTGTTTATGAAAAGAAATTTAGGTTGGTTTTGAGGTAGGAAGTTTTTAACCACTTTTGCATACACAAAGGATTATTTTTTGACTCATTGGCCACAAACAGAGTTATGCTTTGGAAGTGCTCTCGCACTTAGTGCCTCCCCAGTTTTGTTAGTGGAGGGCTGAGAGTATCAGCCGAACAATTGGAAGGCGGGAGCGAAGAGTCTCATCTTGATTACTCGCAGATTTATTCATGAAAGCACTTAGTGGTCAACTTTGCAGATGTTGTGGCTTTTAAACAGCTTTAAAGCCACAAATGAAGTCCTGAACCCAGTATGGTGAATGGGTTGAATTGAATTACTCTCAGGGTTCATAATGGTTTCTGAGGCAACGTTGACGGAAAGAAAAAAGCAAAAGATGAGCAGAGACAGAGACATGAGATGTTAAAGCCTATCCTCTTGGGCTGGGATTAGCTCCAGCTTCTATGATCCTTAAAGGGGCAGGAAAAACAGTCTCCTGGCGAACAGAGAGCTGGCCTGGCTTGGTCCTTGTAAACCGGGGTTACTGAAGCACGCATAGGGCACTATTATTATGGAAGATATAGTCATGATGAACTGACTGTCTTTCTCCTTGGACTTCCATCTGCTTTAGTGATGAAGACATTGAAGCTTTGAGGGGCTGTTTCAGTTTAAGACTTTTGGAGGCCTTTGTTTAACGAACTTAAAGTGGACTTTTGGAGAAGCTGCTGTCCAGAGTTAGTCGTCAAAACAAACTCTCAGTTTCTTGTTGTAATTGCCAATGGGATTAGCTTTTTTTTCCAACTCACTGCTGGTGTATCAAATCAAGGCAAAAATTAAAACCTGCCTTTAAAGCTCCTGTGAGGAACTTTTAGCTTAGTCAATTTTGGCGCCCTCTGTCGCAGCTTTTGCTTACCTTTGTCTTAACAAAACCAACAAACAAACAAAAAAAAATATCAACTGACATCTGAAAGTCAAATGAATTATTTATTTTTAGTCGTGTATATTACAAAACAGGGTTGTGTCTTCTGGTATTTTGCTGACACCTACCCCCTCACACCAGTTTCAGACAATAAAATAAAAAATGTAAGTCATAATTGGATGATTTCACAAAGGGCAGGTCCATGTTTTATACAGTCTAAAGTCGATTTCTGAGTTCTCTCTAACTGTTTGACTTTATTAAACTCTTGCTTTGGGGAGTAAACTTATCTCACTGGGATCTTGGTTTGTTTATTTTTAGTTTGTCCCTCCTTGTCCCATTGGTTCCCAGTGATGCATGAGGTTGCTGCTCACCCCTGGCTGGCCCTCGGTCTTTGCGGGCTGCAGTCGACCCGCCTGTCTGCCAAGACATGACCGCCAAACCTCAGTCCCATGACCCTCCCTTCATAGACGCTGCACCCACAGTATGAGGATCCCAAAACACTTTGTATCCACGGACAACCAGGGTTTACGTGATTCCAGCGCTCTGAAATATACACATACAAACAGGGTAGATAAGTTGTGTTACACCCATGTGGATTTGGGAGGATGACAGCCTCAAACCAAAGACAAATGGGTGGAAACGTAAAGAAAAAACAAGCTTCTTATCTGGCTAACATGAGCATATTTATCATTCCCTCTCTTGGCTCACTTGGACCTTTCACAACTGTGTGCAGCAGCATGGGTTGAATTTCATCCTAAGCACACTAAACTCACTTTGTAGGCAAAGCTCTTTATTGTGGCGTTAGATTACACTTGGATGCTGGCATCCGCTTCCTCTCTTAAACCACCAGAAGGACCTCTAACATGACGTACAGCAGTTGGGGTGTAATCCAAAACCAAATCCAAGCTTTGGATCACACGAGTTTGCAACCAGTTACCCTTTCTTCCCTTTGTAATCAATAGCCATTCAGTATCATCTTTCTGTGACTGTGAAGGTTTTTTTCTCCGTATAGCTGAGAGCAGCTGTCAGAACAGAAAATCAAACGTGTTTTTGTGCTGCACTTGACAAAGCGCTCATATTTCACTACGGCTTGTAAGAGTTTTGACTTTGAAAAGCTGCTAAAGTTAGATTTGACTTTCATCTGTCAGCTCTCTGAAGGATCTGTTTGTGCGTGTGGAGGATGTTTGTGTTTTTCATGTGCATTGACAGGTGCCAGCAGCTAATGGTGTAAAAGATCAGGGTGATGGAGCCAATGTTGCCAGAATGGCTGGTTTTTCACCCAGTTTATATTTGGAAGGTGATGATATTTTGGGCTAGTTTTGCATCATTTGGATGGTTTCCATCAAAGGAAACAAGGACAAACCCAAAAAGACTGGGCTTTTGTTTAATCTGGGTGATGTGAATAAGATAAAGGGACGACTAAAATAACCAGTGACGACAGCAAGTTATTAGTCGCTGATTTAAACAAATGTCAGCATGCAACTCTCAAGATAACCACTGGGACTAAGTAATACAGACAAAAAAATGCAATCCATAAGATAAGCTTTTTTGTTGTACTTTCTGAATAAAAGTAGCTCTTTCTCTCTGTTTCCAGTTTCAATACTAAGCCAAGCTTTTGGACACCCAGACTTTACTTAAAAATTCTTACCTCAGCACCGTACAAGAACATTTTGATGATTTTATATCTCTTTTTATAAATGTAGCTGCTTTCCAGTTAAGTGCTATTCTAATTTAAAGCTCCTGTGAGGAACTTTTGGTATGTTTCAGCTCCAGTGGCGCCCCTTGTGGACAGAGCACTCTCTTGCTTATCTTGTCCACTATCTGCCTAAACAGTGTCTCAAACAGTGCTGACTGAATATACGTTTGACACACAATTGAATGTTTGATTTTTCTTTGTTGTTAATGTAGAAATTTAAATTTTGAGCTGTTTTTGTAGCTGCACGGCTGACACCTTACCCCCCGAAATCACTTCAGGCATTAAAATAACAATATAAAAATCACAAGTTTTGTCACTAATGGTTTTATTTGCCTTTTCATAGAATAAAAAAAGCATTAATATAAATTTCAGTGATTTTCATAGATGTCAAAAAACTCTTCAGAGGAGCTTTAAGTATGCAGACTCTAAAATATTACTCCTGTAGTTAAACTTTTTGCACTACATAGAAAAACATTAGCATTTATAAGTTAGCATGAATAAAAATATGTTAAGATTTTTTCCAAACAGGTCTTTAAATCTGCTAAATTCGCACCATCCCCAAAGTTTCTTACAACTAAAGCCAACCCATGCTTTAGCCTCTCTGACTTTTTTTCAGCTTTTAGCTTCACACATTAAATCATACACTAAATTATTAATGAATCTGTGGTTTAAATTACCTGTAACACTCATTTTTACTTACAATCGTGTGCCTTGAGTGGAGTTGGAATGATGAAGGAAGTAAAGAATGTTTTGTTGTTCTGTGTTTGTAGGACAAATACCTTGAACATGATATGCTAAAATTAGCTTAAGCAGTGCAGGCTCTGATGAGTCTCTCATCCTTCTCAGCATGGTGCTCTGACTCTGTGCGGTGCCCTAATTATAACATAAGTGCCAGGCACCTCACAAAATCAATAAGAGATTCATTAGCACTGAACCCGAGCTGAGCACTTCACCTTCTCTTCCCATTTCCATGATATCTCTCCAGATATCCAGATATCTCCAGATATCTGCTTAAGAATATACAAATATGCATGAGGTTCTTTGGGTCAGAACAGGGCCTACTGTAGGGCCCCAGGAGTGTGCATACTGTATGTGTGAGTGAAAGGAGGGAGGGGGAATTAGTTAGTGCTTCTCACCTCATAAAAACCTGAGACAGGGAGATTGAGAGAGTCGGTGTGAGGGCTTGGGGGATTTATGGTTCAGGAGAGATCAGATGACAAACCCGGCTACCTTTAGTCAAGGGCACAGCTTTAATGTTTTGGATTTAGATATCAGTGTAGAGGAGTTATTATATTCTAAGTGTACAGCTTAAGTGTGCCACAGTTTATATTTGTTTGCCCTGAAAGTCCGGACATTAAAAACTAATAACAGAAACTCGCAGATGGAAGTTTTGTGAAAGATTTTGATGTTTTTTTTTCTCTCCACTAATTCGGGACACTTTTTCTTGCGCACATGTATTAGGATAAATTTTCCGTCATTTATCAAAGTCACTTCACACTCTGTATTTTCAAATGTCCATATTTCATTCCCATCCTCATGGTTTACTCTGCAGAGGGAGATAGCCTTTCTCCTTTTCCTGTTTCCTCCTGATAAGCGCCTAAAAGTGGAGTACGGTGCTTCACAACACAGATAGAGGAAGTGTGGAGGTCTCAGTGGGGCTGTGCTGTTTGGCGCCTCTTTCATTTAGGCACAGTGGGGAGCTATTTGGGGGAGTGATGACATAAGTAGATTGTTAGAAATAGAAGAAATTGTCGACTGCAGTTGGACATATTGCTTTATTCATACTGAGTAGGGCTGTGTGATATTGAGTAGTATTGGACCAGGAAAAACATCTGTGTTTTTATTTTTAATGACAAAGAAAAAACAAAGTCAGTTTGGTATCGAAGTAGTACACCTCCTCATCTGGATTAATCCATCAATTAATTAAACAGCAATACAATCAAAGTGATGACAATTCTGTTTATTTCACTCATCATACTTGTAAGAAATTTGCAGTTTTCTTTTTTATACACTAAAGCTGTTGGCGAGGAGGCTAAAGACCTCCTTTTAGTAGGTTGACTGAAAGATTTGTTGAGTCAGCAAAAACTCTGTTTCACGAACCATCACAATATCCACTTATTATACCGTCTAGGGCTGGGATGTTATGCTTTTCTACCGAGTCGATTATTTTACGATTTTTTGAATGCCGATTCGATTTCGTGATTCTACAATATTGTCGATTTTCTCGATTTTTAGTCTGCATTTTTAACACAAGTGAAACAGTTGAATGATTATGATTATCGACTGACTATTCCAGAAACCATATTTCCTCCAAAGATACACATCACATCCAAGTCAGTTTTTAAGATTTATTCTTAAATTTAAAAAAAACAAAACGATTTTTGAACATAAAAATTGATTTAAAAATTGTGAAACAAAATATCACGATACTTTATGTGATTTGACTTTTTCTCCCACCCCTAATACAGTCTACGGTTGTATTGCAATAAAACAGGTCATTTATGAACTTTACAATACTCTTCGGTTTGATGCCACACAAATCAAATGCAGCATAAGACAGTAAGCTTTCGTTTAGCTCGTAGTAACTATCATAGGACTGGTGACGTAGATACGCAACTTTTAACAATACAGACATAGGGGTTTACACAAAGGTAGCATAATTGCTTACCACAAACCTTATTCATAAGGTGTATAAAGATAAATGTTGCCCGTTTCTGTCTCACTGTTGTTGTCCTGCTTTCAAACCTCAGTCATAGATCTTCACCCTGAGAGCAGTTTTGATGAAAATAGCTTATCTGGTATAGTTCTCTTGTTTTCTTCAATATTACAGAAAGAAAAGACGACACTGTTATTTTTTCTTCAATAACATGCAGCCTTTGAAAAAAGCAACAACTAAATCTGAACAGCTTGAGCAAAGCAGTTAAAAAGTTTGTTTTTTTTCCTCTCCTGTTCATTGCCTAGCTGCTGTCTTGTGTGCCACTTCATGTCCAATCAAAACACCAATTTACTCAGGTGCAGTCTTGCTGAAAGGGTTATTATTCTGTCTGGGAAGCCAAATAGCACATCATCCTTCAAGTTAACCGTCCTGTTAAATTTTCTCGGCAGGTTTTAGAAAAATATTTAAGTCACTTTTACAGTTTTGGAGGACAGGAGTTCAAGTGTTGCCCTACAGTACTCTCATCTCTCTCAAAAAGAACTGGACTCTTCTCTCTGTCAGTCTGTTTTATCAGGTACCTTAAGCTCTCTGGAGATAAGGTGAATCACTGTTTAGGTAAACACAGCAGCTCTGACCGCAAGTGAGTCGACCTTGACAAATGGAAAAAAATCTGCATTGGATAATAGCTGTTTTCCCGCCGGAGTCAGAATGAGATAAAGCAGCCACTGTAGCTATCTTTCTATGGAACCAAATTTGTTTCCCTGAGTCATTTTGATATTCATGGATCAGCGGCTGCACGGTTATGGCGCTTTCATGATGAGCTATGGCGACACTGTAATTTATTTTTGATGTATTTTCAGGAACCACAGCACATAGCTTTTTCTCCTTCACATTTTACCCTTTCAATTTATTATTTTTGTCTTTTAATCTGTTGGACTGTACTGAAGGTCACTGAATTATTCATGTTTTGCTGTTTGATATAACCCCGGCAAGCTTGTCTGAGCGCTGTGATGCATTTTCCCTTTCACTTCAACTGGGAAATCGCAGCAGGCGGCTTTAATTCTGTCAATACTTTGATTCAGCTTCTGCCAGAATGAAATTCAGCGACCAGAGCAATCAGTCATTCCTTTTCATGTGAGTTTGTGCCATGGAATATTTCAGACACTGTCCAGCGTTAGATTGGTATCCTCTCTTGTGTAGATGTGAGATTAGAGGTGACCACTGAATCTGAATCTGTTTTTTTTTTGTGTGTGTGTGTGTGTGAATATCATGAATATCATCATGTCTTTTGCCCCAGGTCTTGCTCAACACTGTGCTACACCTTGTCAAATTAGAGATAGCTGACAATGGCAATTAGCTCTGCACATCTTGATATCCCTGTAATAGGAACCAAAGCCAAAACCCTTAGAGCTCCCCCTGCTGACTTAAGTTTATATAAATTGTAAAGCCCACCAGACTGTCTTGACCACATCTGACTTAAAGCTACAGTGAGATTTTTTTTTTACATGTATGAAATATACTGAAATTCACATCAGCGCCTTTTAATAATGTTCAAATCAAACAAGACCATCTGCAACGATTTAAGATTTTTATTTCTTATTTGTTAACACGAAGCCACTGTAAGAGGGTAGGTGTCGCCCAAGCAGTTGGAGAGACAGACTTTTTTTTTTTTGGACAATTTCTCCATGAAATATTGATAAAAAAAAAAAATAAAAAAAAACTTTGGATATCAAAAACGAGCAGGATTTGATTCTTCACAAAAAATCCCCACTCAGCCGTGCAGAGAACAAGATACGCAAAGACTCCTTCGTCTGAAGGTGGTGCCAAAATTGATACGAAGTGAAAGTCCCTCACAGGAGCTTTAAAATATGTTAGACAGAAATTCTGCTGAACACAACCAATTTTTCTGGTCTTATTTAGCTGAAAATCAGCTGTAGATGTTTGTGTATGTGGATTTGGCTGCATTAAGACAGTTGTTATGCTAAGCTAGGCAAACAAGTAACCTTTTCCTTTAAAGAAACCGTCATGTTAGTTCCTATTACTCACAAAAATGAAGGGCAGTGTTTGTTTTTTTACATTTCTCCAGTGAAAATGTTGAATAAATTAGAAATAAAAGCCTTTGCTGCAGTCACTTGTAAACCAGTACCCCATACAAATGCCATGACGTTGTAGAATTACATCATGTCTGCTTGTCCCTTCAGCCCATCTCAGCAGGCAGTACAGTATTTTTATGATGTTATATGATGTGTTTTACAGTTTCATAATGGCGTTTCCTGCTGCATTTTAACCAGAAACATGTATTTTGGGACCCCTGCTGATAGTTTGTCAAAGTGAAGCTCTTCATGGAAAATGCAACTGAGTTATTTTATGCCTCTTACACTGGAATCCATTTCTGTAATTCATTGTTTCAGAGTTTTTTTGAGTCCACTGATAGAAATAGTTTGATCAAGTGTTTCAGACTCAGCTGAAAACATTCTTTAGGTTTTTACAAACGTGCTAGTATTTAGCGTTGCCCCGAAGTTGAGGGTCAAACTGATGGGGGTTTGCGCTTCAGCGATGACTCTATTCGTTCCAGTTTGAGAGTTGAGTTCAGGCAAATGGTTTCGTTGTACCAGCCGTGTTCAACAGACCACAGATCAGAATGTGAAAAGATGTTAGATAATTAGCAAAGATCCCTGAAAAGAAGACAGATTTGGTTTGGGTAGGCCTCTTCTCGAACCCTTTATAGCCGCTGTTTCTCTCAGGCTAAAGCTGGAATGTGACAATCAGTCACGGCAGAAGAAAGGAGGGTCTATTCTGGATTGGATACAGTCCTGTATGGTCTGTTAGCACAGCATACTTGGCTGTTACAAATGCTGCATGTGAATCTGACCACTGGAAGCTGTCAAAGCAGAGGAAGTCTCCCTCGCTCTGCAGTTTTGTTTTTGTACAACTTATACCGATTCTTTACGTTCACAAAGGCTCAAATCCTTTGCTGCATTTTTAATTTGTGATCGGATTACAAACCAATTCCAGTGGAGTATTAAAGTGTTTTTCTTGTCTAATCAGAGACAGAAGGCTTTTGAGCAGAAACAGAATGCTGCTTTGTTTCTCCAGCTGCTCCCTTGGCAGCCCGGCAGCGCTCAGATCCTCCATTGGCTCAGCGATTTGTCATCGGCAATTAAAGTCTTCCTCATTATTATCTCGGCAGCAGCAGATCGTAAATGATCCGGTTTCTTTGAGGAACTCTGAGGTTTGAGCAAAAGTTTGGTCTACATGGAAAATGGAAAATGTGTTATTTCTCTTCAGTTGAAATTCTCTTTACCTTTCCAATCTAAAGTTAATGAGCATAAGTAAATTACACAGTCAGACTATGATTACAAGTTAGCCCAGAATATCGGCGCTCCTTTCTGAGCCATAAGCCAATAAATATTCATCTGTACCCTGTTGAGAAAAATCCCTGCCACGTGAGGTATTTGTCTTCACTGTTCAAGTTCCTTCATGTTTTTATTCAGCCGTGAAAGAGGGTCTTCCATAATAATGAGGTAAGGTGTCTGGAGGTTCACGTGTTTGTGGGTCACTGTGCCAACACCTGCAGCTTTTTTGGAAGTAGGCCAGTGGAGTTGATTGTGGAAGCAGAAGGTAGACTGAATAAAAGAGGAAAGGGAAAAGGAGTACCTGGGCTGAAAATAACACATAATTACAGGCTGGGGAATGTGATAGGCATGCCTTTGAAGTTGTCATAGAAACCTTGGCGGAGAAATGTACATAGGTTAACATTATACAAGAACATACAGAAAGAAAAGTGCATTGAATGAAATGAAAGTCACATAAGATGACTTTGGACCGAGACAGAAAACAGAAGAAGAAAAAAAACATTAAAAGAGGTAAGCCCTTCAAATAAAACAGTATTTTGTTTTTTATTCTTGCGTTGTATGTACATTTCACAATTAAAAGGCCGTCATCGATACCACAGAACTGAAATTGTGAGGTGTCCAAAAGCTCTGTTAAAGCTCAGACGAGGAGTTCTTTTTGACGTTCATGAAATTTAATCCAATTATTTTTGTTCAGAATTTTAATTGTTCATGGGAATAAGTTGCATTTTTAATCGGGTAAAAGAATTTCACTATTTTGCATTTCAGAACACTTGTGGATGTCAACAATTGTGACACAAAGCAGCTCTCACAGTGTGTTGAATTAGGAACCAAAGTAAGGCAACAATTACTACAATATGACAATCAATTAATCCATCAATCAATCAAATTCTATTCATATAGCGCCAAATCACAACAGTTGTTATCCCAAGATGCTTTCCAAAAGAGCAGGTCTAGACCATGCTCACTATTTGAAGAATTACCAAGACCCAACCTAAGATGGGGCAGCTTTGACCAGTCACAGTGGCGAGGAAAAACTTCCTTTTAACAGGCAGAAACCTTTGAGCAGGACCTAGACTCATGTTAGACAGCCACCTGCAGCTGCTGACACTGTTGTGGTGTAAAACCATTGTGTAGAGATAGGTGACAAATTCTGTGAAACTAAGGTTGTATCTTTCCTTTAATGTTCTTTAAGGGCTCAGCACTGTAGCACTGTAGAAACATGTACAAAATGTCCCATGTTTGCCGATGTGGCGTGCAGTTAAAAGAGAGGATTTTGGATTCTTCACTGATGTCCAGTGATCCCTGGTTCATGTTACAACATCTGCACTTTTTAGGAGTTCTGCTTTAATTGTCTCTCTTTCATACATTTGCCCTGTGATGGTTGGGTATTCTCAGTGTGCCACCTTTAAAATTCTCATCATAAATAGTGCTCTGCTTACTTCTGTGATGCAGGCAAACTCAATCTGATTAGATGCAAATGTGTGCTTAACTTGTAGCTCAAACTTGACATACTTGGGTGGTACTTTGATAGTATTAAATTGGTGTTTGACACAATGTTCATATCAGATTTGACTTTTCAAGCGATCCATCCAGGAGGGTTTTTAAAGTGAAATGTGCCTTTAAAGTACAGTTATGTATTTATTTCCTTTACCGATGTGACAACAAGGTGTGGTGGCTTAAATTTTGGGTGCCCAAATGGACAAAATCTAAAACAAAATCAAACTGATAAAAAGAGACCAAATATTTATGTCTTTCCCTCATGAATACAGTTGCTGTAAGTGTGAATGAAAAATAACCCTGTCTCCAATAAAACAGCAACATTTGTCAGGCACCATTACCCCAGTTGCACACGGCTCTGATGCATGTTTTGTTTGGCGAAATCCTGGAAGAGCACTTAGGCATGTAATCAAGAATCACATTTATCACTGTGGATGCAGGCGACTCGGCGAGGCCACCCTAATTACCTGTCAGCTGTCAGACTCTGTAATCAACAGTCGACACCCAAGTGGATGCAGAGCGTTGGACGGGATGATTGGCTGCTCTTTGTGTTTTTGTAACATGCCGCAGGTGATTTTCTAGTTGGATCCCACTGGTTGAATGAATGAATGGATGGATGGAGGGTGTGAAAATTGGCCACTGTTTCACTGATAAGAGCTGGATTTGTGCAGGAGCCAAGAATTTTAGAAACCCCTATAAAACTCTCAGCATGCGTTGCTTCTGGACATTGGCTCATTTCAATGTGTTTTTCCCTCAAGCACAGTACTACACTGTATAGGCATATGGCATATTTATTGGGTGAGATGTTTTTAAAATACCTATGAATTTCTGATTAGGAGCCCCTGTCTTAATGTATAACCGAGAAACATAACTGCATATAGGAGTCTTTTTCCAGAGAGCTTCCAGGTGGTCTTTTGGGTTTTTATTGAGGTGTGAAATTTTAATTTGCAGTTGAAGTGAACTGTACACTCCCCTCCACAGTCCCAAGTCTTTCTTGATTTAATTACATTCACACATTTTACTTTTTATTGAGGTTCAGCTAGGTTATATGGCAGGTCTGCCTGGAAAAATGTTCCCAGAAGCTACAGCACTGCAAGGAGAAATACGCCTTTTACGTCTGCAGCTCTACCTGAAATTGTCATGTCATGTCACAACATAAAAACCTGAATTAACAGCGTTTTTTTAAAGTGCAAGATTTGACCTCCCTAAATCCCAACTTAGTCTTTTCCTCCACTGCATCTGCCCTTGGGGAAAGTAAAGCATTAGTTTTATTAGCTATTGATTTCCAATAGCCTTCCCTCCCACTGACGCGGAGGATTCATCACTGCTGTTTATCGACACCGTCACTCAGGGGAGCGTTGTGGGGGGGCTTGGTTTCCTTTTCAGCTGAGGCGGCAGAGGTGGCATTGTTGTCAGATCACCTCTGTTTTGTGCGACCAGCTAATGGGAAGTGATCAATCAGTGAGTTTAGATCGTGACAAAGACTGCAGTCAGTCTGCTCAACACAGATGAAGGGTTCAGTGATCAGGTTCATTATTGTTAAACCACTTCAATTACAGCACAGATTTTGTCTGCATGAGTTGACACAAATAATAATTAGGTACTTTATAGCACTGTTCAATTAATATAAAAAGTGAGTTATTAAGATGTGGATTGGTTTCTAACCCAGAATTCTGTTTATATAATTGCAGTAATCAATATGAAATTAACGGCTGACATTTACATAGATGCAAGTGTCAGGGGCAGAGTCAGAGGATAGTTTAGGGTGCCCCAGCCTGAGGAGTGCCCACCCCCCTATTACCGGCACTCTGTATCGACCATCGGCTGACCCGCTCTCTTGAAAAACTGTAGTCGGTCCATTCCTAGTATGAAGCCAATCATAAATACAGTTGATTGAATGAAATAAGGATAAACACAATATTTTTTGTCTTTCTGTTTTGCCATCGGAGCCCAAAGATGCTATGCTTAGCTTAGCTTAGCTTAGCATTCAGACAGATAGCAGGGTGGCGGTATATTTAGGCAAACTCTCACTCCCTTTAATAATGACTTTGGCGTTTTGTATTTCTTTTCACTTGAAAATACAAACATGTGATATTATTTAAGCTTATTAGTTGTTTTGATGTGTATTTTTTATTCTTTTTGGGCGATTTTGCCGTTATAGATAAGACAGTGTGAAATGTGGGGAGATGGACTCGAATAATGACTCGAACCCACGACCGCTGCGGGGATGTATGCAGTGCGCTAACCAGCTTGGCCATCTGCCCTCAATGGCCCTCAATGTATATTTTTAAACTTTAAAACAAGCTAGTTTGCCGTTGCTATCAGCCATTGTAAGCTAAGCTAATCATCTCTTGATCTACATCTCTTGTTGACATTAGACTGGGCTCAATCTTTTCTGAATTGTTTAAGGAAATGATGAAATTCTTGGAAGTTTAAACTACTTCTTGAATATTTTTGTTCATTCATTTTAAAACTGAGGTCTATAAGAAGAATCAAGATACAAGAAAATGCTTGGAGTTGAAATATTATGTTAGAGAAAATATAATCAAATTTTACTCAGACAAAATAAACAAAAAGAAATTATGTCATCTTCAGGATACCAAAAATACTGATAAAAGCTGGAATATGAATATTTAAATCTTTATTTGAAAATTTGTCTCTTGTGTTGAATTGAAACATCATGAATTATGCAGTTTCTAAGTAGATAATTGCTGATATTTAGTTGGAATATGATTTTTCTGAATCTGAATAATACAGCAGCATGTAATTGAATGATGTGCTGTTGCTGACAGACTCTATAGCTTTAAGGTTTGATGAAGTGTGTGATTTACATTAACTTGTGGCTCACTTGCTTCTAGCTAAATGAGTAAAATAGCTGTGCTGGGTTTGGTTTAGGTTTTATGACTGGAAAAGAAGGCGGTCATCTTGGCAATCCACAAAAGCTGAATTATGCCTTTTTTTCTTAGAGCTACAGTATCTGTTGGAAACATTTATGATATTTTTAAACTTTTGAAATCTGAGTCAGCCGTCATTTTAAAACAATCAATTTACACATTACCACTCTTTGAGTCTGTATAAACTGCTCTACATGCACTCAATGGTTTGGCTTCCAGCTGCCAAACTTCACCTGCTCTCCAGTGATGCTTTTCAGGCTGATATCCTGAAACCATCCGGGCTCATTGAAGTGCACACCATACGCGCATGCTAACCACAATGAGTTGACCCTGTCTTTTTTTGGAGTTAGCTGTTCGACTAATCAGGAAACTGACTTCACGGAGGACATGAAAGCAAGTCCTTGGCCTGACAAAAGAGAAACAACCAGCTTCCTGTCGCTTAGTTCAGACTGTTTCAGCCTCTTTGAAGCTCAAAGCCCCCGGAAGAAATCCGTTTCTCCTGATTGGTTGCTTGGACAGGGTGAGGATGTAGAGGAGGCTTTATCTTAATCAGGTGTGAGTTGAATTTTGGGGCAGTCTGATGATGAAACTCAAACAGCTGGACTTTAATGATGAAGAGTAACTATCACCAATTAAATCTTGAATACTTGAGATGCTTCTGCGCCAAATATTAATGAGGGTTGGTCAGTTAAACATCTGCAATTGTGCAAGTTATGAGAATAAATGCTCCTCCTGGTATATCTGTTTAAGCGTGTCTGTGCTTGGGATGAAATACAGATACTTGCTTTTAATCAGCATTTACAGCACACTAAGTGGCCATATGGTTTTCATACACTTTTAATAAACTGTCATGTAGTCACACAGGCAATGAAAACTGATGGCATCTTTTGCATTTGCGCTGCACAAGTATTTTAATTAGAAAGAGTGAAACTATTTTTATCCTGGAACAGATGTCAGCCACTTTTAAACACAGCAAAAATAAAATGAAAATTAAAAAAGAAATTAAAAAGGTGTTTTTTTCTTAAAGCAAATTGGCCTGTTTTCACTCCAAAGTCACAAACACTGTAGCTCTGGTCAGCAGCCCAGACATGTCACTATTGATGCCTGTCTAGCATCATATCTGGAGTGAGTGTCCTCCGGATTATTGGTTTATTTTAATCCAGTATTAAATTTGAGTGATTTTGTTCAAAGATCCTGAGTGGGTAATGGATGGGGCAACTAGAGGGCAAACGAACACCAGACTTTCAGCCTGGAGGCGGATGTCATTTCAGCTCCATATATTTCAGAAGTACTGGATGTAGTTTTGGTTCATTTAAAATTAATGTAGGGTCAAACACACCGTAAAACAGAGTTGGACACCCCCCCAGAGAGATGAATGTTGCCGACCGCTTGCTTCTCTAGTTTTACCAACTTTAGTAATGACCTATAATTACTTCATGGAAATGCAATCAGACCGAGACGCGAAGGCAGAAGAACTACCACGTCTGCAGCGCAAAATGATGACTAATATGGTGATTATTACTTCAAGGAAATGATAAAGAAATGATCATAAATGTTCTTCCTTAAACTGTGTCACCCTGCAGCAGTCCGTAATGGACTGGCCTGAGGTCTCACTACAAACAGGCGCTTACTGGAAGAGAGTGGGTGAGTTGTGTTTAGTCTCTTTGCTGAAGAAATTAGGCAAAGCGACAGAAGCGTCTTAAATTCTTAATTTTGATTGGTCTGCCTGTTGACACTGTGGCAAAACTATAAGCTCCCACTGAAGGCTGATGTTTTGATTTGGGGTTGATGACAGTGTTGTATTCCAGTTAATGGTGGCAGAGCTTGTGATATCTAACTTATCAATGTCTACAAAGTAACTCTAACTTTTGACAGAAGTGACAGCAGCAGCTTCAGGATTATGAGGATCTCAGTTCCAGTCAGGATTCTGATTTTCATAACCACCCGCTCACTACGTCCCTTTAATGGTGTTTTCTAATCCTTGTTTTAAAAGTCATCAGAAGTTATTTGTGTGGCCTTTCCATTCAGCCTGAGTTCTGTTTCTTATTTTTTTGCACCCTCGGGGGATAATGCTGGAAGCTGCAGGATGGGCTATTTTTAATCAATGAAAAGATAGATCCAGTGAACCGGGGAGGAGAGAAGAAAAATGTAGGTTGGTGCCTTGAATACAAAGTGAGTTTAATCCTTTGTGTCTGAGGTTTAATTTCAGAGATACATCAAAAAAGGATGAAATACGTCCAGTTTTCCCTTCATTTTCTTCACGTTTCACGTCAGCGTTGCAGTTTATCACCATTCACATGCTCCAAATGATGGAAAGAAACAAATAATTGCTTTTCAAAATCTGCCAATGAATGTCAGATTTCTCACTAGGAGAGGGAAGAGCCTCTGCATGCCCAGTCATAAATCTTTTCACAACTAGGCCACTGGCGCTGTGACAGAATTTTTATGAATGCTATCTGGACATTTATGCATTTTCCCTCCTGCCCCGTAATCGGGCCAGCTTGGCGTGGGACGGAGTGTGGGAAAGTCTCGGTGCCACTTCTGGTTGGGGGTATTGTTCTGCCAATGGTGTGACTGACGTGGGATATTTGAACACACCCTTTCGGCATACTTCCTGAGCTTTCAGTTTCCAGATACACAAACTAAACAGACAGAAATAGTTGATAAAAAAAGGGGAAATATTGTATTAGCATCCTGGAGTATTGTCCTTCTTTCCATTACAGCTTCTCCACACTGGCTGTAGAAATATCCATATTCAGGCAGTGAGCACAAATGAAATCCTGAAGCTGGAGTCCTGCCTTCCTCTACCTTTACATCTCCCTCTTTCATCTTCATCACTATCCCCTCCCTCATTTGCCTCCCCTCATGCTGTGGCCACATACTGGCAGGATTATAGCAGCTGATAATCAGCCAATGAATGAATCACTCAGGCCCGGGCAGCCAGCGTAATGGCTTCACGCATGATCATTCAACCTTGCGCTGTGATGGATGGGTAGGCACCTAGCTTTAAAAAATTGAGGATTAAACAAGAGAACGGATTACATCCACGTGTTTGGTCGCCTCATGTGGTGCGGCACAATACCTGTGCCCGGCTGGAGTGACCATTGAGGTGAAATTTATGGGATTTTTATCCTTTAACAGCTGTGGCGTTTGCTGGGAACAAAGCCAGCAAAAGTGTGCTCGAGCCAAGTTTTCACACTGTTTCATACAGATCACATATGGTGGCACTGGACATTTGCAGTTAAAGCATGGAGCCACAAACGCACAAGTAAGTTTTAATCAGATTACCTATTGACCTCTGACCTCTGTGCATGTCTAAGAAACTCTGTGCATTCTATGATCTCTTCCTAATCCTGTTAGTATTGGATTAACACCAAGGTGATCCAGACCCTGACATCCACCCACACATGCACTACCTCCACCTCTCTATCATACAGAGCCTGTTATTCCACTTTTAAAGCAAGAGTGACAGAATTTAATGACTATGAGATCAGTAAGGGGAGGCAATGAGAGCCTTGTTTTTGTACGCCCCTGGTTAAGAGGCATGAATACTTCATGTTTGAATCAATATGTTGGAATACTAGACTTAACCAGGACGAATCAGTGAGAGCATTATTGGCTTCAGTTTATGGATGGGGAGGTCAAAATTAGGAAGAATATGGACATCGAAAATGATTGTTGGACACAGAAAATGATTGTAAACGCATTGGAAAAATCAATATTGATTATGTCAAAATCGAGCAAAGTCACTAAATTAAGCACAGTCAATTCAAGACCAACATTCATGGGATCAGAAAAATTGAAAAATGAGTTCCTGAGTGGAATGATTCGCTTGAAGGTCCAAGATAAATCAAAAGTGGAAATGTGTGTCTTCATAAATGAAACTGCTCTGGCTCATTGGGATTATTTTACTTGGTAATTTGGTAAAGTGTTGCAATAGTAAGTTTGTTTTCAATTTAGAGTACAGCTAACAGTAACTTTTAACAACTTGTTAGCTTGTATAACCATTTCATACTGATACAAAACTCACAAAAAGGCATAAATTCTCACTAATATGGGCCAAAAGTAGACCAGGATATTGGCTTTCCAATTCAGGGTGCTTGAGCAACAACCTAGTTTGCGAAAAGCTAGATAAAACAAAATTTTATCTGCCAAGGTAGCCAAAGAAATATTTTGTAAATGGTGACTTTTTTCAACAGAGCAAAAATTTATGAAGTGTTTACCAGTTTTTGGACCATTTTCTATTTCTGATCTATTACACTGTGTTTACTACGTGTAGAACGATAAAAGCTACTTCTTTTCCACTCATTGTAAAGCCAAAAAACTGCCCCCATGTGCACTGACAAAGTAAGCTGGTGCAACTCTATCATGTGCAGAGGGTATGAGGCAGTGTGTTCGATATGACGTCAAACCTGCTTACTAACCTGAACCCAGTTAAAACTTAGCAGTTATGGAATGTCTGATGACCTCTTCTCCTGCTGGCTCAGAATGCAAATAAGAAATTCAAACCAATCTTACTTGAAGAATGAGCACTAGGACATTAATCTGCATTATATAACAAACTACTGTATAAAGACAGAAACCATATCTGAGGAAAATGTTATTGAAGTGTACTTTAATTTTATAGGATGGCTGTTCTGCCATCTGCTCGCATTAAGAAAGCGGGGTTTATGATCTTTACTGCAGACATCCACAAAGAATTGCTCTTTATCTTTTGCCTCAAGCCAGACGGTTACTTATTGCGCCCATTTCTTATACTTCGTGTTTTTTTAAAGTTTAAGGCAGCAGAAATAGTTAAGGGGGATGATGTGGATTATTAAGCTCACCAAACCAGCCACTCAGCTGACGTTGCAAACTGCTGTAGTTCAGGCCATTTTTTTACTTTTGTCCTCTAAAAGTCCTCAGTAACTATTAACTGGTTTCTCATTACCTTTGCAGAACAAAACAGCCTCGCAAACACATGTTTCTCCAGACCTATTTCGCATGTTGACAAAGGTGCAGCTCTGTAATCGCAGGCTCCACCTTGGCCCCTGTGCAGCGGTGATATGGATTTGTTTTGTCCCTTTTGTACGGACATCTTTCCCTGTCATACAGTCTTAATCATCTGCGTTTCTGTGTCTCTCTGACAATGGTGGCAGCATCCGTGGCGTGTTTACTTGAGCTGAGCGCCTGCCTCAAGATTAGCCGTGTGTGAATAGGCCTGTCTGCTGCGGCGCTCTGCCTTTAAGCTTAATTAGCACTCAGATTGCTCAGTCAGGAGATGGAAATTTAATAGATTTCAGCCAGACGAGGGGTATTGAAATGGCTTAGTACTAAAGCAGAGGAGTTTTGATGAGTTTTTATGGGAGAATAAAAAGATAAAAAAGATAAAAGAAATGAAGGGAGTAAAAAAAGAGAGATTCAATGGTCCCTTAAAAATAAAGCAAGAGCAAAGACTGGGCTAATATGAGGAGTGGGCAGATTAATTATGTTTTCCATAATTACCAAAAAGTGCATATATCCATGACATTACATCCAGGCCAGGCAGGTGTCCATTAGTGCGGCTGTTTTCGTGATCTTTGGCTAATTCATCTCATTAAAGCCGTCAGGGAGCGGGAGGATGCTCTCTGCTACTTAAAGGTTGTAATTCAGCTGCTCTTGATTATGTTAAGTGCTGGTAGTTAAGACTGCAGATGTTTATTACAGTGAAGTGGGCTGGACCGCAACCCAAATATTTATAACAGACTCCAGTGCGATGCAGTTAATGTTGATGCTCTTTAAGTAAAACACACACAAATGTTTAGACTAAAAGTTTGTCCAATTAGTCCACAGAGAGTTGGGGAGATTTATGTACTGTGGTCTCGCTCTGTGTTTGTCTGTAAACTTGTTGTCTGAAATCTGTAAACTGAACTTTAAAAAGATGCTGTTGAGAAAACAACTCTTGAGGGGATACAGATTGTGACTCAAGAGATCCCTCTTTGGCCCTGTCTCCCTCTTAGAGAGGTGTCTCAGGGCAGTGATCAGGGCTAGAGAGACTGAAACAGGAAGAGTATGGCTATGGTTTTGCTTTCTGATTTGTACTACTATAGAGGCAGCTGAATGTGTGCAGTGCTTAAGCTGGCAAATTTCCCTGCCGGAACAATGAGGTTTATTCTATTGTGTTGTATAGTAAATTATTGTATTGTATTTTACTGTTTTATCATATTTACTGTGTCATAATGTTGTATTGTATCGTGCTATACTGTATCCCATCAAGTCATATTGAGTTCATTAATGTTCAGTTTGTATCAACTCCAATATAGAACTATATAATATGATACAAAATGTAATATAATATAACAGGTTCTGCTATGATATACCATGATACATTATTGTATAATTCAATATACAGTATATTCTACAATACAGTTCAGTGAAGTATGAGGGATTCTGATTCTGCTGACAATATGATACCAAACAATACAGTTGGTTATATAAGGATATGTGTTAAAATAATATATGGTAAATAAAATAGAACAGAATAAGATATATGATTCACTACAATACGATAAGATACTATAGGACTATATTCAATACAATATGATACAATCCCATACAATACTATACAAAACCATGAAATACGCTACAACACTTACACACAATGTGATATACTACTATGTGATGCAGTACGATGATATAAAATATGATACAACATAATACGATACTATACTTTTTGAGACAGGATGATATGATACGATACGACCATAGACTGTATATACTATGGACAACTTGGTTCCGCCTTCCGCCAGTATACAGATTTGAAGTTGAAAAAGCTATCGGTATGATTTTTCTCAATTTCCTGAAACCAATATTACACACTCCATCACTTGCGCAGAAGCATTGCGCGCATTCAGTGGGAGAGTCCTGAGAGTCGCTGTGAAGACGCTCGGCTCAAACAGCGTATCCCCGGGTGAGGTACGCAATTTTCGTACGCCGATAGGCTGTATCAAGTGTCAATCATATAAAACATGAACCCCTTAATAACTTTGAAAAACGGAGCTGCACAGAAAAAAGAGGAGTTGAGCACAAACCAGTCTTACAGTAACTACATGTCACCCAGCGAGGAGGCAGACGGCGTCCATTCTATATACAGTCTATGGATACAACTCAACACAGTATGATAAAATACAATATGATATTCAATACAATACTTATCAATATGATACTCTACAATGTGATACAAAACAATACAATACACTATAGTAATGTATGATATGATACAATACTATAAGATACAATAGGAAATGATACAATACAATACAACATGATTTCATGGTATAATGGGATTTGATAAAACACATTGTGATGTGATACAAAACCATTGCGAACACAATATATAATAAGTAAATGCAATAAATCCAACATGCAGGCGAATAAAAGCATGCATTCACTAACTGTACTTGGCGGTACAGATGGAGTAACTCTGAACCTAGGCAGATGAGAGTTGGTAATTCAAAGAGAAATTCAGAAATTCAGTTTTATAGAAAAGAAAGATGGAAATACTAGCAAACTGCAATTACTGTAAAAGAAAGATGTTTTTTTTTCAAACAAATTAAATGTGGCCATAAAATTTTGTTTGTACATGAAGAAACTCCAGGGTGCCTTTTATTCTGCTTTGAGGAGGGCTTAGCAGATAATCAGTTAACTCCATAAACTGACAGTGTTTTGACAGATCTGGGTGGGCAAACTCTTTTTATAGCTCACACAATAGATACAACATCTGGCAGCTAATTCTGCCCCTCCTTAGAAGTATTTTTGGACGATGCAAAAATTTCCATTACTGGCCTGTTGTACTGTTCTCCACTTCCTTGGCAGTGTAAATACACTCAAAAGATAATAACAATAATAAGAAAATACACTTAAAATGATATTTATATGGTAATCTGTGCACTGAAAATGTCAGACAGTCACTCATACTTTGCATATTCAATGTATACTTAACAACTGTGCCCAGGAAGAGGCCAATCGTCTGCCTTTTTAGTCAGGCACAGCAAATGAAAGTGCAAATCAGTGGTGGTGAGATCACTGTTTGGAAGGTGGTGGAGTGCTGCATTTGCATATTGAAAAGACACAAACCCAAACAGTGAAAGACAGCCAATTTTCTTTTCTCTAAGAGCAGTGGACAGGTGAAAGAAGACCTTACCCTTTTACAGGAGAACCCACCTAATGTGTCCTTTCAGAACCACCCCCCAATATCACCTCCCCTTCCCCATAAAAAAAAAGAAACTGAAAAGAACCAAACCCGTCCTGTACTTTGAGGATTGTGAATAGAGTCCCCCGCTGCCTGCCTGCCTGCCCCACATACGGCGGCTGAATACAAAAGACCCCCCTTCTGTAAGAGCAATCACTACAGGAGAGCACTGTATCTGCGGGGTTGCAGCGACAGGTCTCAATGAAGCCATCAACACTGGGTCTGCTGCTGTCACGCATGTGCACAAACACAAAAAGACACACCTTTACATGTTTATTCCTTTTCCTTCACAGGCCGAATCACGCACACGGTTTTTTCATTCGACCTGCTCCCAAACCCTCATCCCTAATGCATTCTTTTCATCCGCCAGTGCCGGGCTGGAGCAGGGAGGGAGATGAGTGGTTGGCGCTGATTTGAATATTTAAATTATTTATCACCAGAGAGTATTGAGATGCAAGCTATGCTGAGGGACCCAAGGGAGCCGGGTGAGGGTGAATTCAGCCATGTTTGGATTTGATAGTGAGCTTTTGTTGCCTGAAGGGGCATAAAAGTCGAAAACACGTGACCAGAGCTGGAGTTTTTGGAGGGATCTTTAATGAGAACTTCACAGAATCAGTCACAAGCAGTAATGTGAGAAATTTGCATCCTCTGGAGACTTTAATATCATTTAAAGACACAATAAAACTTACATTTCCCATAATCATCTCACTTTAATTTTCACTGCTCTTACTATTGCAGCATCCAGGGACTGTAAAGAGTTTTATAAATATTGGCTCACTAGGAAGTAATCTGAGTGATGTAATGTGCCGGCTCCTGAGATATATCGGACGAGAGAGAGTTCCATGTCGGCTTGTTGGACTAAGAGCCTGAGAAACTTACACTTGCCTTTCCCCGACGGAGAACAATCCTGGGAAATAGAGGAATTCACTGTAGCTCACGCGATGACAGGGCTGCAGGCTGGAAGGAAAAAACAATTAAAGTAGGATTAAGGCATTAAACAGTTCTCGCCTCAACGCCAGATTTAATGTACTTTTTTTTCTATTTTTTACCTCATTTTTGGGCTTTCCTCTTTACATTGCTCAGCTACAGTACAGACGAGCAGCCCTGTTTTCCTCTTTCTTTCTTCCTCCTCCCTCTTCTTTATGCGCTCAGCACAATGTTACAATCTCCAGACAAAGGAAGTCCTCCACTGGCCCCCTGTCGCTGTCCTTTTCCCTCGTGGGTATGCGATGAAAAAACACAGAAACAAGGCCTCACCAGAAACAATCCTTGAAAAATAGGATTTCCATTGAGTTAGAATAATTTGATATTAGAAAGTAAATTTTTATGTTGCTCACAGAATACATGTTCTTTTTTTACCACAATGCAAAAATGTAATAACTGGAGTTCAAAGTGGTGTTATGTGTTCTCCAAGAGAAAAACAGATTTAGGACTTGATTCTGATTGACCTTGAAAAAGGCCCATAGAAATGTAACTGTTTTATGTACTGGTGGAAAAACTAAAACATTCTTCATTAAATTTCAATAATGACAAAGAAAATCAGCCAATATTGAACATTTGAGAAGCTGAGACAAGCGTTGGCTATTTTTGCTCGAAAATGACAGAAACAAAAAATCAATTAACATAACCTGTGATTAATGTCTTTGTTGGTATTCTATCTTATTCTACATAAACAATAGCAGAAATGTTTGTGTAACTATTTGTCCTTTTGTCCTTTTTGGCAAAAAAGACAACACCCTTTATAATAAAATGCTGGATCCCACAGTCAGTCATCTACCTACCACTTAGCTTTAGTTAAGTTGAGCTATGGCTAAAGCTTGAGTAGGGGATTTTACTTTGCTGTCCCAGTGTACAAGCAATTGTCAAGAATAAAGATATTGACAAGTGTATGTCTGCCGTTGCTACAGGAGAAGGTGATATGCCTTCTTTCAGCTTCAGTCAACCTATTACATCATGTACCAAAACAATCAACAAACACATTGGCAAGAGGCTAACTGGTTGCAAGTCAAACAATGAAATTCCAGTTTTAGTCGGACTGACAAAATAAGTGGGTTCTCTTGAACAACATGTACAAAACTGTAAAAGTAACTCATTAGAAAGAAAGTCTTGACTGGAAGTCTCGTCATGGTTTAGCGTTGTCTAATGGATTCTGCAACTGTGGACCTGCAGAGGGATTAGACTCTTTACCATCGCAGCTCCAAACTGAGTGTGAAAACTGAACTTGCGGTAGAACCTCAATGACTGGAAAGACTGGTTCCTCCTCAGCACCTCTTCTCAGTTGTTTCAATCTTGTTAGTTTCCCCTGTGCCACCTGCTTCCAGCACACTGCCAACAGTCGGGAAAACAAAATTAACCATAAGATATTTTTATCTGTGCCGGCTTTATCATTGATCAAAGTAAAGTTTTTTTGTATAAATCCTTGTCTTGTGGGGGGGGGGTTCTCCCTCTCTGCTCCGAGCTGTTGTAGCTGCCAGCCATTCATCACTCTTAATCCCTGTGGCGAGCCTCATTTGTTGCAGACTGTGAGTGTACACGAATGCAGCTCGTGTCCTCGGTAATGATCCGCTAATTATGAGAATCCACAGCAGCCTCGGGGGTGTGAAACTACACCTGTCCTCTGCTTTCTGTGTGTGTGTGTGAGTGTGTGTTTGTGTGTGTGTGTGCAGATAGCAGGCATATGTGCATGCTGAGAGTGCGTAGGAGGGAGGGAAGAACAATACACAAATACCTGTATAATTAGTCACTCACTCTGTCACCAGGTTATTATATTTTCTCTCCATATTGCATTTGTCTTATACATTTTATTTATGAGTTACTCAACAGACATCTGGTGAACATATTGTTCCAAATCAGGTTTACATGTAGAATTTAAGTTTTGTTTTTCATGCTTAGATCTGCAACTTTTTTTGGGTTGGGGGGTCTTCAGGAAAGTTTTTAGAAGTTTTCTTTTAGCTGTTAAAGGTCCTATAAAGAGTATTTTTACATTTGTGAAACACACTGAAATCCATACTATTGTCTTTTCATGATCCTAAAAGGCGAAAAGACTATCAGCAACAGGATTGAAGAATTTTATATTTTATTTATTATAGCTAACTTTTCATTTTACATTCATAAAAATGATACATTTGTTTTTTTTTTCTTTAAATTTTTATTTAATTGGTGATGTTTCAACTTTAGTCTCATAGAACATAATGAAAATCAATCTTCTTCCTCTTATGTCATTTCCTCATCCCTAGCCCTCTTATCTTCATAATTTACATCTGAGAAGAAAAGATATGAACGTAAAACTCTGAGTCAACCTTCCTTGTTTCTGCAAGTTGTGTAAAAATATGACTTTGTGCAAACAGCTCAGTCTAAATGTGTATGTGTCGTGTCCATAGACTGTATATAGAATGGACAGAGTCTGCCTCCTCGCTGGGTGAAGCCACTCCGAGAACAGCACCCTCTGGTGACAGGCTGCAGTATAAGTCATAAATCCCGCCTCTGCCAGAAAAGCTTATACAGCTGTGGACAAACTTATAAAAATTTATTACACGATGTTGACTTGTAGTTACTGTAAGACTGGTTTGTGTTCAAGTCCTTTTTTTTCTGTGCAGCTCCATTTTTAAAAGTTATTAGGGGGTTCATGTTTTCTATGATTGACAATTGATACAGCCTATGGGCGTACGAAGATTGCGTAGCTCAGCCAAGGGATACGTTGTTTGAGCCGAACGTCATCACAGCGACTCTCGGCGACTCTCCCGTCCAATGCGCACAACGCTTCTGCGCAATGTTGGTTTCAGGAAATGGAGAGAAAATGCAGAATTACCGAGAGCTTTTTGACTTGATATCCGTATACTGGCGAAAGGCGGAACCAAGTTGTCGATAGTATAAACAGTCCATGGTTGTGTCATTAACACTTCTCCCTGGTGGCCAAAAATGCTACTGCATGTATAAAAAATATAAATGAAAATACAAATGAATCAAGCTTCTCATCATGTTTCATTTCAAACCTCTTCTGACTGGACTAATAAATATTCTTTTTTTTCTTATAGTCGAGCCATCAAGACAAACCAGGACCTCCTCCCTGAGACTCCGTGGACAAACATCCTTTACGATGACTTCTGGGGCACCCTGCTCACCCACAGCGGCAGCCACAAGTCTTTCCGCCCGCTCTGCACCCTCTCCTTCCGCCTCAACTACACCCTTCACGGCCTGCGTCCCTGGGGCTACCACCTGCTGAACGTCATCCTTCATGCCCTCGTCACCACCCTCTTCACCACCTTCAGTCGCCCCCTGCTGGGCGGAGGACTCTGGAGTCTGCTCGCCGGTCTTCTTTTTGCATCGCACCCAATTCACACTGAAGCAGTTGCGGGCGTGGTGGGACGGGCAGATGTGGGCGCCTCGTTGTTTTTCTTGCTGTCTCTTCTCTGCTTTATGAGACACTGCGGACTTCGTAAGGAACTACGAGGACGGGGGGTCCAGAGTAGGAAATGTAGCGGTTACTCTGTCACCCTCTGCTGGACCTGGATGCTCGGCAGTCTTTGGTGTGCAGCAGCCAGCATGCTCTGGAAGGAGCAAGGCGTGACTGTGCTGGCTGTGTCGGCTGTATACGACCTTTTCGTGTTCCAGAGACTCCGGTTTCGCCAAGCGCTTCTCCTCCTGCTCGGGAAGGTAAAGAAATACACGCAAAGAAAAAAAGAATTGCGGTGTTGTGCTCTCTTGCTTTTAATTTGGCTTTTCTACATCTCCTGCCTCTCTTCCTTCCCTCTGAGGCGAACCTCCTCCCGCCAGCTGTTAACAGTTCCTGTGCGGTGGATTTAGTTTTCTCTGTGTGCAAAGTGTGTGTTTGCTTTTCATTAGGAGTGTAATTAGGAAAGCTGTTCTGCAGCGTGGTGCACGAAAACCACGCTACTCTCATTTGTCTTCTGTTTAACAGGAAGAAACATTATGCACAGGGGAAGTTTTCCGCTTCCTCGCAACTTTATTTTGCTGCGGTAAATAGATGCACATTAATGCGAGGAAATTTAGATTAGGATCTCGGCCTCATTATGTGTGTGGCAGTTGCGCAAGACGAGCTATTTTTGGGTCGAGTTGTTCTTGTTTTCTTTTCTTTTTTTAATCTGAAGTGACAAAAGGTATGTGCAAGAATAACAACAACACATCCTGGTAAAAGATTTGGTCCATTTGTCCAGAAATGTGTCTCAACACTCACACATACACACACACGTGCACTGCTTCCTTGACGCAGTGAGTCATCAGATTATAGGAATTTTGTTCGACAAGGAGACCTCTTCAACATTTGATCAGAGAAACTGCTCCTTGGCCGACACGATGGTTCTCATAAAAAGCATAAGTAGCGTGATAAAAAGTCCCCTTGGAGATGAGTGAGCAAGGGCAGCCCAGCTCTTAATGGAGTGTGTGTTTGTGCGTGCATTTAAAGGGGCTTCTTCATGGGGAAAACATCTATAAATACCTCTGTTTGTTGCAGTGTAACCTTGTGTACCACATATACTATGGAACTCTCTGTCGTATACAAACTCCATCCTATTACAAACTCCATCCATGACTGTCCCATTTGCACAGCCTCTGTCCGGAGGAAAACATGCTTTACTGCTGAGTTTGTGAAGCTTTACCGTTCCTGTGGGGCCTCTTCTCCAGTAATAATTTCTGGCAGGATGATAACCCCTCGACTGTTATTCGAGGGCCTGCGGTGAGCGGCCCACAGAGATCACAGAGGGGCAGGAACACCGAGTTATGATGTTTTTCCTCCCCTTTGCTTGGCAGGGGTGATGTGTATGTGTGTGTGAGCTTCCCTTACTACTAAACCATAAACAGATGCTAAACAACACCTGTCTATCACATTGCAGCCAGTCATGTGTTGAAGCTGCAAAAGTATGTCAGGAACTCTGGCTGCGGCCTGTTTTTCAGGTGATGTAGCGTACGAATGTAGAGCCAAGAAACCGAGAGAAAAATAAGACGATTTTATCCAGGATATCAAATGACTAATCCAATTTCTGACTACTTTTTTGTCTTTATTGCTTCAAGATTTAAAAAATATGGTTTTATTAGAAATACTTTAAGCTGTATCTGGTTTAGATATTTTACACTGCTTAGAAATAGGATTCAGACTCTGTGATCTATATGGTGGCATAAACCAGATGAAACATTTTTATATTACATGTTCAGGATGGGACAACTATGCCTCTTTTAAGCCTCATGTTCAAAGCATTAAAGTGGTGAAGTGAAGTCAAACTGCCATGATGCCATAAGGTTTTACTGTAACAGAGGTGAAGCAGTTTCACGAAACGTAAGCGCTGGCAGAGCAGAGCTGTGCTTTTCGTCGGGGTGGGAGAAAAAAATCGATACAGCATAGTAATGCAATATTTTGTTTGGTGATATATCGTAATGTCTTATTTACCAAGTTTCAATTTTTCAACTAATTGCTAGTATGAAGTCAAATCTATGATAATGGAAAAACAACATCAACTGTTTGTCCAGTGAGGTTGGCAGAGGTGACATCAGGAGAAAGTTAGCGCAACAAATATATAAAAGGTTTGCAAGACGTGCGACATGAAAATAAAATACAGCGTAAACAAGACAAACATAAAGGAAAGACAAATGCTAAATTAGCTTAACAGTTGGAAAAATTATATGAATCGCAATATATTGTATCGCAATACTCACTGTCTTGCAAAATGTTAAAAATCATAATAATATCGTATCGTAGAGCCACTAAAGATTCCCACCCCGAGCTTTTCGTGTGTATTTTGGAGTCTTATGCTGTTAGTTAACATGTTTGGCCTCCTATTCATGATTTGTAATAAAGAGGAAAACTCCACATCATTTTAACAATGATGTAAGGTTCGATATAGGGCCCGACCGATTTATCAGCGAGCCGATTTAAAAAATTAAAAACTTTATAAAAAATTTAAAAATTGGCCGATTAATCAGTAATCTAATTTTTTTCCCCCCTAATAATCGGTATCGGTTGGGCCCTAGTTCGATATAAGTAAGAAGGTGGTCTGTGTCATTTACAAAACTAGGGTCATAAAACACTTTGATGTGGCGGTTACACCAACAAACAAGCTGCAATCTTTTATGCTGAAATCATGTTTTCTGAGGATGTCTTTTTAATCGTCTTTTTGGATCATATGGTAGTATTTGTTTTTCTTATTTTCCTGGCCCTTTACCAATGATATGAGTATTTGAGTGAAAAATAGCCAAGTAAGAAAATCTGATTAAAATAGTTCTGCAGACAGTTGATGAGAAAAAATAACCACGGTTTGATACGTTTTCCAACTATAAATTAGTTTAAAGCCATCTCACCATTTTTCCAGGCTTCTGAAACAATGTAGGAAAATTTGTCTGCTCACAAAAATATTTTGGGTTTTTCCTGAACAATTTCATGGCAAATTGACCCTGTAAAGTCATCATATTGTGCCGAGTACACAAAGAAATTGGACTCATTTTCCACTTCTCAGTGAATCCGTTTTCCAGCTTTTATTTTTGAACCCGCCACTTCATCGTCAGCGAGCGCTGTGTGTTGAAAGGTCTTTGGCGAACTGATATGGAAGATGCTGAATCTGATTCTGGCTCTTTTCAGCTTTTAAATTGGTTGTATGGATGTATGGCATTTATCTTTGAAAACCTTTGATTACTGCTGAAAAGTTGGAATTGAGCTTTCTTTGTGATATTTTTCTCAGCAATGATTGCATAGTTTGTGTTTGTGCAAACTCAAAAAGTAAGTCCTGAGTGTTTGAATCATCGATCTCTCTGAAAACGCTGAGATAATTTTGAAATTCTCTTATTTAGAGACGTTTTCAAACCTTTGCTGAGAGCAGTATCTTTTGGCACTGTGTCTGTTGTTGTGTAGAATCAAAAATAACAGAAACAGAAGATTTGAAATGAAAGAAACAGAGAACAACTTGTTCCTTTCTGTTGCATTATGCTGTGAAAGATTTCATCACCCTCGCTGCTTGTCATTATGAAAAATCACCCTTGCCTGGGCATTTATCACACAGAGCAGGGATATCACCAGCAGCCTCCACCTCTCTGCCCAGACACAATAGCCCCATGCCAGCCCAACATGTCCCGGTGCCAAACCCCCCCCTTTCTCTGCCGCCAGCACATCTGGCTCATTTATCACTCTGCCTCTGCCCTCATCTGCCGGCCCAGTCATGGTTATCTTGGCAGGGAGCTCGTTACGAAGCGGGGCCAGCCGCAGGGGCAATCACTTCCTTGATTAGGAGCCAGGCGTCTGAGGACGTATGGGAACACAAAAGAGAGAATAAGCACAAGAGAGGGGAACTATGCTCTCACTTTTTGTTCTTATCTCATTTGGGTCTTTGTCACCTACACAGGCTTTTGAGCACTTTGGAAAGAGAGGACTCTGCTTCTGTTGCGTCTTGTTCAGGTGACAGAAATAAATGGGAGATAAAGCAGCTTTTTCTGTTAATTAACAAGCCACAGTAGTTCCACTCCAGATGCGTGTCACCTGTCACAACAATAACATGTCCCTTATCTTAGTATATATATAGAGCTCTGTGTCTTTTTGAAGACTTTATATCCAGTCCAAAGTAATAAACTTAATGTCTGCTGAGGTTATTTATCCATTCGTCAAAAAACATTTCAGTACATTTGAAGCGGGGATGTACAACTAACATATCATCATTAAGTGTATTAGCTTCTATAACGTCTGGTTAGCTTTGATAAAAAACTACTGAAGCTAATTTAGAGTAGCTCTGAGCCAACGCTCATCTTAGTATAGAAATTTTCAGCTTTTCTGCCTTTTGAAAGTTAATTTTTGCACTATTTGCAGACCCAATACAGTCATGATTCTTCACCTGTGGTACTTTTGGCCATACAGGTCCTTGAAGTGGGAGTCATTGATAAATGTTGATGTTTTAACCACAGTAATGTCTTTGGAGTTTGTTCTTCCTCTTTAAACTCATAATCCCAGAGCCCATCACTGAGCTTTCTTTTAGTTTCTCCTGTAACCGTTTTGGTGTGATCAGTCACCCCTTTTTTTTTTAGAAAGAACTTGGGTCAAACTTGCTTTTTTTCTTGCTTTGTTGACAGCTTGACTAGAGACTTAAAAAGCAGAATGGGAGGGATTTTGATAACGCCAATGGTTACTCAATGACTGCAAGGGGTGTAAAGATTACACAAGGTACTACTTCTGATACTTCTATCCGATATTTCTGATACCAAATTTATCTTGCACAGCTTAGCCTGCTGCTTCATCTGTATGCATGCCAGGCACTAAAAGATGCCACCAGTATGCTAGCCCCTGACTTGGCAGGGTTTTGGCATCACTTTTAACTAAGGAGAGGAGTGTCATCCTTACTAATTCACAGTCAGTTCTTCATACGAGTTTAACAGCTCAAATGATATAAAAGAATCATTTATTAATACTGAATCACATCCATATTTATTGTTTTACAGCACCTCAGGCTCTAAAAGATTTTGGTTTCTCAACCTTTTGACCTCCCAGATGTATTTTTTGCACAAGATTTTAAATACCAGTGCGTTTTTTTGCAACTGAACTTAGAAAACTCATCATAGTTTCAACTTGTCCACATTTTTCTATTTCCTTAAAAAAAACCTAGAGAATTGCAACTGGGATTGCATTTGTTGAGGATAATTTGGTGAGATTGGTTATTTCAGGCTGGGACAATCCCCTAAAGAGCCAGCAAAATTCTGTGTGGACTGTATTTCCTGAACAATGAAGATTACATCTCCCCCGCTCTTGAATCACCTGATCGCTTCTTCAAAGCAGCCACAAACAATAAGAAAGCAAATCAGCTCCAGGATAGCTCGGGAGGCAGATGTGCCTCAGCCAGCACTCCATTTCTCATCCTATTAACTCCCTAATCAGACTGAGTCAAGGTTTCAGATGAGACGAGGGCGGGACGCAGAGAGAGTTAGAAAGTGATGGATGGAGACAAAGATGGTGCGGCGTGAGCACAGCAGCGGCAGAATGATGCCAGAATTATAACAACTTAACGTCTTTGTTCTTTCCACTCCCTATTCGTCAGTGGCTGAAACAAACGGGTTGATGAATGTCGCTCCAGGCGTTAGACAGGGCCCTGGGAAATGCTTAGCTTTTTTTCAGGCTGGCAGATAAAGTCAGCCTAGAGTAAACCGGGAGGCAGCGAAGATTTATTTCATTAAAAGGTGTTTGTTTGAATGTTATGCAAGGGTGTTAAGGATTAACTTGCTTGAACAAACTGTGAGTGGTTATACCTTTCAGATTAAGTCCTGCATTAAGCTGCAAATCAAAGGTGTGAAATTACTCCAATAGAAAGAAAGTGTTTTATTTTTTTTTTTATCCTTAATCCTCTCCAGCCGATACCTTTTGGGTTATATTACTGAAACTTAAATATATGCACCTGGAGACAAAGAAAATATGAAAGATATACAATTGAGGGGTTTAATTTTGGTCTTGGAGTTAAATTTATACCGTCTGCTTCTCCCGGCTGGCGGCCTGATGAATGTTGGGCCAATTATCTTGTAACAGAAGCACTGAGCTGTGAAATGATGCCCTCTGTTGCAGGTTTTGCTGTAACCTCGTAGCTTTGCATGCATTCATGGATGAAAAGGGGGTTAAGTTCAGACTTTTGAGGACATCTTATCATTAAACCGCTAATAAAAACTTGTACTTCTCTTTTATGAAACCTGTCTCATGATCACTGGGAGTATGAGGGTTCATGTCGGCTCTAATGCACAGATTTTGTCATAAACTTCATGATCCCACTTGATGAACGCCATCTGTTAAGGAGTTGGTGTAATTCGTTTTCATTTACAGAGCCGACTCAAGTTTAATTAACAGAAATGTCACCTGAGATTTACAAGCAGATTATCGCAAAACAACAAATTTGGCAGCTTCTGTGAGGAGATTTTTACGTGTATGAAATACTCTGAAATTCATAGTGATGCCTTTTTATGATGTACAAAAGATTGATTATTTTTATATCGTAATTTTTAATTGCCTAAAATTGGTCTAAGGGGATCGGTGTCAGTAGAGCTGCTGAAGAAGAGGCCCCATTTTCACATGATACTCAGTTTTTTTAAACATATGTTTATTGCATATTTTGTAACTTTTCAAACAGTGAACAACATAGAACAAGAAGGCACATACAAAAAACAACAACAAAGATAATAGTAATAATAATAATGAAAATGAATTTTTAAAAAGATAAATAAATGAAAGATAAGTAAACAAATAAATAATTGCATATATCTTTATACACATACTGTATTATATACACACACAGACATGTCTGTAAAGGTCTAAATGTGTAAACTAAAACAAGATAAAGTGAAAATAAGAAAAACACTTTGTAAGCATACTGGTGTAAAAATGCGCAGAGACTGTTCTGTCCGCTGAGGGTACCAGAATTGACTTCCCCAAAAGGATCTTTAATCTCATCATACAGCATCCTGTAAAACAATGTAATGAATAAGGAAGAGTAGTTTAAAAAAAAAAAAAAGTCTGTAATGATTTCACGACAAATGTACGCTTTGACAACCAACTTAGTTCAGAAGAGTTACCAGAATCAGCATTTAATGAAAACTTCTTACTGTACCCTTAATTTGGTGCTTAGGAACAACACTCAATCGCAGGTTACATTTGTAATTTAGCCGACTGTGACTGATTTGTTACATGGTAAAATTTGTATATGGTTTAATCTGGTTTCAAAGTAACACTTTGAGCTGGCACTCCCACAACTCTTTAAAGCAAATTAAGACCTAATCTCTTAATATGTGTTCTTGAATGAGATTTGCATTGTGTTTACTAATCTCAGTAAATACTGAACTCTAACCCTAAGGAAGTTTGATAAAGGGCCAACAAAGCTTTATCAAGAGCATGAACTGCCTTCACATCAGTGTCCAGGAAGCTTTTTGAATGTGAGGTGAACTCTAGGCGAGTCTTCACCCTCGGACCCGTATTATTACAGGTTTTAGTTCCAGCAGCGGCGAGTCTTTCTGTGGGGTAATTAGGTTACTCTATCAAAGTCAACCCACTCAATGCCAGCCACACCGCTGCTCATGTCTGATGACTCGGGTGAGTTGCGCCAAGTCAGCAGTATCCAGAACACATTAGAGAGCTGGAAAAAGACCTGGACAAATGCCTTATTGTAGCTTTCATCACAATTTACAGCGTCGTCTTTGGTGCTGAATCAATGCGAGTGCTGCTGCTTGTGTGTGTGTGTGTGTGTGTGCGTGCGTGCGTGTGTGTGTGCAAATGCAGAGTGTTTAAATCACTTAAAGTTTTTCCTTGCATTTATCTTATGGAAAATAATTCTAGGGATGATAACATAACTTTTGGAAAACTTAACTGCACATTTTTCCAATATGTTACAGAAAAGGAACATTTGAGGTATATTGAACGTCAAAACAAAAAGTTGGTGATTGGACTGAATGGTTGGAAATTTAAGCCTCGCTCCTGTGTGTGACCCAAACCTATGGAATCAATGACACTCATGTTGGACCCCAAGACGAACAAAACGAACTCCAATGTCAAAATGGAAATCCAATCAAAAATGGCTCCAAAGCGCCCCCTACAAAATTTCAAAATGTAAGCCACGCCTCTGTGTGTGACCCAAAGATATGGAATCAATGACACTTATAGTGGACCCCAAGACGAACAAAAGGGGGAGGCGGTCGACAGAGGTGGCGGTGCGACACAGCTCGGTCCCCTTGGTTCCCTGCGGGGTGCTAGTTTTGTTTTATGTTACACTGCTAAATTCCATTTAGTAGAGGCTTCTGTCCAAAGCAGCGTACATCTGAGAGTAACTGCAACACAAGCAAGGATCTGGACAGAAGGAAGTGACAAGACTTACATTAGGACTACAGAGAAGAAGAGTCTAGCTTGAGTGTACATAGTTATCCCTGAGAGAGCTTGGAAAATGCAGATCTAATGGAGAAGGATAATGTCATTGCATCTATACTTTTATAACCAACATTAAAATATTAAAACTAAATTAAAATAAACTTCAAGTTTAGTTTGAATCATCTAAAAATATATATTTTGAATGTTGTAGTCTTTTATATGAGGTTGTATAGTTTTGTTATCATTTTAAAGCATCTGTGGAAAACTTTCAAGTCGTGTTGATTTTGGAATGATTTGCACTGATTTTGAGCTGCAAAAAAAAAATCCCATCCTCCTCTCTTTTAACAGTCAAATGCATCAGATAAACCCTGCTGTAGAACATGTGACCAAAGGCTGTTGCTGAATGCGGGTAATCACATGATCTGAAGTCGACCCCTCACCAGTGGTTTAAATCATTAAAAAAATAACCCTATAAAAACACTTCTCTTTGTTTCAGTGGTTTTGCTTGGTTTTTGCAGTCATTATTATCAGTTTCAGTCTGTTTCAAAACCAGCTAAAAATTCCTCACAGGAGCTATAATTTGTTTAAAAGTTGGAAATTCAAAAGATCATCCAGAATTAGGTTACTTCTATAAGTAGCAAAAGAAAACTCCCATATATAGTCTGAGTGAAAAAAGTTAGGAACCTTGTAAATTGGACGTGACGTTAACAGGATACATCCTGGAGGATTGAACTCCTGCTGTCCTGCGTCAGTTCATGGCAGCTTTAAGCAGAGCCTGTACGAAGTCAGCTGTATCCTGCTGTTTCTTCTGACTTGTTTAAACACTTCATGCTACAGTGTCAACATGCAGACCGCTCACTTCTGGGATTAATAAAAAAGAGAGCTGGTAATGAATGGCACCGTTAAAAGATGAAGGCTCGGGAGCTCAACGCTGTGTGTTTATGTGCGGAAAGTGGGAGACTGGGAGAGTGAGGGAAGGGTAAATTTAAGGACAAAAGTGGATCATAAAGTGAAAGAATAAAATATAAGGGAGGGGAAGTCACTGAAATTGACGCAAAGTTTCCAAACGAGGATCCAAACTAGGGGAGATATGTGGATGAATGTGAGGTTCAAAGGCTTGGAGTGAGCGAGATCTTCAGTTTGACAGCTGGCGGGGGGATTATGCCAGTCATCCTCCATGGATACACATAGATCCCATAAAGGCCAATCAATCAACGTGAGAACTAGTTCCCAGGATTTGAAGTTAGACAGCAGGAAGGTTGACAACTGTTGGATTAGAGGGAGAAAAAATAATGAAAACGTTTTTCAGGGAGATTCTGGCAAGACATCTGCGTTTTGTGCTGCCATTTTGCTTTATGATGGCGCTTTTTTTATATTCCCAATTTAAATGATAAAAATAACACCAAAGATGTTATAATTAAAGACACAGAAATGTGATAACTCTTAAACTTAGTAATCATCACCACTAAATTGAAAACAGAGCACAGGACGATGTTGAATCCTTCAGTTTGATGACATTTAAATTCTCCCGTCTAAGCCAAGATGTCCGCCTCACCATGTGTAGAAAGACGGCTCAGTGTCAAAAGAAACTTCCCAGATTTTTGTTTTCACTTACAAAACCTTGTAGAGGAAGGGTGGACCTTTCATGTAGTAGCAGTTTAGTTTGTCAAACACAGGTGCTTCATGTATCCTTCATGAAGGTCTCTCCTGATGTTGACGGGCGAGCTTACTGGCACTCATGACTGTGACAGAGCAAACCATTAATGTGATCAGTTACACCTGTGTTTCCGTTAGGGGACGATACTTTTGAGTGGGGTATTTTCTGTCAAACTTTTGGTGTTTTGTCCTGAATATATGACAGAGTGTTAGGGCCACATTAACAAAAAAAAAATGACATAGAAATTAAGACATTACTTATGAGAAAAAAGTCGTAATAAAATCATTACTTACGAGAATAAAGTCGTAGCTATCGTATGAATCTATGTGCCATACGGTGTTGGTGCCTCTGCAGGTGTTGGTTGCTGCTGGTGTTGTGCCAACATCAGAGACAGACGTGGTGCTCCTTGGAGCTCAGCTCCCACAAATGTTGATCAGTTGGATTATTTCTTGAGAAACCACAAAAGCCCTCTGACTAACCCACTGATAACTCTGCAGTTGACCAGTTCAAGCCATTTCCTCCTCCACAAAAGCAGCTTTAAGACTTTATTTACTTTACAACTTTATTCTCGTAAGAAATGATTTTATCACGACTTTATTCTCATAAATAATGATTTTACTACGACCTTATTCTTGTAATTACAAAGTCTTAATTTTTTTTTTTTTAACGTGGCCCTAATACTCCCACGTACGAATAAGACAAGGAAGATTGAGAGATACATCCGAGGCCCAAAAAGTTAATAGGGGCCTCTGAAGGGTCACCACAAATATACTCTTTGCAGACATAGAGGATCTGACTGATTCAGGAAAGGTCATAACAGACCTGCTCAGTCACCTGTTGCTTCACCAGCCAGAAGGGTTCATTTATTTGCTGAACTGACTTTTTAAAATTAGGGTCATAAATCGTGTTGAAAGCAGCCTCTGCTCTGACCTCCTCTGGCACTTGGAGCTGTGATTGATCGGGAAGTCAATTAAGGAACGATTTGGAAATAGACAAGGCAGTGAGGGATAAAATGAAGCTCATTCACCTAAATACCACAAATTACTCTCTTGCTGGAAATTGGCTTATCCTCTGATACCAAGCAGAATTGGATTTCTCGGACAGTTTCCTCCCCTGACAGCTAATGCAGGCTCATCTATCAATACGCACACTCCCGTTTTAGTGAAAAAGGCTCTCTGTCTTATCCTTTATGTACAACCTTCCAGCAACCTAATCAATATCCATTTTTCCCAATCCCCCCCTCCTCCCTGCCTCTTTTAGTGCTCTGAAACTCTTTGAACTAGCCCTTTTCCATCTTTCTATTGACAAGTGACCTCCCATAAACAGCTCTGCCTGCATTTCCCACCCTGGCTAACCTCTGCAGAAATCACGCTTTTCCATTGAATATGTGCAGAAAACAAGAACTGAACTGGAGCCAGTGGGTCAGGCCAGTCAATGCTAAACCTCTTATCTTAATCCTAACATGGGTTTGCCATGGATAACCGGTGTTTTCCATCATATGGTTCCTCAAAGTGCACTCATGAGCTTACTCAAGCGTACTCGTTGTAGGAGAGGGGGTGTTTCTCCCTCGAGTTTATTAATGAGACGAATGAAAGGGTGTTTTTGTGCTCCGTGTAGCTTTTAAAGAAAGCTTTTAACTGCTTATTGCTCAATTCATCCAGAGCCGATTATACAGCGAACTTAAATTATTGCTACATTGGAGTAAACTCACTTAGGAGATAAAAAGGAACAGTGGATTAACACTTTGAATTATAGCAGCTCTGAAGGTGATTATTGCTTAAATCAAACCCATTACTGACCACAGGAACACTGGATCACCAATATGTAATGCTTTTTCCAAGCACAAATACATTTGTGATTCTCCTGAACAGGTTCAAATAAAGTTCATAACAGACAGAAGTTCAGAAAGTATAGAGGGGGATGAAAGTTAGGTCATTGTGTTCATTGTATACCGTATATACAATGTATATTCATTGTCATTGTCATTGTATACCGGTGCATCTTTCTCTGAAGGTGTCAGTTTCTTTCATATATCTTTACTTCTTACTCTTTCTAAATTACAGTACAGTTACCAGGGCCTGACTGATATGGATTTTTTGGGGCCGATGCTGATACCGATTATTGGGGGGGGGGGGGGTCTGATTACCAATTAATCGGACGATTTTTTTATGGAGTTAAAAAAAAAAATGGTAACCCTTTCTTTTATGGTACACTTATTACCAGGTAATTAACAGGTAGTTACCTAGTAACAACATGAAATTATCTGGTAATTACATGATAACTACTAAGTCAATACTGTCTAGTTACCAGGTAGGTAACCTTCCATCACCATACAAATTTGAAGCCGAATTGCTCTGGTATTTCCAGGATTTTCTCCACTTCCTGGAACCACCACTTGCGCAGTAGTAATGTACGCATTCGGTGGGTGAGTTGCTGTGATAATGTTTGGCTCAAACAGCGTATCATTATGCAATCTTCGCACGCCCATAGGCTGTATCAAGTGTCAATCATAGAAAGTAAGAACTCCAAATAGCTTTTCAAAATGCAGCTGCCAGAAAAAAAGAAAAACTAGACAGTATTGACGTAGTAGTTATCATGTAATTACCAGATAGTTTCATGTTTTTACTAGGTAATTACCTGTTAATAAGTGTACCGTAAAAGAAAGGGTTACCAAAAAAATACATGTATATTGTAGATATCTACAGTACTGTAGATATACTGTGGGCTACTGCTCTTCACGCCGACAGGAAGACCGACTGATCAAACTCGGACCAGAAAAGCGTTTTCAACTACACCCGCCCCGCCGATCGGTGCCTCCGCGTTTTAACTCACTTGACACATTTCCGGTCTGGTTTCATCTGGAGACATGACCCTAACCCTAACAGGCCCTAACAGTTACCAAACACGTTTGTACCCTTAGTATCTGGGTAAAATATCACGGGATAAGACCACAAACATAAATTAACTATTTTTATTTTAAAGTTTAGTTTTCATAAAGTTTGGGCAGTTTTCATGTTTGTTGAATGTTTATTTTTTAAATTTTAGTGAAAGATGTTGTTACTGTTCAGTTTTTGTGATTTTGTCAGTTTTCGTTAATGACAACCTTGGAGTCTACAGAGGATTCGCCACATTTTAGTGTAATGTGAATACTAATTTCTTTGTTTTATGGCTGTCTTGTTGCATCACACAGGGTATTATAAAAGCAGCTAATGGTCTCTTATCAGGCAAAATAAACAACAGATAGACAAGAAGAGTGTGACCTTCACTCTGTCTGTCTGATGTTATTACTGATTCATCATCCAATCATAATTATTTCCAGTCGAGTTTAAAAAACAGAAAATTTCATTTTTGGTGATATTTTTACAGAGTGCAAGCAATTTAAAGATTTTCTGTCATTTTTTTCGTGATAATGATAATAGGCCTGGGGCTGTAGCCTCATTAGGGTTCCAGTATTAAATTAAACATGCATTTATGTGTGTGTTTGTATTTGTATCACAGAAATTTATGCAGTTATCCATAATTATTCTCTGCCAATACTGAGCTGCTAGTTTTAAATGTGCAACAGCAATTACAAGAGTATTCAGCGTCCCATGAGGCGGCTTATTAAAAACTTGCTTTCGACGCTGAAGTTCCCTACATTGAACTCATGAGATAAGTCGTAAGGAGTAGGGAATGAGTTTGTAATTTTTCAGCCATAGAGGTCTTTTAGATGTGGGAAATGTCAGAAAAAAGGCTGTTTCAGCAGCGTGAACTTCATATTTTGGTTTGCCTATAAAGAGAGATAAGTAACCTATCCATTTCAGTCTGTTTCATGACCAAAACATCTCCCAGGGGATTTGATTACATGATTCCAGTTCATTCAGTGCTCGATAAAAGAAATCAAATCAAAAACATTCCTTAAAGTTGAATTGGGACCATTGATAATTTCACAAAGTACCATACTCAGAAAAAGTGTCTTTAAATGCCTTTACTTTTCTTCAAAATACCAGTAAACAAGCTATTTATCTTAAAAACTTGAGTGTCTTTTTATCAAAGTACCTTATATTTGAGGCAGTAGACTTGCAGACATCTGCACTGGTTAACAGTAATAGACTTGACCTTTGGCTTTACAATGGCCTCCTCTTACTTTTAATGCGGCACACACATTAAAGACTTGTTTTACTGTTTAAAATATTATCAAAGGTCAAATATAATCCAAAGGTCATCAAAGGGACCGCTCAGTCGAGGTTGCAGTAGGCGCCTCCTCGGTGTGTGACAGTTCATTTAAAGGTGTTGCGTGACAGAGGACCTAATGGCGATCATGCAGCAGAATTAATGCTCTTATGAGATGTAAACAGCATCTACATACCAACACAATGAGGCCTAAGCTGATTACCAGTCACACTTGCTCCAATCCTGACAGGCAACAAGGAAAGACTCAGAAGAAAAAAAGCCTCCCATGCTTCAAGTTTACTTCAAAGTTGACCCCCAACGAGGGGAAGTGGGAAACCAATATGGAGTGATAAGTAGATGAAATTCAGCACATATGAGCAAATCTGAAAATTGTCTGTGTTACTTGATTTGTGCTTAAATGGTCCTGAAATTTGAGAACTTTCTGACAAACTGAATATGAATTTCAAAATAAAGCATCTTTCACCAGTTAGACTCTGACAAACTCCATTAAAAATCATTCATATGTGATACAAACACTCATATTATCACTAATCAGAAGGGACTTTGTTTATAGGGCGCAGCTGTTTAAATCCAAATCTGTCTTTCAAAACTTTTAACATGTCATGTCACACTTTTTTCATGCAAACAAAGCTGTGTTGTTTCTGGCAGTGGTGCAATTTAATTTTAAAAGTATGTTTTTGTTACAAAGAAGTGCATAATTGTACATGAGTGCGGTTTATGCCCTGGGCTTCTATCAAAAACATTCCAGGGATTTCTTTGCATAGGTGTTTTTTTAAGTACAACAGCAGGATACTATAGATTTTATCCACTCTGATTGAAATAAATCCAAGTCTAGTAGGTCATATTCACTGGACTTGAACATCACTTTAAATGTGTTGTTGACAAATACATTTCAAGGGCCATTTCTCTCCTTATTTTGGTTGTAAATGAAGTGACATGTATTCAAAAAGAGAACAAACTCAGGTGCTCAGGAACACAGACAAAATATTGTGGCTTTAACCGAGCCAGAAATGTTGATTTAGGTGTTTTCCTCTGACATGACTCTTTTTTTCCTCCTCTCTTCCAGAGAAAGAACATCAGTGTTCTGCTGAGTCTGGGCGTTCTGGTTTCCTGGGGAGTGATTCTGCTCTCGGCTCGCCTCTACTGGATGGGCAACAAGCCCCCCAACTTCTCCAACTCTGACAACCCTGCAGCTGACTCGCCACATTTTCTCACTCGGACACTAACGTTCCTCCATCTGCCGGCCGCCAACGCCTGGCTCCTGCTCTGCCCGGACAAACTCAGCTTTGACTGGTCCATGGATGCGGTGCCCTTGGTGAGATCCTTGGCCGACTGCAGGAACCTTCACACCCTCGCCTTTTATGGTGGATTCATCCTCCTGGCTTTGTTTGGCCTTCGTGGCTCCAATTCCAACGCCAAGGAAACCAATGGGAAGGCTTGCGTCGCTAATGGGAAATCAATCACTAATGGGAATGGTTATCACACCACTGACACAAACCATAACACAGACCAGGGGCCACCAAAGACCACCATGAACGGGTCAGCTGGACTCCACCACTGCCCTGCCCAGACCTCCCTGCCCCCCACAGAGAACCTTGTACTATTTTCTTTAGCCATCATGTCATTGCCTTTTATCCCCGCCACAAACTTTTTCTTCTATGTGGGTTTTGTGATAGCAGAGAGGGTACTCTACATTCCCAGTATGGGTTTCTGTTTACTGGTCGCAACTGGTGCCAGAACCTTATACATCAGACTGAGGACTAGAGGCTCTAAGACCTTACTGTTGTGTCTGTGTGCGGGATTAGTGCTGCTGAATGGTCTCCGAACTGTACAAAGAAACAGAGACTGGAGCAATGAGGAGAATCTGTACAAGTCTGGGATTAGCGTGAATCCTGCTAAAGGTAAGAAACAGACCCCAGTTATCATGAGGGAACCAACTAAAAACTTTGCAAAGACAAAAGCAGATTTGAAAAGACTTTTGTTTTACTTTTTATATTAAACTGAAAAATAATTTGAGAACTGTGTTTTTAGTTTGTCCTTCTCTATTATACCTATTTACGCTTGAACTCACTACACCCATCCTTGTTCGTGCTCTTGAAGATGCGTGGGAAGTTAAACCACAAAATTATTGAAGCTGACATCCCTGCCTTGGGAACTGAAGTTAACAGCCAAGCCCTCCGAGAAAACCAGACTCTGACTGCTTCTTCATGCCAGACTGGTTTTAAAAGAGTTGAATTTAACACAGGAATTAATGTGTAAAATGTTACATACTCAAGCATGAGCAGTCTGTATGTACGAAGGCTTTTACTCTGTTTGTTATTCATCATCTGATCTAAGTTTCTCAGCAGTTATTTAGAAATTAATACCAACTCTGTGTTTCCACTTTTGACTGACATGTTGCCCACAGCCTGGGGAAACTTGGGGAACGTGCTCAAGAACCAGGGGAAGATGGCAGAGGCGGAGACGGCGTACAGAAACGCTCTGCACCACCGAGGGAACATGGCTGACATGTTGTATAACCTGTAAGTCTTTAAGATCTCCTGTTTGCAGAGTCTTGACACGAACCGGTTCTGATTTCTCCCATCCATCACTTTGGATCACAGCAGCAGAGCATGAAAGACAGACAAGAAAAAGAGAAAAGGCAGAATGGCAGATAGAGTGACAGACGGAAGAAGAAAATGAAAATAGATCAGATAGAAAGGGAAAGACGAGGGAGAACCGCGTGTCCCTGCTGGCTCTTTGTACTTGTTCTTCTGATTTGACTAGTCGTGGTTTGCGGGACCTGTGGGAGAACTCAAAGCTGCTTCCAATCCTGCAACACGAGGTGTCAAAGGTGCCAAAACCTCACAGCCGACCCATGTCTCTCGCTCTCATGCTGACTTTGTTTTTCTCACTCAAGTTACAGATGTCAGGAAGCTGGCAGAGCAACGTAGAGAAACCAAAGGATGGTGCATTTAAGCGCCGCTGTTAGAATTTGATGGATGGTTTGGTACACTAGGGTTACACGTTGGGATATTGTATTGGGGATCCAGAAGCTGCGAGAGTTTTTATTTCCCAGCTTTCCCCTCAAAGCGCCCTCATCACTTTGACGGGCTGTAATTTTTAGTTAAAGTGTAACTTCACCTCCACAGATTTTACAGATCAAGACAAATCCTATTTAATTGAGTTAAAAATGTTTCACTTTTTGTTTGTTTTTTCTGTTAGTGGTTTGCTGCTGCAGGAGAATGAGCGTTTCTCTGAAGCTCTGCATTATTACAAACTGGCTATTGGAAGCCGACCAACACTGGCATGTAAGTACTTTAAAAAAAAGGTCTCACTTCATAGGGGGTTCATCAGCTGTGAGACATTTTCACATTATTTAAATCTGGCTTCGGTCTTGGACTATTTTAATTTAATTCAACCCACAGTAAGAGTCCATTATGGGGTCTCCATCAAGCTTTATCATCTTTTAATGCTGAATTAGATGTTCTTATACCACGTGGTCATTTCCAGGGCCATTCTGAAGCTATTGCAGCTCGACGGTGAAATGATGAGATTCAATCTCACACTTGAGTGCTCTCATGTGAGATGAAGCTCCTTTTTTTTAAATGTTCCAAGGACAATTCATGAGCCAGGGCAGGTTTCCAGACTTCTTTTTTTTTAGCTTGATAAGTTATCTCCATTTCTGCCTCTGCCTAATCTCCTAATAGCCTGATTTATTTTTATTTCATAAGTACTTTTCTAACATTGATTTATCTGCCTTTGATGTCTTTCTGTTCCCTTTTTTCTATATTATATTTATAGCTTGTGTGGGTGTGAAATTGAGAATACAAGGGTGTTGTTGTAAGAGATGTTTTGAAGCAACTACTTTCCCAGTCGTTTGAAAGGACGTTCAAATTCCATTTAACCGCCTAGTGTAAATATAAGCAGTCAAATGAAACACTCAAAATTTTGTGCAACTTTTTTGAACTGACTGGACACAGGATCACAGAATCTATAGGTTTATTGTGTCTTATTCATTTGTTGAGTGTGGCTAAGGTTAGCAGAGCTAGCGCCACCAGCCTTCACTTCTGCTCGCAGGTTGACATTCACATGCCTGTGTCTGTTTCGCATCACTATTGTCTGGTACTGTCAGGAAAAAACATATATTAATATCTGGATATTCAGTTATATGCATTGATAGTTGGTCCACAATCAGGGGGGTTACAGTCCTTTACATTGGTTGTCATTTTCCATCAGATTGAGGGTGGACTCAGAAGAAGCAGTGGTATCCTGAAGAGGCGCTAGTACATTGTAAAAGTATACTTTCCAGCCACTCTTTAGCTGTTTTCATTCTGTCTCGTAACTTACAAACTATGGAGAGTAGTGTATGCGTATTTCAAAATAAAAGCTTGTTTATATGATACAGGAAATAAAGTACCCTATACGCAATACAGTAAAACGTCAAATTAAAAACATCACAAAATATTGTGAAAAAGTGTTTGCAGTAAACATTGTGTAATCTTTTAGTTATATTATAATGAAATCTCTTTTGGCCCTTGTGATCAGGAGATGAGGATGTGATATCGTGACCACCCTCCTTTAGTTTATTGGTCATATGGCAGCTCAACCAGACACACCTACAAACAATTTTATCTCTATTTTAAAAAAACTGGGCCAAAATACCAGATGTAGTCAGTCATCTGTGCTTGTTTACATCCTGATAGTTGATCACTGTATAGCCTTATGCTAAGGGATGGGTGTTTGTATTTGAATGGTGGGTTGATTTCTGCTCCTCCTCTTCCTCCTCCTCTCAGCGGCCTACTTGAACACAGGAATCATCCTGATGAACCAGGGTAACCTGGATGAGGCCAAACACACTTTTCTGACGTGCGCTGATATTCCAGATGAGAACTTGAAGGATCCGCATGCTCACAAGAGCTCCGTCACCAGCTGCCTCTACAACCTGGGGAAACTGCTCCATGAACAGGGCCATCAGGAGGTTAGAGTGAAAGAACTTGTGTGATTTTTCTAGCATAAGTGACTAATTGAGTTGTCTTCATTCTCTAACTCTAATTGATTTAACTAAGGCTTAAACTCAGCTTTGCACAACAACTTTATGCACACTTAAGATTAAATACTTCTCCATGAAAAGGGCTTAAAGCTCAGCCATTTAGACTTCAACCCAACACTGCATGGTTCGTACAGCTTGTTTCGCATGAAATAAAAGTCCCTCATCAATTACAGGGCCTGTAATGTGCTGATGTGACACTAAAATAGACTTGCTAAATCACTCTTTTCCTCTCCCTCTCTGCACTACAGGAGGCTCTGTCTATTTATAAGGAAGCGGTGCAGAAAATGCCCAGACAGTTTGCACCACACAGCCTTTTCAACATGATGGGTAAGTCACTGTTAGAGCCTGAAAAAATTGACTCTCTTAAAAGGCAGAAGCTGAAAGTGCAGAATTAAATCTTCAACTCTTTAACAAACCTGTTAAAAATATAAAAAGGCTGTTCAGTGTTTTACAATGACCAGTGATGCGTGTTGTTAAATTTGCAGCCGTTACGAAACTGGTGACTTTGAATGACGTAAAACAATATAATTCTTGGACTTGTTCGGCTCAAATGTCAGAGATAATTCGACATGCTTTTTCTTTTTATCTGTGTATTGTATTCAATTTAACAAATTGACATTTAATCTCTGCCAAAAGAAACCTTCTGCAGACCTGAACCACCTGTTTGAGTCCAACACTGCAGCTCACGAGTGTGTGCCCAGACTCTGTGTCCGCTCTCAGAGAACTGAAACTAATCCCTGTAATAAATCACATCCCTCTCTTTGTTATTATAACACTAATTACATTATTGGACGCTCATCCTGACCGCATAGTTGAGATCGCAGGGCGATGTTTGTGAAAATTCCTCTGACGAGCTAAATGAGAATAAGACGTGTGTTTAGTCAGGTGGAGGGAGGGGGTGGAAGAGGGTGGTGTTTGTGTTGCTATGATGTCCAGGGGATACAAATGTCATTTTTAACCCTAGGAGCCGACAGCATGTCCTCAGATCAAACAAAGTCTCATACAGTGTTCAACAAAACAATTTTTCTTTTGAAGAAAACTTTCACTTTAAGCCGCAGTGCTGTTATTATTCAGCCTGTGAGCCCCACGGATAACAGGTGGAGTTCCAGGAAATTGTTTTTGTAATACAGCTCACAGGGAAAAAGCAGAAGACTACAGCAGTTTTCACAGAGGGGTGTTAATAAACATTTCAGCTAATCACCTGGATAAAAACCAAATGCTTTTAGGGTGAGGTGAAGCCTGGGATCATAGCTGAATACGACTAAAAAAGGTGATTTTTGAAGCATGTGATGTCTGAGAAACCCTCTTCTATCACCATCTGCTGTAGCTCTAAACCATGAGCGCTGCTGACCGTGTTCCCGCATAAAACTGGTCAATAAATCATTTTTTGTTGAAAGAAATATAACCTGCCCAACTAGAGGAAACTAAAATCAACAAGACTTTGGTTCTTTTGGTATCTTGTGAGCAATAGTTAAAGAACCAAAAATATTTTAAAAAAGCTATAGCTCAGAGACAAACCAAAAAGAAATAATGCACAATATTCAACCATGACTGAGTTGTGATTATTTGGTTTGTGCCCTTTAGCTATGGTAAGAAAACAAGGAAATCTCGAAGAGATGAGCGGTGGATCAGACTACTTAATCTATGTTACAATGGATGACGTTTTTCCTCTAAATGTTTTTAATTGAAGCCAAAATACCCTGATGACAGGAGCTGACATCTTGTGCTTGTCACTACAATATTAGACACTCATTTAACTTGCAGTCGTGAGATAAAATTACAATAACCCCCAATTTCCACTGCATCCGGAACGGCTAAGAAAAGGCTGTATCCGCCGATCGTAGCTGATCATAACCATTCAAGTTAATGTGTCAATTTCCAGACTCGGATTCGGCAGCTGATGTTCAATTTTTCTGGACGCCGGAGCGTGCCCGATAAATTCAGCACAGATTAACCCGTGCTGGAAAGAAAGTCGGGCACGGACACAAAATAAAACATCCAGCTTTTTTTCAAAATAAAACACTCTGTGTTTCAGGCAGATAGTGTTTCACACCATGAAAATGGGCGGGGACAAACAAGTGAAAGGTTTACAGACAGCATTTCATCCCGACGACACCATGGATGAGGAGATGCTGATTCTATAATTCTATAAGCATTCTGTGAAAATTATGTTTAAATAAAACAGTTTGAAGTAATAGAAAAGACTCCAACTCTGAATGTTTTGGCCTCACTTTAGAAGAGCTGCTACGTCATTCATCAGTATATACACTCTGTCTGTTCCAGGAGAGGCCTACATGAGGCTGAACAGGCTGGAGGAGGCGGGCCACTGGTACAGAGAGTCCCTCAGGGCCAAACCTGATCATATCCCTGCCCACCTCACATACGGAAAACTCCTGTCCATCATTGTAAGTCCTGCTCACACACACACACACACACACACACACACACACACACACACAAGTACGAGACAAAACACATTATCTCGGTGACGACTGAAGTGCTTAACTACCAGCAGAGTGTAATTAAACGGGACCTGAAGTGGCGGACTGGCGCGATGAATAATGCATACTGAGTGACTTATGGGACATCTGAGTGAGACCCACTCGTCCTATCGATTCCTCTGCAGAGCCCGAAGAGCTGTGATAATTATTATGAGGTGCAGGGGTCTGACTCTGGAGGGCACATGCTAAACCAACTCTTCTCCCCAGAACCGAAGTCAAGGAGTGGAGATTTGAAGCGTTCATGGATAAAGTGTGTGACCTTCGGCAGCAGTCATTAGAATGAAGATTTACATAAATATGTTTTAAAAAGCTTCTTGGTTTAACTGAGATCTGGTTCAAACCTCATGCCCAGACTGTACAAAAATGGATGACACAGCATCTCCCTTTAAGGGAAACTAAAACATAAGGGACAAAACTTTGTCAGCACCTGTCAGTCACTTCAATCAGAGAAACTGTGAAGCCAGTATTGTTTGACCAAGCACTAATGTTGCTGCTCAGGCTGACTCAGGGCTCCACAGTGCGACCATTTCACTCGCATTTTCGACTAAAAATAGATGTTTGCAAATTGTAAAATCTATTAGGGGCACATGTGCGCATAAAAAAAAATTAGCCTAGGCAACAAATGCTTTCTCATGTTATTACCGTGGTGAAGTTAGTTTTAGGTTGGACATTCGACGGACTTTCACTGCGGATCTACTGGTTTCTTCTCACTCTACAGAAACAGGAATAGCAAGAGCAGCGCAGTTAAATCTGCACCGCAGTGAGGTTAGTTTTATGGTTGGATATTAGACGGACATTCACTGCGGATCTACCGGTGTCTTCTCACTGTCCAGAACCGGCCATAGCAACAGCAGTGCTGTTAAATCTCCTCGGCATTTTCGCTGTCAACGTCTGGTGTTGAATAAGGGACCATCAATAAATTACCTGATGTTCTCAGAAAAGGCTGTTTTCCTTCAATAGCTTCCATGTCATGTGACCAATTGACCTAAAATTGATGTCAAATAATAATACTTATGTTGACCAGTAAAACACACCTCTTTATTTCCCTAATTTGTCCTCATACATTTTTTGTGTTAAATTTAAAGACAAATTTTGAACATTTTCTTCAATAGCTTCCCTGTCATGTGACCAAAAGACCTAAAATTGATTTCAAATAATAGTACTTATGTCGACCAATAAGACAAACATTTTTTGATCAATTTTCATTGTGCCCCGAAAGTTCTTTGTGTGCTCCTAACTTTTTCAACTTACGAGTACATGTGCTCCTTGTGAAAAAAGTTAGTGTCAAGCCCTGTGACTAAGTATATATTTTATGGGCAGGAACTGGAGACTCAGGTATGCAGAAAAAAAGATGCTTGTAGGATGATAAAATCTGTAAATCAAACACTGATTTTTTCAGACTGAAGCTAAAAATCAGCCATACAGTAGCTTAGGAAGTATGTCGAATGTCTCAGGGTCACAGATGTGTGGAGTTAGTCAAGTGTGGATGAAAGCTTTCCCTCTGTGATTGGCTGAGTTCCAGTTTATCCGTGTGCATTCTGTCCCTCGTTGTGAAAGAATATGTCAAGGACGCACGAGCTCGCCCCACTTTTTTGTTTTCACCCCCTCTTCCTGTCCTCTTTTTCTTCCGAGAGCAAAAACACCCTCATGTGACGACAGATGTGTTCACAGCTGAGTCAAGTTTAGATTAGGGGGTCAAAATCCAGTCCCCTCACTGACCCCTTTCTTGACCCTTCCCTTCCACTGCCTTGGGAGTAAAGACAACTGCACAGCCTCACACACTCGCAGCTGCAACCCTTCCTGTTCTGGTCATTTCCCCTTTTTGTTCGAAGATGTGAAGATATCCAGTTCATAGGATAAAACCTGAAGTTCAGATAAGAGTCAGGCAGTGTGGCGGGACATCTGCTGCTCTTCCTCAGGCTCTAGTACTACAGCGCTTCAGGAACAGGAGATTGGATGGACCCTGGACAATAGACCAGTGGACTTGCTTATAATGTAATTACTCTCCTTCCTTATTGAATCACTCCATCAGCTTCATTTTTGGACGTCCTAATCGACAATGCAGACGCAGGAGAAAAGGTCAAAATTAAGTCTTGTACTTTGGTTCACCTCGATGTGTACATTCTTCTTGCACTGTTAATTTCTTGTAGATCTGAGGTCACATACTCCTAAGTTTAAACTGACCTTAGATTGACTCAATAACAAAGCTTGAACCCGATAGTCTTGTACCCATCCACATCTATCAGCAAGTTTCAAGTGCAGCTCCTTAAACTCCTCTTGAAACTCCTCAGTCCTTCCAAGGCCAAAGTTTTATCAAACAGGTCAGATGTAACTTTAGACTCCTGCTGACCGTCTGAGACCTCGAAATGACGCCAAAGGTTGCAGTGAGGAATCTCGTAACCTCTAAGCTGATGTATGAATTTCAACTCAGCTGTGCATTTGGCAGCCTGCTCTCTCTCCCAAGTCGGTGAATACAGCAGCTTGGCAGTAGTCCAGTGTGTATGAATATGAAGCTGGAGACAGCTTTATATTTCTTAATTGGATTGTTTTAAATCAGATAATGGTGATGCAGTGTGAGGAATCAAAAATTCAAGTGGATTGGTCATTACGGCAAAGGATGGGTGATGTGATGACTTATTTCCAGTGTACATGAGTCGTACTTAAAGTTGTGTCTGGATTCATAACATGCATCCCTATTTCAGTCGACCAGACTCTACTTATAAAACACTTTTCATGCAACAATAATAGAAGACAAAGTGCTGAGGAAGCCGAGAAAACGCTGTCTCAAGAATAAAGTGGAATAAAATGTTAAAACTCAAGATAGGAGGATAAAAATCTGCCGAAATATAGAAAGTAAATAAGATAATGATAATCAAGGTCGCCGCACAGACTAAAATCACCTCTAAATGATTCTGGAGGCCAATGCAGAGACTATAAAATGGGTGTTATGTAAACCCTTTAACCCTAATTATCCTGATAATGTTTTTGTTGTGATATTTTATGGCCAGGTAAGTAGGATATATAACATTAAATTAGCCCAACATAACATGAAAACATGTCAAGTTGTGCCATCAAAGCAGCTCAAACTTGGTTTCCCTGTCCTTGATGTCTGCCTCCAGTGGACACTTGGGGAACTGCAGTTTTTGGATTCCAGCTTCTCAGCTACCATGTTTGAGTTGGAAGTGAGAGCATGTTGTGTTTCAAGGTGCCGATATACCTCAATTGGTGAAGCTGACATCTCATGAAGGGGATCGCTGTCAGATTGACTCCCAGTCCTGTCCATATCTGGTGCATGCCATCTCTCACCCTTATCCCACATTTCCAGTCCCTCTCCAGCTCTCCTATTATATGACACCTAAAATTTAATTCTTAACTACATTCAGCCCTGGTGCTAAACACGGCCTATTATTGTGTCAAACAGCTCAGTAATGAACAGACCAAAGATCCCACACTGTATGAGCATGTGAAGAAGAGCATATCACAAAATTATCTTGTAACGATGGCCAGAAACCGTCCATAAATCAGCGAACCGATGATTCGCTGTAGCCCGACTGGACTGAACCTCTCTGATGGATGAATGGAGGAAAGGTTTAATTGAATATAAAGAGACAAGAGCCAAAGAAAATGTGAAATAAGCCATCTCGGCCTGATATTCGATCATTCATTTGCAGCGATTGCGGGCATGGGAAAAAAGCTAATGACGCAAAACTAATATGCCCAGTCCTCTCATTTCTTGTTGCATGGCAGGTCTAATGGCAATATGGAAGCAATCAGTGCTGAAGCATGAGACAAAAGAGGTGGAGAAGTTGAGGCCACATGCATACAGAAGCAATATCTTTCTCGGTTTGGTTTCAGCTGCGCACACGTACACACATCTTTGAGGGTTTTTCTTCTTTGAAGGTTCAGCTCGGGAGAGGGGGTACTGTGTTCTTTATGAGCGTGAGTTTCCAGCTGAAACGTAACAGCAGGGTGACCGCGCCTCAACTCAAGCATGTCAGAGCACGGAAATAAGTAAAAGCAGAAACTGTAAAATACAAGGGATTTTTCTTTTTCCTTTTTTTTGTACGTGTGTGTGTTTAAATGTGTCTACTGTTGGAGGAACGTCACAGTGTACAGCACCAAAACTATGAGTTTAAGTAGTATAAACTTTTAGTTTGACAACAAAAATCTCACATTCATCACATATTTGAACCAATCACTCAATAAGATTCATGTTCATTTTAACTTTTGACCTTTAAGCTCAAGTGAGGAACTTTTGATTTGAGCCACTTTTGGTGCCTTGTGTGAATAAAACACTATTTTTTTACCTTCTCTTCAAGAAAGACAGGGTATACATGTCTTAAAATCCCAAAAGCAGGGTAAAGTCAGCAGCAAGATCATCATTTACAGCAGAGATGATTGTCCTAGGATAAAAATAAAGTATGTTTAGAAAAAGGTTATGATAAAAAAGATGACTAAACTGAACAAAAAGCACTTGGGTAGAGCAAAGCAAGATCATCATTGATTGTACAGGATAAGGGAGGTCTGTACAAAGAGATGTCACCACAGCCACAGAGATCATTGACTTTACAGTTTATGTATCCTCCTAAAACATCCAGTTTAATTGCAGTTTTAGCTCCAGCTTTGCCTGTACCGAGAGTAATTGAGTTAATGTAGTAGGGGAAGCCTGTTGTCTCATCAGAACGGCCAAATTTCTGTCTGGCTGAATGTCTCTTTCATATTGTCTGTAAAAATCAATTAAACATGTCACACCAAAAATCACATACTACAAGACAACGCCAGAAGAAGTGGGACAGTCTTCCCTCTGCAGTACCAGATCTACCACACACAAGGACTGGTTTAGGATTTTATTTTACTGATTTTAATTGTTTGACATTTTCATAGAAGCGATCACTCTCTCTGTTATCACTCAAGTTTCTACAGAAGGATTTCAAATTCAGATTTATGTGTCTGGTTCAAAAACAAAGACTTGTGTCTCTTAAGGGATCCTGTCCAAAGTTTTAGGCAGCAAGAAGCAAAAACAAACATTTTTTCACTCTGATGTGGCCTTGTTAAGATGTTCTTCTTGAGCATGCCACGTACTTATTGTGTCTTTTCTGTCCCCTGGCTTTGAAAAATGAAGTCAATTTGGAAACCTTGAAAGTCTGCTTGAGGCTGTCTACAAACTCAAAAGGATCCCCATTAGGACTAATGTCAAAACGCCCATTTTACAGCAAAATCAAACATGTTTGGATCCTCGTGAAAAAACTCAACATGGTACTAGTTCAGGCAGGCCACAAAGACAAGCCCAAAGTCAGCTGATCCCAACACCTGCTCATAGCAGAGAACCGCTCAGCTAATCTTGTGAGCAATACCTGCTTTGTTCTGCACAATTAAATAATAGCCTACATAGCAGCTGATATCAGTAAATAATTACCAACAGCTTTAACATAAATAAGTAAAATCACTGGATTTTCTGCACCTCCCTAACCCACTGTCTACATCCCTTAGTGTTTATGCGTTTCTCCTCACTCCTTGCAGCTACCAAGGTTAGCTCGGTTTGTCCTGATATTGCAGTACCTATCTCTGGGACTATCTCTTGACTTCAAAATTTGTAAGTACAAGAATCGAGGTTTAAAAAGAAGAACCCTCTAAATTCCCCTTTATAGTCCTTACAAGTGACTCATAAAACAAAATCACTGAATGACCTTTGTAGCCGACAGCAGATCTCTACGGGAGGCTATCTCAGCTTCCTCAAGCATACATAAAAAGGAGCAATAAAACACCTTTTTTGTACCAGTTGGAGGTCTTATCGTTTTATTTAAAAGAAAAGGTATTAATGGTCAACAAAAAACTTATAAAAAGCAATTGAGAACTTGTAAATGTCATGTGTTATTAAATATTTCCATCCTTTTTTTTCTTTCAGGGGCAGAAGACTGAAGCAGAGAAGTTTTATCTGAGGGCCATCCAACTGGACCCGACAAAAGGAAACTGCTATATGCACTATGGTGAGAAAAAGAAAACAAAACTGAAGTTTAGATTAAAAATATGGATGTTTTGAATTCAAAAATGTCTCTTTGAGGTTTACAAAGCTTTGGAAATGTTATTTATGTTCCAAACCTCTGCTATGGTATTTATGGTAATGACCAAGGATATAAGTTTTATATTTTCAAAACCGAAACCTTGTTTTTTTTTTTCATTCGGACTCAGAGTCAGTGAATGGAGCAGGTCAGAATACAAAAAAGCAAAAAAGTCAGATGTTCCGTTTTGTGAAAGTTTCAAAAAAAAAAAACAACGCTAAAGAACAGCTGGCGTGTTAAGCAACCGCTGCATGACATTAACTCGTTTGTGCAAATGCGCTACAGTTTAAAGCACTCGTGGAGAGTTTTGTTTGAGGTTTTGCAGATGGTGCAAACACGTAAACATGCATGCATGCTCTTAGCGAGGGAACAGGATCAGAGTACACTGTTTGTTATTGGTAACAGAGAGTAAAACATGATACCGAGTCCTGCCTGCGCTGCTGTTAATGCAGTATTTTATATCGCTTTGGAGGAACAGGCTCCCTGCTGCTCCATGGTGCTATCTGTAGGGTATTCATCGCAGGATATGAAATCTGCCCAGTCTTCCTGAGAGCACCATTGTGCCTTGTCCCTTTCTCCTCTTCCTTATCTCCCCTCATTCCTTTTCGGTGCTTTCTCTGCATCCAGTATCTCCAGCTTTGAGTCTCATTTAGTCCCCAGCGAGTGGATACGTTGCTGTCTTTGGACCAAGCTGTTTCCCCTTACACTCTTTCCTCCCTCTCTGCCTATCAGGTTATTTTCCTTCTCAGTGTTATCTTGTAGCTTCTTACTAAAGGTGATGTTTATTTTGGCCGGCCTTCTACTTTATCTCAAATCTGGCAGCTTTGGCTATCCTGAGTTCGCTGGATGAGCTCCAGGTGCAAGTGTGTAAAGAGTAATGATATCTGGCTACTTTATAACACAACGGATGCAGACTCGAAGACACACATATGAGGGATAGGAGGAAGCGAGGATACGAAGGGTGATGGCTGAGACAAGACCCCCCTTCCTGCCATTGTTCACAGGAGGTGGTTTTAAGCAAACCGTCCCAGTACTTTGCAGTTTAGTTGGTTTTGTAGAAAGAAAAGGCAACCTCTCCACTTTCTCCTCTTCTTTCATTCAGTAACATCTGTGGCCTGGCTCACCTCTTAATTTATAGCCTAGATCTGACACTGGTGGGTGCTGCACCAGGTGGTCAGACTCCCACAGGAACACGCAAGAAATACCTCCATCTCATCTGTGTTCTCAAACAGTGCAGAGAAAAAAAAAAAACAATCCTTTCACTGTCTCTTTCGCTGCGTTTCCTTCCCTTCTGCATTTCCTGTGGTGCTTTTCTCCTTCACTGCCTCCATTCATCCTCCAATCACCATCTCTGTCAGTCAGAATCTCTCTACAGGCTTTTTCTGTCTGTCTTTGGTTTTCTCAAAATGGTTCTTCTATTTGTTTTCCAAAATAAAACACCAGAGCGTAAACCTCAATGACAGATAAAGAAACAAAAGAAACAAAACCAAAACCCTCACATTCTTTGGAAAATGATCGCCTTGCTTGTGCTCGTAAAGTGTGTAGAAATGAGAATATTTAGATGCAGCTCATGCCTAGATTCTATGTTATAGTGCGCCCTTGCTAACCTCTCCTGTAAGTCACATCTCAAGAAACCTTGAATTGGCCTCCAAGGACAAGAGGCAGAAACATGGCAGCACAAGATGGTGGCCTCCATTAAAGAGAACCAACTTCCTATGTAGATAAAAAGGTAATTTTTAAGCAAACAAAAACAGAAATGATTTTTAAAGGTGATAATACACTATTTTAAACCAGTGAAAATTATATTCCATATTCCAAGGCTGCTTAATACCACACAATCAGTATGTTTACATGCAGTCAGGTTGTGGTTATAGCTTCTTTTAACCACAATCTTTGTTCAAGTGGACTGAAAACTGATGTAGCGGGGGGACGCAGCTCAAGGAAGAACATTATGATCATTTCTTCATGGAAATGCAATCGGACCAAGACGCTAAGGGAGAAGAACTACTGTGTCTGCAATGCAAAACAATTAATATGGTGATTATTACTTTAAGGAAATGATAAAGAAATGATCATAAATGTTCTTCCTTGAGCTGCGTCACCCCGCAGCAGTCCGTAATGGACTGCCACGGGGTTCTGCTACAAACAAGCGGCTGCTGGAAGAGAGTAGGTGAGGTGTGTTAAGTCTTAAGAATTAGGCAATGTTAAAAAGATGTTTGGTGGCTAGTGCTATCGCTGGGACCCTACATGTACTGTTAATGAAGTTAGGTGCTGTTCTGAGCATTATTTGTGGCTATAGGGTGGCTTTTTGGTTGAGGTTTGTTTATGTATTGCTATCGTGCGGTTGTTCTTAAGTTGATATAACTAGAGAAGCAAGCAGTCGGCAACATTCATCTGTCAAGGGGATGTCTAACTCGGTGTTACAGTGTGTTTGACCCTAAATTAAAAAATTTTACTAAATTTTTCCCTTTAAGGTTGTGCTCCTAGCATGACTCCAAATGCTAACATAAATACTGCTCCACAGAAATAAGTAAATCTTCTCTGTCTGTCCTTTCCAGGTCAGTTCCTGCTGGAGCAGTCTCGATTGAGCGAGGCGGCGGAGATGGCAGAGAGAGCTGCAGAACTGGACAGCTCAGAATTTGATGTTGTCTTCAATGCTGCCCACATGCTCAGGTTGGCTAAACTGCTGATATGAAACAGCAACAAAGTGGACTGAATGAATGTGCAGTATGTTTGAAGACGTGTTGAAGTTTTGAAAATCCTGTAATTTATGAGGTTTGCTCCTCTCTTTATCAGTGTGGGTTTGTTTTGTACTGCTGCCATTTAATAGCCGTCTTCAAATATAAATTATACTGTTGTTGTAGAGTAGTAAAAGTCTTCCCAAGAGAAATCACTACAGTGAAAACTATTACTCTTGTTGTATATAAACAGCAGTGCAGCACTAGTTTATCACAGATATTTTTGGATCCGGGGCTTGTGAAGAGAACCACTGAAGGGTTTTTCCTTCCAATTTTGGCATTTGGTATACAAACGGCATATTAGTCTAACTTAAAAAGTCAACTGAGTCTACAGATGTCTTTTACTCTCTGCAACTCAAGGAAATATTGGAGCAATGTGCCTTCATTCCTTCTTGCTTTACATTTCTGGAAAAGTCATTACGGCTCTCAAGCATCCATCTCAAAGCAGCACCACAGAGGATTTGTAAAAAGTTGAAAGTCTCAGGGTTTGGCTGGGGTTTAATGTTTGGAAATCTGAATGACAGATTTTCATCTGGCTTCTGGTTCGAGTGGTTATTTTCAGCTGTGACGGACTGTGACATAAATCTAAGGTGATTAGGATTAAGGTTTTACTCACTTGATTTTAAACTGAGCTGCTTCACTGATAACAGAGGTGTGCTGCAAATGTTGACTTATTTACAAACAATGACCAGGATTATTTAGGAATTCATTTAAAATCCACAACAGTAAATCACTTTTGTAGTTTAGACATTGGTGCTCCAAAAAAGGATTTTACCCCAGTAAAAGTAAGGATTTAATTTGTAAAGTTTTAGGTTATATTTCTCTTTATATTGTCTCTTATGTCTTTATCATATTATTTATTTTAACTATTCAACTCAGACCAAACCAAACAAAATGTACTGCTTGCACTTTCATTTTTATTATTTTGCTTAAGTTACAGTCTTATAAATATTAATTACCCTGTCAGGAAAGAACGATTTCCTCGACTTTATTAACTTTGGCACACTGAAGTCCGGCTCATGCCCCCTTTAGATAAAATAGTACGTATGGAGCAGATTAGCTTTTGCTATTTTTTTAAAACCAGCTGGGATATGATAGAGAGTTGAAAAGAGTAGGTGTCTGTAAAGAGTCTGGCATTATAAAAACAGCAATTTCTCCTCATCACACTGTAACAAATAATAAATAGTCAACTAGACATAGAGATGGTAATCCCTGTAATATAGGTCAAGCTCATTGGGTTAACTTACTGGTTATATTAAAACAGATTTAGAGGATTTCATGTGTTGACATTAGAGAAATTAGAAGCCTTAAGCATCTGCAGCATCCTGTTAACATATGGACCTGATAGTTAAAGCTCCTGCAAGGAGTTTTTAGACGTTTATGAATTAGGCAGAAATTTATACTGATGCCTTTTTAAGAGGATCTACTACAGACTGGCTTAGGGGGTCACTTGGGAAATTTGGAAGGTTTTGCAATAAAGAACAGGAGCCAGAGAACTGGGCACAAAAAAAATCTATATTTCTTCAACATGCAGTAATACCTGTTTCTATACTAGGCCATTCTCAAATCTTCTCAAATCTTTGGCTTTGGCTCATGTAAAACTTTCAATTCTTGATTTGTTTCAAGACTCACATTTCTCACGTCAGTTTTTTTAAGAGGAACAATCCCCAAAAATGTTCAGTACTGAAAGTTATGAAAATATTAAGAGTACATCAGTCCCACAGCCTTATATGAGACACAGTGGTTAGTAAGAAATGTATCATCTGCATAAAAATAAGTGTGGCACTTAAAGCCAAGAGGATGTTTGCTTGATTCAAAATATTTTAGACATCAGAGTCCTTTTAAATCGACTAAATTAGTCTAACCAAAAGCGTTTTAGAGCAGTTAACATCTTAAATAATTGTGTAACTTAAATCATGTCTATTAATAAGTTGTGGGACACAGAATAACACTGTGAAGCACTCATGATGATATACTAAAATGATGTTATTTTGACTCACTTCTCCTTTTGTGTCACTGTTTTCTTCAGACAGGCCAGTCTAAATGAGGCAGCAGAGCGTCAGTATGAGCGTGCAGCCAGCCTCAGACCAGATGTAAGTACCTGGGCTGGTGGGCCTGTTAGCACTTATCATTTAAATGCACACACACACCCCTGCACAGTAAATTCAATTTACAGCATGCTATGAATTACCTATCCTTCTGACACAGTGTTACAATGTCATTTAGCAGACGCTTTTATTCAAGGCTATGTACATTTGAGATAAAAAGGGCACCAATATTGACACTATTTTATACTGCTGTTGTTCCTGGCAAACAGTAATGCAGCTGCATATAAAATGGAAACTTTGTCCTGCTCATAGCTGGGAGCTGGAGCCTCGATGTACTTGTGAAAATACCAAAAACCCAAAGACAGAAGAGTTCGGTTGAATTACTTGATCATCTGAGTCTTGTGGGATATCATGTCTCTCCGTGTCAGCACATGTGGTTGAGGTATCTGTGGCTATTTTATCCTGTTTGTGCCTTGTATGAATCTGTCACTTCAAAAGAAAGAGCGTGCTTTGGTCTGGGAGGGTTCCCTAGAATCATAGGGACCCCTGTGATTTTAAACAAGACCTAGAAGGAGCTTCCTGAAGTCATTTGTCATGTTAAACCGCTCTGTGATCGTCTGCTCGGTGACTTATGCTGCCAGTCAGGACAGAGTGCCAGATTCATCTTCATGCCCTTCACTGCTTTAATAATATGCTTTCTACTGCCACACCCTTAATGGGGTTTTGTCTGGTGTATCCCCACAACCCTGAACTCTAGTGCCTCCTCATAAACACCACCTGTCTAGAGGTAAAATATCCAGTTATATGGTTTCATAAATGACCCACTACAGCTGAATTGGCAGATACAGGGAAATGTATCCAAAATGTAAGTAGATGTAAGTAATAAATATTCAACAAATAATTCAAAGGTTAGGGTTCATTTCAACCCTTAATGATTTTAACCATGCTGGTTATAATAAGCTGCTCTGTAAAGTCAACACTTAGTTCACCACTTCAATCATCTCAAATCCTCTACAAGTAAATACACACAGCTGTTAGCTAACACCATTGAAGGCCCATTTTGAAAATTTGCTCTTCATTTTGGATATCTTGCAGATAACTTTCCTAAAGTTAAGGCATGTTTCAACCATTTAATAATTATCACAACCATTAGCAAATTTATCTACTGTTTAAGACATTCAGCTAACTCTTTCAACTGTTTCAGCAACTTGCAGTTAGCTTAAATCATTTTTCAGTGATTTTTAAATTATTTAATTCTAGTTCTAAAAAGTCCAGGTTAACTCTCATCATGATTTTAGCTTAATATGTAACCATGAAATAGCTTCTCTGCCATTAAATAGACTAAGTAAACAATTCCAGACATGTCATTGCTGCTAGCTAAATTATGCTATGCTGTCAGCAGTTGTCTGTTTAGCTATTCATTTTGAATACCTTACAGCTAACTTTCCTAAAGTTAAGGTATGTTTCAACCATTTAATAATTATTAAAAATATTAGCAAATTTATCTACCATTTAAGACATTTGGCTAACTCTTCAAACTATATCAGTGACTTGCAGTTAGCTTAAAGCATTTTTCAGTGATTTCTAAATTATTTAACTCTAGTTTTAAAAAGTTCAGGATAAATTTAATCACAATTTTAGCTTCATATGTAACCATTAAATAGTTTCTCTGCCATGAAATAGATTAAACAATTCCAGACATGTCATTGCTGCTAGCTAAATTATGCTATGCTGTCAGCAGTTGTCTATTTAGCTTGTCACCTTGCTGCGATTTTAGGCAAAAGGTTCAATAATTTTGAAGCTTTACCTGTGACTTTAAACTACTTTTCTTCCTTTTGATAGCTCTGGCTCAATTTTAAACCACCTATTAGCCTACTCTTCAACCACCTGCTGACTGTTGTGCTTTCTACGCTGCTAGCCATAGTCTGTCACTGAGAAATCCAATTGTGCCTATTTTAGCAATTTAGTTAAACTATTGATCAGTTTATTTATTTCTTATTAGTTTTATTAGTCTAGAGATTTTATTACCTTGCTAATTTTACTGCCAATCTAAGTATATAAGCACACAATTAAGCTAATTTGGGTAAAGCTGGTATTCATAGCCAGTGGTACTCTGCAAGTTCGTTCTAGTTTCCACACACTCTACTTTTTTACTCTTTCAGCTAAGCTACTCCACAGTATTTCCACGTACCCTCTTGCAACTGTAAAACTATCCCTTAGGGAACAAGTGCTATTTGGGAATCACTGTTTTGGAGCACTTGCTCTTTTTAGAGAAGGTTTTGCTGTCTGTCTGTAACCTCTTCAAGCCTGAAAAAGGTTGAAAAAGAAAGCGCGGAGGACAAGTTATCCTTTAGAATTGCAGTTTTTAAAATTTGTTTTCTGAAAACTAAGCTACCTCAAAGTCACAGTTTTTCAAAATACAGTCCCAGGTTTACCTCATGTGCTCATTTAGACATGTAGAGGACTCCAGTAGTAATTTGTCATGAGTAATGCAGCTATCGTCTTTGACATTTTTCCCTGCACACGTCTGCACCATGAATCACAGTCTCTCAATTATCACCTACGTACAACCAATAGTTCTCAGGTCGTGATAAATCCAGCACTAGCTCATTGTGTTGGGAAAGAAAGTGATTTTGTGCATTTATTCACAACTGAAGCACTTTTCACATTATTCAGGTTCATCTCAAATACAGCACAGTGTTTACTCATGGTGGGAAATGGAAATTCTGTGAGTCACCAAGCAACAAAAATGTGCTGCAAATGTGGTGAGGATGATACAATGAGCTCATGGTGAAACTGTAATCATGAAAGCAAATGATGTTTCTGTTTACAGAGCAGTCAAACAAGCCCAGATTGTTTGAATAAAGTCAAAATAATTAAAATCTATTTTCATGCTGCTCACGACACATGACATCACATGATGCACTATTGTAACAGCTTGACTTTCTGGATCTAAAATATGAATCTCTTGGCAGATTTTGAGTTTTTCAGTGAATAATAATTGAGGAAACTGTCGAAAAACTGACGCAATACAAATCAGACACAATATTTTATATATCCTCTACTAAAGAATGGTATTTTTATGTGTTTGGGGATGTATTTGGTGTAGTACTTCTAAAGCTAATGTGATAATGGTTCACTGGAGCACAGAAAAGCTGAAAAATAGTGTTTACTTAGGGTGAAAACAAACAAAGAAATGGATTTTATTCACATTTAGTTGTCAAGAAAGATTTATTTCAGTATGGTACCAAAAAGCAGAACAAGTGTTGCTAATTTCATTTGTTGCTCCAGATATGAAAAACAAACCCAATAAAGGAATGGCTTCTGCCAGCTCTTGAAAACCACATTCATAATCTGTTTTCCAGCATCTTTCAGGCCTTCATTTAAAATACTTCAACTCTGTTTTTACTCATTTGATACATAAGGTGAGAAAAACAAGCCCCCACTCCCAGACGCTGGTTTTTTAACACCACTCGAGACGTGGAATGTAAACAAGTGAAATATAAGCGCTGGGGAAAGACGAACAGTTGTGGTTTGGAAGAGAGGGAAAATCTGTGAACCAGTTGCCAAGTTGCTAACCATATGTCATGCAGCAAGGACTAGGGTCTGGGAATGAGGCCAGATTTGGGAGATGAGGTGCTGTCGACTTTTGGGATGAGATTCTGGTGTGTTTGTTAGTAACGGCTTGCTGAGAGTCACGTCTATGATCTGGATTTTGTAGATTGGGACCCAAATGGTTTCACTTTGCCACTTCAAAGGATGCTGTTTTATTAAAAAGAGCTCCAAAAACACACCTCCGAGTGGGCATATTACATTTATAACATATAAAAACTTAACACGCTCCCACACACAGTCTGTGGCTACCTATTTGCACACTATGGCTTTATCAAAGGACACTCTGTCTTTACCAACTCCTGCTACTTTGATGTGAGATTTCATAAGGGCTAATGTAATTCATATTTATCCTCTTAGCCTTAAGCAAATTTCTCTTAAGTCGTTGAATTAATCCAATGTCCATATAAACCCTGGCAGCTCCTAAAAAGAGCATATGACTCACATAATTGGCACAAATGTAGAGAGAGAATATCCCACAGTATAACTTTGTTTCTAAGGATCTTCTGAGCCCCTAAATTCGATTTACAGGGATATTCCAGCATAAAATTAATTCAGGGTCAAACACACCATAACACCGAGTTAGACACCCCCCCGAGTGATGAATGTTGCCGACCGCTTGGTTCTCTAGTTATATCAACTTTAGTAACAACCGCAGGATAGCAATACACAGCGGTCAGAGGAGCCATAAACAAACCTCATCCAAAAAGCCACTAAACATTTTTTTAGCTTTGCCTTATTTCTTTAGCAAAGAGACTAAACACAATTCACCTACTCTCTTCCAGCAGCCACTTGTTTGTAGCGAGACATCGGGCCCATCCATTACGGACTACAGCAGGGTGATGGAGCTCAGGGAAGAACAATTATGATCATTACTTTGTCATTTCCTTGAAGTAATAATCCTCATATAAATCATTTTGCACTGCAGACACAGAAGTTCTTCTGCCTTAGCGTATCGGTCTGATTGCATTTCCATGAAGAAATGATCATAAATGTTTTTCCTTGAGCTGTGTCCCCCCGCTGCAGTCTGTGATGGACTGGCCCGAGGTCTTGCTATTAACAAGCGGCTGCTGGAAGAGAGAAGGTGAGTTGTGTTTAGTCTCTTTGCTAAAGAAATCAGGCAAAGTTAAAAAGATGTTTAGTGGCTATTGCTATGGCTGGGACCCTTTATGTACTGTTGATGAAGTTAGGTGCTGTTCTGAGCATTATTTGCGGTTATAGAGTGGCGTTTTGGTTGAGGTTTGTTTATGGCTCCTCTGACCACTGTGTATTGCTATCCTGCGGTCGTTACTAAAGTTGGTATAACTAGAGAAGCAAGCGGTCAGCAACATTCATCTCTCGAGGGAGTGTCTGACTCAGCGTTACAATATGTTTGACCCTAAATTAATATTACACTGGAATATCCATTTAAGAGCTTACACACAAATTATGAAAATGGACACCTGACCACCTCACACCCATGACTCTTCCTTTTCTGCTCATTTGACCGTTTTTTCACCCTGTCTTTGCCCAGTACCCCGCTGCTCTGATGAACCTCGGCGCCATCCTCCACCTGAATGGAAAACTTCCAGAAGCAGAGGCCAACTACCTGCGTGCGCTCCAGCTCAAACCCGACGATGTCATCACCCAGTCCAACCTGCGCAAGCTGTGGAACATCATGGAGAGGCAGGGACTCAGGATCAGGCAGGGCATACAGAATAGCAACCTTTGAACTGAGAGACTCACCGCTGTCTTCTTTTAATGATGACACACTGTCCTCTGGAGAATAAAGCAGGACGGGATATGAAAGAGCTGTGGGATAAAAGCTCGCTCTTCGTGACGAATTCTTTAATGTCATGGTCTGTGATGGTTGTGGACGACAGTTTGAAGCTTGGCACGTTGAGGATTCAAGGGTGTAGGAGTCAAGCTTTGTAATACTTCACAGTGACGTTTGGTAACTCAAAAGACAGAGTGATATCAGCCGTGTGTTTGAGTTCAAACAAGTGATGCTCAGTTGTGAAATGATGCACTAAAGTCAAAGAAGATGACTGCAAATTACAATATAACAAAGACCTGAAGACAGAAGTCAAACATCAACTATTTATGATTATTTTAAGCACTTAATTTAGTTTAATTTGGATGTAGCAAACCTAATCCTTAAGAAAAAGGTATCAGAAGAATTTGAGGATTTCCACTGACTAGGTTTTGAAGCAATCAGTACTGAAGGGTGAATTACATTTTCCTCTATGATTCCTGTGATTCTTTGTTCCCAGGAATCCCAAGCTTTTGGCATACATGGTTTTTAGGAGGGCTAATTTATATGTAAAAATAAGCATGTTTAAACCAGGAAGAGCCAGGTAAAAGTTAGTAATCTAACCTGTCTGCAGAAGTTAAAAACAGCAAAATGTGAGACATCTAGATTTCTGGAGCTGGATGTCTTAATTTTGAAATGCTATCTCACAAACAAAGAAAACAAGGAGAAAAAAAACATTTTAAAAACTGAAGAGGTACAAAAAACCTGAGCTACTCGAGTCTTTAGGAGCTGCTCCTTATTTCTGCTTTAGGCTAGCAGCTCAAGGCGACATTACCTGCTACCGGCTTAACCCAGCTCAGTCTCTTGCTGTGTTTTGTTTAACTTCAAGGTTTGGAAGTTGGGGTGATCTATAACTCAGCTGACCAAATTTAGTATTGTGAGTTGAAAAGTTAAGTTTTCATAGAGCCAGGTTAGCTATTTCAATACAAGTGTTAAAGTAACACAAGCTGTATTTTGTGTATACAAACACAGCAGGAATATGTCCACACATGTTGGACAGAGCTCAGTACACAAGACTCTTCTGTTGTGTTCAAACAGACGCTCGCTGCCTTCCAAACAGTAGGCAGACAGTTTGGGTAATGTAGGCGTCATGAAGAAAGGATGCATTGAATGAAAAAAAAGGTCTGGTTTGGCAGCATGAGTGGTGTGCACTTTTTAAAAGGATGTGAAATTAAAGATTTGATTGAGAATTGCCATAGTAAACCATGATCCCTAAACTATGATTTAAAGCATGCCAGGGATTAGGCGTTACCATTACAATCATTGCCAACCACTAAAATGAAACATAGAGTTATGCAGAACCAGTCACATTCTGTTGTTCATATCACTGATGAGTGCATTTCAACCATTTATTAAAATTATAATCAGATTTAACTCCTCAGCGGTGCCAAAGCTTGAACTGAGTTTTTTCGCCTCTCGTGCCAAGCAAGAACTGTCCTGTGTTGTTTCACGTGTCAAATGAAGATGTTTCACTTCATGTGATCAAACTTAATTTATTAATCCATGTTATTTTATGTGAAAAAGCCAACACTGTGCCATCTCTGTCGCAGGTTTTCTTCACATAGACAGGCTACAGAGGGTAACATGGCAGTGACACTCAATGTTTTTTTTATGTATATCTGTATTATTTTCTCTCTGCTCAGGGACATCTGCTTTTGATTCCTGTCACAGAAAGGGATTGTGACACAGAGAGAGCTTCTTAAAAATGATGTTACATGTTTTTTGATGATCGTGAAGTTTGGTTAAATTATAGAAAACGTGTAGCTGAAAACGTGCCGTGTTTTGTAAAGAAAAGTGAACTTTTTTCCATAATAAAAACATGATTTTGCTCCCAGAAGTCTGATGCTCTTTCATGATTCTTACCTCTTAACAGTGTAGATTTAGTCGACCAACCCACTCATATTTTTATGTAAACACAGAGTTATTTCTTGCCTTTACACACGCCTCTAACAACAGAAAATTGGAACTGATTAAATCAAATATAAATCTAATTGAAACCCTCCAAACAGGAAACAGCTACTCAACGAGGGGAGTTCATAAACTCAATTTCTTACACCTGTATATTTATCCGTTTAAGAGTGACTGATGTGCAAAAAGCAGTTCCCACAGAGCTTGTGCTTATGGAGTGTGTCTGCAGGCAACCAACAGGTTATCACCCAGCAGCAGTTACAGACTTTGAAAGGAACTTATTATAAAATGTGAATCTTCAAGCTAGTGTATTACTTTCCTTTTGCTATCTTTGCTCTTTTGCTAAGTAATGAGCTAATTGCACTTGTAAGTCTAAATACAGGTTTAATAGGTTGTTTTGTTGCACTAGGTTAAAAAAAAAGTTTAAAAAAAAGTTTCCTGAATATTTTTTTTATGATGAATATTTTAAAACAAACTAATTTATCTCAACAAATAGTTCCACACTCAGAGTCTCTATCTCAGTGACTCACACACTCACAGCTCCCTCTGATTAGACTGAGTCATGTCACTACTTCAACATGCTGCTATCATCTGATCAACACACATCAAAGAGGGCCTAATCACACAGCAGACTTCAGCGCACTGCTGTAAATATGTCAGCCGACAGCACCGACTTGCAGAAAGTCACAGTCCCAGTTTGAAACATTTTAAATATGCAACACAAGTTTGCATAAATCTGCAGGGGCTTAGTTTGTTATGTAATAACAATTATGACACTGAATCAGGAATGTGTTTGTTGTGCATGAAATTAACTTTGTTTTTCAAAAACCATCTGCAATACTCGTCAATGAATCCGCCCGGCTTACCTCCAGGGCCTATTTTCTGAGAAATTACATTTTAAAATGCTTCAGCCTATAATAAATGGAATGGAAGAAATCCCAAATGAAGAGCATCGGTGTCTGCATAATGACGTCAGTGCAACTCTCAAGTTTTCTGAATGGTTCCCAATCCCAGTCTCCATCCTGGAAGAATTTTGACACAAATAAACCTACAGGGATTAAGTGGGGCGAGATTAGTCTCTCTCTACCCTCTGTACCATCTCTACCCTCGGGGATGAGGTTTTAACCTTTTCTTATTTTTAGTTTTTACTTTTGTTTCTCCATCTTCCACTTTCCCTGCCCAAGTCTTTCTCTTTCCCTTAACTGGATTCAAAGCCAGGACCTTTACATTCAAAGGCAGTAGTCATGACCTTTAAACCAAAGGGCTGCTTGGCTATACTTTTGTTTCTTGGTCTTTTCATTCCACCAATTTGTTTTTGTTGTTCAAAAGCAAAGTGCAATGCTGCAAAAGTCCCATCGCCCCATTGAGCTGCCTGTCAGTTTTATTCAGCTGTTTCATAATAGTGACCCTAAAACTTTGGGTCAGGCCACTTTGGGAGGAAAGCACGTCTCTCTCCCTTAACCCCAACATCTCCACTCTTGTCCATCTGGATGTGACTGCCTTTTAAAGACTTTTCATTCAACCATTTCAAAATTACTTTAAAAAAATCTTGTTCACTATAACATATGGGAAAAACATTCCCTTTCATGATGTTTAACTAGTGTGTATTGTGTGCGTCATGGTACAAAAACTAAAGAAAAATGGCAAAAAGAAGAAATCTGATCAATAACTCTTAACTATTGTTCCTCATCATATTATTGTTTCTTAACTGTAAAATAACTTTAATTAATTTCATTAAGCATTTATCAACTTTCGCTTACCATTTATAAATGACTGTCTTCATAGTATGTTACTCAAATGTGTTCAGACATTTGACAAAAGTTGAAACAAGGAAAACAAGAGGTGACCACGCTTTTGAAGTGATGGCTCCAACACTGTGGAACAATTTACCTGCTGATCTTCGTTCAGCTGTTTCCATTGTCACTTTTAAAAAGCTTTTAAAGACTTACTTATTTAAACAGGCCTTTACCCTACCCGGTTTTAACCAATGCTCTATTTATGCCATTGTTTTTTTATTGTTCTTTGATTTTACTTGATGTTTATGATTGTATTTTGATCTTTTTACTGTGAAGCACTTTGTGAATCTTTTCTATGAAAGGTGCTGAACTAAATCAATCTGACTTACTTATTTACAAGCACCAGGTCAGACACACTGCCCCAGAAACAGACTGCTTTACTGCTTTCATTCCTTTGTAGATGAGTTTTGGCTGGATGGTAGTACTATAGTGCCACCTGCTGGATATTCACGTACACTACACTGTGTGGTTCTCGGCTTTATTGTCATGTTATTTGAACAAGCCGTTGCTAAATCATTTTCACGCACATCTGTTGCCCACAAAGTAGGGGTCTCTTGGTGAGCTGTTCTGTCCCCTAATTTTTTTTTTTTTTTCAATTTTTTTTATATTTTTAATATTTGCTCATACGAAGTCTCGATCTAATACTTGTATTTGTCTGCATAACAGGGCAAAAAACTGCTTTTAAAATTATTAACAGGGAGATTTAATTTACACTCTAAATATTATTCTATTCTATATAAAGTCCTGGTTTACGTACGACTTTATTCTCGTAAGTAATGACTTTAATCTCGAGGTCTTTTTTTTTCTTAATGTGGCCCTAAAACTCTGTCATACTGGTAAGTGGTCCAAATGAAAATACATAAATAAATTAAAATATATATATTTAAAAAAGTAATAATAATCCAGTGACGTCAGCGCACCTGACTCCATGAGCGAACCCGGAAGTGTGTTTCTCCGTTGACCAGCGTCCTCAGCCTCAGCTCATTTCGTATGCCAGTGGAAGACATGGGGGCTGTGTTTCACAGCGATCACTGACAGTGGTTACAGCTGAGAGAGACCTCTTACATCAACATCATAACACAGAAAGCCTCCAATATACCAAGGTTAGTCGCTGAATAGTTTCGGTGTTTTAATCAAAGGCTCTCACGGTCCTCTCTGTCTACTTGCGCAATATTGGCTAGTTAGCTTGAAGAGGTAGCTACCGTGAGCTGTTTGTGTGGAAAATGGATTAATTCCTGCGATGTTATCAGGCTGGCAGAGCTTAAGGGATAGATAAGGAGTTAAAAAAAGGTTTGAGAGAGTCTCTGGTGATTTGTACCTGTGGTGTCACATCTCTGTGCTCGTCCTGAAGTGTACGCACAGGCTAAACAAGAGCATCAAATGGGCTAACATCCAGACATTTCTCATTCGCTTCAACACATTTATTCCTTTTAAACGTTCATATTTCGTGCTGAAACTCATTCTCACCTCATGATAATAGCTTTTCATATCAGTCCTGTGTTGTTAAGCTGTTATTAATGACATACCCAGTGAAATAATGACGGTGAACTCATGTTAGCAGCTGTGCTAGGGAGGCTGTGAACAGGTGAATGTTTACCTGTGAACCCCTGGACACGAGCCATCCTCGAGCTGCTGCTGCTGCTGCTGCTGACGACACACAAAGGGTCGACCAGTGTTAGTTTGTCTTGGCATGATGGTTATATCTGTCAATAGATCTGGAATTTTTGAAAGTAAATTCAACACACAACACCTCAAGGGAGCAATACTCTCATCAAAATCTCACAAAGACAAATGTAATTCTGATCAGGTATTAATGAAAGAAAAGAAAAGTTACATCTTAGAATACGTTAATAACAGTTCTAACTTCACATGTATTGATGTGTTAGAGATGGTAATGGTGGGTCTCAATTAGAGTAATGTAATACCTCTGACTGAGTAGGGCTGGGTGATAAAACTATCATAGCGACTGCTTTCCTTCAACAACAAAAAAAGGCCGCTGGGGTTTAGGTTTGCTTGCATCTGTGACTCGCTTGAATGATCAGTCCGGTTTGAGTGTTAAAAAAATGATTTATTGTTCAAAAAAGGAAAGAAAACACACTGATCCAACTTTCAACTGATAAGGTGATATGATGAAATGAGGTTAAAACAGGATGAATGAATGAAGCAGTGAAAAACGGTCAACAGAAAATTATCAGCGCTTACTAAACCCATTGTCTGACTACATTTGTGAGATTTAAATAACCTGCCAAACATCCTACAACTACATCCCTCAGTGACAATCCCAGAAGTGACGTGCCTACAGAAAAAAAACTTTCAACAAATATACTTTGGCTCCTACAATGATAACGATTTAAATCGAAAGTTAATTTCCCTCAATTTTAATATAATTGAAAGCTGGTATCTTGCATTCCGCCATGTTTTGGTAGACTATACGAATAGCCAATGAAAAGTTGCTCTGGGTCCGCTTCACGCTGAACCAATCATGTGCTGAATTAGAACCAAGTATCAAACAACTGCGTAGTAGCAGGCTGCAGCTACACGCAACCATAGCACTTAAACATGTGAAGCCGATAGCACTGTCAGTGAGAATAAAAGAAAATGAGTGCTACCCCCGGCAGAAATGCAGATGAAGGCTCAACAGATGATGACATTGTTGACAACACTGGCACGAAAACATCAGTGGTGTGGAGGTATTTTGGTTTTCTGAGGCCAGACATAAAGCAGAGTAATGTGCACTGTAAATTATGTTGAGTACATGTTCCCGCAAAGTTGCAAAAGTTTACAAACCCCGCTTTCTCTAGCGCAACGCCTTATGACAAAACGTCAAAGAGACACAAAGACCTCACAGATGCAGTAACTTATTGTATTGCGAAAGACAAGCTACCAATAAGCACTGTTAAATCTCATTTTTTATGTCGTGATATCGATATTGACTCATATGAAAAAAATATATCGTGATAAACTTTTTCACATATTGCCCAGCCCAACCTCTGAGTTGCCATTTTATAATAGCACGTCTTCACCTTGTGTAACAGCATTTACATTAAAAATATCATGTCTATTTTAAATATGATGCCAGCAACATGTTTCAAAGAAGTTTAAACAGCAGCATATTATTTACCATGCTGTATGTTGCATCACCTCTCCTGGACTGCAGACAGACCAGTTGAGCACCTGATCCGCTCTGTAGCCATGCTGTTGAACTACATGCCGAATGTGGTTTGGTATTGTCCTGCTGAATAATACAGGGTTTCCCCTTTAAAAGCATTGTCAGGGTGGCAGCATATGTTACTCCAAAACCTTTAAACAGATTATGGTCAGCATTAATTGCGCCTCTTCAGATGATCAAGCTACCCATGCCATGGACACTGGTGCCATCAGGAATGCTGGGATTTGAACAGTGAGCTTATAACAAGCAGGGTGTTCCCCTTCCTAATCAGAAAACAGAATTCAGCAAAACCAATGTCAGCTTTGAACGCGTTAGGTCACAGGACAGTTTTCCACTTTGCATTAGTCCATCTTGAATGGCTTTGAGTCCAGAGAGGTAGGAAGTGTTTCTGGGTCATATTTGTAAATGGTTTCCTCTTTGCATGGTACAGTTTAAACCTGCATTTGTGGACGCAAGAATAGTCTGCGTTCATAGGCAGGAGTTTTGAGAAGTGACTTTGAGCCTATTCTGTGAGTACCATGGCCATCCATTACTGGTTTTGGCCTTGTTTCCTTTGTATGGAAGTTTTACAGAGTATTAGATTGTTTTACATTGTAGATGCTAAATTCCACAGATTTATGTAATTTTAGTTTACAATAGCAATCTGAAATTTGAAGAACTATAAGCTCTCACAGTCTCTCACAGAGTGGCAGACCCCTTCCCATCTTTACCTCTGAGGGATTCAACCTCTTTGCAAACATATCCTATTAGATAAATGATGCTGAGAGGTGTTTTTTTTAAGCATTATGTAACTTTTTTCAGCGTTTTCCTGTTCCAAACACTTTTCAATCCAGTTGGTGGCATTGAATACAAAACTTGCACATGTTTATAATGAGTTTTTATGTTTGATATATCATCTAGACAGATCAGGTGTGCAGAAACAGTCACTGCTTTTAAATCACGTCTTAAAACTCATTTTTATAGACTTGCTTTTATGTGATTTTGTCTTCTTTAAAACCTTTTATGCTTCTTATTCATGTTTTATAATAGTCCCCTTGGTCTCAGGTTTTTGTGGTTGGGTTCCTGTGTTGGCTGGGTATCACGGGCCCTTTATAATGTCTTTGTTTTAATGTCTTTATTTTAATGACCACTCAGCTCATGTGACATTCATCAAAGCTTTTATGTCTTCCACCAATTTTTATTTTATTTTATTTTATTTCTTTATTGCCAGTAATGTGACATTTCCCCCAAGTGTTCTCTTGTTGTTGTTCTATTGTTTTTATCGTCTTTGTTTTCCTGCATGTTAAAACCCTATGTTAAAAAAGTTATTATTATTATTATTTTTACTATTGATATTATTATCTTTGCACTATTTTGGATTAATTCTGTGTCTTTAAAATGTTTTTCAGCAAATGATGAAATTCTGTTTTTATCATCATTTTACACAGCATGCCATCTCAACTTTTCTGCCTTCGTCACTGTCAGCGATTTTCTTTTATCTGACTTCCCATTACCCAACATTCTTTCAAGTCACTTAAAAGTATTTTAAAAAAGGAAGTACATGCTGTTGTTGTTGAGTTTTTTCCAGACATTTTATATTCCTGTGGACAGCTTGTACTATTTTTTAGGGAGGTATTATTCTCCCAGGCGGGCACAGCTCAGGCTGGACTCTGGTTGGTGCTTTGATGTGCAAATTTCCAAGCAGGTGCACAAGGGTGCATGTCTATTGAACTGCAGATGCTTTTGCTTTGTCATTAAGGGTCAGGCTGCTCCAGAAACTTCTATAATTTGACATTTTACTGGCTGCTTCATGCCTCTTACTCAAGAATATATTTATTTAAACTGTTGTGTTTGTTCTGTCATCTGTTTCTCACTCCAGCTGCCAGTTTCGAACTGAAAATGGAGTCCATGTTGAACAAGCTTAAAAGCACCGTTACTAAGGTGACGGCAGATGTCACCAGTGCTGTTATGGGCAACCCGGTGACGCGGGAGTTTGAGGTTGGACGACATATTGCCAGTGGGGGTCCCGGCTTGTGCTGGAGGATCTACAATGGCACTAAGAAGTCCACAAAACAGGTCTGATATAATGATCCCTCACTGCTCTCATTCACATAAATCTGATTATAAGAGATGAATGGACGACTGTTAACACGGACTTGTCTTTGACCAAACAGGAAGTGGCCGTGTTTGTGTTTGATAAGAAAGCGGCTGATAAGTATACAAAGTTTGAAAAGGACCAAATCATCGACTCTCTGAAACGAGGGGTGCAGCAGCTGACCAGACTGCGTCACCCACGTCTACTGACTGTGCAGCATCCTCTTGAGGAGTCACGGTAAGGCAGTCACATGCACACACACACACACACAAAAGCATGTATACCAAGGACTAATTGAGTGAGTCACCGCTCAATGAGGGGCTCGACTTTCAGGGAACAAACTCTGATCTATTTCTCTTTCTCTGTGTGCGTAAGTGATTGAAAGCTTGTCAGGATGAAAAGACTTTACAGACCCTCCCCTGTTTAAAAAAAAAAAAAAAGTTCCCTTAAGGGTAAACTAAGGTCAAGGCTGTTCCTGTGATTACTTTTTAATCTCTCTGTTTTCTTAACTTTATCCTTTACTCCTTTTTCCCCTTGTTGCTGATTGTCTCTCTCTGCTCAAAAATAATTCATCTTAAAAAACAAGTTGCTTCAAATTGCACTGATTTTACTCCTGTTGTTTATCCCCTCAGAGACTGCTTGGCATTCTGCACAGAGCCAGTGTTTGCCAGTCTCGCCAATGTGCTGGGCCAGTGGGAAAACTTGCCCAGCCCCCTACCAAACGACATCAAGGAATATAAACTGTATGATGTGGAGACCAAATATGGCCTGCTACAGGTAGGAGTGCAGAAAAGCTCAGTTGAATTACATGTAACAGAAACTTAAGATAATTTTGGTACCAATTTATATGACCTCATCTCATATGATATATAATAAGCCATAGCTTTATAAGGCATTATTCCACAGACATTGGGTGTTGGGACCTGTTGACCCCTTAAAATGATCAAGTGTTACTGTGATGATCAAGACCATGGTGGTGTTCTGAGCTTATTTGTGGCTATAGAGTGGCATTTTGGTTGAGGCTTGCACGTGGAGATGTAGACCGCTGTGTATTGCTATTGTGCGGTCGTTACTAAAGTTGGTATAACTCGAGAAGCAAGCAAAGCTGGTGGAAGAGGCACTTCTTTTTGAAGAGGGGTTCATGTGGTCATTGAAAAACAAGAAAAAGGTCCAAGGTGCTTTCCTATGAACAGCTAAAAGCCTTTATTTTCATGGTATGGTCATGTAGACCTTCAAGTAATCTGGTTTAAGAGACAGATGATATCTTATTGTATATAATTTTAGTGACAATCAAATCAATAATTTTGATAAAGCACCAGTTTTTCCTCTTGTACATCCTCAACCTTTCCACACACCACCATGACACAGTCTAACTCATCTCGCAGGCTCCACTACTATGAAGTCTATTTCTGGATGCCAGCTACACATTTATTCAATATGCCAGCTCAATCCTGTCGAACCAGCTCAGTTTAATGCGTCATATTTCATTATAATAGGTTTATAGTGTCAGTCAGCTTTGTCAACAACACGAAACTTCATCAAACAAATCTCAGAAATTATTTCACTAAGCCATGGCAGAGGGAGCCTCTGTAACTCTCAAACATGTTACTCTATCTCCATTTCCTAGATCAGAATAATGCCAAGCTGTGCCTCGCTGCAAGATGCAAGCTATCATCTGTGCTTGTTTGCATCCGTATACTCAAATATTAAAGCGTTACAGCAGTTACCATTAACCGCAGCTCCAGCCCTGGCCAGTGGTGGTGGTTGTGCTACAGCTCAGACACGATACATGACTGACATTTCAGGCCCATAATAATACATATTTTCTTTATTTCAACAGCTAATTAAAAATTCTGCTTTTGTCTGACATTTTCATTCTTTGTCTCTTCAGATCTCGGAGGGTCTGTCCTTCCTGCACAGTGGGGTAAAAATGGTCCACGGCAACTTGTGTCCAGAGAACATCATCCTGAACAAGAGTGGAGCCTGGAAGATCATGGGCTTCGACTTCAGCATCTCATCGACTAACCCTTCAGATGCTGAGGTGTGTTGGGTGACCTTCGTTCCCTCAGTTCACATTGCCTTCAAAGCGCACTAGAAAAACTTTATCTAACAAGCTGACACGTCTTTATGTTCTCATCTCTTCAGCCTAAATACTCATGTAAGGAGTGGGAGCCCAACCTCCCTCCACTCTGCCTCCCTAACCCTGAGTACCTGGCCCCTGAGTACATCCTGTCCGTCAGCTGTGACTCTGCCTCCGACATGTACTCGCTGGGTGTGGTTATACATGCAGTGTTCAATGAGGGAAAGCCTGTTTTCCAGGTTAACAAGCACGACATATTTAAGAGCTTCAGCAGGCAGCTGGACCAGGTGAGAGGAGGCGCTATGGATGACATAATGGGTCATAGAGTAATAACGATTGCACTTTGTGGGTAAACTCAAATTTTCATGGACATTTTTTTATTCTACAGAAAATAAATGCTGCTAGAAAATCTGATAATCTTATTTTTCCTTAAGTTAGAGTTACTACCATCAATCAGATTTTTCTACTTTTTTGCATTGTTTCATTCTTTCCACATCTCTTAATTTCAGCTGAGCACAATGAGTCCAGCACTGTTGAACAAGATCCCAGAGGAAGTACGGGAGCATGTAAAAATGCTGCTCAGCGTCACACCCAACGTGCGACCAGATGCAGACCAAATGACCAAGGTTTGCATTGTTAAGATATGCACAAAGAAGACGTGAACTATCACAGGATGTGTGGCTGATTTTTCTTCTTTTTTTGTGTGTTTTGTGTGTAAAATACAGATTCCATTTTTTGATGACGTGGGTGCTGTGACCCTGCAGTACTTTGACTCCCTTTTCCAGAGGGATAACCTCCAGAAGTCCCAGTTCTACAAAGGCCTCCCTAAAGTGCTGCCTAAATTACCTAAGGTAATTCAGAGTACTTTTTAGATTGAATCTGCAGGGTATTTCAGGTTGAAGCGCAAACTAAGAAGGTTAAATAGCAGAGTAAGGGCCTGTGTCCACTACAGGCGTTTTTTGACATCAGTTTCACAGTTTCAGAGCACTTCTCAGTTACTAAAGTCGACTCACAGCACTTAAACTTGAATCTGATTGACTTTGCTCTGTGTGTTCAGTATTTGCTTTAATTAAGGGAGAATTTTAAAAACATAAAGACTATATAAGGACTTGCATCCTAGTCCCGCCCCTTTTTGATGTGAAAGTCCCACTCCGATCATTTCTTTTTACTACTGTAAGTGTTCTCAATGGTCTTTAAATTGTGATGATGAAATTTTTAGCCAAAATCACGTTACCTGTGTCATTTTCAAGAGCTATTTCTTCTGCAGAGCTCCTGTAGATCATTAGCGAGACAGTGCTGCTCTGCTCACTCGTCTTCACGTTAGCTTGCAGCCTAACATTGCCGATGCAGTAGAAGTGGCAGGTAACATAGAAGCTATTCAGCTCTCGGACACTAATGTCTATAGGGACACAATAAAAACTAATATAATTAGCTTTCTTTCAAGCATTGCAATAGAAGAAATACTCAGAAAAGCAATTTCACATTTAGTTTTCTCATGATATGTCCTGTAGCATCAGAAAAATGCCATATGAACATATAAAAAACAAGAAAAACATGATTTTTATCATAGTGGGTCTTTAATTGGTTGGAGAATAATTCAGTGGCAGTGCCTCCAAGTGAAACCATAACAAGCGAACAGCTTTAAACCGCACTCTTTTGAATCCTCTGGACCACATTTGTTTTTTCGTCCCTCCAGAGAGTGGTGGTGTATCGAATCTTGCCCGCACTGACCTCCGAGTTCGTCAACCCCGACATGGTTCCCTTCGTGTTGCCCAACGTGCTGCTGATCGCTGAGGAGTGCACCAAAGAGGAGTACATTCGCCTGATCTTGCCTGACCTCACGCCTGTTTTCAAGCAGCAGGAGCCTATTCAGGTAGAAACACAAACCTCCCCCAACGCTGTCTGTATTCACCGCAGTCGTAGCTTGTCTGTAAGAGCTAGCAAACTCTCTGCCTTTCATAATACATTAAAATGAGATTTTGAGCTTTGCATGAGTTCTTCTGTATGGCGATGGTAAAGTTCAGACTTTGACGTGAGATTAATCAGTGAAATTAACTGACTAAGGAGCATGCTCTGTTTGGGATGTCCCTTTATTGAGACTTGTCTTTTTCTGTATTTTTCTTTCATGCTTTCTCAGGCTAGTAATATGGTGAGTGGTCTCTGCTGTGAATGTGCTTACTTTACATCAGCTACCTTGTGTATTGTGTTGTCTGTTTTACTAAAAGGTCGACTAAAGCCACTGTAGGCGACATTCACCCCATTTTCTAACTCTACTCACTTATCCACCTGTAGCAGATAATGTTGACTTGTCTAGTTTGACTCTGGGTCTCTGTGCTGTGCAGATCCTGCTGATATTCCTGCAGAAGATGGACCTGCTGCTGACCAAGACACCAGCAGAGGACATTAAGAACTGTGTTCTCCCCATGGTCTACAGAGCTCTGGAGGCCCCCTCTGTACAGATCCAGGTACATTTTTCCTCTCAGTTTCACTCCGAGTTCTATTTTCAGTCCTGCCTTGAAGGATGAACGCACTTGGCAACATCCAAATGCCAGATTTTTTTTTGACATCTTATCTGTGGCTGAGCAGGAGCTGTGTCTGAACATCATCCCGACGTTCGCCAACCTGATCGACTACCCGTCCATGAAGAACTCCCTCATCCCTCGAATCAAATCAGCCTGCTTACAGACCTCATCACTAGCTGTAAGTCTCAATCATTTGCTTCTCTCAGCCTCCACTCTGTACGTAATCTTCCCATGCATACATAACACACAAAATAGTTTTCAGGCATTCCTATTTTCGCCCATGTCCACCCCTTACACTGATTTTCTTGTTACCTTCACAACAACTTATCGAGATACACTCTGGAAAATACCCCCTCTTTGAAACTGTTGATGTATTTGATCCTTTTCTTTGTATTTACCCTCCTTTTTTCTCTCCGTAGGTACGAGTGAACTCTCTGGTGTGTTTGGGGAAGATTTTGGAGTATTTAGACAAGTGGTATGTGATCGATGAGATCCTGCCCTTCTTGCAACAGATCCCCTCTAGAGAACCAGCAGTTCTTATGGGAGTTTTAGGTACGGACAAAGTCCTGTCTCTTTACCTGTTAATACTCGAGGCCTTTTTAAGCTTTAATGCTTGAAAATTTCATACCAGGGCTTGACACTAACTTTTTTCACTAAGAGCACATGGGCTCCTAAGTTGAATAAGTAAGGAGCACACAAAGAACTTTAGGGGCACAATGAAAATTGATCAAATCATGTGTATCTTATTGGTCGACATAAGTACTATTATTTGAAATCAATTTTAGGTCTTTTGGTAATATGACATTGAAGCTATTGAAGAAAATGTTCAAAATTTATCTTTAAATTTAACACAAAAAATTTATGAGGACAAATTAGGGAAATAAAGAGGTGTGTCTTATTGTCGGACCTTAGTACTATCATTTGAAATCAATTTTAGGTCAATTGGTCACATGAAGCTATTGAGGAAAAACAGCCTTTTTTGAGAACATCAACCGGTAATTTATTGATGGTCCCTTATTCAACACCCAACGTTAACAGTGAGGGTGCCGAGTAGATTTAACCGCGCTGCTCTTGCTATTCCATGAAAAGTCCATCGGACATCCAACCTAAAACTAACTAGCGGTATTCACATGAAAAAACATTTGTTGCCTCGGCTGATTTTTTTTTTTGTTTATGCACATGTGCCCTTAAATACATTTTAAAATTCACACACATCTGTTTTTAGTTGCAAATGCGAGTGAAATGCTTGCACTGTCAAGCCCTGCATACCCGTAATAAAATGGTTATAACTATGTAACCACAAGGTCCATTTGAATAATGTTGGTATCACAGTACAGGGAAGATTTGTGAGATTTGCTAAGATGTGTTAATATGAGTATATGAGGTGTCAAAGTCCCCCAACTTTGGGACTACAAAGGTCAAGAGTGAGGTCAAAACATTTTAGCGGCCTCTCAGTTTACTTTGGCCAGCCTCACACTTGAGGATTTTAAACCAGATTTAGGGCACTTTTTGCCACCCTGTGCACATTGTTGGGGGTTGTGCCCTGATTTGGAGGTTAATACAATTATCCTTTTTTTCTCTGAAGGAATCTACAAGTGCACCTTTAGTCATAAGAAGTTGGGCATTCCCAAAGAGCACCTGGCCACCAAGAGCCTTCCCCACCTTGTCTCTCTTAGTATAGACAACAACCTCAACCTAAACCAGGTACTATTAACTCAACTCAACCCTATTTAACACAATACCTGTTATGATTTGAAGTTTCCCTGTATGCTACCCTCACTTATTTCTCCTCTTGTTTCAGTTTAACTCATTCATGGCGGTTATACGAGACATGCTGAGTCGTATGGAAGCAGAACATAAAACCAAACTGGAGCAGCTGCACGTCATGCAGGAACAACAGCGGTATCCATCACAATTAAATTCACCCTTTGTTACAGCCGTCTTTTTATTCTCTCTAATTAAATATGAAATATTTATGAATATAAACAAGTATTTAAAACCATCAGCTGACACGAGCCCCATGAATATGGTAATTGTATGTGTTTAAATTTCATGCAGTCTGATTGTGTTAAATTCTGCATCTCTCACCAGGAGTATAAACATCTCAAACCCAGGACAACAATCAGAGGAGACAAAGAGCCCACCTAACACTGGAGCCCAGGTCTGAGGCGAACAAACATACCAGCAAACATGACTGCACACCAGTTTTGTGCCGCCGTGGTCTCATTAGGTTTTGTCTTGTTTTCAGATTGATGATATCTTTGGCAGCACTGGGGTTAATGGGAAGGAGAATGGAGCGGCGACATCAGCCCCGCAGCCTAATCGAGTATGGAAACTACTACACCTGATTTACACAATCCTGCACCTTTGTCTGTAGAGAATGCAGTCTGATTTGCTCACGGTCTCGCCCTCTTTTTCTCTTCCTCATAGATGTCGCTGACTCTAGAGGAGAAACAGCGATTGGCTAAGGAGCAGGAGCAGGCCGCCAAGCTGAGGAGCCAGCAGCCTTTAGCACCGCAGACCATCAAACCAGCCAACACGAACAACTCACAGGTAACACCTGAAGACATCTGTGAATACAAACGTACACACAAATGTGGCACTCCATTGTAAATCCTATAAAATCACTATTTTCTCATAAAGAAGCTTGAATTTACTGCACATTTCTTCATTTTTTCCCCTTCTGTTATGTCCTTTGCTCTTCACATGTTTATTTAATTTTGCAGACCAAGGACCTGACGAGCAGCCTTCTCAACAACATGACGTCTCTAAACAGCCTGTCACTGGCCAACAATGCACGACCAGCCCCGATTCAGGGCACCACCATCAATGCCTTCCCCTCCCCCAGCCCTGTGATGGGCACAATGGGCGCCCCAGTCTCCAATGGCTTCAACCCCACCATGGGCTTCCAGACTGGGGGCATGGGGATGGGCATGCGACCCGCAGGCCCTAACCTCTATGGCGGCATGGCCACCACCACCAGCACCCCAAACTTTGGAGCCCTCGCGCAGAATCAAGGACCCATGGGGCAGACAAACAGAGCTCCCGACATGTCAGCCTTGGACAATCTTTTTACACCCAGCCAGCCCAAAGTCACCCTAAACCAGATGGGTCCAAAGCCGACCGCCGGCACCAACACTCCTTGGCTTAATCAGTATGGTTCAGCCCAGAACGCTCAGACTCAGATGCAGGGGGCACCAGTTGCCATGGGAGGGATGCCTGGTGGGTTTGGGATGCAAGCAAACCCTTTTTTCAGCCCGCAGAACTTTTCTCAACCTGCTGCCGCTCCTAGTGCGAACCAAAGTGGAATCAAACATAGTGCATCCGTCAACAATGATCTGAAAGACTTATTCGGCTAAATGTGAAATGATCAGAGATGCCAGGTCAAGTATATTCTTATAAACTTTTCAAACAGGAGAGCCTTGGATTCTGATACAACTACTCACTGATTGAATGTGAAGATTTGAAAACCTTTCAAGGTTGTTGCCGTCTGTTTTTTTTTTTTTTTTTTTTTTTTTAATCTGACCTGGTTGAAAATCAGACTCTCTCTTACATTCAGCTGGAAAACTTGCGGCACCTGAATTCTGCTTCTACTTGACCAGATGGACGAAAGTTTGGGGCGGGAGCTTTGTCTTCTTCTATGCTGTGTTCTTTAAATGCTGGGGGTTTCCTACTGTTTTGTACTTGACATTCTTGGAAGTTCAAAGACTGGGGTTGAAATGAATCCCAAAACCGATCACTTCTGGAGGTTTGGTGTTTAGATAATGAATGATTGAGCGGATGGAGTTTCAAATGTATTTCATTATAATCCTGCCTTGATTTGGCAGATAAAGCTGCGTTTCTACCAAACGGTTCGGTACATTTTGGGTCAACACAGTATGTCGTTATGTTAGCTTCCATAGTCAAAAGTTGGGAAAAGGACCCAAATAAGAGATCAGTTCCATCCTGCTTTTTGGCACTCATCTATCAGGGTACCTACATGACCCTCAAGGGTGGAGCTTGACACTTGGTGATTATTCTTTGGGTGTCATAGCATGTTGGTCTGATCAGGAAACAATCTTCTTTATAAATGGGTGTCCAGCTTCGACACAGACACCATCTTAGCAGTGAGAGGTTCAACATAAGCTTAAACAAAGAGCCGTGCAGGTCACCTTGTCCTGGACACGGTATCAAAATAAAAGTGGTGTGAAAACAAGGGAAGTGTATTCACGAAAGAGAACAGACCGGGTTTTTGCTGTAAAAGCATCCTAGCTGTGATTTGTCTGCAGCTCACAGAAAGATAGATGAGTCATGAAGTGCTCGGGCACATAACACTGTAGGGATGCAGGTAAGATCAGGGTTTTCCATGCCAGCTAGCACCAAAATGTACCAAACCAAGTCTGGGCCGCTTTGTATAAACGCACCAAAAAGTGGCCTCACGCCTGCTTCATTTCAGGAAATCCACCTTTCATTTTTATTACTGATTTTCAGCTGTTTGAGAGTGTTCAGGCTGGAAAAAAAACAGCAAATCCAGGATCCTCTGTGGAGAAACCATTGGGGAAGGGAAAATGATCAGCCTCACAGCTGTTCAATGTCTGTTTTTATTGCAACTATTTCATGACAGCCACAGAAACCTCCATTTTAAAGACACAAGTCAAATTCTGCACCCCCCTCCCACTCTTTTCTTTCACTTTTTTATTATGGTCAAAAAGAAAAGGATCAGCTTTGTCCTGTCCAAGCTTGCTGGCAACCAACTCATCTCATTTCAGCGTGAATGACTTATCTTGAGCTGAATGCGTGGAGGAGCTTTTACAGCCAAACAAATGCTAACATGAATGAAAAAAGGACCATTTGCGCTGTTTAGGCTAATGTGCCTTAGATGGGTCCATGGGTAAAACTGGACAGACAGCACTCATCTGTTACCCAAGTATTAAGAATCGACACTTTCATTAGCTGTCTGGTCTGCGTACTTGCTTTGTCCTGTGTTGCTGAAATTGATCACGTAAGATCTAAACTTGAAGTCTCGTTTTCTGCTCGTATTAATGATTCCATATGATTCAAGTGACCAATCACAGTTCATTTCACACTCTCCGCTTCATTTTACTCTGACCAGGTTTTTCTAAACGATGGAAAGATGCTCCTCTGCACCATTTCTGTGGATCAATTTGTACAATGAAGAAAATTTTCACTCTATATTTTGATTTCAGCACTCTCCAACGTCAGAGAGAGCCTGTGCTGGAACATATTATGATGAAGTGTAAATATATAGTTATTTAATAATGGATTACTCTGTAAGGGCCGTGAGATTTTGATGTCCTTGTGATAACAGTGAAAGAGGCCTTAGATGAGTTATGTGCAATAATCCTTAACAGTTATAGAAAGGATGCACATCATTGCGTCCTTACTTTCATGTCCACTGATCGACAATGACTGGGGTCTGTCTGAGTTTCTTAACATTGATGTGTACTCATTTTAAAGCTTACATTTATGAAGGCACCATTTTGGCGTTTTAGCTGCACCTTGGCCGTTATGTGTTTCTGCAGACTGTAATTGTGAACATAATGAAGTGTAACTCACAACGGAGTATAAAGGCCTCATTAAGGGAGAAAAAAAATCACATTTAATAGAATAAAGTTGTTAGTTAAGAGGAATAATGTTACGTCACGAGAATGGTGTTGATACTTAAAGAGAGTAGAGTTATGACGTTGGAGACGGTTACACTGCGAGAATAAAGTTACTAAACTCACAACAATATGACTCTATTCTCGTGACTTAATGACTTTTTTCTTGTCGCATAACTTTATTCTCATATGTGGTTTTTTAATCTTAGAAATTGTAATTTTTCCCCCTCAGTGTGGCTCGGATACTCTGTGAAGGTAACATCTTTTCTTGGGTCATCATCCTTTCTTTCACCTGGACGGCGTGAGCTCCTCCAAGGCCCATGACAGTGTTACCTGCTTGTGAATTACACTTGTTAGGTTGTGTTCATTTCCAAATTCTGCCACAAAAGAAAACTCCAAGCGTTCCTGAAATTTCGTTAAATTTCGTATATTGAAGATTTGATTTGGTCACAGATTTGGTTTCATTTTTGGATAGTACGTCTCATATCCAGGTCGAACCCCAAAGCAGAGGACTAAAGCTTATTCTTCTACAAGGTTGTTTGTATACCGCGACTGTCCTATATGTGTAGTGTGGCCCTTGTTTTATGTGTGAAAGTTCTGGTCTCTGAGGTGGTTCGATTAAAATCTGTACATATAAAAAAGTACACAATCTATTGATGGGGTTGTTGGTTGTTTTTTGTGTGACTGGTTTAAAAGAAATGACTTACACAGTTTGTTCAGTTCTGTCTGCTGGTTTAATGTTTAATCAGTATCAAAGTGAACAGATTACATAGCAGTTTTCATGAATCAAAAGGCAGCATTCAATGAAAATTCAAGTTAATCTGTTTTTTCTTTGAGGTTCAAAAGGCAGTCAATGAAAGATGAATATGTGCAGAAAATGGCAGAAGAGATGAAATACTCAACTGATGTTATAAGGGTAAAAACAGTGGAGGCGCTGTGTTCTTTTGGTAAATATCCTTAAAACAGGTTAATCATACCAATATGTACTAAGAGTTTCCTCTGTCCTTTTCAAGGATTCTCTTGCTGTGTTGCATTCAATGCTACACAGGAAGTGTAGCAATTACAAGTATGTTAAAATTTGAAACAAAGCAGGTCACTTCTTAAAGATCTTTTCAGTGGCTCTCAAATCCTATTAACCCCAATCCAAATTCTTTGGAAAAAAAAAGTCAAACATCTGATTTTGAACTCAGAACTCTGACCCTTTTCTCTGATTTCTAACTTTTTCTCTCAAAAATTGACAGCTTATTACCTCATAAATTCAATCTTATAATTCTGACTTTAATTTCAACATTCTGGGTCCTACCTCCAAATTTAGACCTTCTTTCTCTGAACTCTTGATTCCCCCACAATTCAAACCGCTTCAGCTTTTTTCTCAGAAGAGATGTAAGAAATGTTAATCAAAAGGACAAAAAAAAAAAAGGCAACACAAAACTGGAAGCTGCTACTTAGTCTAAACGGGCTTTTTTAAAAAGGCACATGTAAGCAATCATGTAAACAAAATTCATCAACTAAACTCTACCATGTCCTCAACATGCCACCTACAGCAAGCCATTAACCCAAACCCTGAGTGGCCACACAGGTAAACATGATCTAAAAAAGCTGAGCACTTCAAACGTTTGGTAAACTAATAATAACTTCATGAAGAAGGACAAAGTGCATCATAATTATTGTTCCTCTTGCTGAAGTACAGTAAAGCATCTCTCTAACCTCCTACAAAATGTTCCATGTCAAAGAGTTACACTGTCCAGTCAGTTAGGCAGCTTGTGAATAACATCACTAGATTTAACCCTTGACCAATGAATCCTTCTTTATTGACAGTCACGGGTTAAGTCTTCGCACTTGTCTGGTGGTGTTTGTGGACAGGTTTCTCTGAGTCATGGCTGTAAAAGACAGAAATCAAGTACATCAGAGACTTCATCATGACTGTAAGATTAACACATTTTGAAAAAGGAAAGAGGATAGCTTAGCTCACCTGAAAAGTCCAGCTCATAGTTAAATCTTTTGGTGTTGAACAACATGATGCCTGTTGGGTTTTGTTGGAACTGAAGCTCGATATCCTGACTGGAAACACTGCTCTGGCGACGTCCCTAAATTGCAGAGAGAAACAACTCAAACTAAATAAAAATGTTACTTTCATATAAAACACATTTATTTTTTGGCAGGGACATTGCTGCCACCACGGTCCTATCTTAAGATACACACTCAATACCCTCAAAATATGAAACATCAACATTATAAAACCAACACCTTGAAATGTGCAGGTGTTAATTTAATTTTAGATAATGATATACATATTATTTTGGGGAAAACAGAGGACATAAACTCTTGAGACATGAGGCAATAAGCTGGATCTGTGCAGAGCAAATGTTACCATGCTAACATGCCGATTAGAAGATTACCATTGTGACCAAAATGATCAGCATCAATCATTTGAACCAATGTAGAGGTTGTTCAGACTCTTGTACTGTGCTACCTAATTTACACAGTCTTGCACAGACTCAGTATCTCTTTAAACTCAGTGATAAAAATATCAAACAGTTTAAAAAGAAAAAAGTTGCTTCTTACTTTCTTGTAATTTTGCCATGTTCCATCCAGAAACTGCCATTGTGGTGAAGAGCTTGAACTGAAAAAGAGGTATTCATTTCTTTAAAAATTCATTAGTTCAGGCATGTACAATCAAATAATTTAAATTAAAGAGGTTAAAGTCTGTGCTTTTTAGACGAGAGTTTAATTTTCTCTAAGAGCTTTTAAAATGAAGGTAGTGTGGTTTACAGTCAGGGTCATGTATCAAAACATTTCTCCTGACCTGTTGTTTGGTTGACTCCCGTCACAGATGACCCTCCTCACTGCTCTTCTAGTCCCAGTCTCTTCGTTAACTTGACACATACCTACATAATCAACCAGTAAACAAACAGGTCATTTAAACTCCTTAAAGGATTTCAAAACATTAAGTTAACTATCTTTTCTAAAAGCTTTAGATCAGCGGTGTATTACTCTGAAAATCCAGGGTGTAGGAGTATCCATTGATCCTGAATTGTAGCGGGGCCTGTGGATTCATCGTGTAGTGTGCCTCGATGTCGGCGCTGTCAAACGCACAAATCTTAACACAAACACAAAAACCACAAGTTGTTTCAAAAAGGGACACAAATTGTTCCCAGACATTACATGTTTGTAGGTTTCCTTTAATGCTGCTGCTAAAGCTAGTGAAAATAATTGGATGAATGACTTACATGTGCTTCATATTCTGACCATACCCCTTCTTTTATCATGACCTCCCATTTGTAACCTCTGTTCGGGGGGGTTATATTGGAGGAAGCAGCAGAGGTTGAGCTCAGGCTGCAGAACAATGGTAGAAAAACATGTCATTCTCATTTTATTGAATCCTTTGTGAACAGTAATGAAAGGTTCAAATCAGAACAGATTTAAACTTCCAATAATTCAGGAAAAAAGAGATTTTTCTAAAGACAGTTTCACCTTTTTGTGTTGAATTTTGGCCGTCTGCGAATATTCCTGCACATGCCTGTGGTGCCGTTTGTTTGAGTCATGGCTACAAAGAAAAATACAATAAGTTTAGCTGAGGTACACAAAGATGTTAATAGAAATGAACAAGCTTTAACAAGTGTCCCGTACAGGAGAAGTCGAGTGTGTAACTTGTGGATCCCACAGTGAAGCTGAAGGTTCCCCGGCGGTTCAGAGTAAACTGACGCTCAACATCACTGCTGCTTATCGAGGACACCACCATGCCGGAGCTCTGCAGAGGAAGAGGAGAGAAACTTCAGCCTCTGAAAACTCCCATACTTGACTGTAGTTTACGCTCGAGATTCACCTCACCTGAGATCCGTATTCCCGCCACAGCTGGTCGTCCCTGAAGTACCAGCCTACCTCCTCGGTCTGACCCTGAGAGAGGAAGGTCAGCCGCTGCACCTTCAGAGCCGCGTTCAGAGTCTGAAACTCATCAAAGTCGATGAACACTTTCCTGTGGAGCCACACAAGTTACTTTGACACATCATAAGCATCAAACCTCTTTGTATTAATTGCTTTTCTTTAAAGAATCTAAACCAACAACCACAAAAAGAAAAAAAATTAAATACTGGCCAGAAAATACAGACGAGGAATAAATGTGATCACTAACCCATTCCTGGTGTTGATGTGGATTCCTTTGGCTCCAGGGTGGCAGTAGTGGGTCTCAATTATGTGGTCGTTGTCAACTCGCTGCCACTGGTGACCAACTAAAAGCTGCCACTCATAGTATTTATTATTGGCTGACAAATAGACAAAATGAGAGAGAGAAATTTTTCAACATGAGCCATGATCTGACAGAGGTTTACCCACATTCAAGTCTGACCCCAGACGACAGTATCGTCAATACAAGGACAGGTGTGACTGAGGATGTTGTTTAACTCTGCTGATGTACAAATATGACTTCAGTTGAGTCTTTTCTTCGCACGACACTTTCAATTTATACTTTTTATGTTAATTAGTTTTATGCATAGACTGTATATACTATGGACAACTTGGTTCCACCTCCCGCCAGTATAAGGATTTGAAGCCAAAAAGCTCTCGGGATTTATGACCAATACTGCAGCCCGTCAACAGAGGGTGCTGTTCTTAGAGTGGCTTCACCCAGTGAGGAGGCAGACGGCGTCCATTGTATATACAATCTATGGTTTGTGTTAATCACCCAATCTGACACACTCACCCTGCAGCAGAGGGAATAACCAGTCTTGTAGCTAATAGTCACTGCGACACAACACTAATATGTAACAGTCTTTATATCAGTGTGTTTAATAACCAGATAAAACTCCTGACAGGAGCTTTAATTAAAGGCTCAAGACACACTTCCTGTACTTAGTCTTTTTAAGAAAGTATTTATAAGAACTGAATATGAGTGGGTATTTGCAGCCAATGTTTAATTTTATGTTATCAACAATATGATGTCCCACCACTTTTATGTCACAGAAAGTTTCTCCCTTATTTCAAGTGATAAATCTACTCAGCTAAACACGTTTGACCTAATACTGATTGAAGAGAAATCTTACTCTGGGTCGTTCCTTGTAAGACACAGCCCAAAAAGTTGAGATATGTAAACAAGCTAAATTAGGAACAGCCTGGATACAGACCTTGAATACCTCGCGCTAAGAAAGCAAACTCTTCAGGATCCTACAAAAACAAACACACAAAACAGAAAAATCAAAACTGTGAAATTAAAGTTTTCAGTCTCAAGTCAGACTTGATGGAGGTTCGACTACTTACCATGTTATGACGAAAAGCTGTAAATGTCAAAATGAGACATTAAACAGACGTTCAGAGAGCAAAAACGCGATGTATCCCGTTAATAAATGCCTAATGGCTTCATTAAATTCACTTTTTTTACGGTATTTCTCCTCAGAAACCCAAATGAAATCCCCTACCGTCTTCACACAGGCTCTCTAAGTCGTCTTTCACTTTCGTTTCTCGGCTGAAGCGTTCAGGAAAATGTCCCTGAGGCATTAATAGCTGTTGTGTAATGAGAGTTTCAAATAACATGCCTATATAAAAAGGCTCATGACAACCTCTTCTTGTCTGACTCTTACTAAGAAAACACACTAGTTTGCTAAACCATGACAGCTGCCCTCACAGGGGCGTGTCCAGACTTTTCAGACTGAGGTGGCCCAACCCGATCAAGGAACATAAAGGCTCATGTAAAAGTGGCATGAAGTAGGATACAGTTCAAACACAGACTGTTAGAGCCAAAGACATTATACACGTAGACGCCTCATTACGTGCTGGAGCGTAATCCAGCGTCACTGCAATATCGTATGGGTCTCCCCACTCCGGGCTCGCTCAAGAGCCAAACGAGTTAATGGAGAACGAGCAACTATGTCCGTATCTTTGCACTCTATGGTTGAAAAACCCAACGCAGTATTGAAACCAGATCATGTAGCATTAAATTTCACAAACAGAATTGAAAAATAATTTGTTTTTTTTAATATGTCACATCGTCTTGTATTGTGGCTACATCCCTGCAGTTGTAAAAAAACAAACAGTGGGAAAATTGGGCAGATATTCGGAGAGAAGCTTAGAAGTAAAGTAATAATAGTCTTGGTTTATCCACCACATTCCTGGGGACACTAAGAAGCATACGATTATGGGAGGAACTTCTGGTGGCATAGCGGAAGTAAAATTAGATTTGACTCTCCTAGTGGCTCACCTATGTCACCAGCAATAGTTTTGAATCCAAAGTAGCTCCTTTTGACTTCCGTTATGTAAGGCAGAGTGTTAATCAATAATCAAGAAAAATATGGAGAAAGTGTGGCAAGAATACTGGGACATCCAAGACACAGGAAGTCACCTTTAAAATATACAGGAAAAGGGTGGGGCAGAAGGAGGGGCAGGAGCCGGAGGGAAGAATCAGTAAACACACGACTCAATACACTTTATAAAATAGAAGAACACCCTGATGGTAAATGTGATCAATGTGGGCAGGCTGAAACTGTCCAGCATGTGTTGTTGGATTGTGGAGGATATGAGGAGGAAAGATGGACACTGGCAGCAGCTGCAGAGGAAGCCAGGATGGAACTTAATATGGGGAACAGACTAGGAGTAGAGTCAGAAGTTAAACTCAAGCATCTAATGGCATATTTGAAAGGTACAGGGTTAATGGAGAGGATCTAATCTCTGCCAATTTACTGTCCCACACTCCAGTCCAGTAGGTGGCGGTAATGCACCTTCAAGTTGGTTTGCCAACCGCCAATAAACTCCATTGAAGAAGAAGAGGAGGCTCCTTCTAATTATTTTTAAGGTATGTAGATTAACAGTTAAGTGTTTTAAATTTCTAAGGATGTCATTGCGGAGTTCAGGTACGTGTTGCGCCGTCTGAGGTTGTACAAACAACCAGACCAAGTTGAATTTGTGGCTCAACCAGCGATGCTTTCAACACGGACCCAAAACAAGGAGGGAATGCGGCTGTTCGACCCGGAACAACTTCCGACGAGCAAACCAAAACATCCTGGCGGAAAATTTTAAAACCTGAAGAAACCACCCAAATACTTTGTGTTTGTTCGTTTCATTTTGTTGATAAAAAGCCGACTAATGAAAACCCTAATCCGACTCTGTGGCAGGGAGAAGATAAACCACCGACGAAGAGACGTCGAGTCCGGAACAGGAGCGACATTAACCCCAAAACATCAGGTACCTCAGTGATTTCACCGGGTAGAAACACAGACCAGTAATTTCACTGTTTGTAGGAGTTTTTAACAGCAGGACATTACAGAAATATGACCAGAAAGTCAGTGTAAATAAAAGCATCCATCCAAAATGTTACCATCTGATGAATTATACCAAAGTTAACTTGTAGCCAATTTACTATTTCCTTTAGCAAATTACACTCAGAGATAGACTGATTAAAGTTGGCTGATTTTGAGGTTATCAGTATTATGTTGGCATCAGCCCTCACAAGGCCGATATCATCAGAGTCTTTTCTAAATGGAGACACTTTGTCCTCTACCTCCACTCAACAGCATATTAAATCTAAACAGTCACTGACTCGTGTTTTAACTTTGCATTATATTGTAAAATTTTGTGTTATCAGCAATATCAGCCATGTTTAACAATCTATAGCATAACCTTATATCCGTGTCTTCCTACTCCTTCATTACAAATCCCTCCATATTATCTTACTGGCTAAGACAGCCTTGTATGTAAGATTTTATTGTGCATGGATTAATAAATCTGTATATGACTTTTTTTATATATTTGAACCCCAATATTTATTTTGTATTCATTTTTCGTCATAGCAATCTTAAATTGCTAGACAGAATTTTAAAAAGTCATTTTTCCTGTCTGATTAAATATTCTTGTACGTTCAGTAATTGTGTTTTTAATTGTTTGTATTTAAGTGATGTGTTGTGTGACATGCAAAAATAAATTTTAAAAAAGTAAGTCAACACAATTTGACATCCGCTGATCTGATCTCTCATAACCAATCAGGGCCACCATCTTCTGCTAATGTGTTTCTGCAGCAGCACAAAAAGAACAAAAATACACATTTTTGTATTAAATGAGTGGCTGTCTGTGTGAAAAGCACCAGAAAAAGAAAGAGAGAGAGGTTGTTGAAAACTTAAAAAAATAAAATGTTATACATTACAGGAGCTTTTTGTCTGCAAAGGCCACCATAGTGTCACTGATATGAGGGGTGAACAAGCATTTGAGAATTTGACTACTAGGTGATGGTGTTGCACAGATTTTGTGTCTAATATTTTTAAGATTTGTTTTTGTGACTTGCCTCTAGTATGTGATACAATATGATATTTGGGGAAGAATAAAAGTGGGCATAAAGGTTATTGGCTGCATTGGATTTGATATTTTTTAAAACATGATTCTTGAAATGAAGGGTTGAATTTAGATATTCCACCTTACTCTCTATTTCAGTATTTTCAGCCTTGATGAAAATGTCAAAAGTTGAGAGTTGTGCTGCTTTGGTGAATTTACAAGTTGAGCTTAATTCAAATGAGAGGTGAGAAAAAGAAAAAACTGTCTATTTTAAGCTGTTGTGGCACTCATTCATTAAGTCATTTATATTTTATTCCATTTATATTATATCTCTGTATGATGAAATTTCCCTTGTATTCTGTGTAATGCAGGTTTGCAGTGCAATATGTCAAAGATTGAAGAAATGAACTAACAAACAAGACAAATATTTTAATTCTACCATAAATAATACATGTATTCCATCCCAAATATAGACAGTCAGAAAAATACTATGTATCAAAACTTTATTTTCCTGATTTTCAAGTGAAGAAAAAAGTGTCTGTCTAGCATGACAGTTGACCTTCTAATAAAGGTAGTTTTCTGCTCGATTTCACCTGTGTGTTCGTTTTCAACTTCATCCAAGTCTTTCTTGTCGTGATTTGAGCGTGTTTCTCTACTACTACATACCACGTCACCAGCCAGCCAGTCAGGAGACAGTCACATAATTATTTTAAAGTCTGTATTTATAGAATTTTGTATTGTTATTGATACTGAGTAAAATATGGGTAATAGTACTTGGCATGACTAATCAGTTTCCAAGGGGGGCCCATGTCACTTCTGCCTGTTTGGACACGCCCTTGTTAGCGCAACTAGCAACAAAGCAAATTAATTCCTTTATGAAGTCTAAATACAGTAATATTCTATCAGTCCAAGCTGTGAGAAGTGGTTACTATTTTTGTTACAGTTGTCATTAAACAGATTTTTCTGTGGCCTTACTTACAGTAATGGAGTTAATTTTTGAGATGCTGAAATAAATGAAAAACCAAACAGGTTTCACCAAAATACTGATGCTGTGTTTTATTGCTTTAAATGTCAAACAGACATGCAAAAGTTCATCGTGTTTGTAGTCCAAACCTGATAAAAACCACTATGGGTCTTCATAGTGAGTGGTTGTTAGTATGACACCATAAAGCTCATGACCTGAGAATTCATGAAAAATAAAGGCAAAAATAAATGCATGTTTACAGTCAGAGGCAACTGTTATGCTGTTTGGGCTGCATGTAACCGAGTGATATGAAACAGTTCAGAGTAAAGACGGCATGTTGTTTAGAAAAAGCCCAAAAAATGGCACTACATTTGATTCTGACATTCTTAAGTAAAAGATGTATTGGCATTTATCTGTGTGGCAGTAACATGAGAATATGTGGCCTGATACTTTGGGTGGTCAGTATTTTTGTCAGTATTTTAACTTTCTTCTTCTTCAGGTAAAACAACCATAAAAAATAACTGATGGTAAGGCAGTGAGGTGGAGGTATTTCTCACAAGTGTATCCCATAGTCTCAGTGACAGTTTATGTGGCAGCATTACGTTCTGAGTCATGATACGTCAAAGCAAAACAAACACTTAAAACAGCACCCTGTTAAGTTCCTTATGGCTTCATACTGTAAACAGAGTATTTCCTGTTATACTGGTAACAGAATCAACTACAAACAAAATGTTATTCTAACACCCAACACCAATGCATTTCAGTTTTATGTGATTTTACTGAGTTTGATATTCCACGATTGGTGTCGACTTTCTTCTTCAGGCCCAGGAGTCTTGTCTGATCCTCATACCAGCTCACGTTTGATCCTGCGTGTGTTCTTAGTCTTGAGGTTTGTTTGGGTCATTACTAATGATAATGAATAAAGAAAAATACAGGTAAATATGTGAACACATTAATCAAACTTAATTCATCAGACTTTTTTTAAAAGTAACCAGATAATAATCTCCAAACTGTGAGTAGCATTTTCATGGAAAAATAAAATTCTGCTCAGTTTGTCGGAAATAATAAGATGATTATCTTGAAAATATGAAAAAAATTTAACATAGCTGTTTTTCCTAAACGATCCTGAAAATAATCTGTATCTTGGAACCTTTATTTTTATTTGGGTTACTTCATCTAAATAAATAATAATAATAATAAAGCTGATTATTTATGGTAGATTCTCAGAAATTCATGTTTTCTGCCTTCACTTTACTTTTAAGCCCTTGTGAGAATTTCCTAATTTCTTTGTTGTCATGCTGCCACCTACTGGTGAGGGGCAGGAAGTCTTGCATGACATCATTCTGCAGGGACTCAAACTGATGTCACTTCAAAATGAGTGAAAAGCAGGCAGAGTTTATCACTATTATTTCTTTGTTGTTGTTGTTGTTGTTGTTGTTGTTGCATGCAGCTTTAATGTCTTATAAAATTATCTTACACTCTCTGTTGTCTGTAAATGCACAACAGATTTCCTGAAATTGCCAACAGTAATCCATGTGTTCACTAACCTGTAAATTTGTTAGTTACCGCTCATGAAATAATTTCATAAATAACTCAACCTGTGAAGTCCAGCTTGTAGGTGTTTCCTTTACATTTGAAGGACATGCTGTCATTGGGGTTTTGCTGATACTTCCTCTCGATGTCGTCGCTGGATACTGAGCATTCAGATGATGTCCCCTTCTGATGACAAAAGGAAATCATAGTCACCTTTAGCTATCCTTCAAATATCATTCAAAGACAAGCAAACCTTACCTCCACCTACCCTAGTTTTGAAAACATGCCATGCTCCTCTGTCTCCCTCAAACAGCCACTGTGGTTTGGTGCCAACGGACAAACTGTGGAGAGATGAGGTGGCTCCTTGCACTCTGTAAAAATATAAACAAAGTTATGTAGCATTACAACATTTAAAAGTAAAAGATGATTGGGTGATTAAAGCCTAACAAGATTTTTCCCTCTTGTCTAAGTGTTTACATTTAGCTAAGATAGGCTAAGTTAGCTGGTTGCAGCTCTAAACTAAAGTATTGGAGCCACATTAACTGAAAATTAATCAACACATCCATGTAGACTTTAATGTGTTTGACAAACGTGAAAATCCCAACTCACCCTGCTGCTTGCTGCTGTCGGTAAACTGGTCGACGATTAACTCTCCTCTTTCCTTTCTGACCCACTTGTCGCATTTCTGGCACAAAAAGAGTGAAAAAGCATTAATCTAATAGGAAAGTGACAACATTTTACAGCTGGTAAGTTTTTTTTTAAGTCTTCCTCACCTCTGAATTTTATCTCAAAAGTCTCAGCTCCAATATTGAAAGTAAAAGAGCTCGTTGGGTTACTCTGGTACTTCTTCTCTATGTCAGCACTTTTAATAGGACCAAGTTTTCCCTTTGAATCCTGTATCAAAAAATACAAAACTTGTTTTTAAATTGACCAAGAAGAATTACAAACAGATACTTCAGACTGGTCACACCCAAATTTTTGAATTAAAAGTGGTCCATGGGAGTATTTTTACACTCAAGAAGTTTATCTACCTTGTCTCCATACTTGATCCACTTGCGACGCAAGGTGCAGTACCAGACCCACTCAGTGTTACCGTCATCCAAACGTCTGACTCTCAGATTCTTCCCATACACTCTTAGCCTTTTGAAATCTATGCTCACAGCCCTGTAGAGAGAAACAGAGAGAGAGTAAAAGGTAAACTCTGAAGCAACTAATCCCCCAGTCTTTCAAACAGAAACTGAAATGATGACCATTCAGTTAGTCTATTGGTATAAGACATTGTTAAAACTGACAAGATTAAGGACTTGTAGCTAGCACAGTTAAACAAAGAAATGTATAACAAGCTGAAAACAGAGCCAAGGCTAGAACTTGTAGTTGCAATTTTTCTCCCTGTTTCTAATATTCTGCTTAGTTTCCCTTTTAAAAGATATCAATAAAAGTTTTAACAGGGACAAATTTGGCAGAGGAAATTTGAAATTTTGCTGATCTTAAGATGGAATTGACAAACTAATGAAATACAACATTTTCAGGTCTGTTCATCGCTCTCAGAAAGAGTCTAATCTCTTAGATAGATAGATAGATAGATAGATAGATAGATAGATAGATAGATAGATAGACTTTATTGATCCCAAACTGGGAAATTCACAAAAATTCTTAAATTCTTGCTCTTACCCATAAGGTGTGTTGTATATTTTGATGCTTTTTGTGTGGGGAAGAGAGTATTGGGCCTCAATAATGTGATCATTATTGATATCCTCCCAAGAATTTCCAGCGTTTAGCTGCCACTGGTAGAGTCGGCCGTCAGTGAGGTTTGGCCCTGGATCAAAAAATAAAACAAAAACCAGAATATTCAGATTTTAAGATGTAAAATCTTGGCACTTAAGTTTTTGCATCTTCAGCTCATTGTTCTTGTTTTCTGTCTCACTCTTATCAACTCCAGCACTGATTTACAAAAAGAAACCTTTGACTCAACAGTGATAGGAGAACATTTCTGCTCTTTCTTCCTGACCTGGAGACACAGATCGGGCTCTGCTCCCTGCTCCAGAGGACACCCTCCCACCTCTGGGATGATTCAGTTTACAGCTCGACCCGTAGCGACAGTTCCCTTTCAGTGCATATTTGCAGACGTGCAAGTAACGGCACCTTTGCCCATCTCGGCAGCCACCGCTGTTGTAGTACTTACAAGGTTCGCCCGCAGATGACTGAAATCAAAGATACAAAACATTTTTAATCTGAACCGGTTTGGCAGCATTTTGGCATCTGCTCTCCTCAGCAAGTGTGCACAGAGTGAGCTTAAACAAAGTGACCACTTTATGACTTTTACATGTGACTGATGATTCAGTTTCAACAAACCTGACTATTATCTTCATCCTCTGAATCTTCATCACTGTCTGAGTATTCAGCGGCATCAGATTCACATTCAGAGGAGTCCTCCTGTTCGTCTGACTGCTCTAATACCGCTACAAAATTAGAAAATAAAGAAGGAGACACTTAGATAATACCAGAGATTAAAATTCAACAAAACATATAGAAAAGACGGCGTATGAAGGCAGTTATCACCTACATGTACATTTTTAACTTCTGGCATGAGGGCTGCTTTAACAAACTGATCAAATATGCACAATGGTAATAACTATGCATGATCATTTAGAAATATCATTGTTAGGGAGTATTTAGCTGAGCTTTAAACACTGTTTGGTGATGTGTCCTCCATAATTTACTGTTTAACCTCGATTGTAGGTGTATTCTATCCAGGCTGTGCTGCATGAGGGTCATGTTATGCCAAATGTTCATCTGCTCTCTGCTGCCCCCTGTTGATGTATTAAATTACATGTTTTTGTGAACGTCCGCAGCTTGTTGGAGAAAAAGTCGAGCTTTAAGTTTCAAAAACATAAATGTTGGATTACTTTTTATTAAAGGAGTGTGAATAGGAAACCGCTTAATGATTATTAAAGGTGTTTTAATTCTGGTCGAAGTTTTATGAAGGCTGAAGCTGTTCTCGAGAAATGAAACTGAAAGTATGTAGAGTCATATGTAACTTAAACTCAGTTTAACCACGTTTGAAACGATTAAAATGTCAATCTGTGTTGTTTTGTTGTTATTTCAACAAATCAAAGTAGGCCAGTCCTTATATCATTGTAGTCAGCGTCAACACAAACTAAAGCTCTATCTTTTTTTATATGGAAAAGTCAAACTAATATAGGGACTATAACTGAATCATATAAAAGTTATCATTTCGAGTTTTAATGAAAGTTAAAGGTGGTTTCTCGCATAAATCCAAGTCAACCAAAATATACTCACGATTTGCCGTCGCCATCCCTCCGTTTGCTGTACTTTCGTTTTACTACTTATTATCGAGATAACCGCGCCTACTCGACTGCTTTAAAGAGCTGCCACTTCATTATAAATGCACTGGACAATCTGATATGAGGTTATGTCTGATGTTATTCTGGGCAGAGGTAGGCTACTACAGTTTACAAAGAGGATTTATTAGATGTGCCTTCAACGTCTGCAATTAAGGACCCTGTTAAGTTTGTCGCAAAGGTTATATTTAGTACCAAAAGACAGCACTGAGGCTTAAATGTTCATTGGAAACACATCACGAATCCCCGCTGTGTAGAAATAATAATTTAAAAAAGGTAAAATAGAAAAATATATTTTATGAAATAAATTTACTGATGATCTTTCCATGTGCAAGATTGGTTCCGGTAACAATAAGTTTACAATGTTGTAAAACCCTTCAAACAGATATACTTTTCTAAGTTTTTTACATCAGATATGGAGACAGAAATATGAAGAAAAGCAAGTACTGTAAAGGTCGAAACAAAGTTGAAATATGTATACAAAAAACTATACAAATCAAACAAAAACTTATCCCATGATGAATTAAAAGCGTAAGGATAAAAGTAAACATGTTTGCTGCCATTTGACGACGATATGTTGAATATTTTCCACGAGTTCATTTTTATTATGATAGTTTTTGTAAATATCCAATGCGCTAGATGGCGGTAGTGAGCATTTACACCCATTTGTCTACAGGCGGCGGTGAGCAGTACATTCTTCTTCTACTTTTTTAAAAAAGAGAAGAAGAATGTAGGTCCTCTTTAAATACGGAAGTGACGCGAAGTAGTCTTTCCCAAGAAGGGCACTTGATTAAACACTTGAAACGAAGAACGGAGAGAAAATGGATTTTGGGGATCATGTCTACACGAGCACCATCTATGACTATCAAAGCCCCTCTGACTTCACGCATAAAAGTGAGTACAGCGAAAACGTAGAGTTTAAATTACGCCAGTTCACCTGGACACTCACTCTGCCCCCCTAGCAAGTGGACTCCATCGGGAAGTACTTAGGGAGCATGCTTAAACAAAACATCACTTTAATATAACCCGTATATAAAGGGAGTATAGCCCGTTTTAGAGTTATATTGTCGTTAAATGTTTTCTTGTTTGTATGTTTCTCATTCTTAGTGACTGATAGAGAAGTTGCAGACTTTGTGAGGCTAAGGATCTCAAATACAAACCTGTTCTCTGGGAGAAAAAACTCCTCCATGGTCGCCTGGGGGTAGGTATGAAAAAAAGAGAATTGTCAAAGCATGTGGAGCAAGACTTCTCTCTCTGTCTCTGTCTCTCTTTCTTTCCTTCTTTCTCTCTCTCTCTTAAGATTAAGTGATTGACATGCGTACATGTTCATATTCTTGGCTTCCAATTTTTGGCTGAAATCCCTTTGGAGAAAACACAACATAAAGCTCACTTCTGACCCTTTTTATTATTATTATTATGCTGTGAACTGGAGCACTCCTGTAATTATTAAGAAGTCTGTTAATAAATAAATGAATCAAGACGGTAGAAAAGTGTTCAAATACATATCTTGCATACTTGGTATATTTTTAATGTTCACTATTTCTCCTTTTAGAGAGTGGGCGTTACCCAGAGGTAGTCTGGTGTAAAATTAATTCAGGGTCAAACACACCATAACACTGAGTTAGACATCCCCCTTAAGAGATATATGTTGCAGACCACTTGCTTCTCGAGTTGTACCAACTTTAGTAATGACCGCACAATAGCAATACACAACAGTCTGAGGAGCCACACACTAACCTCAACCCAAAAAACACTCTATAGCCACAAATAATGCTCAGAACAGCACCTAACTTCATCAACAGGACATATAGGGTCCTAGCCACAGCACTAGCCACCAAACATCTATTTAGCATTGCCTAATTTCTTTAGCAAAGAGACTAAACACAACTCACCTAATCTCTTCCGGCAGCCTCTTGTTTGTGGTGAGACCTCAGGCCCGTCCATTACGGACTGCTGTGGGGTGATGCAGCCTCAGGAAGAACATTTATGATCGTTTCTTTATCATTTCCTTGAAGTAGTAATCGCCATATTAATCATTTTGCACTGCAGACGCGGTAGTTCTTCTGCCTTAGCATCTCAGTCTGTTTGCAATTCCATGAAGAAATGGGGTACACCTGTCGACTGCAAGGCCAATTCTTAAAACGTTTCAGGCTGCTGTCTTTGAAAACCTTCATTTCAGCTTCCATGTGACACACTTTATTTAAGCCACTATCCCTTTAAGGAACCCCGAGTATTGCAGAACTCAGCATTCTTGTAGCATCCCGTACATGAGCAAAATTTCAGATTATAAAGTTGATGTGTGTTGAATTAATCCTCAAATGAGACTACAAGCTGCTCTGAATGGCGTGTTCAGAATGTCACATGAGAATTCAGTGAAATCACATTCATCACATTTTTCACACCTAAATCACAGTGTGTCAGTTCTGAACATGTAATAGCTAATGTTTAATATCAACCCTACTCTAGTTTTTAGGTTTTTTTTATAAACATTTACTTTTGAGAAGAACTGTTGGAGTTTTCTGTTGAACAATGAATACTGTCAAAATGAATGACACATTGTCTGTAGACCAATTACTTTACAGTGCTTGCTTGTGCTACAAATAACTTTCAGGGCCATCCTCGAACACATGAACCTGCAACACAAGATGACTTACCTTCAAGCATCCAAAAAATGGGAAAACTTGAAGAAGAAATATAAGGTAGTGTTTTTTCATACCAGTATTATTCTGACATTCATCAACATGTTTATACGAATCTTGCTAAGTTCTTTCTCTTTGTTTCCTCAGGAGTTGAAGCACCCTCCAGAAGGCGTCCAAGTGATCCCTGAAAATTGGCGTTATTTCAAACTGATGGACGACGCCTTGGAGGGTCGGCTGGAATGCGACGTCCCTATCCTCAAGAACCTCAGCATAAACAAAGACGTCGGGGATTCCGGACCCGTCAGACCCAAGAAGAGAAGGTTACACACGGTGATGAACTCAGCCTATTTAGCAGGAGGGTCAGAGATTGAGGTCTCCCTAAATGGAGATAAGGACGGGGAGGAGTGGGCTGCTCAGGAGGGAGACGAAGACTTGGATCACATCATGCAAGAGGTGGACAATGAGAGGGACATGATGGACAGCGAGCGGCTGATGATGGAAAGAGAAAAACAGATGATGGACAGGGAGCGGATGGTGCTGCAGCGGGAGAGGGCAGTGCTGGATCGGGAGATGGCTGCCGTGGAGCGAGACCGAGCCTCGCTGGAGAGAGAGAGGGCCACAATAGAGAGAGAAAAGGCAATGCTGGAGAGGGAGAGGGCGATGGTGGAGAGAGAGAGAGCAGAGGTGAGCCGAAACAAACTGTCTCTGGAGAGGGAGAGAGCGAAACTCGCAAGGCTTTTTGCCACAAAAGAAAGAACAATGGGTGAGGAGGGAACACAGGACGGCAGCCAAATGAAAGACTCAGAGGACACAAACAGGAAAGAGAGGTTTCTCAACTTGTTTGAAAAACTCATTGACAATTTTTGATTTTTTTCTTATTCTTTTTTTTTTCAGCCCTGAGCAAAGAGTTTCCAACTTTGCTGCATCTGAGAAATAAAATGAATAGTCTAGCATACGTCACCTTCAAGTTTTTCATGAAAAGGTTGAGCTGCCCTTTCCAAGCAACTTAATTCAACTCCATACAAAAGCAAGCTGTTAGTGTCGACCATATTCACAAAAGCGGCACTCCTCTCCTAAAGCAAACAGTCTTCTTTAGATAAACTCTTTTATTACAGACTTTTTGTATGGCTGTTGTGTAATCCTTGTTCTTTAAAGAGGCGGTATTCTGCGTATTTAAAAAAGGAAAAGCCACATGAAAATTTATCAAGAACAAACAGGAAAAGTTGATTGAGCAGCATGCCATCTATTCTGAAAACAGCAATCATATTCTATTTCTCAGTCACTATTGTTGCGGTAACAAGCTAAAGAAACACACAACAATAATTTAGTGAACTGTGACTAGGCACAGTGTGTAGAAATGGGAACACTTTCTCATTTCTAGCAGCAGACACCGTTCTAAAACACTCCCTTTTTTACCCTTTTGATGTCAAAGTGACAGTGGCCTTCGAGGACTAGAAGCTCCTGTGAGGTAAGACAACCATGGTTGTATATTTGTCAAGTTTTTACCATCAAAAACTTACATTAATGCCAAGTTTTTTGTGCAAAACAAAAGTAACATTTGGTTTTTCTTACTGAAAATAGATGAATAATGTTGTGACAAGAAAAACTGCTGGCCACAAAGATACAAGTCTTAAACTGTCTCACATGAACTGACAGGAAAGGCTAAAAAATTTCTGCACATCCTTGAAATATAAGAGTATTTAGAACCCCAATTTAAATGAACCCTTAATATCCAGTTTAAAATCTTAATAGATGAAGTGCCCTTGTAATGCAGTTGATTCATGTTGTGGCCATCCTTACACACATGAGCATGCACTGCGAGATGACCCACACTAAGGAATCTAAAAAAGGTATATTGATTATGGCGCCATCTGCTGGGTAAAGTGACAGTGACATAATGAAATACGTCTCAGCACACTTCTTACATGCCGAAATTTTGGTGTACGCTGAACTTTAAAGCTCCTGTAAAGAGTTTTTTGACATCTGTGCAATAGTAAGAAATTCATATTTATGCTGCCTTATGAGGTCTGAAAACTAAACAAAACCATCTCTAATATGATTGATCAATGTGTTTCCCCCACTTGTGAGGGGGTAGGTGTCAGCCATGAAGCTGAAGAAAAAGTTTTTATGCTTCACAGAAATTATTCATAATAAATTATGCATTTCACTGTCAAAAGTCAACAGATAGATTTTTAGTTAAAAGACACTGATGCATTTAGAGAATAAGATGAGCAAAGACTACTTCGTCGCCAAAAGGGACACAACCCAAAAGTTACTCACAGGAGCTTTAATTGAAAATGAACTGTATACTTTACCATTGAGATCATAGTTAAAAACAAAGATCCACTCCTTGTTCAGAGAGGTCTTCAAAACAACTTTATTCACTTGTGGTTATTCCATACAAAGCACACAATAGCAAGCTGTTGGCATTAATCTTTACCCCCTCCACAAAATCAACACCCCCCCTCCCAAATCAACCAAAAGTCTTTATTTGATCATCTCTACACATTGAAGTCTTTAGTTTAGGCTACTGTGTACCTTCAAAACATCAGCTTTTGAAATCTTACCTACCAAATATTGCAGTTCATGTAAAAAATATTTTTTTTCCACTTTCAGAATATATATTTTTATATTACAGTACAGACTTTACAACAAGTGAATGTGTTTAAATGCTTCTTTTATTGCATTAGATACTTAATTTGCCTTCATTAAGCTCCAGCTTCAATAAGTTTATGCTAGTATACATTTCCAAAAAATGTTAGATTTGTCATTAATATTATTTTTACAAAAGAAAAAAAAAACATACTCAAACATTACTGGTTGTTTCTTGCCAGTTATGAACAGACATCAATCAGAAACATACAGGTGAGAGTTCTTAATAAACTGTATTCTCCGAATGTCTCGTGTTGACTCCTCTTTATCAGGCTGTGGAGCAGTCTGGCTTATCAGAAAGTTCTTCTGTTTCAGGTGTGTGTATTTGAATGTGTGTGTGCATGAGTTTTTACTTGTGAGGGACACTGAGATCCGCACATACTGTACAAATGTGGACATTTTTAAACACGTTTTTTTTTTCTTCTGTTTTCGGCCTCAAGTCTGAATGTAAACAGATTTTTAGGTCACTGAAAACAGATTTTAAAAAGTTTTTAAAAAACCTTGTTTGATCATTTTTGTGTGTGAAAGCAAAGTAGGAGTTTTGGGAAATGTTGACGCACTTTAAAATGGCAATTTTGTTGATTTTGTGTATTGCACATGCCCCAAAAAAGGAGGGCAACCTGTTTGTTTACATCTGCTCAGTACTGTTGGGTTTATTCATGTTTACAAGGAGGCCTTACTGTCCATCATTATACTGTGGTGTAGGAGCAGATAAATGTGTCTGGCATAAAGATTTTTAATTTGACAAAGTCGAGCTGTCTTAAAAACACTATTTAACAGTTGTGACTCACTCAAGGAGATGCTCAATACTCAGGTGCACAGTGTTCTTCTCCTGTGTTTGATGTTAAGACTGATTACACGTTATCACCATATATTGGCCCCGCTTGTTTGTATTAGTGTTTTCAACAGTTTCTGCGTTGTTGTGTGGCCAGAGAAACATTTGATAACACCTCTAAAGATGAACAGCTTTTTCTCTGAATGGAGAAAAAAAATCTGTTTTTAAAAATTTCCACATGTGGATGTAGCTTGAGTTTTTAAATCTTATTTAGTATAAAAGTTGGAGCTACAGGATGGTGGCGGAGTGTGTATGAGCTTGATCAACATAATCTAGCATAATTTGAGTTTATTGGTATGTCACAGATTTCCACACGATTTACTGATCTAAATCAGCAGCATATGTTTTGATAAATATCCTATTTGACATTTTTAGAAGTGATGAATGGTCTGTGTGTGTGGTTTTATGTTTAAATATGTACAAAAATGTGTGCAAGAGTGAAGGTATGTGTCTGTGTGGTTAGACCAGAGCCCCGATGGGTATGCGGGGCAGGCAGACGTAAGCCTGCGGGGTCCTGCTGAGGTTGATGGGGTTGCCGTCCAGACGGATGTCCTCTAGTGCGTTTCTGATGTAGTTGAAATCTTTCAGGTTGCAGAATGTGTCCTCATGCATCATCTGAATATTATTACGCTGCAATAAAACAAAAATAGTGTGACAAACCTGCTGTTAAGATGTAAGGAGGGAGTGTGAGGACATTCATACAGAACTGTTGGTAACTGTAGCGCTCGCCAATGTTTTGGTGCGGATGCTAGCTTCAACTGCTACTGCTTTAGTTTGTATGTCTTTAATGGAGGATGTTATTTCCATGGATTTACCCAGAAATTTAGGAATTTTGACCTGGAGGGGTGACTCACATTTGTTAATTGTTGAAAAACAGATTTAAAAGTGGAACCATACTTTTGATTTTAAAAAGCCATGCAAATGTTTGCAATGAGCTCAACCTCTTGATATAACATGAATAGCAGTGAGCTGTGCTGCATTTATTTCTTTTTGGTACTGTGGATTAATGTCAAAGTCATGTGAAGTTAGCTTGAAGCTAATGACACGATGAACAACATAGTGCTATTAAGGTGAAATACAGTTTAGATTTCTGCTTTGCTTAGCATGTCTGTATGTGTGACTAGCTTTGATGTCACTGAGGTCAAGAACTTCATAGATTAATCCACATTCAGATAATTGGTGCTATTTAATAGTGAAATAATAACAGAGACACTTGTCTCGACTGACTCCTCTTGACAGCTCATTCCAAGAGCTTTACTAAACTCAATTTTACCTATGGCTGGAAAGTCCACTTTTTCCTCCATTCATCACTTTGTCGATTCAGTATGTTTTCATAAATTTGCTAATTTGTGTTCTTTTGGTTGTGAAGGAAAGTCGTGGCAGCTAATGTCACAGTTGGTTTTGTATAATGAGGTGCTAGCATCGGCTTTGAAGACTAGCTTAAGATGTTTCTGTATAGAAACGACTTCCAGGTCATTTCATGATTACAAAGCTGTGTAAAAAGTGACACCCACCAGCTGTTATTACATATCACTGCATAGTACATTTATTTTTATTACAGCTTCGCCACTTTCTATCAGACTAAGTACGTCCACCTGTATGGGCACTGAGGAATCGGAATTGTATAACTTCACCTTCCTTATACAGACCTGAGAGAAGCTTATTACTAACAAAAAAGGGAAGGAAAGTCCATTATTCTTCAACAACTTTAATTTGGAAGAATAATAGATGTACCTGTAGATGTAGAGATCGCAGGCTATCTGGTAGAGGCACAGGGATGTAGTCGATGTTGTTGTCTGTTAGGTACAGGTACAGCAGGTTGGTCATATCCTAGAGACAAAGAGAAAAAGTATTGCATCAGGCTATTTTATTTCACAAATACAACAAATAACAGAATTAACTTGCAGAAAGTTGATACCAATGAAGCATCAGCCTTTATTGGTGTGACGGTAATTCAAAAGATGGTGAAATAACTTACTTTGAAGGCCTCTTTGTGGATACCCTTGGTACCAATGTTGTTCTGGCTGGCATCAATCAGGCTCATGGTCTCTGGGAGAGCTGGCAGCTGGGAGATATGATTTTCTCGGATCACCAGCTCCTCCAGCTCAGGTAGACCTATAAACGCTTTGTCGTCAATGGTCTTTATCTCGTTGGCAGTTAAGTCGATCCTCTTCAGCTTGTCTGAAGGAAGTGAAAGAAACCATCCTTGAAACACTGGTTCCTGAGTAAGCTGTTATTCTTGTTTTTCATATAAACGGGGGACATACTCATGGAGGCGAAGTCGGACTTGTTGATCTTGGTGATTCTGTTGTAGCGGGCGTAGAAGTGAGTGGTGTCTTTGGGAAGAGGTGGAACACTGTCCAGCTTCAAGTCGTCACAGTAGACTGAACCGCCAAGGCACGTGCACAGCAAGCAAGTGGGCATACCTGAAGTTACGGGTACAAATCATAGTCAAGTAAAAGAGGGGGGAACAATGTTGCAATTGGACCTAGATGTATCATGGCTTGCTCTAATTGTCCCTCTGCTCCCTCTTGTTAGATGTTGGTATGTGGTTTCTTGTGCACTAAAAGCTCCTCATCTTGTATAAAAAGGAACTAAAGGGCTTGTACAAGTTAAATGAGGGTTAATTAAGATCTGCAGCACAAAAATCTTCTGACCAAACTAAAAAGGTTTACTTCAACAGTAAACATAGATGTGTTTAATTGGATTGGCTACCTTTTGAGAGATAAGAAATGTAGAGAGTGGATAATTACGTACATTAAATCTTTAACCATGTGGATGATAGCTCTGCACATGGCTTACTCCACCATCAGCACCAAACGGTTACAGCGTTACATAAATGTGGTAACTTTGCTACAATGGAATCAGTGTAGTACTCCGGGAAAGACACCAAAAACTTTCAAAGAGGGAAAGGAGAGGAATCTTTCTGCTAATTTTCTGTCAGTAGCCACGACCAACGCATCCTCACAATCAAAGACAGACAGGGCACGGATCAATGATCGAGACTCTACAACTGTGTATCTCACTACAGCTACTGACCTGTCCTGTCAATCTTAGGTTCCTCAGGCTCCTCAGGTTCCCCTGGCTCTGGCAATCCAGAGCCTACTGACCCTTCTACACCACCAGCACCCTCCTGAGGGGTTTCTGGTGTGGTCGGGAGCAGCCCCTCCTCTTGTTAGAGACAAGATTAGGTGTTAAAGGAACAGGTTAGATCGACAAAGACATGGAACAGGAAGTCTGGCAAACAGTAGCCCACTGTTTGCCTCTGCGGTAAGTCACAGACAATGTATTAGCTGTGTTAACCAGGTGAAGGAACAATTAATGATGAACAGCAGTTAAAAAATGCATTTTTAGAGGTTAACAATATGAAACATGATGCGCTAAGTGGTTGGTGAAGAATAAAAAACACTTTTAAAGATAATAGTTTTGACTCTGTATACACAAACAGTTGGGAAATAATTCTTCATGTTATTGCTTAAATAGTGCTATTATGTTTATTGCATGGATTAGGTCTCAGTGTTGGGGCTATTTTCCCTCAATAAACCTTGCAAAGTTCAAGGCATTTAACATTTATGGTGAGTGAGACTCACTGGGTTCCTGGCCAAGCATCAGCACTGACACCTTATCCAAAGTCTTCCTCTGTTTTGTTTTACTCGACTTGTGAGGCATCCACTTAAGTTTTTACCTCACCCATGATCTACCTTTCTCAACTCTAAATTAGATACTGACCTTTATCAATGTCAGGGACCAGAATTACCCCAGGGACTTCTCCAGAGCCAGAGACACCAGAAGTCCCAGAAACCCCTGAGTCTCCAGAGAAATCCCCAGAGGCCCCTGAGGTTCCCGAAGCTCCCGAGAAATCCCCGGAAGCCCCGGATGCCTCGCTGGGTATAGTGCCAGGAATAAGGGGCAGCTCCTCCTCTTGTTAGAGCCAAGGGTCGGGGTTAGGAAGCATGAGATTAAGATGGATGAGGGGGTGAGATGGACAACCAATCAACCCATTAGTCGACCAGTCACGTACACATTTTCATTTTCACATGAGGTTAGAGGCATGATTATAGTGACACCAACACAGTACGATGAACAAGATAACAAGCAGAAGAGTCAACATTTAACACAGTTAAATGGAATTTAAAACACTTAAAGGAGACCCATTATACATACACTAAGTCAACATTTTGGATGTCCATATTGCTCAGCTCAGTTTCAAAACATGAGAAATTATGACACAGGCTCAGGACCACAAGTAGTAAGTAACATCACTATAGTTAATGTAACAATAATGCTGCGTTCGAGTTACCTTGGAAGTCAAATGTCGGAGCTGAAATGACGTCAAACCCGATTTACCAGCGTTTCAGTTACCAAGTCAGAAAAAAGCAAAATCGGAGGCGGTAACAAGATGGCGCTTGCCTTGTCCGAATATAACAAGGACAAGGCAAGCGCTAAAATAACTTTTGTAGCTGTAGCCATCTTGTTACCGCCTCCGATTTTGCTTTTTTCTGACTTGGTAACTGAAACGCTTGTAACTCGGGTGTGACGTCATTTACAGCTCTAATATCTGACTTCCAAGGTAACTCGAACACAGCATTAGTAAGAGGTACTAATGGGGAACTAATTGGATGGGACTAGCCTTAAATGATTTTGGTACTGGCTGTGTATTTAGGTAAAGTTTTGGTGGTGTTAAAAGTAACTCCCACATGCAGTTACTCCACAGGTTTCCCAGACTGATGTAACTACAGGTATAGTAAGTACAATAGGTCTCCTGTAATCAACATAAATCACATAGAGCTCAGCAGGTTACGTGCACTCAGGTCTAAGACAAGAGTTCCCCTGTCTGATCAAGAGTAAGTATTCTTTAAAAGTACTGACCTCCTGATACAAAAGTTATCCCTGAGTCCCCGGACTCACCAGACCCAGAAACCCCAGAGATTCCAGAGGCCCCCGAGACATCTCCAGAAAACCCAGAACCAGACTGGTCTCCGGACCCTCCAGAGCCCAGGGGGAATTCAATAGGAATACCTCCAGAACCAAGGTCCCCAGAGGCTGACCCTGATCCCATGGCATCCCCTGATATCAAGATTTCCCCACCTATCAAGAACTGATCACCTGATCCCCCTGAGCTGAGGAGCTCTTCTGAGGCCCCTGAGATTAGCATAATATCACCAGAGGTCCCAGAGACCAGTGGGTCTCCTGAAGTTTCAGACCCAGAGACCCCGGAAGTTCCAAAGGTTCCAGATCCCACAGAGCCCCCGAAGTCACCGGAGACATGGAGAATGTCAATAGGCGTCAGACGCAGCTCCACCTCTTGTTAGAGACAAGATTAGGTATTAATAAACAGACAGGTGAGAGAGAGAAGACAAGCTCACAGTGATGATTGGGTTAAGTGATGACAAATGGACACAAAATCACTGACAAGAACACATTTAACCATGAACAGCGAGTTAAATGGAAGACATGCACATGGAAAAGAGGATCCCCAGAAATGAACTGAGTAGTCTATCCTTGTTTGAAATGTTCTGCTTTCTCAAACTCCACTGACCAAAGGACAAGCCAAGCCCCACCTTCATTTTTTCAGGTTAAGATCTAAAGGCAAGTGCTTTTTCAGACCTTTCTGCGTGTCTGGGCCCATAAGAACCCCAGATCCCCCTGAACCCTGAGGAACAAGCTGGGGTTTTAAGGGCATCTCTTCCTCCTGCTCCTCCTCCTCCACCTCCTCCTGCTCCTCTTCCTCCTCCTCCTCCGGTTCTTGTTCTTCCATTGAGGCCTCTGGCACTTGGTAGTTATAATCGGGTGGGGCCAGTGTTCCAATCTCTATCTGAGGAAAAGACAGCGGCAGTGAGTCGAAAAATGGATTACAAGTCGACTTTAGATTAAGTTTTGGGGAAACAACTGATCAGACTTGTTTTCTTTTTTTTGTCAACCTCCAATCAGTGCCAACCCATTTACCTGTGGACTTGAACAGAACAACAGAGAAGTGATTATTTTATGGATTTAAGGCAGGCAAAAAGTCTAGTATCAGATTAGCCACCATGTTGGAATAGCCATCAAAAATCAAAACCCATGAAAAGAAATCTGAAAAGATGACGAATTCAAGCACTGGACACGTGACACCCACCCACTAGCACCCTGACACCCATCCCACAGAAGTCCCTGGATGGGTGCTACACCAGAATACTACGAGCTGCTCTGAATGTGGACCAGAACATCCACATTACCAACAAGGTCCTGAAAGGGCAGCTGCCGAGGCTCAGCAAGAAGGTAGCATCTAGGAGGATGAGGCTGGCCGGCCGCTGCCATAGACATTGATGTCCTGATGTCTATGGCGGTGTCTATGGTCACAGCCATAGACATCAGGAGCTCCCGGCCAGGTACATATTCAGATTACACATTCTGGCACCTGGGTCTCTGGAGAATCATCAGGCTATGTTTAAGTCTTGATTCTGATTAATCAAAACCCCTTGACAAACCAGACCAAATGCCCCTGTTTTGCCTTGGATTCTAGTCCATCCCATTCACAATGCAATATCTGTTACCTAATTTCCATTCCCATTTCCATAACAAACTTTCTGAAGTGTCAATTTCATTGAGAAGAGGATTAAAATAAAGATTACAAGTGAAGTGGCCAAAGTGGCAACACTGCTTAAAGCAGCTGCATCTGGTGGATCTGCACCATTATGAAGCCAGAACCCATTGGGGGCTTGGACTTCCCAATCTCCTGCCCTGCTTTTGATCAACTTAACTGAAAAACTTGTTATCATAGCAATCATTGGTAAGACAGGACTCACTTTGGATTCAGAAGGAAGTCAGCCTCCTTTAACTTAACAGTAACTCCGTTACTGAGTTCCGAAAAAATACTTTCCAGGAATATTCAGTGAGAGCAAGTGGAAAAGCTTTATATATGTCTTTGATGAATACATGAAAATAAGGCACAAAAAATCCCCCATAAAAACACAATCAAGTATTTCTAATACAGATTAACAGACATATTTACAGACTTGAAATGCTCTTCTTGCATTTATTAATGAAAATAATCCGAGTACTGCCACTTCCAGCCTTTGGTGCACCAGGACTTCCTCACAGCTGTCCTTTCCTGTCCTCTCCATATTGCAATATTGCTTGGTTATCCAAAATATCACCTAAGATACATTACCCATGATGCTCTACGTGATGCCCACATCATTTCACCGTTGTTACATGTTGCTCAACAGAGAGTGATAGAAATTGAGATTTTAATACTGATGATTAACTGATATTTGCTGCAAAACACACAGTCCCACAGGTGAATAAAGGGGGCACTTTTTTCCTAATGCATGAACTCTCACAACACCAGCATCTACAGGCATCAACCACAGGATGGCAGCAACATGCTAGTTAAAAACCCAGGATTGAAGCAGAGCACAGAGGACACTTTTGTTGGAGGTAAATGCACACCTTGTAAATGATCATATGCCTAAACCTTTCCACACTAGGAGTGTTTCTCTTTTCACTCTTTATATGGATAAAAAATAGACTCCAAGTTTTGATCCTCTTTGTAAAAAACTGCAATATAGAGAGGTGCTTAAATGTATTTCAGAAAGAGCAGAAAGCATTGTTTTCAATCTGTATATTTGGCATCAGTCATTTTTAGTTTTTTTTAAGTATTTCCCCAATCAAAGTAATTATCAAGAATCAGGAATTTGCTAAATAGCAAGTCTGATTTAAGGTATCAAGGCAGCATTTTGATAAAGTGTGCAAAACCATGGAAATGTCTCTCCTTATGCATATCAATAAATCAAACAGGGTATTTTAGCTGCTCTTTCATATGTTTTTGTGCTTTATCCAACCTGCAGTACTATCATTCTACCAGAGGAGGGCAGTGAACTCCCACACACCCACACAGGTAATACCTGACTCTCACACCCAACCCAGCAGACTCAACTCTGCAAGATGGGAATGGTCCTTGTGGAACCAAGACACACATGGTAGCTGCAAGAATCTACGTTTGAGTCTTTTTAGCCACTTTCAGCCCCAATGATCAGATATCAGTAAGTTACAACCGAAGGTAGATCAGTTCAAGCAATTAAGATAAACAAAGTGCTGCTTTTAAGAGACAGATATACTTGAACAAAACTTATGCAAAGGCTTCAAATGCAGTGATGAAGAGGTATCCAGCACTGAAAGTCACATTTTAAAGCTTGGCAGGGACACAGCTTGAGATACAACAAGGTAAGCCATTGAAAAGTCTTGCACAGAGTTAGCTCACTGCAGCTCTCCCCTTCATTTCCCCTTTCCCCTAAGCAAACATATACACCCAAGGGAGAAAAGAGGTGAAAGGCTGGCAACCTAAAATCCTGAAAAAAGGCTCTGGAAACAGCATGGGAATACTGAATGCACAGGGGGAGATGTTGAACGTCAGCATCAAGCTGAATGTTATGTTGCAGCTGCAGCATACAGGAAAAATAAGTGGATGCATTCAGCAAAGCATGACCAGTTTCAGTTATGGAAACTTGATCAGTAATTTTTTTTATGATGGTTATGTAGCTGCACCCGTTACAACAAACAACAAAAGAACGTGATGTTAGGCTAACGATTACTAAAAAGAAATAAGTAGCTTTAGGGCACCTTATATTTCAATTTGAATACATACTGTTGAAAAACAAACATCATCTTTATTTTATTTGGAAATCAGAGCCAGAAGTTAATGCAAACAGAGAGCTCTTTAGCCTTGAGAAGTTGCCAAACATGTCAAGTTTAAGCTAAATTCCTTTGGTGAGATATATTTAAAAAAGGTGATTACACCAAAGTCTGCTTCAAAGAGTTGGTTAGTCTCTGAAAAGTGTGATTTAATGGCCAAATAACCCTGTGGTGACGCTTAGACTCCATGACAGCATGCATGGCTATTTCCATCTATTTTAAGAGGCTAAGCTAACGATCTGCTTGTAGCTAATTTGAGTCATTTGAAGACAGACTTTTCCAGACAACAAACTATGTACATATTCAAGGAAAAAAAAAAACAGTTAAAATGACTTGGTCCATTTGAGAACTTCCAACATCTTAATATTTAGCGTAGCTAGCTGTCTAATGTAGCTTTGTATAAATCCCACTTATATAAAAGTGATTTTAATCTTTTCATTTAACTCCATGCAACATTAGTGTAAAAAAAATTTTCCACAATTTTGAAGGAAACTGTGAGAAGATTTCTGAAGATAACTTTAAGTTTTAGTGTTGCATTTTCTACAATAAGGATCAACTCGATATGCTGCAGAGAGGGAGAAAGTAGCTATGTCTATAACTTTGCTGGTAAACTTTGGCAGTAAGATAAAAGTAAGTAAATAGGAGTAGTTTTTCTTTCTTTAGGTAAATTTCTTTTAATGTAATGTTTTGGAGCAGGATGAGCAGAAGCATGTGTCATCTGATTAAGTGTCAAGAAAAATTGGACAACTAGAGCTTTCCAACGTAAAAGAACGAAAACAGCTATTAACAGGATCACATGTTTATGCTGGCATACGAATAATGCTCCACTGCTCTGTAACATAAACTGAGACACCAGAGTACACTTCATGACACTGATGCTCTTATAGGTAATGCTGAACATGTGCACCTGGTCACCTCTTGTAAATTAAATAACAGTAGTAATAGTGCGTTCCATTTACCTTAAAAATCAGTCATCAGAGCTGGTATTATAAGCAAACACTGAGAAATATGGCGCTCTACTCGATGGTTCATGTGTGAAGTTTGATGAATCAGAGTCAAAAACCATCATCTGGAATAAAAACGTTGCCTTATCACTCTACAGCCTTTAAAAAGCAATCTTGAACAAGGAAAAAAAGTTCTGAAAAAATGCCTGTTTGCCGATTATTTTCCAAGGGACTTGTTTGCTAGTTTCCTAGAAACTGGTCTAAAAGTTGAAAAACAGAGAAAAATCCAGATTGAACACAATTTAATTAAAACAGGATCCCAAAGTCTGCAGGTAAACAGTGTCAAGCTGGTTTGCTTGAACACTGGCGAACACTAGCAGAGCCAGCACCACCAGTTTTCTAATCATATCCATGCTGCTGACCCATTGCTTCTGGTTGAACAGATACCAGTTAAACTAGCCAGAATACAACTCCATTTAGAATTTGTAGGCCAAAATATAGCCGGAAAGCATTGAGATGCCAGCTTTCATCATTGTCTCTTTCCACATGATCACAGCAGCTCCATATTTACTCATGTACTCTATCTTTCAAATATCAACCAGTCCTTTAACCAACTGGTACCTCTCATGCCGACTTGTGTGGATGACGACTTTGTAGTGCTTAGCTGACTGATTCCACAACACATGCACACTTGGGCAAGAGACACATCACTACAACGTTGGGTATTGTGCTCATGGGAAGTGTAGTCTTTATCTGATTTCAAACAAAAGGGTCACCAAGTCAACACCTGTGAATGCAGTGAATGTTTCTGCTAATTTAAGATGATACCTAAATGAATCTTGGATTAAAGCATTTGCAGACACTCTCTGATGCAGCACACTCTGGTATGTTTTCTCGAATAACATGACAAAAAGCCTTTGCTTCATTCAAAAGTAACAAACCCTGTGGAGAAAGGGGAGAAACTCAAACAGATGGATATGGAAAGTGAAGAGTCAGCACTTCAGAGGACTGGAGCTGATCGTTGCTTCATTTCTCTCCTGATATCTGATGCATGTGTGACTAAACTCCATTTAATCCCGAGCAGCCGGTCTGCCTGTCACCTTTGAGTGTGCTGTCAACAGAACAAAGGCTATTTCTCAACACAGTATGCATTTATGAGCCAAACGTTTGTGTTTTATTAGGATGAGAAAGTTTCGACTCGGTCTTATTGTGCTGTTTCTCCTCTTCCTGCTCCCACAAACTCTTATGCAATGTGCTGTGTCATAACCAGGCTTGTTAACAGAAAGACATTATCAAAGCCGTTCCCCTGCAACACATTACAATCTTCCCACAGTGAACAAAGCCATGTGTTCAACTCAGCCGTAAAGCTTTGCACACCAGAATCACGTTGTTTAAACTTAGGTAAAAAGCTGTGGTTCTCTTTTTCTGCCACGGTGAATAACTAAAGAAATTCACTTTCTCCCACTACACCAATCTCCTAAATCTGCATTTGATTGTGGGATTCGTTTTAGATAACAACAGTTCAGTCCACATCAGGTTTAGGTTCAGTCACTGGCTCAGAAGCGACCTGCTGGAAATCTGATGTGGACTTTTTGCCTCGTGCCATCTTGACGTTGCCTTGGCCCAATTTCCTCGTCACAAAGCGATCTAAACAAGGAACATGAGATGTGGCTAAAGCTCGGATCCCAGCGTACCCAGGGGGCTTGCCACATCACACTCAACTCGAGCAGATTCAAAAGGAACTTCTGGAATCCATCATTGGGTTTTAGACCGATGCTGCCTCTGGTCTCCTCTCATCTTCAAAAGCTATTGTTCTTGAGAGTATTTGGGTCATACAACAAAAAGAAAGAAATCTCAGGAGGCTTGACTCCTCTTAAACCAGGTGCTTCATTTGGTTCTCAGAAATTTAACGTGACAGAAAGTTACACTTATGAAGAGTTATGAAGAGTTATCCTCTTTTTCTCACCAGTGTTGAAGTGGTGCATGATAAAAGTCATTTCTTCAACAACTTTTCCCAGTGAAAATACATCCATCATTTGCACAAAAATATTGCTCGATTACATGCATAAAAACTTCTCCAGAAACAGAAGAATTCAGCCCGTAGAGACACTACAGGGTGGAACTTGGAGGGAAGCTTGCCGAGGTATAAAAGTTTGAATATTTTGGCGTTCGACGGTCCATAAAGCTGAAGAACTCTTTGTGTACTTTCCAAATGGCTGCAGTTTGTATCAGTGGAAGGCCTGTCTGCACTGTGAACCTGGTGACCTCGGTTCAAAACCAGCCAATATTACACTCTTGGGATTTTTTAGACAAAAAAAGACAGCATACTTTGAAAAGAGGATTATGCAACTGTTGTTGGTTTCCAGTCTTCAAGCAACTGCCTCTCTCGATGTTAGCTGAAGTTTTTTAATGTTTTAAAACGGTTTCTTACCTGAGGATCCTCAATCGTCAGTCCTTCTTCGTAGTCATAGATATCCTGATTCTCCAAATTTAAGTTATCTAGATCCACATCATAGTTGGCGCTATCATATGAGTCCAAGTCAGCTTGTCGGGAAAATCTGGGGCCGGCCACCACCGCTTTGAGGACGAAGAGTCCAAAGACAAGCCGCGCGAGCATCCTCATAGTCCACCTTGATATAAGCAGAGAGATTTAAAGTTAAAGATTAGCAAGATTAAAGCTATGTCTTTGTGATCTAAAGACACAAACAAACAAAAAAAAGTCCATTAACAAGGAGAGTGACCCTTTTATATTTTCACTTTTAATGTCTGAAACCACAGGGGAGGGGAGCTGTCAGCTGTCAGCACTTTTTTAAACGTTCATCAGAATAGTGGGACACATACAAAAAGACAACAGGATTGTACTGCATGTATATTTATGCTGCATTCGAGTTACCTCAGAAGTCAGATGTCAGAGCTGAAAATGACGTCACACCCGAGTTACCAGAGTTTCAGTTACCAAGTCGGAAAAAAGCAAAATCGGAGGCGGAAACAAGATGGCTACATCTATGAAAGTTATTTTAGCGTCTTGTTTCCGCCTCCGATTTTGCTTTTTTTCTGACTTGGTAACTGAAATGCTGATAACTCTGGTGTGACATCATTTTCAGCTCCGATATCTGACTTCCAAGGTAACTTGAATGCAGCATATAACCTATATGAAAATTTGTGTAGAACAGAATTATGCTTGATATCAAATTTAAGGTCCTAACTGATAATATATGTTTGTTTTTTTTTTTTTCAAGTGAGTCAACCTAGTTAAAAATAAATAAATAAATAAATGTTGTGTTTGGACCTTTCCTCAGGGTTGTAATTGTGGCAGATCCCATATTGACCGAAAACTCTGTGACTCCAGCCCGGATGAAACAGATTAACTCAACATCTGAAGATTTTATTTCAACAAGGCGCTAAACAGTGAGTATCAAAACGCTTTACTGTCAGTAACATACTACTCTGGATACACACCTTAGCTGATAGGCCTCTACTTGTTCTGAACACAATGACTTCACTCTAAAATAACGGCTCTGTGGCATTAGCTGATGCTACATTGTTATTTAGCTAAACCCTCTCTGTTGTCACCAAACGACCACTCCCTACAGATCCTTATTGATTGGCATTTAAAGCCTCCAGCCAAAAACTGACATTAATCACAGATAACTAATGCAGCCGTGTGCTTCAGTTATTAATACTTCTCTTTTGACGTCATAAACAAAACCACATGAAAACCATTTTAGATTTCAGTTTGACCAGCATGTGGTCAGTCTCAGGCTATGTGCCAGCAGAATAAATGGTTGATGACATGGATTGCTGACAGGATTGTTGCAAGGTTTAATGGCCACTGCGGTGAGTGATCGGCTTGGGAGATCAAGTCCTGCTCGTGAACTTTTCTTTTTAGGCGTCTGTGATGCAATCTATTACAATAATTTAAACTGCAACATTTACGAGGTACGACTTATTTATCGCCACTTATGTATGTGTGAATATGCTATGAATCCTGGGATGGACACAAGTTTCCCTGGGCCATCTAGACTCATAATGGGGGTTTATTCATCCTCAGGAAGTCAGTGAAAAATATTTAATCAGAGCCAGTTTTCAGTGTAACCAGTTATCAGCACACTTTGATGAGGTGGGTCTTTATGATGTGGGCTGTACAGTCAGTCTTGAGTACAGGTAAAACACAGGGCTTGACTTTGGGTTGTAATGCTAAGGTCAGCAAATTAATTACTCAGGTGCAGACAGCTCAAAGGACCCAGATGCGAGGACCTCTTTTTGCTTCTTTAAAACCAGCGTTACACTGCTCCAGGGAAGGAGTAGCCATCTTGGCCCATGTCAGAGCTTGCCTGTGGCATGTCAGAGGTCAGAAGTCAGAGTTTACCTGATAAAGAATCCTTTGACCTATTTTTAATCGATCTGTCGGGCTTAGAAATACTTACAAATCTACTTTTAGCATGTAGGACTTGTTGGTAACAGTTTAAAAGCAAAAGGGGGTTACACTATAGCTCCTTCACAAGCCGGGAATTTGACCCCATCATGTGAAAAAGGGCAGAAGTGTGCAGAAAATTCCTGGTAGTGAGCCTGAAATGAGGGTTGTTTTCTACTTGAATCCTAATTAGCTTCATCTTCAGAGAGTGCAAACCTACTGCTCTGACCCACATAGCTGCTATTCATAATCGTTCTCATTTCCTCAGAGGATCAAGCTCAACAAGGTTGATAGAGTTCATATGGGTAAATCCCCTGAAGGAAGTGCTAATACCATTAGCATATGCTAATAACTGTTTAATTAGCTGACAAAACAGACTTCAAGCTTGAGAATCAATCATCTGTGTGAGGGGAGGTGCAGGTGTAGCTACGTCTCTGCACACCAGAGATGGATGATGTCAAGGCTGAGCAAAGGTGAACCATTTTAAAGAGAGTCCTCCAGGCCTGGGCAGAGAAACGGAGAGCAAGGGGAGAGAGGGGAAGAAGAGAAGAAAAGAGCGAGACAGTAAGAGATGTGGACAAGATGTTGGCCCCCAGGGTTAGATGGAGCGAGTGAGGAACAGACTGAGTGGGAGTGAGAGAGAGAGAGAGAGAGGGAGGGACGAAGAGAGAGACAGGTTTCTGAGCTAACTCGACCCCTCGCCCTTTTACAGAGCGCCTTTATGAGGCCCTCAGCCGCCTGTCTCAGCACTCAAACTCCAAATTCCTTCGAGGTTTGTGGACAGGATGGTAGCGAGTTACGACTGCAAGGAAAAGCTTCATTCAGTGGTGCGGGTGCTCGAACATGCACGTCCACAGGTACACATTCACGCACGCGCTTGGAAAGACACATCCTCTCACAGTTGCACGCTCTGTCTTAACACACCTATCTTTCAGGGGGGAAAAGTTGCCAAACCTCTGCTGCTATTTTTGGGATGAGGACAGATATAAAACAAAAAAATAACAAGTCATGAATCAAATCTTTGTAGATATCAGAGGGATGGAGCACTCGTGCATATCAGCCCCTCTAGTTTTTGTCTTACATGAATTGAGTGCAGCATGTTGAGAAAAGGTGGGCTGATTTAGTAACATCCACATAGACATACTTTTTTCTGACATGCAGCTGTGAAATCCTGCACATTTACACTACGAGATGGACTCCTCTGAAGACAGAGGTTTGCCTTTATGCAGGCATCACAGTGGACAGTGTGTGGAAACTGTGTAAGCATGTTTGAGTCCTCACTAACTCTATATTATGCTTGGCTCAGAGTTGGACATTCCTGATTTCCATTGATTCTCGTTTTTTTACCATCATGCTATCAACAAACCTGACATATGCTTTTTTGCTCAGTGGATTCTTGTTGTTTTTGACTTAAAAAAGTTTGAAATCTTGCAAAAACTTCAGTATGTATGGAACACTTCAAACAAAGACATATGCATATAAATTTGCATTAAAACTATCAGCAAAATATTTTAATTTCATGGCATTTTCTAAAAAAAGTGCAAAAATAGGGTCACAAAGTGAAGTTTGCTTGACAACATTTTGCATGAGAATAAACAGTATCCAAAGACACCCAAGTTTCCACTCACCCTAATAGCTGTGGGAAATAACACCTTGAGTCAGAACATCTCAAGCTTAAAACCTACAACAAACCAAGAGTCCTAATATCGGCAAACGACAACAAAGACAACCTCATTTCAGTCACCTGTGAAGCTCCCAAATCAACCCTAAGATCTCAGAAAAAGTATCTGCACCTCCAACCAATTAGCTAAATGGCTCTCGCTCAAACCCAGAATAGTCTTGTTTTTGGAGGGGCTCATTGCATCCCTCTGCTTGCCTGGTCCCCTCTGCACCAGAAAGCCATCGAGCCAGCGTGAAAGATAGTACCAAGAACGCTTACCTGTGTCTCCTGCTTTCCCGAATGGTCCCTTCAGCCGTGATGGAGATGCTGAGGGCTCCGGGACTTGGCCAATGGTGAGAGGTCGCGCAGGGTGCCTTGAAGAGGGAGGGTATGTATGTGTGTGTGTGTGTTTGTGTGTATGTGTGTGCTTAAAGTGTGTGTGGATGTGACAAAATGTGAAGGTGTGTGTATGTGTAGGTCTGGCAGACCTGAGTGCCCTGCCGCGTATATGCGAATCCAGGCACTGAGGCTGATTGGACCCGAGCAGATTGCTTTTGGTCACTCTGTGTGCACCCACCCCGCACCCACATGCACAACCATCCCAAATAGTACACACACACATATACACACACATCAGATACAGAAAGAAAGAAAGACCCCCCCACTAACAAAAAAAAAAGAAAGAAAAAAAAAACTGCAAATACCATTTTATCCCTTACAAGAGTACCCTTTATTTTTGTAAGCTCAATCAGACTGAAATATTTGTCTGCCTTTTCCTGAAGTCAAACTCTGGCATGTGTTGCTTTCATGTATGGGGGGGGGGGGGGGGATTCACAGGAGTACACAATGGGAGCACTGTGAGGAGCCCCTGTTAGCATGGTGCTGAGAGGAAGTCCCTGCTTGGAGGAAGGCCTCTGCCCCTACTTTTGGTTTAAGCAGTTTTTTCTCTGCACCGTTGCTTGCTAAACAGCCATACCTGTAAATCTCAGCTCACATGTGCAATACCCTAACAAGCGCACTGTAGAGACTGAGCTGCTCCGGGTATAAGACGCACACAAGATGCTATGCTGCTGGCAAATCTTGCATGTCAGCATTATTTGGCCATGATTGAGACTAAACCACCCACCTCTCTTGCTCTCACTCCCACGGTAACCCTAGAGCTTTTGATGAGTGAGGGGAAAAGCACATTTTAGGATTGCCAGACATCCTTCTGCACCTGCTATATAAGCTGGTACTTATATTCAGGGCTTTTCTTCTGCCAGAAATTCTCAAAAGGGGAAAAAAATGAATAAAAACTCACCCTCGCCATCAAATAAATTCCCACAATATATAACAGAGTGCATTACAGAAATTACAGAAGAAGCACCCTGTTGATGCATTTTTGGCAGTCATTGCAGTTAATGTGAAGTTAAAGTTAATGCAAGGACACTATCATCAGTGAGTTCTAACACCAGTGGTGCAAACAGTAGCATGGGTTCAAGAAAAAGAACTGAAAAAAAAAGTTTTCCCTGAGGAAATTGAGAGATGAGGTTGGATTATTAATCAATCAGTCTTTATTTGTCTAGCACTTTTCATACAAAAAAAAGATGTAGCACAAAGTACTTTACATAGCAGAGGAATAAAAGAAACAACGAAAACCTTAATCTACCCCAACCCAACCCCTCATTCCCACCCCGCAATCTAAGCACAATAGAAATGTGTTAAAATGCATGAACTCAAAGAGGGCTTAATTTTATATAAACAGGAATGTGCGCACTTTTAAAATTCAAGATAAGGAAACACTGGAGGTTTAAAATCTAAAAACAAAGTAACATAAAATGAAATTTAAGAAATAATAAATAAAATGAAATAAAAGCAACAGTAAAAGATACCAAAATAAGAGCACCAAAATAGCTGACTAAAAGACGATCCTGTCATTAAAACTAGAAGAGATAAATGCTAAAACACTTAAAGTTAATGATATAAAATTTAGTTAAAAGCAAGACTAAAAAGGTCTGTTTTTAGTTTGCTTTTAAAATCATTTGGATAAGTTGCAGTCCTCAGGTCTTCAGGTAAGCTGTTCCACAGACGGGGGCCATAGTAATAAAAAGATGCCTCACCGTATGTCTTAGTTTTAACTTTAGGTATTGTTAACAGAGAACCTTCTGAAGACCTGAGGGCTCGACCTGGCTCATAAGGTAAAAGCAGATCAGAGAAATAAGAAGGGCCAAAGCCATTAAGGGCTTTAAAAACCAATAAAACAACCTTAAAATCTATTCTAAAAGAGAGGGGTAGCCAATGCAGAGACCTTAAAATTGGTGTAATGTGATCTCTCTTCCTGGTCCTTGTTGACATCCATACAGCTGAATTTTGGAGTAAATGCGGGTGTGAAATATTCTTTTAGGGTAGACCAGAAAGGAGGGCATTACAATAGTCTATTCTACAAGTGATAAAAGCATGAATTAATGTCTCTGCGTTGGCTTGAGAGAGAAACGGTCGCACCCAGGCAATGTTTTAAATCCCCACTGTTGGAGCCATTTGTTGTATTTTCTTTTGGTTTGTGTTTTAAAACCTATTTCATTTGTAACTGTCCTGGTGCCACGCTAGGTGGCGCTAAGTCCCGTGTTTTGTTCACTATTAATAGAAGAAGACGCAATTAGTGGCAGCTGTGTTGTTAGCTGGAGAAACAAACAAGTTTTTAATCATCATCATAATCATCATCGTGTCGTCGCCATTTGTTGGAATTTGCCATTGTCTTTACTTTGCGTTTCGTTTCTGTAACAATAGAAGAACAAACCAGGAAAATGTGACTTGGATGAACTGTTTCTTTTACACGCGGGAAACAAGTAGGCACGGAAGATGCGTCATCTGTGTACCTGGCCATAGCACACCTCAGTGGCTCTCTGGATTATGTTGAAAGGGGAAATTAAGTCACTACAATTAAGTAAAAAAACTTCGCTTTAAGTGGGACATTGGAATTGCGAATGGATGCGATAGTTCTGTGGAGGAAGAAGCGACGTGGGATTTTGGAGGCTCTGTTTGGTTCGCAGGAGGACGCCGGCGGCAGTGGTAGTTTCCGGGATCATCAGGTGATTCATCCGACGAAATAAAGAGCCAACTGGTTCAACTGAAAGGCGCCCGACGGCTTAGATGAGGTACGTGTAGCGCTACCTACTTTATGGCCATATTTGAATATGTGCACTCAATTTTGAGAGCGTAATCCCAATGCATTGGTCATTGAAAATAAACGTTATCAGCACGAAAATAAACTGAACTTTGTGATAAACTGTGGTGTTTGTAATGGACATCACATTATGAAACATAATGAACTAAACGAGAGCATTATGGATGGTGATAACACGGAGCCTGCTGTGTCTACGGCGGCCCAAAGTGCGCGTAATGAAAATGAAACACAGTCTGTAAAAGGTAAAAGGGGATTTGAATTGACTTGTAAGGCTCTACTTAAAAAAGTAAAAAAGCTAAAAAACACAAAGAAAAATGAATTAAAAAAGGTAAGGTAAATTAAAAAAATAATAATAATTCCAGAGTGTATGTGTTATGGATATGGGTGACATTTAAAAATATTAACAGTAGTAAAAATGCCATAAATGTAAAGAGTTTATATTGTCAACAGTTCAGTTCATTTTTAAAATACATTAAATACTAACGTGCAAGTGCATATTTATAATCGCCTGTGTTGACACTTCTGGTTTTAGCCAGCAGGGGGAGCATGTTGCTTGCGGCTCTTCATTATGTTTGTTGAATGAAAGCCAGCAGCAACGTGTCTGTCTTTCTTTCCGTCTCTCCCCTTGCAGGTAATATAAGTTAGCAAAACTGTACACAAACCTGTTCATGTGTTGTCACAAACAATATGTATGTGTGCATGTGTTTGGGTAGTCGTATGTTGCAGTTTGTGATGCGTGCGTCCATACTGCTATGCTAATGCTAGAGTTGCTAATGGTAACATGTATGAGAAGCTGTTCGGTTAGATGTATGGAGCGTTAATTAACTATATTTATTGAATGAAAGCCAGCAGCAACGTGTCTGTCTTTCTTTCCGTCTCTCCTCTTGCAGTACGCTGTGCAGGGGTGTAACATTTGCAGAGCAATAGTGTGAATGAAGTGAAATCTGAACTTGAAAAAATGGTCAATTTGTGTGAAGAAGCAAAAAATGTGCATTATACACTGTTGCCATTTATGACCCCTGAAGAAAGAGATAAACAAGAAACATGGTTTGCTGCAAAATACTTGTAGAAAAGGGATTCATTACTAAGATTGAAAGTTGGTTGACGAACAATGATGTGGTTGATGATGTTAACCCTGATGTTCACCCTTGGGATTATGTTAACCCTGATGATGTTACTCCTGCTGACAGTGTATCCAATGTGGTTAGTAGGAGGTCTTTTGCCATTTGTTGATATTTGCCTTTGTCTTTACTTTGCATTTGGTTTCTTTAACAAAAGAAGAATAAACCAGGAAAATGTGACTTGGATGAACTGTTTCATTTACACGTGGCAAACAAGTAGGCACGGAAGATGCATCATGCATGCGCCACCTTCTTATAGCTCCTGTAATTGTCCCTTATGATTTTGTGGACAATTTAATCCCCCAATTAAAATAATACAGGAAATGAGTTTGACTCCTGGCCATAACCCCTTGCACCATGTCATCCCCCACTTCCTACCTTCAACATTACTTGTCTGTCTTCAGCTGTCCTTCCTAAAAAGGGTGAAATGCCTAAGATAGATTAATAAAAAAAAGAGACACGGATGGGCATGCTGAGTTTAACATTTTAGATATTTTATTAAAATTAAAGACAGTAAAAATGAAATCTCTTGTTTCAGTTTAGTTTAAGAATTAAGGTCAGAATTAAAAAGTTTGTTGAACTTAAAAAATAAAGTTATTGCATGTCTTTTGTACACAAACATTTAAGTGGTATTGGTCATGAAGTTTCTACTTAATTTTCTGAAATATTAAATAAAAATAAATTACCTACAGTACATATTGATGTTTGTTAAAAACAGTTATCTAAAAAAGGTTAATAAGACTCCCAACCCCAAATACAAGACCAATAATTTGGCTTCAAGTCTAGAAATACAAAGGAAATCTTTCCCCAAAACATTACAAAAAAGTTGCGTTTCCCTTCTTGCTCAAAGGGGTAAAATGACAATGAGTGCACAAATATCTCTGCATGCCATCATTTCACATCCCATCAAGTCAATACCATGCTAAATGAGAATCACATTTTCATAGTCACATGTACATGCAGATACTTACTCCAACTTAAGGCACAACTAGTGGTCATCAGATTGCAGTCTAAATAAAAGCTAGTTAAACCAATGAGTTCCTTTGGATTTGCACTACCTGTTATCAGCTATTTTATCCAAATACAATTAAAAACAAACTGCAGATTTTGATATGAACAGTTCCCAAGAGCACAACAGATCGACAGATTAATGCCAACAAGTGTCAGATATTGGCTAAACATGCAAATACAATTTTTTTGCATATATTCACAGGTGTGACAGAAACTATGATTATGGTTGCTGATGGTTCTTTTAGATGACAATGGACCTCAGGAGGCGGAAGCACAGGATGACATCCCTGGGAATTGGTGGCTTGATTGCATTGCCATCCAGCCTGAGGTAGCGCAGTCGAGGAACACTGTCGTTGACTGAGTCGTCCACATCTCCCACATCTACAGGACATACATTGGAGCCACTGACACCTGTGAAAACACAAAGATGGTTGATGTTAAGGGATTAACAATGGATTTACACAATCCCTAGGTGATAAACAACCGCATTGCACTGGTGCATTGAAATTACTGCACAAATCTGCTGTGGATTTCGGGAGTATGTCATAGACTTACTTGTGATTTTGTTGTGGTTGAGGTGAAGATGCTCAAGGCCTGAGGGAATAAGGGGGACCTCAGTCAGCTGGTTGTGGGCCAGCTGCAAGTCCAAAATGCTGGAGACGTTGAACACATTCTTTGGAATCCCACTGCTGCCAAGCTTGTTGTGGTTGAGCCTCAGGAACGCCACCTTTGGCAAACCTTTGAAATACCCTGCTGGGATCTTCTCAATATTGTTGCCGTCAAGAAAAAGCTGGGTGGTGGAAGGTGGTAAGCCAAGAGGCATGCGGCTTAGCTGGTTCTTGGCTAGGTTTATCTGCACCAGGCTATTTAGACCCTTTAGGCTCACCTCAGTCACAGCGTCATCCATTAACTTGTTCCCCTGGAGGTCCAAAAGGTGCAGTTTATCCAGGCCATTGAAGACACCAGCAGGGATCTTAGAGATACGATTGCGAGAGAGACGTAAATGTTCAAGGCTGGCTGGCAGGGGGGACGGCACGGTGGACAAGAGGTTGTCATCCATGTAGAGATGCACCAGATTAGACATGACATTTAGGGCATCTTTTTCCATTCCATCACTGGTGATATTGTTGCGGTTTAGGTTCAGCCAGCGCAGCTGTGTGGCATTACGCAGTGAATCTGCTGACAGAGCTTCAATGAGATTGTTCTGCAAGTACAGATACCAAGTGTAAGGGGGGATTTTAGGGATGCTCTTCAGGCCTTTGTTGTCACAGTAGACAGCACGAGGGAAGTTCGGGGGGCAGCGGCACTCCTTGGGGCAGGCCTGGATCTGGGCCACATATTCCTCATAAATCATGTCCTGGCCCACAACTGGACTCACCAGGTACAAAATGCAGAGAAGGCTTAGTAGAGGTGCCATTTTACCTACAATGGAGAGGGAGACAAACATGATTAAAGACAACTACTTGACGAAGTGTCAGACAGATAAGACAAGAGTAGGGCAAACTGACATCCTAATGCGATAGACACCCAAAGTAAAGAGGATCAGTGAAGATGTAAGAATTTGCAAAGGATTGAGGACTTTGGGGAATTAAGACCACACTGGAAGTGATGACCTATATTATTGATTACATCAAGGAACCTATATCTTTTTCTCCAAGATTGTCATTCTATGATGGACTTGTTAAGGCCCAATGCAAAATCATATACACAAACCACATGGCTAAAATCGATGTTGCTTACCTGTGCACTGATGCCACTACAGTTCAAATCAGTTATTAGCTGCTGACAGATCAGACAGACAGCAATGCCCGGGATTTGAATTGCCTAACGATCACATGTACAGCTCCAACAACAGGATGCAGAGCTGGGTCAACTTTAATTGCATTAAGGCAAACATCAAGCTCAGACTTTAAGACTTTGCATGTCAGTTGTGAGTTCCAGACTGCTCATCCGGCTTTGATTGCAACCTGTATGGCTAATCCCACTACATCTCTCCGTCAGCTTACTTTGGTTTTTAGTGCTGAAAAAACTGATCATGCAAAACATGAGCGTACCACATTTTAACCTCATTTTGAACACAAGAACTTGAAGATAATTGATTTTCCCCGCTGTTGGTGCAGATGCCAGGTTACTAACTACTGGCTGATGCAACAGGTTGCACACAATCCTGTCCACACACTTCAGGTTCTTGGGCGAGAACCGTAAGTGCAAGCTTCTCTTGATGCTCCAGACATTGTGTTGCATGGCAGCCACTAAGACATCTTTGGAAAACTGTTAATCAGCATGAGTGTCATCCATTTACAATGTACAGCTGATACAAACAAAGATAAGGCAAGAGCAACAAATTGAAATCACTTAAGTGTCTACTTGACTCCTTTCAGCTGCCATCTGGTACTCGTATAAATTCTTGATGCACTTCGAGTTTGTCTGGAACTCATTAAGAGCAGGCCAAGCTTTTGCCACGGCTGGGATGCTTCAAAGTCAAAGTCGGCACACCTGCTTTGAAGGATGTGCTTCGACCTTCTTACTGTACAAAGGGCAAAGCTCCATGACCCAGCTTTAAGGTGCTGCTTTTAGGACAAATGCCAAACAAATATGACAAAATTCAGCCCATGATGCAATTAAGATAAACCCCACTCACTAAAGTTGCAAGCAATCATCTTTCTCAATATCACCCAACAGTTCTCCAGCTTACCTTGAGCTCTGTATGTTCCCTCTTGTCTTTCTCTCCTCAGTGAGTTACCACGCTCAGTTGGTGAGGAATGGTGCGGCTCTTCCTTACTCCTCCCCGTATTTGTACAACTAGATTTTTCATTCACCATGTGCAAACTAGTCACTAATGATGACACCTAAGCTTCTCTTGGCCAATCAGATCCTTCGAGGATTTCCTCAAGGTCACTGCCCTACGGTGTTTGGTGTGCTAAGCCACAACAGTCCCATAAAGCCTTTTCAGACATGGCCCACTTAGACACAGGCAAGCCCTCTGTAACAGTCCTTGTATGCTGACTTTAAAATGTACAACCCGTCCTCCTTTGGTTGGTGAGCTTGACCTGTTTTGAACTCTACTTACAAGTCCCTGGGCTTTCTTTTTCAATCTTCGGGCTCATTTTGTGCTGCTTGCCATTTTGCATTTGAGATTCATTACTTCAACAAATGCTGATGTCTTGGAGCTAAAAATAAACCAAACATAAGTTTTGTCCATTTCCCAACAATGGATCATCAGTGGACTTCTTCAATTTGGCCTTGTTTTTAAAACCTTGAGTACAATTTTTTTATAGTTAGGAACCAGCCTATCATGTCTACAACAAATAGACCAGGTACTATCCTAAGGGATTTTTTGGAGCATTCAAATCTTGCCATGCTCATAATGAATATAGAGACTCAGGGGGGAAACTACTTAAAGCTGTAACCCAAGGCCTTAAACATAGTATGATTCATACAAACAGCAAAATGCTACAAAGTTGAATATGAGTCCTGGAAATCCTACTCCTAATAGAAAATCAAAAAACCATCTGTTGAGTGCATCATGTATTCCCATTTTAGGGAAATTGTTAGGGTTTCCAATGAGTACTTGGTTGTTTTGAGGAGAACTGTGTGGCATTGGGTCTTTGATTATGCAGCACTGACTGTGCAGACCAAAGAGGTATTAGTGGTGTGGGAGTCATGCTTAACCTGGAGGGATTTTGCAGTATGCTGACCTCGCCAATTGTTTTTGTAGATGCTAGCTCTTGTCACGCTCGTTGACCTTTCAACATGCCAGCATGGGATTGGGCTAATTTCCAGTGATGACGGCAAAGGTTTGAATGCAGTGGGATAATCCCTGCTGAGTTGGGTGAGAATAGGGGCAACCCTGATCCATGATGAGCCATACAATCCCATTAGAGCTCCTCCTAGGCTTGACATGTTGTTTGAACATTGATCACTCCCTTTACACATGTCTGTAATCTTGTACGATCAATTACACATCTGAACATTAGTCCTGGGTACATTCAAAGGAACGGTATGTCAAGGACAAATTGCGATCACTCACTGTACTGTCCTAACAGGCTTGTTAGGTTAGCCTATTAGCCTTAAAGAAAACCTTTCCTTTTCTAATGTCAGCCTGGGACACCTATAGAGTAACATTGTGCAAATTGTTGCTAAAAACACTTAAACTTCAGGACTATCCAATCTCTGCCTGAAACACCCAGGTGTGGCTGTTTTTCTTGTGATATTAATTTAGACTCAGTAAGGGTGTTAATTTTTACACAGCTTTGTTGTCATGAAACAACTTAAAAGCTTTGTCTGTGCAAAGGTTAGCCGTTTGTGTCGACTTGGCTCCCTGATGAGCCCCAGTGACATAAATTTAGTATTGTTATATTAGCTGCTGGTTTAAGTTACTCATAGCGTTTGGCCTTTATGGAAGGTTTTAGTAATAGCCGGGGTGCAACTCAAGCTCGTTCTGGCCTTTCTTTTACAGTGAAGTGACAAGTACAAACAGCTACGAAGGTCGTTGACCCCCCAAAAAACAAACAAAACTTAAGACAGTTTTCTCGGGTCTTCGTCTTTGGGGAAAGAAAATAGCGGCAACCTTTCCTTCTCAGCCAATGAGCACTTACAACTCCCAAAGACTTTCTAGATCAACAAAGTGCAGAACAGAGGGAAAAGACAACCTAGGCATGGCACTAATAGGACTTTATTTTAAACATGGTACGAATAGGATGGCGCAACCTGGTGTCAGGTTATAGCCATGGCTTGAAATTACACATCCTACCATAACACTCACAACTGTTCATAGAAAAGTGGACCCATCTGCCTCTCCTACTGGCACCAAAACAGTTAGAAACCTCACACTTATTCAAGGGGCCAGGAATGTCAATAAAATTTAGACACATGATCAGTGATCTGAAGACAACTGAACCACGCATAGTTCAATACACTTCCATTGATATCCAAACATAGGAATGAATCAGAATGAATTGTTTTAAGATTTCAGCAGAAATCAAACTGATGAAAAGTGATGAGTCAGAGTTTCACAGATCTCTGCAAAATGAAATATATATTAGTGACAAATGTCTTCTTTCTGCCTGACAGACTAAAGAGAAACACATGCAGAGGGATATGATAATGTGGATTTCCTGCCACAGGCTTTGTGTCTCAGCCAGTTATGTTAATTACACAACGGGTTGTACTGACACTGCATGGGCTTTGGCTGGATGTGGTCCAGTTGTTGGCTTTGCTGAAATCCACCTCATGACCATGAATCATTTGTGGGCGTTTGCATAGCTTAGTGTATCCAAAGCTACAAAAGCAAAACTTTCTATGGATGAATAGTAAATTGAAAAAACTAAGATGCATGTAAAAATGATAAAGATGCATATCAACTGCAAATTTAAAACAGCCACACTTGATTTATTTTATTTTTTTATCATTTTCAGATACATGCTTGATAAGCATGCTGTGACATTAAATAGACTCACTTAAAGAAAATAACCAAAAACCCCATGAAACAAATGAGATCCTGAGTTACAATACACCCAAAGCCCTCTTTTATTTGCAGAGTAACCCCACTACCTCTTGAAATAGTGGGCAAGGTGCACCACATCAAAGGTAAAGTTAAACACAATCAGATGTGATCCATATGAAAAATATACTGCACTTTGCCTCTTTGCTCCTCTTCCCTATCAGATTTATTACCAAAGAAATTCATCTTTACCTGCTACTCCAGATGGTGTTAAGTGGTCTGCTCCAAGCTCCAGCTGAGATTTGGTTCCTCTCCCTCTTCAGTGGTGTGATCTGATGATTGTCCACAGTGTCACTGCAATCTTTCCTAGTTAGAAGTGTATTGTTGTTGGTTTGACTCCACCAAGGCTGCACCTTGGACATGCACCGGCTGCCCCAAGAGGATGGAGCATGTGTCGTTGGAGGGAGGAGGATTGTTTGTGAGGGTTGGGATGTCCTTTGAGAGTTTGTGTTGCCTACTCCTCTACCAACCCTTTAGTTTTTTTTCTGCCTCTTTCACTTTGTCTCCTCTTTTTTGGAAAAAAAATTGGAGTTATCACAGTCAAGGGTTAAACTGCTGTCACTCCTCCCAACTTAACCATTTGGCTTGCGATGGATTTGCTCTGGGGGATGGGTGCATGACTAGTTTATGGCTCACAGGCCTTGGGGTGTGTTAACAAGGTTGTCAGGTGAGGTAAGAGCGTAGCTTAGAGGGGCTTTTACTCAGACATGCACAACCACTTTTTACAGGGAAATTCTCTTTTTTACAGCCCAGATTTTCTTTTTGCAGCATCATACCCATCAGTGATAATATATCACTCATCCGAGTCATTGCAGAGGATTTAACATGAAGTCATTGCCAGAGACAGCTTCACAACACATGTCTGTCTTTTGTGGTAGGGCAGCGATCCCAGACTACAATTTATCCAGCAACTTATTCAAAGTTAAAGCTGTGATAGTATTTTTGTCTTATGTTGGTGCTCCGCTGGTTAGATATCACGGAAAGTTTCTAATCCAGTAATGGAAGTTCAGAAGACATCAGATGTCAACTCTCTGCATTCAAAGGTGTGATGATGTTGTCAGAAACATTCATTTACAAAATCCCAAACCTTGACAACCACCCCAAAGACTTGGTCATCTCAGTCTGATATTAACCCTCCTGAGCTCATAAGGAAATTAATGATTTAAAAATGGTTGCCATGGTGTCAAAGTGTCAATCAAGACATAGAAATCATAGCAGCAGCTTGTGGACAAGCCATATTAGAAATGTACAGCACTACCTCTGTACATTGCAGATTTGCTACCACTTTAAATCTATCCATTCATAATTCATGTTCACCAGTACTCTGATGACCCTCATGGTCGTAAATATTTTAGTTAGTTTAGTTTTTTAGTAAGTTAGTATTAATTGAGTATTTCATAGTCTCTGAGAGTGTGGCTTTGGGCTCAATGCTCCAATTTACTTAAATTCAATTGTCAGGCATTAGGCTGCTAACTTCCCCTTGCAAGGTAGTGATGTGTCATGCGCATAAGATGCGGCTCTGTGAGCCAATGCTTTGTAGTGAATCAGAAGAGCTTACTCACATCAAGTGAGAGCAGTTTTTTCCTATCACTTGATCGCTTTCACAGACCTCTGCCCCAGCTTTGCTCACAACAGAACTCTGTTTTGATTTGCCAGCATGGTGGCCATGTGGCCAATCACATGTGAGGATATATGATCATACCGTTATGTAAAAACAGAGAGGGGGCGAAGAAATCTGATCAGATCAGTCGAAAGAGCTGGCTCTTTTTTGAAAGCTGAGCCAAAAGAGTCTGCTCTCCAAAAAGAATTGAACTTCCCATCACTATAGTAAGACCTGGTTCTTAGCCCTGATTAACTACAACTCAAGCATAACTTACAACTTTCAGCTAAGTACATCTCAGCAAGGCCTTTAGTTTTCACTGATCTTCACCCGTCAGAAGAACTTGAACTTGATTATGATGCGACCGTCTATTTTTACAAGTGACTGCACACCAGCCAGAAAAAGTTCCAATTAGTGAAAAGCTCACTAACTTATCTGTAAGAATGGAGCAAAATGCTGCTTCCGTTGCCAAATTACCTGATGCTTTTTTTTTTTTTTTTGCCATAAATGGGTCTAAGGTAATTTTACATTTGGTCTGATTTTTTGATACTGTTCCTGAGCACAGCTGCTCCTCCCTCCCCTTTCCCCTGCCGCTTTTATAGTTGTAACATTATTCTGTGCCTGAGCACACTTGTGAATATTCACAGTCTGATACAGTAAGCAGCAGATTTTCTTTGGAATTTCCCCTTGTGGCACTAATATTGGAGTGCCCTGTCTTC